ATATACTATTTTTAACTGCTATAAAGCCTAACCCTAATACAAATAAAGAAAAATGGACTTTAATATAAATTACAGATAATAAATTTGAAATTATTAATCATTTTCATAAAAAATATATTAGTACTCAAGATGGTAAAGTATGTTTTATTGATACAAATCCTCCAAATAAATGGAAGATTTCAAGTATAATATTAATATCAATAATTTAGCAATTGACAATAAAGTACTAACATATGGAACTCCTTTTATTATTTAAAATTCTATGACCGAATCCTTTTTAACAATGAACGAATTCAACCTAAAAGATCCGTAAAATTAAGAACAAGAAGTGATACAAAGTAAAATTCTTACACCAGCTTCATTATGGATAATTTTTAATTATTCTATTTGAATATATTTAAAAATTTTATTTATTAGCAAAATAGAGGATTTCAATAAAGAAAACATCTTCTAAAAAGACTAATAAATAATCAACTAAAATGATTTATCCAATATATATAAGAATTCCATAATTAATTTGCTCTTAACGCCATTAGCCTTTAAACATTTATATGTTAATGATCAAAAATTTGTCATTTAGGCACCAAATCCCCATCTATTATAAGTTTTCATTAATTTAAAAAATATTTATTTTGACTTGTCTCATAGACATCATATTTTAAATTGAATTCTTCATCATTAATGGAAACTGATTTACATAACTCATGTAAAAGCATCTAGAGAGCACCAGCATTATTATAGATTTCAATAGTACTCAAATTATTACTCATTATGCTAAAATATAAATTATATGTCAATAATTATAAGTTAAATTTAATAAATAACTAGTTGGGATTTCAGGAAATGAAATTTTTCTGTTGATTAAGATTTAAATTAATTATCATCACAATGTATCCAAACATCTTTTTTATCTAGCTACAGCATATAAATCATAATTTTATTACTATTTTATTCAATCTACCATTATTTTAAATATAAAGATTTTAATGGAAAATCTACATCTGATTCAATCTTCTCTAATTTAAATCTTTTTAGATATTAGTGATGATTTTTTTATTGCTTATTATTTTGATTAACATTAATCACAATTTATTTCAACCTTCTCTTCTTATATTAAAATAAAAAAACATTATCTGGTATTACTCTATCTTTTCTATTATTTTTATTCTCAATCAATTATTCATAAGATTCATGATGTGAAACTACTGTTGAAATAAAATTAAATGCTAAAGAATCTATCCAATCTCAAACTATACAATAATTTTAAGATAATTGTAAAAACATAGGATCAATTTCACAAAAATAACCATTACAAACATTATATTTATTACATGAATTTGATTTACACTTTAAAATAATATTATCAAAATATTATAAGCTAAACAATTCAGATTTTAATCTAGAATTTTTATTTTAATAGGAAAATCATTTGATTTAATGAAGTTTAGTTTTTCTTCTATTGATTCACAATTTTGTCTTGATATCTTCTTTTTTTAATTAGGTTCCAAATCTTATTCTGTCTTTCTATAACTACTCTTTCTAATTTCTGCTTAAACTAAATAAACACTTTATTTATTATATTTTTTAGAATGATGTAAATCATTTGATATATCCAAGCCCCATTATAATAATTCAAATATTTCAAAGAATCTTTTTTAAATTAAAGTTTATATCTATCTAATTTTTAAACATTTCTATTTACATTTCTGATACTTCAAATTCATTCTTCTACAAATACTATATATCTTCTAATATAAATAATTCCATCTCTGATTTACTCAATATACCATCCTAATCAAAGTCATAAAATGTTAATAATATTTCTGCTCTTTTTTCCTCTTTTAAATTCATGATTACACTTAAAATTATACAAAGTTCTTTAAAATCAAATTCTTCCATTTTAATCAAAATCAAAACATTTGAATACATGCAATAACCTCTTCTAATCTTATAAAATTATTACTTTATGATTTCAATTAAGGAAACAAAGCTCAAAAATTTTAAATGATCCATCCTATAAATTGGATTAACTGCTAAATATTTCTGTTTAAATCTTTATAAATATGATGATGGCCACATATCGAATAAAGTACTTAATGCTTCAACATATATAAACTTTATTTATCCTTAAATTTTACAAAGGATTCTGAACAAAATCTAATAACACTATTCATATAAACAATATTATTAAAAAATTAATTTGCTGTTTTATAATAACTAGAAATCTGAATATAAAAATTTTTCATAATTCGTAGATTTTACAGGATCTGAACTAGGGCATGTTATATTCATCATTCATGTTATTAGTGTTATTAGTGGTGTTGTCTAGGTCTTAAACAAAATTTTAAAGATTCTTTGATAAACCTTCAGGTGTCATGCTAAAATTATTATACAAACTTAAATCATTCTCTTTTATTGCAAAGAGATTGAAGTCATTCTCAAAATTTAAAGTATTTTGAGAATAATAGGGCGTTTAGCTCCTCGCATCATTAAAATCATATGGGCGATTACCCACCAACTAACGATTCTGTAAATTTGACCCAAATCTGTTCTTTTTCATTATTTCTACTGAAATTTTTTTTGTGTTGCAGAGATTGTACATTGATATCAGGATAATTACTGTTTCTTTTTTTCAGGAAATTTTTATGGGGTTGTTAAAATACGGATTATTATTTTTAATTCGGATTATAATTTTTCTTTAAATATTTTAATTCGGATTATTGAATTATTATTAAATACAGATTTTAAAATTAAATGAAGTAAATTTAAAGTTAAGCTAACCATTAACTAATTGGAAGGATTCCAAATTAATTGAGTATATATAATTAATTACTAAGGTAGTTCATATAGAAAAATGAATGATCGAATCCTTGCATATAAAAATAGAATTTAAGTAACAAAAGATAATAATTAATTTGACTTAATAATGATTACTCCAGGATATTTGAAATGCAATAAATATTAATATATGTTTAATTGGAAAATCAACTTTATTGAAAGTTCCATTTGCTAATATTCTAAAGAAGAATTTTATTAAATTTATTTGTACAATTGTTTGCTTTTTGCGGATTGCTATAAATCCAATAGTCTATCATATATACAATAGAAATATCGAACTTTCGATTCATATTTTGATCCTAACAATGAGAATAGAAATAATATTCTTTTATATGGAGAAAACATGAATGAATTTAATGAATTTAAGCTATAAAATTCAGCTCAAAATGGTTTTTCAGATTTTAATCGAATTTATGTAAACAAAAGAAATCCATTTGTTTCCTTTTCAGTCTATGATATTATAAATAGTAATGACAAGGCAATTACATTTTTTTAGAAATTAGTGCAATAAAAAGCATTTTAAAAAATAGAAGAAGCATTAAAATATTATGGAGTAAATCAGAATGAGATTGAAGAATTGAATGTTCATGAATTATTTCATTTAGAAAAGCTTGTTCCTGGAAATGTGTAATCATATAGATAGAATTACCAAACTTATCATGAATATATTGCTTTTAGTGCTTATACTTTACATGTTAATTAATTTCATAGAAATGTTCCTAATATGGCTTTTAGCACTAATGAATGTGAATAATGTAACTCATTTAATCCATCAGAGTATTGCACCTGTTTAAAGCCTGTCTAACCTTTAAAGTAACCCTAATTAATACCAATATAATAATTGTAGGAATACCCTTTAAATTATTAAACATATGATATTATATGCATTCTTTTTCATTCATTAATTTGCTAATTAAAGATTTGGAGTTATCAAGATTCTGTTGAAAGTATTTTGAATTATAATGTGGCTGAGGAAGCTCTGGTGACCTCTTTTTCAAATTATAAAAGAAATTATGAAAATTTAGAATTGTTGGGTGATTCTGTTTTAAAATATGTAGTAACAGTAGATATTTTTAAGTAATTTGAAAATTTAGATGAAGGAGAAATGACTTCTTTACGTAGTCGTTTAATAATGAATACATACTTAGCTTAATTATTTGAATAATTAGGTCTAGAACAATATATAATAAATTAAGACTTGCATTTTAAATAAATTCGAAATCCATTAGTCAATGATATGGTGTCGAGTGAAAATAAGTAATTATAAACTAGTCAAAAAGCTGATATTTATGAAGCTATTATTGGTGGAGTCTTTGATACTACTTAAAGTCTTTATGAATATATTACTATTTTAAGAAAAACAAACTTTCCAATCTCTTAATACTAAGATATTCTATTTGATTTTCAACCAATTACAGATTCTATTCAGCCAATACATATCAAAGACTATTAATTCAATAATCCTTAACTATATTAAATTGCTATCAATCCATCATAATATGATAGATTAGAGTTTTTAGGAGATGCTGCTATTGAATTACTTGTTATATCTTATGTCTTTAGAGTTGCAAGAGAAAAATAATAGAAAAATCCTAATTGGACTTTAGATCCAGGCTTATTATCAAATTGGAAATAATAATTGTTAGGAAATAAATTTATGGGAGAACAAACCATTAGTATGGGATTAAAGCCTTCTGTTGATGAAATACCAAAATTATATGGAGATATATTTGAAAGTATTGCAGCTGCCATTCTTCTTGATAGTGGATGGAAAGGATTGAATTAAGTGTATGGTACCATGTATAAAACATATATGGATTAAATTATTGAATAATGATATAATTATTTAACTAATTATATGAATAAAAAAAATTTAGGATGGGATATTGAAGAATAAGAGTACCTAGATAGTTTAATATCGGGTAATTTACCAAAAATTGAGAAAAGGCATGCAGATATCAAGAACCATAGAATTAAGTCTATTCTAGATTCGAAAATTATTAAATGTTCTTCTTCTGTCAGACCTAGTTAGAATAGTAAATCTACTTAGATTAGCACTTAAACTACTTAGACAGCATTTTAAAATAGTCTTACATCGAATTTTTATTGTCCAATGACTTTTACTCATCCATTAAGATATCCTCCATTATAAGAAGTTGTTCATAAATCATCTAAAAAATCATAACCTCCTTTAAAAAGAAGGAAATATAGATGTAGTATTATTAATTTTAGTCAACCTTAACTTTTGAGTCCATAAGCAAATACTAAGCTTTAAAATATCAATGCATATTTCTAATAAAAATATTCATGCATATATTAATTTTGATGCTGTTAAATACATTCATATAGATTATTGAAATTTTGTTTTTCTCATTAAATGAATTCATTATAATTAATTAGAAATCTTATAATTTGACATTATTTATAGATTAATAATACTTTTCAAATTTTTAAGCTTTATTATAATTAGTAAAATTATGATGTCAACAGAATTTTTAATTTTAAACTTAGACAACATTGTTCTAACAATTTTTTTATTTTATATTTCAATTAATTTATCAAAGTTCGATTTAGATATTTTATGTTTGTAAAATTAATATTTCGATAGATTGATAAATTGAAATATAAATGATATAATTATGCTTTTGATTATTTTTATACATAGACCTAAACAGAAATAAATAAACTGATAAATTAAATGATAGTAAATTATTACTGATTATTAATTATCATTCAACTTTTCTGATTTTTTTAGGATTAAACTTCTTTCCTTAAAAGATTCTTGTTAATCTTCCTTATATTTCTCAATATTTTTTATTGCCTTTAAAAACTAAAGAATTTCGAAAAACCAATAGTATTTTCTCTCTCTTCTCTCTAGGCTTTAATAGAAACAATAATAAAATACTTAAAAAAAAACACATTTAGTTTGATACAGATACTTTAGAGTAAAAATAGAAAGTTTTATAAGCAATTCTAAGAAAATATGTATTCATGATGAAATCTTCAAATTAGTTTTTGAATGAAAAAATTGAGTATCTATTTAATTTTTTGAAAGTGGATTATTAGAAGGAAATCATTAGGGGACTTAAAGAACTAATTCTAAAATTTATTCGTGGATAAGTTTTGCACTCTTTTAATGTTGCTGGATAGATGTAATACTAATCTCAATTACATAAATTCTATAAATTTAGCTATGCTGAAAATAATAATTTTAACAATGAATCAGACAAAAGTATCAAGTCAGTTAATAAATTTTATGAGCTAATTATTAGTGGTAAGAGGAAAGGGTTCATATAAGTATAGAATAATGTTTTTCTTTTTAATTCTTATGTCAATGATTAAAAAAGTTTAAGATTATAGTCAGTCATTAGAAATCATAAGAATGATTAATAAAATAATAAAAGATTGGGTTTTGAGTGCTTACTTGAGATAGAATGGGTTTATATATAAGATTGGATTTAGTTAAGGGTATTAATTAAATGATTAAAGACATTTTGGAAATGATGAAAAAGCCAAGTTTGGTTGATGATTTAGCAAGTTTGGAATGTAATAAAGGATGATCTAGTTTTCTGCTAGATATTTATATGTTGGGATTAGATATTCAAAAAATTCTTAATTTTAATGGTTAGTTTAGATAAATAACTGAGTAAGAAGTTTAATAAGAGAGAGACTTATTGGTACTAAAAAGATTTAATGAGAGGTCAATGTAAAATAGTAATATTATATAAATACATTAATAAAAATATTAATATGTCAGAACTTGAGATAGCACGCAAGAAAATATCATTTGATGTAAAAAAGTTGTCACACTTCATTTGGGAAGGAGAAGAGAGATTCAATAGATTCATGGCATTTTAGAAACTTTGTAGTTCAGATCCTCTTCTTCGTAATAATCCAAAGGACATTGGAATAGGAAGAGCAGAGACATATGAATTGTATGCAAGAAAAATGAAGAAGTTGTTAGAGGTGGCTGATTTAAGAGATATAAAGGAGTTTGCAACATTGATATATCCAGAAGCTGTAAGATAATGATAGTATATTGAATAGTTAGTGTCGTCATTGAATTATGAGATGTTCATGCCTACAATATTGAATTTGGGAACAGAAGAATAAGTGAAGTTATTTTATGAGCCAGCATCAAGATGGGAGATATTGGGTTGTTATTCATAAACAGAATTAGCTCATGGTTCAGATATCAATAGAATTGAAACAATAGCCACATATGATAAATAAACAAAATGTTTTATAATTCATACTCCATCATTAAAAGCAACAAAATGGTGGGGTAGTGATATGGGTATAACAGCTACTCATGTAGTAACTTAAGCTTAATTATATATTGATGGTAAGAGATGTGGAGTATAGAATTTTGTTGTATAAATAAGAGATGTTAAAACTCATTAAACATTACCCGGTGTTTTAGTTGGGGATATTGGAGCTAAATTTGGATATAATTCAAAAGATAATGGGTATTTAAGATTTGATAATGTTCGTATTCCTAAAGTAAATATGTTAAGTAAGTATGTGAATGTGTCAGATGATGGCTAATTCACTAAAACTGGAGATGATAAGATTTGGCATGCAACTATGCAATTAATGAGATAACATTTCTTAGATTCTGTTTGGAAATGTTTAGGAATTGGTTTAACTATTGTTATTAGATATTCTTTATAAAGAAAATAATTTAAAGATTCTCTAGGTTAAGAAATTCCAATCTTTGATTATTAACTTTAATAACATAAACTTATCCCTTTGATTGCTGAAATGTATGGATGTATGATAGGAAGTAAGAGAGTATTTGCTATGGCTTAAGATAATGTTGCTAGAATCAAATAAAAGAATGATTTCTCTAAAATGATGGTATAACATTAATTATTTATTTTAGGAAGTTCATGTTGTTTTGAGTGCTTCAAAGGCATATTATACATGGAATTGTTTCTTTGCTCTAGAAAAGGTTAGATAATGTGCTGGAGGACATGGTTATTCTTATTATTCAGGAATCCCACCTCTTATTACTGAAATGAGTCCATGTGTTGTAGCTGAAGGTGATAATACTGTATTATCATTATCTGTTGGTAAAGTTTTGTTGATGTATCTTAATAAAGGTAACAATGTTTATATTGTTCATAGCAATGTAATCAGGAAAAGCTCCTAACACCACTTGTGATTATTTGGAAGACATCTTCAATTATTTGACTGAACTCAAATAACCATTAATTTCTAAAGAATGCACTAGAGATCTTGCTAAAGTTTTGGCTGCTCTAAGATATAATGTTGCTTTCAATGTTGCTAATGCTGGATAAAAACTACAAGCTCTTATGGGTGATAAAGGACTAACATTCAAAGAAGCCACTGATAAACATTTAGGAATCCTTTTATAAGAAATTGCACACACTTAATCTAATTATTGGACTTATAGAACTTTCCTTGAAGAGCTCAATACTTTAGTTGATCCAAATATTAAAGCTGCCCTCACTTAATTATGTTTATTGTATGGTCTCAATAAGATTTTGGAATAATAAGGATAATTGTTTGAATATGGAGTTTTAAGTGGTCCTCAATTTGTATGGATCAGAGAAACTAGAGATGATATTATTGCCAATTTGAAAGACAATGCATTAGGATTGGTCGAGGTAATAAATTCAAACATATTTAGGCCATAGCATATGATGATAATAGTGTCAGATCTGCTATTGGAGATTCTTAGGGTAATCCATATGAGAAATTATATCATTGGGCTAAAGATCTTAATCCATTAAATGAACCTGAATTCCATGAATAAGTTTTCAAAACTATTAAGACTATCAGAACAGCATCTCCACATGCTAAATTATGATTAAGATTAACAAATTATGAGATACAATTATTTTCTTCATTTTAACATGATCTTGTGTTTCAGAAAATGTATTGGGTAGTACTATCAATAAATGCTTTTGTAATTATTTTTATTAAATAAATGGAAGGATATTTGAAAAAATGGACTAACCTTTTTTCAAGATGGTAAGATCGTTACTTCATTCTTAATGAAGATATTCTTCTATATTGTGATTCTTAAGGAGGACCAATCAAAGGACAAGTACATTTGAAAGTAGCAGCTTTGATATTAGTGCCTGAAGATCCTTTAAGAATAATAATAAATACTGGAACGACTGAAATACATTTACGAGCAAACAATATTAATGAAAAGATAGATTGGATTAATGCTTTGAAATCAGCTTAAGATAGATGTTTAAGCCGTTAAAATGAAATAAAGTTTGAATAAAAGATACAAGAATTGCTGACTGATGTTTGGTAAACTGGAGCTATATGTATAATAAATAAAACTATTGTAGTTGATGAAACACTTAGTATGTTAATTCCTAAATTGGAAAAGAACTCATAAATTAAAGAAATGGCTGACCGATTAGAAAGCATTGGAAAAAATCTAAAAACGAAAATTACTTTATGTGCTCAAATAGTAGAAGAAGAGAAATAAAAATTATCAAATTAAGAAAATGGAACAGTGTATGAAAGTTTTATACATTAAAATTCAGCATAATCAGTGATAAGAGATGATTTATTGAATCATTAACATTTTTCTACACATATACAATCATAATTGATGAGTGTGAGTGAAATTGGTTTACAAATTAGAGATCATTAACCTACTAAATATGTACTTAAAGAATAAGTTATATTAGTTTTTAGAATAATATTATCAACAATCCTGCATTTCAAAAAATAAAATTTGGAAATAGTCCTAAAAGAGATAGGTTACCTTATAAGAAGGATCCAAATGAAAAGATAAATGTTTGGTATTTGTGTAAGGAATTAATTGGCAAAGATTTAGGAAGATTTTCTGTTCCAAGTATAAATAATAAAAATTAGTTATTTTAAATGAGCCATTGTCAATGTTGTAAAGATTAGCAGAATAAATGGAATATTCTGAATCATTGGAAGAAGCAGATAAAATAATTGGAGATAGTGCATTAAGAATGTGTTACATTATGGGATTTGGTGTATCACCTTATTCAGCAAATATAGGGAGAACAAAAAAACCTTTTAATCCTATTTTAGGAGAAACCTATGAAATTTAAACATCAAATTGTAGATTTATAAGTGAATAAGTATCTCATCATCCTCCTATTTCAGCAGGATATGCAGAATCTAAGACTTTTTAATTTTGGGCTCACACGGATGTTTAAACTAAATTTAATGGTTTATGCTTTTAGGTTAATCCTGTAGGATTATTTAATGTAATTTTAAAAACATCAAATGATCATTATTAATTTAATAGATGTACTACAAAGGTTTAAAATATATTGTGGGGTTAATAGTATTTAGATCATATGGGATAAATGAAATTTGTAAATTTGACAACTGGTGATAATGGAGTATTGGAATTGATAGAAAAATCAGGTAAATCAGAATGTGAGATGAGAGGATATGTTAAAGATAAAAATGGGAATGAAAAATATAAATTGAAAGGTTTTTGGAATGATCGTTTAATAGCATATGACTCTTAAAGAGAAATAGTTGTATGGAAGAGACATTAATTACCTTAAGATTCAGATTGGTATTATAATTTTACTGAATTTGCAATGTAACTAAATCATCTAACAATTGAGATGATAAAAGTATAAAGTAATGAATAAATTAGGAATTACCTTGTACAGATTGTAGATTAAGGCCAGATTAATTAGCATTTGAAAATGGATGGGTTGATTTAGCATCAAGTGAAAAACATAGATTAGAAGAGAAATAAAGAGCTAGAAGAAAAGCTATGGCAGCAGCAAATTAGGTTCATGTTCCTATGTTTTTTGAGGAGATTATTGAACCTAAAACAAATTTAAAATGGTATAAATATAAAGGGAATTACTTTTAATAATAATGGAAATAAGTTGGATAAGAATTGTTGGATTTATTTTGATTAATATGAATAATAATAATTAAATTGTACAATTATAAATTATAAATTTGTTAAGTCAATTATAAATAAATATTTTAAGGCTTAATTTTTAAATGTTTAAAGACATATCATTTATGTTTCCTTTGTCGACAGTCAATTTAACAAATACAAGAATAAAAACACTATAAACTTTAATAGAATCTAATGGTGGAGAGATGAAACTAGGTTCAGATACATTAATGATAGTTGGTTCTGATGCAACAATAGAATTGTGTAAGAAATAATTTGCCAAATTTAATCTTGATTTTGAAAAATATCGTTCTTAGTTTTTAAATGCTGATTGGGTGTCTTAATCACTATTACATAGAAAATTACAAGAAAAGAAAATGTTTTAATTGTTTCTTGAAGTAGAAATTCAACCAGTAATCCAAGAAGTTCCAGATTTGACAACAAAATTAGTTTATATAGAAGCATTGGCAAAAACTGTTCCAGTTAGAGAAGAAATACAGGAATAAGAAGATGGGGATATTCATATTTACAATATTAAAGATGATGAACTTAGAAAAAAGTATGAAAAAAGAATGGAAGAATTTAGAAAGGATATTATGAAAGAGTATAGATAATTATTAGATTATGAATATGATATTGATTTGGATAATTTTCATAATTAAGTAGATGATGGTTATGAATATTTATTAGAGGATTTATAAATACTTAAAAAAGAAGAACCATAAATTCCAGAATCTGAGAAATTTTATGGAGATGAAGATTGTTAAATAACAGAAATTAGAAAAGTTAATTTTGATATTTTAGATGGATTAGATTTAGGAAAATCAATTGTTAACATTGATTAACCTATATTATCTGCATAATTAAAAGAAACTAAATAATTTAATCCTGGATTAAAAAGAAAATAATAATTTTGGGAAGCCAAAAAAGGATATTTTGCTTGTGAAGCTGGTGCAGCTCATAAATGTTAAAATAATGAGATAATTGAAGAATTAGAAAGATTGTTAAAAATCTATACTAATGATAAAGATAAAGGAAGATGTATTGCTTATAGAAAAGCAATAGGTTTTTTGAAAGCTCTTCCATATCCAATAAAATCAAGTGAAGATCTTAAGGATATGCCAACTATAGGAGATAAGATTAAGAAGAAAATAATTGAAATTATGTAAACAGGAAAATTAACAAAAGTATAAAAATTAGAAGGGTAAGAAAAGAATGTTGTAATTACTGAATTAAGTAGAGTATGGGGAATAGGACCAACAACAGCAGCTACTTTTTATTTTAAAGGTATTAAAACCTTAGAGGATTTAAAAAAGAATTAGCATTTACTAAATAGAAATTAGTAAGTTTGTTTAAATCTAGTTGAAGATTTAGAATAAAGGATTCCAAGAGAAGAAGCAACTTTAATATTTGAGATAGTAAAAAGAGAAATAGATGATTTAAGTGGGGTATAAGGATTGTATAAAGCAACAGCTTGTGGTTCTTATAGAAGAGAAAAAGAAACATGTGGAGATATGGATATTTTAATAACAAGATGTGATGGTAAAAATACTGAAGATTTCTTACTAAACTTAATCAAAAGACTTGAAGGAAAGTTACTTACTCATCATTTGACAATGCCAAAAAGAACGGAACATGATTGTGAAACTTATATGGGAATAGGTAGAGTAACTAAGTAAGCTGTTTTTAGAAGAATTGATTTAAAATTTTATCCAAAAGAACAGTATGGTTGTGCAGTTTTGTATTTCACTGGTTCTGATCATTATAATAGAAGTATGAGGTTATGGGCTCAAAAAAATGGATATACTTTAAGTGACCATGGACTTTATCCTACTTAAAGAGGTGCTCATAATAAGAAACTCTGGAAAGGAGAAGTTATTCCTTGTGAAGAAGAAATGGATGTCTATAAAATATTAGGATTAAAATATAAACCCCCTAAAGAGAGATCAGTATGATTTAATTTTTATTTTGTTTTTTTTTATTTATTTATTACTCGAACAAGATAGAAATAAATATACATCAAATCAATCAAATATTCAACTATGCTGCCCTAATTCATATTCTATCTAAGAATTCAACCGATAAAGAGGTATAGGCAATAATTAATTGTAATTATTTTCTGATTCCTCTGATATTCCTACTCCTAATTTATCTTCCTCGAAAAATGTATTTGTATCAATTATTGAATATGATTTCTCATAATTTATTGGTCTCATTCCACTTTCACTTGACATCTCTTCTATTTTCACTAGAGGAGTTGTTATTGTTTAATTTGCTTCTTTTTAAGACATTACAGAAAAAACTGACACAAGAGTCAAAAGTGCAAGACTTATTTTACCTAATCTAGATCCACGACCTAATTGCTACAAAATTGATAATTAATTTCTTATTTTTTAACTCTTATTTGTTAGTTTATTATGTTTCTCTTGAAGTTCTTCCAATTATTTTTTCAATTCACAATTATAGTCTAATTCTTTTTGAGCTTGAAACTCTAATTAATGTAACTATTGTTTTTTTCTATCTCTTGAATTTTAAGCGCTTATCCTATTGCGTATCATCTATATTGTTTTCTTATCATTCTCTCTTAATGGATCCTCTTCTTCCTTCTTTCTCTTTATTTTCTTACTGCATAACACCATTTCAGATTCATCTTTCTGCTTTCTTTATTTTGCTTTCTCTCTTCTCATTGTTCGCTTCATCTTTTCAACAAGCTTTTAGAAATCTTAAAATAATTTAAATGACTTATCTTACTTTATGGATTTGATTTTTGCATTTCTAATAATCCCTTCTCAGTTGTTTATAAGGTTTCACTCATATAATCGAATAATTCTTGTTAGCTAGTGCTCATTTAACAAAGATTTATATTATTTTATTGTATTAAAAACGATTAATTTTCTTCGCTTAATACACCAACTTCGCAAATTAACTGCAATCTAATATTATTCTTTTAAATTAATTAAATACATTATTTTTATTCATTTATTAACAAGCATTCTTATCTAATCCACTCATCATGATTGTAATATTTCAAAATATCATACTTTCATGTCTTTTCACTAAATTTCGTTTTTTATTATTATTTACATAATTTCTAAATAAAACTAAAAAAAATGGTTTGTTTCTGAAATTCGTAATCGTTTTTACATTATAATTTTAGAAACTGAAAACATACATGAAATAATATACAATACTAAAAAAAAGTAAAAATAAACATTGTATCAAATATCTTGATAAATGTGCACTATCAACTTTGATATTTTTGCACATAGCAAGAAATAATAAATAGAACCAATTATTATTGAATATGGAGGTTAAAAAATAAAAGAAAAAAGTTCTTTATTTTGATTGCTATGATAAAGTAAATTAATTAACTTGTAATTTTGAGAATATAAGAGATGAACTTAGCAAGGTAATAGTAATTGAATAGAAAGAGATTTGAAGATCAAGTATTTAGAATAGGGGAATTATAAATTTTTGATCGTTTTTCAATTATTAATATATAATATATTCATGAGGACACTAATTCTCACAATGCTAATTTGCTTTGGTGCTTCATAAATGTTGAGAGGTTCACCAAAATTGTTGATTGAAGAAGAACAAGGTAAATGAGATAATTTAGAAAAGCAATCTTTGAAGCTGAATAAGAAGATTAAAGTTTTTATGTTGGAAAAGATGATATTTCAGCAGAAACCCTTTAAGGAGAATAAAATCAAGAGGTTGAAGCTAGTTTGGCAGTGTTTAAGAGCGATGATACACCAATGGTTTATATTGAAGAATCAATTGATTCAAGTAATAAATGTGGTTAACTTAAGACTAACAAGATGGTTTTGAGTAGTAGGAATCTTTGAAGATTGAAAAAATAGAAGATTAAGTGTAGTAAGAATTAAAGTGATCATAAAGAGCTCAAGACTTATAGGAAGCAATACCAGATTCAGCAAATTATGTTGATAAGGCAATATCTTTAGATGGAGATGCTGAAGTAGAAACTATTAACAATCCTTCAACAGATGTGGTGTTAAATGTTGCCCCAAAGACTGAATCTCTTAGCAGTTCTGAAACTAACAAGAAGCATGTTTATGTTTACAATCGTAAATAAATTTCAGAATAATTTTAGCTTTGGCTAAGAAACCTTTTGTAGGAATCAAATTCCCACCAATGCCAGTTACCAAAGATCATAATTACTTGTCCAATTCTGATACTTTAACAATTAAATTGCCTCCATGGTCAGAACAAAGCAATCACAGAGTAGAAGATGATTTAGAATTCTTCCAGTTCATTAGACGTATTAAGCAATAAATTATGTAGCATCTGATGTATCAGTTAATGAATATTGATCTAATATTATTATATATTCCATTCTTTTTACAAGTTAAGAATAACAAAACTTATAATAATTAAATATGCAGCAAGATGACAAAAAGAAAGGTGACTCCACTAAACTTGATACCATTGTAACTATTACAATTTAACTTAGAAAATTATGAATGGTTTCTCTGATAAGGAATGGAACAACTTAGACAAAATTGAAAGAATTGAACTTACACTTGAAGACTTTGGCAGAATGAATGTCATTTATGTTTTCAAAAACTTAAAATCATTAACATTAATTAATGTTGGTATTACTCTTATTGAAGTATTTATTCATTCTTTAAATTAGGGATTAGATGATTTAAATAGATTAGAAGAATTAAATCTTAATGAAAATTAAATTGTAAAGCTAACTGGTTTAAAAGGAACAACTAATTTAAAAGCCCTCTATATTTCTCATAATGCTATTCAAAAATTAGAAGGATTAGAATAATTGACTAAATTAGAAACATTATGGCTTTGTGATAATAAAATCGATACAATTTAAAATCTAGATTAATTACAAAATCTAAAATAACTCTGGTTGGCTGCAAATTCTATCAGCAACTTAAGAACCTCTTTAGATAAATTAAAAAGTTTGTATGATTTAAACATTAGTGGTAATAAAATATGCAGTTTCAAAGAAGCTTTGAATTTGAATCGTTTACCAAACCTTAAAGTTTTGGCTTTTTATGATCCTCATTTTGGAGATAATCCTATTTGTAATCTTTGTAATTATTAAACCTATGTCCTTTATCATTTAAGAAATATTTTTAAATTAGATACTCTTATGATATCAGATGATTAAAAATCATTTGCAGAAGGAACTTTCATGAAAAAAAAAATGTATTATAATATGAGAATAAAAACTATGCAGAGAACTTTTTCAACTTTATGTAAATTATTGAAAAAAGGTAAAAAAATAAAAACTGATTCCTTATGTGAAGATATATCTAATTTAAATATTAAATTAGCTTGGGAATAAGATAAGGAGAAATAATAGATTTTAGAAAATAAGTAAGAAGAATATGAAAATCAAAATGAGATTTATAATAGCATAAAAAAGAAAGTATATGAGTATTGCAATTAAAGCATACATAAATTAATAACAGAATTAGAAACAGGAGGTAATATCCGATTGGAAGAAGGAAAAACAAATGAAAAGTGGTATGTTTCTTGTGTTGATCTTATAAACTCAAGATTCCATGCAGAAAACATGGGAAAATACGGCATTAAAGATATACAAATAAAAAGAGTTGTAAGAATTCATAATAAATTCATTCGAAATAAATTTGAAGAAAAAATGGAATCATTAGTTGATGTTTCAAATCAAAGTCACAAAAAGTCTTTAGAGTATCTTTTCTATGGGGTTGATCCTAACTTTCCATCGGAGATATATAATGTAATAGAGGAAGGATTTAGAAGTTGTCAAGTAAATAAATAAATAATTTAAAGGAGTCTCAATCTATAGGATTAAGTTCTTATACTCCTTTGGTTAATAGTATATTGAGTGCTGATGCTTCAAGAATTCAGTATCTTTTGAATGGGCAAGAACATCAATAAAAATTAAGTAAAAGATTTATAAAAAGAAGGTATATTTTAAATTAATATTAGATTATATTATTAAAAATATAATATAATACCACCTGGAGTGATTCTTATTTGTAAAGTTTTAATGATTAAATCAGTAGCAGATTCAAAATATCCTTACTTTAATCCAGAAAAACCATGGAGTGAGATGTTTTAAAAATTTCCTGTAGATGGTAAATAATATTAAGATGAATACACTGTTTATAGAGTAATGGAAAATGATCCTAAACATAAATTGTGGTTTGTTTTAGATAACAATCTTGTACTGCCTGAATATTTTGCTGAATTTGAATATGTAATGTAATCGCCTCTTTAAAATAAAATTGCTGATTTTGGATCTGCTTTGGGAGTTCTTGAAACAGAGGAGGATAATTTCATAACTCCTGCAAATATTAATAAATACAAAGATACTTTAAATGATTTGTATAATCAATTAGCTGATGATTTAAATAGTTATTAATTTGAGAATCTTGAAGAATATCCAACTTATGAATTAAAGGCATAAGATTTAGATAGATCAGAAAGTGCATCTCTTAAACCTGCTTTAGTTAATTATTTTAAATACTGTTTAAGTAGATCAACACTTTATGAATTAAATCCAAATTTAGTTGGAACTCCAAATTTAAATGAAATCTTAAAAAACTAAACTTAATTTTTAAATTTAAGTAATTGCTCTGTTTAAGATGTAACATTTGTCAAAGGATAATTTCACACTCTCATACTTAGTTATAATAAAATTAGCAATATAACAGGTTTGAATGAATTACCAAATTTAGTTAGACTTGATTTATCACATAATGAAATATGTAATCTAAATGGTTTACAAAACTTAAATCATTTAGAAGTGTTAGATTTGACTCACAATAATATTACAGATGTTGATTAAATAGTAATTCTAAAATAGAACTAAGCATTGAAATATTTATGCGTTGTTTTTAATCCAATAAATGAATACAAAGAAACCAGAAAAGAAATAGTTATGATCTTAAATAGTTTGTCATTCTTAGATCATCTTCCTATTACTGAAGAAGATAGAGAACCTGCAACTAATTAAAAAATATTAATCACTAATGGAATGTTGTAAACCTTCAGCAAAGTTTAGAATGATTGGAAATAGCACATTCAATCAGTTATGATTACTCACTAAAAATTAAGTAGTATGAAAGGCTTAGAAGGTCTTGTATAATTGAGACACTTGAATTTAGGTCATAATAAAATCACCTAAATTACATCAATCTAGGATTCAGTTCTACTTGAAGAACTTAATTTAGAAAAAAATGCTATTATTTAAATTCAAGAATTAGACAATATGTAATATTTAAAGAAATTAGAATTAGGTGGCAATAAGATATTTTAGATTGATGGCATATCTAATTTAATTAATCTTATGTAATTGTCTCTTGAAGATAATGCAATTCTTAATCTTAAAGATTTTCCAGACTTAAAAAGTTTAATGGAAATTTATTTAGGAAATAATAATATAACAAATTAAAAAGAAGTTAATAACATTAAACATTTATAAAAACTTATCATCTTAGATTTATCAGGCAATCCTTTTGCTAGAGATACTAATTATAGATCTTATGTACTTTATATTATTCCAAAATTAAAAGTCTTAGATGGAATTTCCATAGAAGCTTCTGAATAATAGATGGCTAAAAATCTATATACTGGTCGTTTAACTGAAGAGATACTCTTCTCTAGACTTTAAGGTCAGTCTGCCAATAAAATAACAGAACTTTGTTTACAAAATTGTGAATTAAGAGATTTTGATGATGTTTTTAATGTTTAATCTTTTCCATAGTTAGTAGAATTAGATCTAAGTTAAAATCTATTTACATCAACAAAAATGCTAGGATTCTTACCTCAATTAAAAATATTAATATTAGCATCTAATAAGATTGAAACTTTATTATGCCCTACTGATATTAATTAAAAAAAAGGATTAAATGGATGTTAGTAATTGTAGATTTTAGATGTTTCATAGAATTGTTTGAAAGAATTTAATGGATTGCAATATTGTTTATTAAAAGATTTAAAAATTATGAAATGTGAAAAAAATGAAATTATTCGAGTTGACTTTTTGGAAAATCTAAAATAATTAAAAGAATTAGATTTAAATTAAAATAAGGTTAGATAATTTGATCCATAGTCATTTATTGGATAAAACCCAATTAAATGTTTAAAAATAGATGGCAATGGATTAAAGAATTTTCAGAATATTTAAAAGCTATTTAAATTACTTGTATAGATTTATTTAAATTTAAGCATCTGTTTGCTAATTCAAATAGAATAAATGATTTGCCAGACATAGAACATTTAGTTGCTCTAACATAACTCAAAGAATTAGAACTTGTAGGAAATTCTTTAAGTAGACGACCAGGGTATAGATAAATGGTTTTAAGAAAGTTGCCCACTGTTTTATATCTCGATGGCAGAGTAAAAAAAAAGATTAATATAAATATAATAGGAAGTAACATAAGAGGAAAGAGAAAGATTAGAACTTGTAGATAGACAGACTGTACTACCGTAAATGTAGATTTAATAGTAACCTAATACTAAAGTACCAGTTAAATTAAGTTCAATCAACTTTGATGGAATCTTCAGTAAATGAAATATAAATTATATATATTTAAATGAGATTATACAATACTTTAAGATGTGTGTAACTAAAAAATAAATATATATATTTGAAGTTATTGAGCAAATTAAATTGATTTAATAAAAAATTAATTTCTGGTATACAAACTTTTACAATCATTATAATTTAATGAAAATTTAATATTTATTAATAAAATCTATAGACAATCGACAATAGGTTTCAAAGGATTTTGAACTATTGTAAGCTTCACTTTATAGTTGTTTAAAAAACTTTAGTAGATATATGAATTATTTTTACAACCGGCTTGTATTTCTATTAATAATTTTGATTGAGTATTATTAAATGAATAATTTAGAATTTTTATTATTTTGAAATGCAACTTAATTTTATTTATGTGCATAGAGAATTGAGTATAATATCGTATTTAATATATATTTTATATTCTATATAATTATATTATGATGTGTTTTGTGTGTACTATTATTTTTATGACACCAGTAAACACAAAAAAATTATTTGTTTATCAATTTAATGAAGAATTGAGGTGGATTGCAAATTTAAAAACTTATCATTACTGTAATTAGATAATATTTTCAAAAATTGATTGTGAATTGTATAGATGATCATACTTTCTTCTTTCTGTATGAATTTAAATGAATTCGGATATCGTTCAGTTACTCTACACCCTTTATAGTTGGTATGTTATAGATGATTTCAAAAGATAATTATTTTTTTATTTTAACAAGGAAATATCCTTTTACTAAGTGATGTTTTAACAATTCATTGATGGATTAGGAGACCTGAAGCATAAACCAGTTGCCTTGAAGCAGGTGAAAAAGATTTTAAAGATTGAAGAAAAAAGTTTACCTAAAAACATAACAAATTACTTTGTAGAATTTACTAAACATACTTCACATAAGTGGTAAAGAAAGGATAAAATGATTTTTATTTGGACTACTCTAAAATATTTGGAGAGATAGGGTCGTACAGACTTAAAACCCGTATGAAATTATGTTTAAATTGATTAGAACGATGATGATTGGATAGCGTTATCGGAAATTCTTGGAGCCCCTCCAGAGTTGTTAAATTCAAAATGGATTGGAATGCTAAAAACAGATTTGAAATAATCTCCATGGACTATAGAAGAGGATGAACTTCTCAAAAAAGTGATGACGCAAAAATTTATTTCTTGGACGCATGTTGCTTTGGAGTATAATCGCATCAGTCCAATTATGAGACATGCAAAATAAGTGAGGGAACGATGGAATAATTATTTGGACCCTGATCTAAACAAATTTCCATGGAGTGAATAAGAATAAATACAACTGCTGCAATTAGTTTAAAAGCAAGGAAAAAAGTGGTCTGTGATTTCTAAATAAATTAAAGGGAGAACCGAAAACTAAGTCAAAAATGCTTACAATTCTTTGATTAATTCCTATAGAAGGAATCATGTAAACTTTTTTTCATTATAAAAATATTAGATGTAAACTCTTGATTCAGATGATATTATTGTTTCTAAATTATTATCTAAATTAGATCCACCTCATAAATAAGCCAATGCAAACACTCCTATGATTCAACCATTACCAACCTTTTAATAATAGTTATTAATGTAGGCTTTGTTTATTGAGAGATTTAAAAGCATGGCCTTTTTTGCTTAATTACCAGGTTTCTTAGCAGCCCAATAATAACAAAGTTGATATCTATTTATTGTATGTGAATATCATTATTAACTATATTTATCTATTATATTCCAAATCTTAATGGAAATAGCTTAATATAAGTTAAACAATCACCTTCTTTGAATATTTAGTAAGCTTTCTTTTTTGAATAATTTTCAGAATTCGTGTGCATCAACTATTAAACTCAAAGATGCTGAGTTTATTAATTTTTACATTAGTTGAATCTATATAAAGTTATCTATTTCTAAATCTTTTCTCCTAAGTGAAATATAGAAGAGAATAAATATGATTTCTCAATTCAGGTGATAATGCTATAAAAAAATATTAAACTTGTAAATTCCATTAATTGATTAACTATAAAGTTATTAATCACTCAATAATATCAAAAAGCTGACATTAGTGACCCTGATGTAATTATTCAATAAGATACGAAACATGACATAATTCAAAATTAATTATATATAAAATTATATTGTCAATTAAAACTCAATTATAATCTTCAAATCAGAAATACTAATTCTTTACAAAATATTGAACTTTAAAATTGTAAAATATTTTCTTCATGCTCAAATTTTAGATTATTTAAATTACTTATTTTTTTCTAATTAAAAATACTCCAAACAAAATAAATCAATTATCATCAGATAATAATTTCTCAGACATTCTTTGATATTTAAATATTATGCAATAACAGACTGCCAAGTTCATGGAAATTTTGCCCAATTATGACTAGCTTAGAATAAACGAGCTGAAGCTAATAGAACAAGAATAATACTATATAAGTTAATTGAAAGAGCAGAGGGAGAGGGTACAATTATATTGAATTGAATTCAGATGGAAGTTTTAAAACAAGAATTCCTTAAGAAAGATTAAACTATCACAGATTTGCAAATTCAAAATCAAAAATTCAGAGAAGATCTAAATAAAATGAGACTGATTTTGTAGGAATAGATTAAACATGTAGAGAAAGAAAAACAAAGAACAAAAAAAAACAATTAAGAAAGAGACCAATTAATGAATGATATCTAAGAGTTAAGAGATCTAGTATAGCATTTAAGGGAAGAGAATGATAATTTGAATGTACATTAAATAAATAATTTAGTCGTTACATTTAGAATAATAACGATAATTTGAAGATTAAGTTCTACAATAATAAATTCAAAACGAACAATTAAAAACTGAAATTTAAAAATTAGATCACTTACTTTTTGGAACTGAGCCACTGAAAGCTGAAAACATAAAATTGAAGGAGGAAATTAAAGACTATAAAATTGAAAAAAAAAAATTTTTTAATGAAATGAGATAGAGCAAAATGGAAATCAATTAGCAATTAGATGAATTTAAATTAGTAATTTAGGATTAACATAATGAAATTGCTAAATTATAACAATATAAAGAAATCAATAATTAGTTAAAACAAAATCAATAAGAATTTGAATATCAATTTTAACTGCTCAATTAGGAAAATATTGATTTAAAATTTGAATTAAAAAGATTTTATGATAAAGAGGAGAGTGAAATTAAAATGAAATCTGAGATTGATAGGGTAAGAATAAAATAAATAAAATTAGGTGAGATAAGATTTGATTTCAGTTAGAAATTAAGAAGTTGAAAAATTAAATGAATTATTTAAAGGAATATTTTAAAGAAGCAGTTTAGAATAATCGAGAGAAAAATTCATATGAAATATATTTATTTTATGATTTTAATTTTGAAATATATATAGATTAATTATTTAAGTTTATTGTTCTTCAATTTCACATATTAAAGAAATAAAAAATGAATAATAGAAAAAATTAGTAATTTCTAGATTTGATTTATTAAAATAAAATGAAACAGCATAACATTAAGTTTTTAGTATAATATTAAATGATTATCCCCATTTGATTAAATATTATTATATTAAAATATTAATGTACGATTTTTTATTAATTTCAATCAAATAAGCCACCCATATCAACATCTTCTTCTGGTTCTTCAACTTTTTTAACTTCTTTTACAGGTTCAGACTTCTTAGCTTCTGCTGCAACAGGTGTAGCTGTAGTTTATGTTACTGGTGCACTTCCCGCATTTCCGCTACTTCCATGTAATAAATCTCCAATTTTTTTCCCTTTTAATGCCTTTTCAAAAACCTTTGTCCAAATTGGTTCAACTCTCAAATTAGCTGCTTTAACGATCTTAGCTAATTTAGTAGCATCAATCTGATTTAGATAGATTCATGTACATCTTGATTATCTTCATACAAGATGAGAGCGGCATATGTACATGCTGCCTCTGAAGTAGCTTAATCTGCAATTGGTCTTGTGTCTTTTGCTGCTTTTGCCATTCGATTTAAAAAATATTAATTAAAAAGATATAAATTTTTATGCATACTTATTACTTTCTTTTTCATATAACCCTCCTAAATTAAGAATTTAATCATTTTGAAACACTCATTACCCTGATATTCTAAATTTTTTATCAACATTAATGTTTTACATTCAAATAATTTATAGGTTATTTATTTTAAATATAACTCTTAAACCTATTCTAATATTGAAGAACATTTCATTTATTAATTCCTTATATACTAACTTTAGAATTAATCATAACTTTAAAAATTTTTAATTTTCCAAAATTTTTTATTTAAGTTCATTTATAAAATTCAATAGTGTTTCTACATATATCTAATAATAAATTCTTAATGATTAAAACTTCATTACAACTAATTTTTTGTATTTGGGCAATATTATTATACAATTTTTAATACATTTTAATATTAACAATGAATTAATTTATACTGCCTTATTGCCCAAAATATCATCAATTAAAATGGAAAAGTTAAATGATTCAAAGTTGTTTGATTTGCTTCAAAACTAAAAAGGGATCGCAATATTATTGTCCAGAATGCAAATAAGGAGTTTGTAATGAATGTATTAAACCTCCTCTTGATGGATTTTATTGTGGTGGAAATCATAGGTAGTTTGGATAATCTATTTAGAATGCAATTTATGAGTAATTTGCCACATCATTCATGTGATATATGTGGGAAATCAATTTCATAAGCATATTCATGTAGAGCATGTGATTTTGATATTTGTGAAAATTGCAGATAACTTGATGATTGATTTGAATGTACGCAAAGCTTTTTAATTATTGTTTAAATTAATTCTTACCATTAAAGTTCATTTAATGTAAAAATTATTACAATTTGAGAAAGTTTCAAATTGTAAAAAAAATAAAATTGTAATTTAAATGAGCAATAAAATTAATATTGCAATCAATTTTTTTTAGATTTTATATTGATTACTATTGATATTAATAAAATATATTAATTAGAACGTTGTTATTATAATAAATTTGTAAATAGATTAGATTATTTATATAAATTTGTTTCTATTTTCTCACAAGTTTAAGGAGTATGAGATACAATAAAAATTTTAATTTGCTTTTAGATTTCATATTTTAATGAGGGAATTCTGGTGTTTGTTCAAAATCAAAATGAAAAAAATTAAGTAAGCAATAAAATGTGTTTAATTAAACTATTAAGAATCTATAATTATGAGTATAATAAATTATTGAATAATAGACAAATTCGTAAAATTATTTGAGGAATTTCAAACTTCAATAACTAGCCCAATATCAAACAAATTATTTAAAAGAAAAATCTGAATAAATTTAGAGTTTAAAAATTTATATAAGCAAATAAGTGACAAAATTTCAAGTAATTGATGAGCCAATTTAAATACTGATTTTGAAGACCACTTCATTTGTGTAACAGATGAAGAATATTGTAGTTTATTACTTTATTAGAGAATCATCATTTTTCTGGATCATAAATGTTGGAAAAAAAGAATGAATTAGGCAGAAATTAAAATGTATAAACAATATCCTTAAGATTATGATTTCTACTAAAAAACATAGCACCTAAATATAAAAAAGATTTGTGATTTAAAAATCTTTAATTCCACGAAAAATCTTGCTGTATTAAGAAGTTTTAGGGAGATTTTTTATTTAAAAATAACTTAAAACCTTAAATGAATAATTTAAGTAAAATAAACAAAAAAAATATAGATTTTGTATTTAATGGTGATAAAAAATACTAATGAATTAGGTCATAAAAGATCACTTTTTTTGAATTTAAAATAATTTTAAAGAATATGAGTAATAATTACTCGAATAGGATCAAAATGTAGAATAAATTGTTGATATAATTTAGCTATCATAAAGTAATAGTTTTAAATTAAAATTTGCCTAAAAACATTCATTAATTTTAAACAAGAACTTGACATTCTTTAGCTAAAGTGTCTCAAAGACTCTTAAAATATATCATTTAATGAATTAAATGGTAAATGATATTAGTAATTATCCATGAGAAATTTTGGTCTTCTTTTTGCTAAAACTTCTTTTTAAGTAGTAAAGCCATCAAGTATCAACCAAAAAGTAAAATTAGAAAACCTAAATCTTAAATTTAAATTTTCAAAATTAATATATATCATAGAATTTATTTAGCATCTAAACCAGTATTCAAGATGATTCTATAAAAAATTTAGCTTCTAGAAGATAGAAAATACTTAAAAAAAATGATATTTATGATTATTCTCTGATAGAATAAAAATCAATTCAATAATTCTAATCTTTATGAATTATTTTTTTGAATAGGCAAATTTACTTTGACTGCATTAATCTATTAATTCGGCACAGAATTCAATTACTTAGTCATATTTTCTAACTCAACTTCTTATTCATATTATTTTAGTGTTTCTTCTATATCATCTTAATTGTTGAATTTTTAATCCATATCTTTAAAAAAGTCAGTTCTTTCCTATTAAACATCCATTAAGTCTTTCCAATATTCCAGATTGTTAGTCAATTATTCATTGAATTATTCTTATTGTTAAAATAAACTGGTTGCCTATTACATAGCGGTTACTAATTAATGATCCTAATTCATTGATTCTAAATCTATTATCATTTTTATTATGAGGTTAACTTTTGTATGATGAATCTCAATTTATTTTTTTAGAGACTACATTTCTCCTATACATCCTTTAGCAGCAATTTTTTTACCAGCAGAAATATACCCTTTGATCATTTAATCCAATTTATCAATTCTTTACCAATACTCTTCAATTATTTTCTCTATTTTATCTCTTTAGAATTTTAATTATTATATAGTTCTTTATTATTCGAGAGAAATAGAATCTTATGAAGATTAAGAACTTGAATTATTTTAATTTGAGGTTGACTTCTTAAATGATTTAAACATTATTTAATGTTAGACAAAATCAATTCATTGAAAAATGCTTAAGAAATAGAATAAAATTTTTCTTAGAAATTTAATTAAATACAACATCATAACTTTTTTATTATAAAAAATTAATTCTATATGTAGAAATACCACAATGGAATTAGAGGAGAGCTGAAATATTAATTCTGCAATTGCTTGCATTTTCTTCATTATTCTTAAAAATTCTATTCTTATCATTTTATTCTTCAAAAGTCACTTTGTATCTCTCTCATATTATTAGCATAAATTTTTTTCCCTGAATTGCTAACTTTTGCTTGATTTGTTCACTTTTTTGATCATTTCTATCTTTACTCCTATCATCTACAGTCTATATAGTTGTTTTCTTATTCTCTCTATTTGATTTCATATTGTTTACATTCTATTTCAAGTAAAATTATTTTTTATAAAGTCTTACTAAATTCATTAATTTGAGAATCATTTACTATATTTATCATTTTTTGTTGATAGTTTTTTTTAAACTAAAGCTTTTTGAAAATAAATTCTATCAAAATTCAAATATCTTTAAGTATAGATTCTCCTGATTTTCCTGAATAATTAAATATATTTCACTAAGTAACTTAATCTGTGCACTCTAGATAATATTGATTCTCTTCCTCATCTCCTTATCTACATTGTTTTTTCTAATACAACTTATTTTTAAACTCGAATGTTAACATATTAATTTCTTTTGATAAGTTGCATGTATCCTATGATACTTTTATAAATTATCTTATTTATCTGTTTAATTTAAGCATAGGAAATTTTAACATGTTGTTTATGCATTTTAAAGTTTCAACACTTCAAAAATTCTACAATTTAAAAATAACCTTCAATAAATTATGATTACCCTGAAAAATCTCGCCCACAACAAGCTAAAATCATTTGGAATATTAAGAAATTGAAAAATATAGAAAAAAAGATTCATTTGAAATAATTATCCTATTTAAACTAATCGTGCTTCCTGTTTTAATTTAGATATTTTTTTAAATGAATTATTAAAAATGTTTATCTACGTGTTAATTTTTCAAATAAAAATTTATTTGTATGTGTGATTGATATTCACATAGTAAAATAAAGACTGTTAAATATTTTAAAGCTCTTTTTTCTTTCTTCTAATAATTAAGTCAATTTTTTAAATAAATTAAATAAAAATATTTTTTGCTGAAAAAGAAATTGTTGTAAAGTTGAAGGATTTATTGTAATAGAAAGAGCATGAAAAATGAAAACACCTTAGAAGACTATAAATTATTATTGAATGATAAATTCATAAAATTAAAAATATAAAGTTTTGTTATATCAATATCCATATCTTAAGCAATAAAGACTAATAAATAAATTTGATAAGTTGAAACTAAGAAGAAATGTATAAGTTAAACAATTCATTAATTATGGTTCATAAAAATTGTTTTAAAACAAATCTCATTTATTTCTAATTATAGAAATAAAGGCATTATGTTTTTTAAAATTCAGCATTTCTATTTCTAAATTTAAGTAAAAGGTTAGTCATTGAGTTATCAAATAATAGTCATTTTATAATTTTTGCTTTTTTCCTACATTTATTAAGCTGTCTAAAATTTTAAGATATTCAATTTAAATATCAGATTGTTTTTCCTGGAAAGCTAAAATTATGGTTTTTTATAAAATGGTTTAATTTAATTGTTTAGTTATGATGGTAAAAGATGTTTTATTTTTATATTATAAAAATTACCTGAATAAATAACGAATTTACAAAATATATTAATTATTTTTATATTAAATATAAATTCTTACATATTTTCCATTACTTTTATACAACATACTGGTATTTTCATAATAATAAATGATTCATATTACTCTGAATATTTAAAATTATGCAATCTAATTAAAAAATTAGAAAATGCACATTTAATTATTTATATTATTTTTCATTCGTATTCATTACTAATTTGAAAAGCAATAATGTGTTAAAATTAACTTTTTTTTTAAGCAAAAAAATATTCACTTAATGAGATAACAAAATTATGCTTTTCTTAAAAAATAGAAAGTTAAAACAGAAACAATAGTATTTTGATTAAAATTTAAATTTAAAATCGTTTATTTAATTTGATACAATAAGTTTATGATTTGAAATGTTAGATAATCTAAAATAAAAGTGATGAAGCCTTGTTATGATGCAATCCAAAGCGACTCCTTTTTTCATTTAAAAATAAATAAATTAGAATAAATTATAAGTAATAATTAATTTTTATATAAAAAGATAAAAGAGCATATATATAAATTCAATCATTATTTCACTATTTGTAAAAATTTTTATATCTCTTAATTATAATATCATCTCTTAATAGATGTAGATGAAAAAAAATTCTCTGGATCGTCAATCTATCTAGTAATTATTCACAAACTATGACAATCAATTTAAAATAAAGCTCTTATGCACAAACTGTTTTCCGTTTCAACACATACCAACATCAGACGAACTAACTACAATTTTGAATACTTTCGAAAAAAGTAATTTTAGCAAAAAAGGAGCATGGACCCCTTGTTAAGAAAAATTATTAAATGTTATTGTGTTTGGAGTATGTTTATAGAATCGAATGCTTCCACATGATTTAGTATAAAGAATTAACCATATTTTAGATGATTTAAGATTGGGAGAAGATATCTAGGTTGATAATTCATCATAATTGGAAAGCATGTAGAAATAGATGGCTTTTAGAAAAATAAGCAAAAGCAAATTGGACTTTTGAAGAGGATCAAGCTCTTATTTAACTATATAATTAACATCCGAACAAATGGTGTGATATAGCTATTGAATTAATGAAGAAATGTTAAACACCTTATGCAAGACAAGGAAAATAATGTCGAGATAGATGGGTTAATAAATTAGATCCAAATATTAAGAAGTAATAATAAATTATAATAAGTTTAGGGATCCATGGACTAAAGAAGAAGAGTTGATGCTTTTTTAAGAAGTAAAGAAAAAAGGCAAGAGATGGGCAGAAATCTCTTTATAAATATTTTAATTAAGAAGGACTGAAAACACTATTAAAAATAGATATTATAATCTTATTAAGCAAGAACAAAATAAATTAAAGTTGAGTAAAATGAGTAATGATGAGAAAGAATATTTTGTGATGAATAAAATAGTAAAGGAACTTTAAGAGAAAGTTTATTAAAATTAAAATAATTGTCTTGATGATACTAATTGGAAACAAAACAAGAGTTCGAATTTTCAAATTTCTTAGTTTTCGTAACAACTATGTAATAATGAATGTCTTGTAATGATTAAAGGAAGGAAATTAGTTAAGCTCAACGAAACTTTATGAGTATATTCAAATTTTATAATACATTATTAACACAAATTATTTCAAATAAGAGATCAGATCCATAATGTCTATGTTTAAATCAATAAAAATTTAAAAAATCTAAAAGAAGCTAAATATTTCTTTAAATTTAATTTTTTCATAAAATGTTTGGAAGTTTATTCATAAATATAAATGAATGAATAACATGTTTTAGCTTTATTAAAAAATTATCTATTACTTTTACAATCATTTATTAAGCTTGAAGTCTTTTTGTTTTAAATTCAAAAAAGACTCAAATATAAAGCTTGTAGGTGATCAATGACGAATAAATATTTTTAATTTGATAATCTATAATACAAAAATTATGATGGGTGATATAGTAACGGATTTTGTTTTGAATAATTTTAAAAGAATTATTTTATTTATTTATTTATTAATCTAATTTAATTTAATTTCAAAATGGTATTTAATAATAAAATATAATATAAAAAATCAAATTTTAACTGCATTATGAAGTCTAATTTTTAATCATATTTTTATAGATATAACAGACATTTTAAAATTAAAGATAATTTAATATATTTTATGAAAGAAAATTCTTATAAAAAAAATAATATTTTTTAAAATTCTTTTCTTCTCAATATGAATCACTTAAATATTTCTGTTCTAATCTAGTATTTGTACTTCAAATTAGTTTATATTTAAAAGCATTTCCTTCTTTAACAAAGCTTTTAATTTTCAATGATCTATTAGAGATGAATTTATAATAATTTCTACATATCATTATAAATTATTCTAAAAATCTTTACATTAACAATCAATTTATTTTGATGTAAACCATAAATTATAAAGGTATGGTAAAAGAATAAAACAAAAAAAATATTTCTACAGTTTTTGAATTAATCATAATAATAAAGATACTACTAGAAAATAAAACTTAACAAGACCCTTTATTGAAATGTTAGAGAACATAATAATTAATAATAGTAATTGAAAAATTATAGAAATCAATTATACAATAAAAAAACCTATTATCAAATTACTAAAAGTACCAAAAGACGAAAAGCTAATTATTATGTTAATTTAAAATATTGCAGAGTTTAAATTAGTTTTACTTTTAAAAAATATTCAAATAAGAAACTATTAATTTATTCTGGCTAACGATTTCTAAAACCTATTTTTGAATGTGATTTATTAGAATTGACAAATGAAAACCATCTGGTTTATCAAAAAAATAATATTAAAAATTTTTAGAAATATAATATACTCTTGCATTCATTGAAATAGTTGAAATAACAATGAAATTTAAGAATGAAGATAATAATTTAAAGAGTGAAATCAATTTTAATTCAATTTGGTCAACAGAAGGAAACCTAAGACAAGAGGAAAAGAAAAACTTTGTAACTAGGCCCTCAAATGTAATCTCAAGCATAACAGATAGTTAATTGAATTTTGAAACATTCAAATCGTAACTCAAGGGTTTAGTTTACCTGAATTAAATTAGACAATTGTAAATTTGAAAAAAAGATATAGATAGATTATTGATAACAATAAAAAATTCAGGTTGTATAATAGTAATTTAATTTTAGACAAAATTTAGAGGGATAATAAAATTTAGTAATAGGTTAAACTTAGCAAGATTATAATAAACTAAAAAATTAGAATATGCTCATAATTCAATAATTTCTTTAAAGAAAACAAGTATAATTCAATTTTTAATTGCGAAAACAAGTTCAAGATGAAATATTAATACAAATATATTATTAAAAACGTCTTAATTTAATGTTAAATTATGCAGATTCTTAGAATCTATAAAAATTAATAATTATAAAAATAATAATAGAAAAAGATCCTGATTATATTCATAGAATTCAAAAATAATTAAGTTGTTTATTTAAAATTTATAAAAAATTGTCATAAAAATAATTAAGATTTAAGTTATTGATTTGAATTAAGAACTTTTTGAATAAGGAATTTTAATATAAATTATGAGATGTTATTAAATGATTATCTTTTTATTTTGAGCAATAATTATTTATAATTTATGTTTAGAGTTTTTATTTCGAAAATTTATATGAAAGAATTACTTTTCAAACTAATTTGGTTTAGTGATTTTAGATTTAAAAAAAGACAATATAAAGAATATGCAAATAATATAAGTATACTAGCTTATAATATTGTACTATTATGATTATAAATGAATCACTCTTTCAAAGCAAACTTTCTCAATGGGAAATTATTGAGTCTTTTCCATTATCTATCAGTCTTTTAAGCTAATTAATTTTTAGATCATATACCTCTTTCACTTCTGGTTAATCTTTATCTGATTGCTCTTGTTTATTTACCTCTGAGATCAACAGGAAGTTTACCACTTGTCTTTGTGCTTGATTTAACTTAATCTCTTCTTTATTGGTTAATGACTGTTAAGTATTTTGCAATTCGTTTTCTCACTAGCTTAAAAATAAGCATTTATATATTACTCCAATTCTGCCAAGTTTTTAAGCATTACCAGCTGATACTTTAGATGTTCTTAATTGAATGAGTTCTCCCTTAAGCTTTTCTAAATCTTTTAATAGCTCTTCTGGCTTTTAATCTCTTAGCTTTCTAACCTTGAACTTTTGTGACATATTTTAAAAATAGATTTAATTTTTATTAAAAATGGGGAATTGTTTCAATTAAGATGAGTCTCAATATTCATCATTAAAAACTATGAAAAAAGTAGAGAGTGTTTTAAATCAACCAATACATGAAAATGAAAGTGGAAAGATTTGTTTAAAGGATTTTCTAGTGAAATAGGCAGGGTTATTGATATAAATAGTATAAATAGGGTTAATTTTGTAAAGTTTTGAAGGTGAAAATGAAATGTAATTAAAAAGAATATGCTATGAAAGTTATAAAAAAGCAGACATAATAAAATATGGTTTAATAAATCATACTATGCTTGAAAAAAATGTTTTAGAATATAGTAATAATCCATTTGTAATAAAATTGTAATATTCATTTTAAATAGAACAAAAATTATATTTAGTGATGGAGTATAATTTAATAAATAGAATTAGGTTAGTTAATGGAGGAGAATTGTTAAGAGTGATAACAAAATAACCTTAAAAACATTTTTCATTTAATTAAACATAATTTTGTGCAGCATAAGTAGTTTTAGGTTTAGAATATATACATGAAAAACTTAAAGTAATTTAGAGAGTTTAAAACCAGAAAATATTTTAGTAACAGAGTAAGGATACTTATAATTAACAGATTTTGGATTATCAAAATAATATGAATCATTAGATATGAAATTCTTTACTGTAATTTTTTATATTTTTCACTAGAATAGATAGTTGGTACTCCTGAATATCTTGCACCAGAAATATTGAATAATTCTGGTCATAATTAAACAGTTGATTGGTGGTGTTTAGGAATATTAATATATGAAAAGCTAGTAAGTAAAACACCATTTAAAGATTACGAAAATAATTTTTTAAAATACAGAAAAACAAATAAAAGAAGGTCATATTTAATTTCCTGATAATATGAATGAATAATCTAAAGACATTATTACATAATTCTTAAACAAAGACCCAATAAAAAGATTAGGTTAATTATAATTCTAATTAATTAGGACATAAATCTATTTAAGAAATCAAATAACATAATTTTTTCAAAGAAATTAATTGGGAAGATCTTTCTAATTTTAGAGTTTAATCCCCTATTTTAGAAGGAGTATAAAAATTACAATTATAAATTGCCAAAGAAGTTCCAATAGCAAAAAAAATCTTAGAGACTCCTTAGGTTAATCAAAATACATAAAATTTTGAAAAGTTTTCTTCCAATCATGATAAATTTTGACGAAAAATATAAATGTTTAATATAATACTTATAAATAAATAAACAGAAACGATATCAAAAAAATTAAAAAACAATTTGATTAGATTTTTGTTCATTTAATAAATAGGAAAATTTCAAAAATTACTTTAGAGATTTTTTTTGTAATATCATAATAGTAGTTTAATAAATTAATTCATCCTCATAAATTTTTTCAAGTTGGATTAATTGATATAGAGTCAGAAATGTAGCAACTTGCAAAAAATTTTTAGAATTAATTGAAACATTTGACTAAAAATAGGAAGCAGCATTTGATAATCAAATTTATCAATAATCAAGTTTTTAATTCATTGAAGATAAGTTTATGTAAGTTATTTTTCTTTTCGTTTGAAGGATAATGAAATCATCATATAAATTAATTATCAATAAGAAAAATCAATATTTCTGAATTTATACTATTATAGAAAATTACTATTTGTTAATCAACAGATACTATTATATCCAATAAATTATTCTAATTTAGTATAATTGAAGAGAATTTAAGAAGGAATAAATTAGAATAATATCAATCAATAGAAATTTAAAATTCAGTAAAATTTAATGATATTAAACAAACTCAAAAATATCGTTTAGTAGTAATCTAAAAATAAATTATATAATTAATGACAATAAATAATTAGAATAATATTATTCCGTAGGAGTATAAAATTAAGTTAAATATAATGAATTAAACAATCAGTTCTATGTCTTGATTATTTAAATAAATATTAATTTATAAGTAGTATCTGTACTTTATGATATTCTAAAGGTTAAATTATACATTAATTTAGTACCAATCAAAATATTTTTTAGCACTCTTCAACAAGGTTCTCAGTATTTATACTATAAATCTCATCACAATATATTGAGTTTATCTTCACGCATTATACTAACTTGAATTAACTAAAATTAAAATTATGATACAAGTTCAAAGAAGATTTTATATGGGTTAGACAAAGTTTGTTTAGGTTAATTATTATTGAATTAAATCTTTTGACAATCTATTCCTTATATTATTACACATCAACTTATTCTATAGTTTTAGATTTTCTTTATTTTGCCACTGTGATCCTATTATTAGTATTCCAAGTTCTTAATTTATTTCTTAAACAGCAAGATTCGATCCTAATAACAGTTAGATTCAAAAACTTCTATTATTAGATACTATTTGTCATATTATCTCCTTATACACTTTTAACTTAATCTCTAACATTCTCGATCTAATTTATTTTAAAGGTAGATACAATAATAAATAATTTATAACTTAAGATTAGATTGAATTTATTATAGTCATATTTGAAACCCTTTTTATTTATTTTTCATAATATTACAAATAAATACTTTAAATTTAAGTTTAGTAATTTAAATGTTAATTTTCATTAGATTAACTTACTTCAAAGTTTTAAGTAAAAGTACTATTTTTTTCATTTTAATTTTATACTTCAATTTTTTTCTCAATTACTTTTCATATAAAAACATCTAAGGAAAGTGAATTTTTCTTAGTTACTACTTTATATTTTAAGATCTTATTCTAATAATTAAATAAAAATTTCCAACTATTATTTTTGTAATTTTAATTATGATAGATCAAATTTCGATTATTTATAATTTTGATTTAATACTTTTATTTCTTGCAAATCTGATTTTAATTTTTGATTAATTGCTTATAATTCTTATTAATAATTTTGATTTGTTGCTTTAATTATAATTCTTAGAGTTATCGGATTTCTGTAAATCTTTCATTATCAATCTTAATTCTTTAAATTTGTAAATTTTTATTTTCACTTTGCGTGTTTAAATTTTTTATTTGAAATTTATAGAACTAAATCTAAGATTATATTAAAATATTCTTATTTAATTTAACATTTTTCATGATACAAGCTCTATAATTTTTTTGAATAATAATATAATCTATACTAATGTTCTTTTTCTTATTGTAATTATATTAATAATTGCTTTGTTTATTCCTCTTAAGAATCAGTGCTATCTAAGTATTTATCTTATAAGGCTTATTAGGTTTTAATTAAAAATACATATTTGAATAATGATTATTCTTACTATTCTTTTGTTTTGATATTTAAGAATTTATTGTTTTTTTCAAAGAAAGAGTCAATATATAATGGTTCTTATTCTTTATATATTCATTTATCTGGGTCATTTCATTCATAGTTTAGGCTTGATTTATTCCTTTAGAAATAAATATATGATATGCATATATATAATATGTATAATTTAAACAATCATTCAAAAGATGAAATTTATTCGTTAATGAATTTGTATAAACATTTTAGATCTAAAATGGCATCTTCATATTATTCTTCTAAGTCTTATTATTTAGTCATTTCATAAAAAGTTTAATGTTTAAATAATTCTTTGATATCTGCAATTAAATCTTCCTTATGTTATTATAAAATAGATATCTGTTTTGTGAATATTTCAGATTCTTCTTATAAAAACTCATCCTTTATTGTTAGTTTTAATAATGGAACTGAATTAATAATAATTTTATTATCATCTGTAATTAGTTTTTCAAATTCACTTTCCATTTCCATACACGAAATGAAATATTATCTTATTGCTTTACATAATAACATAATTCCTATTAGTTTTTAATTAAAATCAAAGAATAATCTACCATCTACAAATTTGAAATATTTCAAGATTTCAGGAAATGCAATATCTTTACTTGATATTTCAGATAAAAATAGAATAAATAATTGTTTACAAAAATCCAATTATTCTATTGTTAAATTTTAATCATTCTATTTAATAATGATTTCTGACTCAAAAAACTTAGTTTTAATACAACATAATTTAGGTTTAGTTTTTTCTGAAGATTTTGATGCTTTGATATATGATTCAATTTTATTCATAACACTTCCAACAAATTAAGGAATATCTTATTATTGATTAGGTTCTCCAAAAACTTCATCTTTATATAATTCATTAAGTTTTTATTATAAAGCTTTGAATTTTCTATCATTAATTACAAAACTCAATTATTCTAATTCATCTATTCTATCTAATACTAATTAAAGTACTGAATATAGGACTGTTTCATCTCTATCTTCAATATTTTTATTTGAATGTTCAAAATTTAATTAATCAAGTCCTTTAAAATCTAAATAATCAAAATCATTCATTTTTAATTATTATGCTATTGCTTCCATACCTTATTTATCAACAATCAATTTTACTAATTCAACACTTGGTAATATATATATCCCCTATTCTTCTGGTCTATCTTATACATTATATCTACTCTTTCTTAAAGATAAGTATTAAAGTACTTCTGGTACTGGAACATCTAATTAAACGGCTGAAAATAATAAAGTTTTTGCTGCCTTCTTTATTATCTTTTAATGTAATAATTATGCTTCACTACAACCACCATGTTAATATTTATTCATTATTGGACCAGTCAATACATAATTGTTTATTCTCTCTAAATAAGAAATTATTAATTCACACTTTTTATCTGCACATTTTGCTTTTGCTGTTACCTTATCTTTTAATTATCTTAACTTTTTTTAAAATATTATTCCAGAACATGTTGCTATTATTTATTCTCTATGTTAATCTCTTTTCTCATAAACTAACTTAATCATTTCAAATATCAATTCCAATTAATTTGTCTTATAATTTGTTCTGTAATATTTTATTTAATCATCAGCACTTACATTCTCTCCAACTTTTTACCATAATTAATTTGCCAAATCATCACAGTCTTTTAAATATAAAGAATATATATATGTCTTTTATAGTATTTTAAAATCTTGTAGAATTTTTGGAACTGCAACTTTTTTCTCTATTAAAATTGTCAATGCTTATAATATTCTTATTCTACATTAAGGCCATTTATATTAAAAATCATCTCTCATCATAGTATCTTTACAAATCTACGAACTTTTATTTTATTTTGATTATTTTTTATCTTCCTATTAAAAATCGTTCACCATTTATCTAATATCTTCATCATCAAAGTCTTATATTAATGGAATTGATTTTAATTTCTCTAAAATTTCATTATTTTAAGAATTTTCTTTTTATTTTTTTCCGCCATGTTCCTTCTTTTGATAATCATTTTTCTTTGTTTCTATAATCTAATTCTTAAGATTTATATCTTCATTTTAAAGTTTGGGATATTATTTCTCAAGTATATCTTATTATTTAGCTTACATCTTATCAGATTTATTTCTCATTTTATTTCTAGACATATCCTCTGTTTATTATCCTGATCCTTAATTTCCATAACTTGAATCAACATCTGAATCTGATTGAGAATTATAGTTTTAAATTTAACACTAATTAGATAAATAGTGATATAATTATTCTTTACTTTTTAACATGAATTTTTATATGTGAAATTTCTATATTAATTTTAAGAAATCCTAATAGTCCTTCAATTCAGAGTAGTTTTGACTTTTAAAAACAGGTAATTGATTTGCAAGTTGTGTTGTAGTATTTAACATTAATATTTATCAAACAAACAAACAATGTAATATTTGGCAAAATTTTACAAGGATTTTAAACAAGATTAAAAAATCAACTATATAAATGAGCGTGATCAATTTATGAATACTATTTAATTAATAACTAACCTATTCTATTTCTAAATTTTATTTTCAAATTCATATTTATAAAAAATAGAAAAATTAATTATTTAACTTCAAATAGAAAATAGCATATCTAGTTAAAAAATTAATGAATTAAATTTTAAAATTTAGAGTTCATTTTTAAATTTCTTTTTTTTTTAGGGGAGTATTTAACAAACTTCATTTTATTTTGCTCTTAAAATTTAACTAATGAGATTTATTCAAATATATTCTTTAATTCTAATTTAATTTAGAAAATTTGGACAAATTTAAAATTTATAGTATTAGTTAAATAAAAAGATAACATAATTTTTTATTTAAGTTAAATACATTATTTTGATTAATTTTTTACAAATTATATTTAAAACACACAATGAAGTTAAACTTTAGTAATAGATCATAGTGAATTTATTTAGTTTAGAAGTATAATAATTAGAAAATCTTCTTTAAAAAATTAAGGGATTAGCTTCGTTGCATTTTCCTTGTTATATTAATAAATTAAATTATCAATGTAAATCTTATAATTTATAATAGAATTTTTAGAAAATAGAAAAGCAAAAAATGAAGTATAAATAAATAAAAAAAAGTCAAAAGCTTAAGGATTAATAAAAATATTCACAATATTCTTTGAATAGAATTTAGAGATCCTTATAACCAGGCTATTGATAGAGTGGTTTCATTTCATCTTATGAAGCTAAGCCTAATATACAACAATTTTTGGTCGGTTAGTATTTCTGATGTTTATCATCAATACTTATAGCTACATCAATATAATTAGGTTATGCAAAATCACAATAAACAATTTATTATTTCTAGTAAATAATGAGAAAGAATTTACATTAAAGACTGCATCAGGATTTTCATATGTAGGAAGATTAATAAAATGATCAATGAACAATTAATGCAACAAAGTTGTTAATATTTTCATAGCTTCCTTATAATTAGGGATTTTAGAGAATTAAGAATACCATTCATAAATGAGTATAACTCTTTAAACAAGAATTTGAATATAAACATAATCCATTTAAATTAATTTTGAAACTTCAGCATTGATTTATCTAAATAATTAAAACAAATTACCCTATTGTAACATTGGGTCTTAATTCAACTCTATCAGTTACAAATTAAGGATGACCTGGTAATAAATATCCTCCTGGAGATGATATTTTTTTAATAAATTATTTATGTTCATCAGTCATGGAAGTTTTAGTCATAAAAGGTATTTTCTTAAAAAGGGAAGTAATTATAGAAAAAATTAATTTAGATTTGAGTTCAACTTCTTTGTTGTCAAAAATATTCCAATTTTTAGTAAAATACTTGTTTTTGTTACAGTCAACAACAAACAATATAAAAACTTCTTTGTAGTTCTATTTAATTTGATAAATCAATTACAAATTCATGATCGAATTTATCAATTAATTACTATGCTTCAGTATCGTAATAGTCTTGTCTTCTTTGTACCCAAACTCTTTTCAAATATTTTCTAAGGACTAAACCTATTCTAATATACCAAAAAAGTCCAGATAATTTTCTCCTTAATTTAAGTTTTTCTTCTTGTGTAAAAATCTTTTGATTATTTTTTCTTTTAGTTTTTCCATTTGAATTAGAATTATGAGTAATTTAACTATCATTCAAGGATGCCTTGCTATTAGTTCTATTATAATCAGAATTATCTCTATGTCTATCTATTTTTTATTTTTTGTCTCTATTCTTTCTTGAATGGTATTTATCATTTGTACGATGTCTATATCTATCTATTCTGTCATCTTAATGATCAGTATATTCACTGGAATAGGAATCCCTTCTATTTCTAATACGATCTCTATTTTTTCCACCATTTTTTTATAGTAACTCTAAAACTAGTTTTTTGTAAGGGTCATCTTGATTAGATGGTTATGGATATGGATACATGAATGGAGGAGGCATATGGAAATATGGATTCATATACATATATGGAGGTATAATTGGTTATACTTATTATTATTGCTATTATGGTGGACCTGGTAAATATTGTGGAATGATAATGGGATGTTAAACTGATTGTTTTGGACCTTATTCAATATTGTTTAATTATCTTCGCAATGTTTTTACTTCTTCAAGTAATTGTATAGTAACTTCATCTTTTTCAGGTTTAGGTTATATGACAGATTGATTGAATGAAGGCTTATAGGATTCTGTTTTAGACTCTTTCACTAAATTAACAAGTTCTTATATAGTGTCTTTCTATTATTCTAATTTTCTTCTTAAATCTTAAATTTATTTGGAATCTCTAAAGCTCTTATTTTCTAGCTCTGGTAATATAAGACGATTGGGTGTTTTAGACATAAGTTGTGAATAAATATAAATTAGTTTAATAATTTGTTCATATATTATTGTAAGTAAGTATAATATTCAAAATAATGCAATCTAATTCAAACTAATTAGTATATGTAGGATTGAACAAAAATATTATATATTAAAAATGTATGAATTTATTAACAAATACAAAAATAAATATGTGAATTATGAAGATTTAAAGGATAAGGCAATATTTATAAGAAAGAATGATGGTACTTATTTTGGTGAAATATTAAATTAAAGGAAGCATGGAAAAGGTATAATGGTAAGTGGAAATTATTTTTATGCTGGAGATTTTTAAAATGATACAAAACATGGAATAGGTTATGAAAGAAATTAAGATGGAACATCATATGATGGAGAATTTGTAAATGATTAACATTAAGGATTTGGTACATATTGGTATGCTGATGGTAGTTATTATGAGGGAAATTGGTGTAATTCTTAGAAACATGGATAAGGATTATATAGAAAAGGAGATGATATAGAATATTATGGAGATTGGAAATTTGGTTAAATAGATGGAAAAGGTTAATTAAAGACAAAAAAATCAAAATATGAAGGAGAGTTTAAGAGTGGTTAAAAAAATGGATTTGGTATAGAAAAATTTAATGATGAAATTTGTTATCGTGGTTATTATATAAATGGTAAACCTGAAGGATAAGGTTTATTAATTGGAGATGGTTTTAAATATGAAGGTCAATTTAAGAATGGACTTAAACATGGCAATGGTAAATTAATAATTAATAATGTGGAATATGAAGGATCATTTTTAAATGATTAAAAAAATGGATATGGAGAAATCAAATGGCCAAGTGGAAGTTATTTTAAAGGATATTTTCTTAATGATGTAAGATAAGGATTTGGATAAATGTTTTGGTAAGATGGTTCATTCTATAAAGGATAATGGTCTAATGATACATAATAAGGATAAATAAGATTGTTTAATATTCATAGATTAATTAGCACTACTTTTAATACTAACAAAGCAAATATTGAAGAACCTACTATTCCATAATTAGTTACAAACTAATCATTAAATATTAAATAAAATAATACACGTTCTAGAATATCAACAAAATCTAGAATTTCTAGCTCTTGTTCATCTCCTCCTAAAAAAAAGTTTTGCCCAAGAAACTCAACTGTCTAAAACAATTGATTTTTATATTATTACTCTCTAAATATTTATATATATATTTATTTATAATCTACTCTGTACTCTGTGTCTTTTTATTATTTATCTTAATAGTTCTTATATATATTTCAAGCTTTCTTTTACTTAAAGTCTAGTTAATTTGGGAGATATACTTTTAAAAGAATCCTATAAGCGATTAATATCTCAAAACGTACAACTGCTTATCATTATTTATTATATAATTAACAGATGAACTTCAATTAATAGGTATACCCAACATAAATCAAATCTCAAAAATCATTAAATTCTCATCAATAAAACTCCAAAAATTCTAATAAAAGATCAATACCAAATACACCTCTCTTATCCAAACATCCTACAACAAATAAGATCAACACTGTAGACGACTTTAAAAATCAAGAAAAATTCTTAGATCTTAAAAATAAAAAGACACCAATCATAAAATAAATCTCCCTTGATACAGAACCCTAATACTTTAAAGGAAAAAGATTATCAGCTTAAACAATTTCTAATGATGTAGAAAAGGCTTAATTTCTTTAAATTTAAACAACAAGAACTGTACGTACTAGTTAAATTCATCGAAATAATACAATTAAAGTACCAGAAACACATTAAATTTCCGGAGAATAGAAGAACAAAAATTACTTCCAAAGCGAGTCCATTAGTAATGAAAAGATCTTAGATTTGCTCTTATTGAATACACAAGAATTAAAAGGCTTTTTTTAGAAAGAGAAAGAACCTCTATAAAGAGCAAAGCCAAGAATAAATAATATTAAAGGTTTTCCATCAGATTTCTTTTCTATATTATGAGTTAAATAATATCATCAAATTTTGATTAAAACATCCAAAAATATTAATAATCTTTATGTTTCACATTTATTTATCTAGATACAATATTTAATAAGTTTCATCCTCCAATTTTAATAGTATTTAAATTTGAATAATTCTCCATCATATTTTATATTGAGATTAAAAACCTTATAAAATAAACCTAATCAAATCAAAGGCTATGCTTTTATCTTTAAGATTTAATTTATAGTAAAGTAATTTCGTATCAGTTGAAGAAGATATCTATTAAACATTTTTAATTTCAAGTTGTAATGTTTACAATGAAAGTTAATTAAAGTGATAAAAGCCAAAGTAAAAATTTTTTAAATTAAAATATTCACTTATTAATTTATATTTTTAGTAATTATCAATCAACGATTCTGCTCTGATGTTGATTTGTGTTTAAAACCCAGACTTCATAAACATAACTGTAACGCATACTACTAAAATTTTATACAATTTGGAATAATAGAGAAACTATTTAGANACTTAAAGTCTAGTTAATTTGGGAGATATACTTTTAAAAGAATCCTATAAGCGATTAATATCTCAAAACGTACAACTGCTTATCATTATTTATTATATAATTAACAGATGAACTTCAATTAATAGGTATACCCAACATAAATCAAATCTCAAAAATCATTAAATTCTCATCAATAAAACTCCAAAAATTCTAATAAAAGATCAATACCAAATACACCTCTCTTATCCAAACATCCTACAACAAATAAGATCAACACTGTAGACGACTTTAAAAATCAAGAAAAATTCTTAGATCTTAAAAATAAAAAGACACCAATCATAAAATAAATCTCCCTTGATACAGAACCCTAATACTTTAAAGGAAAAAGATTATCAGCTTAAACAATTTCTAATGATGTAGAAAAGGCTTAATTTCTTTAAATTTAAACAACAAGAACTGTACGTACTAGTTAAATTCATCGAAATAATACAATTAAAGTACCAGAAACACATTAAATTTCCGGAGAATAGAAGAACAAAAATTACTTCCAAAGCGAGTCCATTAGTAATGAAAAGATCTTAGATTTGCTCTTATTGAATACACAAGAATTAAAAGGCTTTTTTTAGAAAGAGAAAGAACCTCTATAAAGAGCAAAGCCAAGAATAAATAATATTAAAGGTTTTCCATCAGATTTCTTTTCTATATTATGAGTTAAATAATATCATCAAATTTTGATTAAAACATCCAAAAATATTAATAATCTTTATGTTTCACATTTATTTATCTAGATACAATATTTAATAAGTTTCATCCTCCAATTTTAATAGTATTTAAATTTGAATAATTCTCCATCATATTTTATATTGAGATTAAAAACCTTATAAAATAAACCTAATCAAATCAAAGGCTATGCTTTTATCTTTAAGATTTAATTTATAGTAAAGTAATTTCGTATCAGTTGAAGAAGATATCTATTAAACATTTTTAATTTCAAGTTGTAATGTTTACAATGAAAGTTAATTAAAGTGATAAAAGCCAAAGTAAAAATTTTTTAAATTAAAATATTCACTTATTAATTTATATTTTTAGTAATTATCAATCAACGATTCTGCTCTGATGTTGATTTGTGTTTAAAACCCAGACTTCATAAACATAACTGTAACGCATACTACTAAAATTTTATACAATTTGGAATAATAGAGAAACTATTTAGATAGGTTGATTCAATAAAATTAGATATTAATCTTTGAAAGAAATAAACCAATGAGGAAAGCATAATTTTAATTTGATAGACATAATTCAGCAGAGAATACTTTATATCTAAATAATACAATAATACATGGTCTTTCAATTTTAGTTTATGAATGCAATCATAAAGAATTTGAGTTTTAAGTTCACAAATAATCTGCTAAATGTATTAAAGTTCTAATTTATAAGAGATTATTCTTTTCAATAAAAATAAAGTATAATCCATTCTGGTAGAGATGCCACGAAATGATTAGCATAGTAAATGGTTACTAAATTCACCGAAACTTAATGAATCTTAAACAGTAATACCTCCTTTGCCTAATTAAATTTGTAGAAACTTTGAATTTTAACAAGGTTGATGGAAATTCTTAATATGATTCAGAGGAAGAAATAATTGATGATAAATAGGAGCAGTTCTTAACAATTTTTAAATACAATTGACAATAATTTAACACAGCTTCTTAAATTTTTGAAGGAAATTGTATTTGGACTTCTTTATAATTGCCAAGTAATTAATAAGTGGAAAAATAAATATTTTAATCTGAAATTTTGCCTCAATGTATTATTATATTATTTTAGAAAAACTAATTATTAATGCAATAATCCAAATTGGTTTGATCCAAAGCTAACAACAATGCCAATTATTTATAATATTTTTAGTAATTTTGAAAATATATACAAAATAGATACTTTTTAAGACTAAATGTAATTTCTTAATAAAGTATTCAACTTAAGTTAGTGTAAATTTTTGTTAACAAATTTTAATGAAGGAAATCCAACTTTATTTAAAGAAAAAGGAAAAGTAACGTTTTTCCTAAATTATTAGATGTATCTATCAAATTGTGAATTTATTTTCTATAGAAACTGTGAGGAAGGATAATTACCAAAAAATACAGATGAAGAAGAATTCTATTTGGATAATGAGACTTATTTTAGATATAAAGATAATAATTTTAAATATATGGTTGCACCATCTTAATAAATAATGTTAACATATTTGAAAAAATAATTTTGTGAAGAGGGAATATTTTATGATAAATTTTCGATGTTTGATATTCTAGAAAAAATAAAGTATAACATAACATAAAAAAAACTAGAATATTTTTTGAAGAGAAGACAGAAATAAATGTCTCATTAGATATCTAGATTTGGAATCTGCAACTTAAACAATCGCCATAATGTATAACTATGAATTTAATAAGAGAAAAATTCACATTTTTTTTTTTCTAAAAGGAATCCTGATATTGCTGTTGTTATTATCCAATTAATTAATAATAATTTAGTTAATCTTTTAATTCTGCTGAATTTATAATGTGTTAAGTTTTTATAAATAAAAAAGGCCTATTATGCATAAAATAAATTTAATGAAGGTTTGTTACAAGTTTTGCATAGTAGAATAGCATCCTTTAAAACATAAAATAAAGTGAATATAATACAGGAGTAACGATAGTTTGGTGTAAAAATAAATAAAGATGGTTGATAGTGAATACTATACCTATTATCATTTAATTAAATAATGAATAATAGCTTCAATAATTTTAGAGAGTGTTACAACCTCCCTGGTCATCGTAGTTTCAACTCTTAAAGTGACACTTCTTTGTTTCGAAATAAGTAATAGAGCTTAAAGAACGATCGCAATAATCAGCATAGCTCTAATGAAGAATTATTTGCTGACATTGAAAGATCCTGTAATATGAATGTGAGTGGAGAGTCATTTCCAACAAGTGAAGAAGAACATAGTCTAATCGATTAAGCAATCGATTTATTTTCAGGTATTGGTCTAATAAACTTTCTCAGATACAAAAGTAATATTGCCGAAGCAACAAGCAGACATTAGAGATGCATAAGATTAAATAATAAAAGACATCAATCATGTTTTTGTAGATTCATGTTATAAATCATACCTTTCGACGGAAATACTTGAACCCGAATTTCTTGAGAATAATTAATCGTTCAAGGATCAATTCTATGAGAACAACCATAGACGCAAACGTAAAACCATATCAGATGAGGATTCCCATAATTTTATTGTACGAATTGATGGTATTGAAGGAGATACAAGAACAACTGTCATGGTTAAAAATATCCCAAATAAATATACAATTCAAATGCTTAAAGAATTAATTGATTATCATCATTCAGCCTCTTATGATTTCCTTTATCTACCCATAGATTTTAAGGTATCAATATAAATTTCTATCCTCTAGAATAAATGTAATATGGGTTATGCATTCATTAATTTTGTTAATAGTCATATGATTAAATCTTTTCACAATGAATTTCATGGTTAAAAGTGGCCACATTTCAATAGTGAAAAAGTAAGTTTCTTCTAACATTTTAGATTTGTTAATTGAGATATGCCAGAATTTAAGGTAGATCTGCACTATTGTAACACTTTTAATTTTCTAGTGTAATGAATTAAAAAGATAAGAAACTTAAACCAGTAATTGTACCTTAAAGTGAACTATAACGTATACAATAGATGATTTAAGTATAACTGTTTTTTATTATTAGATGTAAAAATAATGACATAAAAACAATTTTGTTTAGGGAATATTGATAGCACATAGATCTCAATTTTGAGTATGCTCTTAAATCATCATATTCCCATAATTTAATTAATTATTTATTCACTTTTTTTCAATCTTTATGATAATTTTTTATCTACATGAATATTCTTAATACTAAGATCACTAGTATTTGGAGATTGAAATACTGGACTTTATGTATATCTTGAAACTTTAGACATTAAATGTGTATAAGTTTCAAATAAATTTCTTGGTCTTTCTCTTAATCTTGGTAATTGTGTATATTATTATTTCATCATTTTTTCAATTAATTCCTTTTCTTTATCGAAATCTCTCATTTACAAACATAATTTTACATTTTTCAATTTCTCTTTTAGAGAACATTAATGATTATTGTATTCAACAATTTCATTGATTCTATCTTAACTAATTGTATTTGATGTTGTTTTAGATTCTCTTTAAGTTATACATTTTTTCAATATTTCTTTTGTATTAATATCCTTTAAAATAACTTTATTATTTTCTTATCTTTATTTTGCGATCATCTTATGACATTTCTTAACCCAATCCTATCTAAACCCATCATTACTGATTCTATAATCATTTATTCTTTCTCTCATAAATTTATCTAATCCAGAACAATTTTTTTTTGGAAGAAAATATATTATTGTTTCATATGACATTGATTAAGCTGTGTATAATCTCTAACCAGGATTTTTTAAATCAAATAATCCTACAAATTAACCTTCACTAAATTAATTTACTTTCACATTATCAGAACTTATTTCAACTATACCTTAAAATATTAAATAAAATCCATCAACTATGTCTCCTTATTTAAAAACTATCTAATTTATAGAATATAATTTTCTTTAAAAATCAAAACTTAATTGTATTACTACTTCTTTAGATGATTATGGAAACATTTTACTTAACATTCCTAAAGTAAAATTCAATTTCTCTAATTTTGATTCAAAAATTCTCAAATAATTTGTCTTATTCAAAGCCCCCAAATGCAAAGTATCTAAAGCTATAAGAGTGGCTGCTCTTGGTTCATTTCTGAATAAAGAAACTTCTCCAAAACAATCACCATCTTTCATTGTATTCACTTTTTTATATAAACAAATCATTTAACCATTTGAAAGTTTCTAATAATAACGACTTTTAAAAGGAAATAACATAATATCTTCCATGCTTTAATATTCCTTTAGTTGATTCTATAGATCTTAAATCTGTTTTTATAATTATTTCACATCATCTTTCTTTTTATTATTTGTCAAATCTTCTCTATATTGATTCAACTCTTGCAAAATTTATTTCTATTTCTAAATTTCTTCCTCTCTTTAAAATATTTATTCACAAATCTTACTTTTTTGGAACATACACTAGAACTGTTCCTTTTAAAATCATATAAAAATAATCTCCCTTTTCTCCACAATGAAATACAATATTTCCTTTTTTTATTTATTTATATTCTAAGCTATTAATTGTTTATTCAATGTAATCAAAATATTCTGATTACTGTTCTAAAGCTTTAAAATAACTATATTAATAATTATTTCGTTACCCAAATTCCCTAAGAATATCTTACATATAGATTCTACTAGCTTATTCATTCAATTATAGATTCTTAGACATAATATCTATTGCCTTTTCAAATGATTCAGAAGGTAAGTCATATTCTCTTACTAAACTGAGATTTAAGGTACTACGACGTATAGGCAATGGTCCAATAGATGAATGAACTATTTCAGAATCATTATTATAATTATTCATTTTATTATTGCAATCTTTATTAACAATATTCGTTCAGTACCTGTTAATAAGACTTTCTGATGTTCAAATGCTTTGTTCTATATGTTAAGCTATTTTAGACATTTTCTATGCTTTTTTTAAGTCTTTTATTTTCTTTTACGATTTCATCAGATATCTCAGTTTTTTCTTTACGTTTAATTTATAGCTTTGGAAAGGTATGTTTAGCATTACTTATTTTCATAATTGCTTATTAAATCTTTTAATTATTATAGGCTATGCTTTTATTTTCTTCAACAGCTTCAAATGCTGAGACTTAATCCTTAATTTTTTTGATTGTCGATACTACATATAAGTTATAAGTTACATTTACGGATCACACTTAAAGAATCTTCTTCATTTTTGTTTTTCCTACATTTGATTTATTTAAGTGAATTAACATGATTAGTAAAATACTAGTGATGAATTGGATCTGGCAAGATTGCCTATTTCATTTAAAATATTAATTATTCAATCAATTTCCATATTATTTTTCAAACTCTAGATGTTTTTCAAATACTTCAATTAATCCAATTTCATTTTCTTAATAGTCTTCAGCCACAGGATCAGCACTGAAAATGATATTTAATATACTTATATTTATTTTATTTTTTGCCTTTGATTTTATTATCTATTTAAGTAGCAATGATTGTATTACTTAAAGAGTTAAGAAATCTAAATAGTATTAATATAAATTTACTTACTTCTAATCTCTTTTATAATATTTTTCTACTTTTTCATCTCCGATATTAAAATTAGGATAATCTTTTTATCTAGTTGTTTTTATATGTGGACTTACAATCATGAGATTGTAATTATTTTTATGATGTAGATTAAATTCTTGAGGAGTCATACTAAAGTTTTTTACATCTCTTAAATGACCTTTTGGTCTTTAACGATCATTTAAATGTCCATAAACATTTTAGTTATCATTTCTTTCAATAAAATCTGTAAACAATTCTATCGATACATCAATAAAATTACTCACCATGTTTTCTCCTAAAATGGCTTGTATTTTACAATGTTCGATATGCTTGCTAAAATGTATATTCTTCATTTTTCACTTTAGGGGTTTTAACAAATTTGATTTGATTTGTTACTGTACTATTATATTGTATATATATTTATTACTTCACTAATCTCACATTACGAAATCCATCTGAAGGCAAATTACTAAATTTCTATTCAGAGACATTATAGAAATCATAATTATTTAATGTATTGCTACGAAGTGAATCCCATTTACTCTTTGGTTTCATTTGTCCTTTAATAAATGGGTTGTCATAACTTTCTCTACAAATCAAAGTATTTGCATTCCTAAAATATGATGGAGATTCCAATGAGTTTCCAAATGCATACTAAGGTAATATCTTTTTGCCTCTTTTCTCTTTTATTGGTTCTTACAATTAGTACGTATCAGTAAATGTGCTCCTTAAATACTTTGGCAATTCTTTGCTTTCTTAATTTCCTCGATTGGACTAGACTTTTTTTTAAGCGCATTACTCTTAACAATAATAAGGGCTATTCTTCTTTGCCTGTAAGCATTTTTAGATTGGACCTATTATTTATTTAATATTATATTTTTTTATTTTTATCTTCATGTATATAACTGATTCAATTATTTTGACACAAAACATATCAAAAATCCTTTAAAAAATTTGGATATTTAGTTATCACTTTTATTATTAATTATTATAATTTTCAAGATTTAATCAAATTCAAAGAGTATAACTATAGAATATATAGAATACTTTTAATTATCAAAGGGGTTTTGAAAATCTGAAAGGGATCGATAGCCTCATTATATTGAAAATGCCAATTAGATAGCTACGATGAAATGAAATAAGGTTAAAAAATGTTACTAAAAATTGATAAGCTAAGCTTTAAATTATTCCATTATTATATTGCGATAAATTTAAAGGGAAATAAAATTCAGCTAAATTCGTCTAACACTCAGTTGAAATGATTACAAACTTGCAATTCAAGAATTAATAAATAATTACAAATTGGTTAATTCTAAAAGATAATGATGACTTTATAACAAAATTATAATAAAAAACAAGATTATTATTAATATTATCTATTTAATATATATATTTATATTCAGCAATTAATAATCAATTATTTCTTAAATTGTTAACATATTTTCTATTGTTCCCTAAACAGATTAGTAATAGGGTAATCAAGAAAAAAATGATGATGTCAGCCAAAAGTACTAATAAACAAATATTGTTAATCTTGTAGGCATCTTTTTCATCCAATTCTAAATCTAATGGATGCTCGATTAATAAAAAATACAATAATTAAGGTGTAAAAAAGAGTATTTCTAAAGATTTCATAATAAAATTTTGAACTTAAAAAAATCCATTGCTTTTTTATTTTAAAAATATGAATTAGCATTCTGGAGGAATTAAAACAATATATGTTTTAAGTATAAAAAGCCATCTATTTAATGAATTCAATTATTATTAAAGTTTTCTTAATTTCAATTCATCTTATCGATTTCTGATAACCATCTAATTACATTCAGTTAACAATTATTCTCTTTCATTATTTGCCTTATTAAACCATGCCTCATAAGTGTCATAAACAATTTTAATCTTCACATCTCTTGTTTGTTCACCTACTATTAGTAATTTATAGATTATTAATATAAATATTATTCTTATTGCTAAAAAAGAGCCAGGAATCCACCAATAAAATTATTGCATAATTTTTTCACTATTTTCATCTTCCACTTAATTTCCATAATCATTTTAAATCACATAAATTATAACAATAAACACATATCCAATTCTTAAGCCAATATTCAACCATATGTATAAATTCATAAGATATCTAATCCATTTATTCTTATTCATCAATTTAATTAGAGCAGCAGAAGTATCTAAAGAACATTCTTACTTAAACTTCTTCATTTATGGTCTTGTTCTCAATAACAAAGCTTCTACTCGATTTCTCTTAACTTATCCGATTGGAACAACTTATCGTGCTGATACCAATTCAGATGTCTTAAGTAATAAAGGCTCTAAACTGGATTCCTTTATGCTCTTCAATTAAAAGGTTTTCCTATTTGTTTAATAAGGACGAACAAACATTGTTGGTCGATTCTGAATAATTTCTATAATATCAGATAAAATACTCTAAGCATCACCAAACACAGAATGAAATTCGTCGTTCTCAAAATTATCTTTGCATGTCATGAAAGAGATTCTTTCCGAATTCATTTATTAAATTAATAAGGAAATTTTCTTATATTTTATGTCCTATATAGCAAACTCAAAAAACTTTAAATAACTTAAAACATATCCAATTAATCTCAATTATATACTAAATACTTATATATTTCAAATTTTGCTATTTTTCTCAAAGTTAACATTAAAATTTATTCAATTAAAAACCATCATAAAAAACATGTTCAATTTGAACTTCATTCTGCATTTTATAATTAATTTTTAATTATGAATTTTCAATAGGAATCTTATCAAATATTATTTTGTTAATATACACAATAAGGTTTAAAACTCATTTATAATTTTTAAAACTACTAAGATGGAAAGAGATGATTAATTCAAATTGCATGATTTTACAATTAGAATAGATAATTGATAATTTTATCCGTAGATTCACTAATATAATTAATTTTAATTATTTCCAAAAGAATATATGGAGACAAATCAAGATATTATACTTCTAAAAGAGTCTTTCTTAGAATTCGTTAACAAAGTATAACCAATTTTTACAGGATAAGTGTTGGAATTATTTAATTCAAAATGGACACCCTTAAAAAAATTACTATCTGATCCTTAAAATAATGCTAGTGAAATATTCATTCTAGTTTCATCAATGTCATAATTAAAAAAAAGTAATTCTTCTTTTATTTCAACAAATTCCCCAAACTCTGACTGCAGCATCTAAAATAAATAAAAAATAGTTGATTAATAAGGAAAAACTAAAGAATTGATAGAGTAAAAAAAAGAAATTACAAAAGTAAAAGAATAAGCAAATCCTTTAACTTACAAGGAACTAAAAATTGGTATTTATTATAAACTATAATTTACTATAGAAATTAATAAGAACTTTTTTCTTAACACACCAAAATCAAGACCAAATTCTCAAAAGGATTTAGAATGTAATAGCAATAGATAAGGATATGAAGAAGATATTAAAGCAAAAATTCTTAGAGATGATATCAAATGTAAATTAATTTTTTATTAACTTGCAATTTAGTTTTGAATTAATTAAGAAATGCTATACCTGAAAAGAAAATTCCAGTAAGTATTAACTTAGATTTGGATTCTAAAATTTAAGATGCTATTTTATAATTTAAGAAAAATAATTCAATTCTAAAGACTGTTCATGAAAGAAGCTCAGAAATTACAACACCTTAAAGTCCCAAAAATATTTATTAAGACTCTCCTCTAATGTATTTGCATAAACCTATGTATTAATACATTCAAAATCCAATTATATAACAATAATTAAATAATGAAGGATTAAAAGGATATAGCATTTATTCAAAAAATGGTATTGCGTAACCTATTTAATTTGATAATCAATTTCAAATGATAGTGCAGCAATATAAAAATAATTTAATCTATAAAAAGTTATATTTTTGATTGGAATAATGATAATTTAGAGGATAAGTGTAATTAATTTAATTTAAAAGAAGCAATAAATTATTTATTCAAGATTATTCTAATAATGAACGAAGTAAATCAATCTCATTTTACAAAGCCTCTTTTTTTTTATTCCATTTAATTTCTTTATTACGATATCTTGTAATCAATTTGGTTGTTCTTACATATATTTCCTTCAATTCTTATTCCTTAACTTCACCAATATATTCATACTTATTGTGCTAAGTCTTATGTATTTAACATTTCAAATAACCATCTTTCTCTTTCGAATTTAGTCATTTCAACAGGTAATTTGTGTGATCGTTATGATAATTTTCTTTGCAATGAATAATAATCTAAACTTGAACATGGTTTTTGTTAAGATGTGACCTTACTATTTTTCTCTGATAAAATATTTAATAGTTTCTATTTCATATCAGTTTAGCTTTATATTTTAGTATTCGAATTTGACATTAATTAAAATAACAAAGTGATATTTTAAAATATAAAATTAAAATTCCAAAATACATATAAAAGATAAATGTTAAGAATAAAGATCTCATAAAATGATGATATGATTTAAGATTAGATTATTTATTTGTTTGAATAATGTAATGTATTTTACTTATCATAATCTTCTTCCTCTTCTACCACCTGGTCTTCTAGTTGAATCTGTTGGAATTGGTGTGACATCTTCAATTCTACCAATTTTTAATCCCAAACGAGCAAGAGCTCTAAGAGCAGCTTAAGCTCCTGGTCCTGGTTATCTTGTATCAACACCTATTTATTTATTTAATTTATAATATTACCTCCTCTGGCTCTCAATTTAATATGTAAAGCATTTATTTTAAGTGTTTTCAATTTCTCATAAACATCTTTTGCTGCTTGCATTGCTGCATATGGTGATGATTCTTCTCTATCTGATTTGACTTTCATTCCCCCTGTTACTCTTGCTAATGTTTCTCTACCTGTCAAATCTGTTATATGGATAAAGGTATCATTCCAAGTTGAAAGAATATGAGCAACTCCAAAAACTAATTCATTTCCAGCAACATTTGGTCCTAATGTAGCAACAACTTCTTTTGGTTAATCATCTCCTTAATTCTTTTTTCCTTTCTTTCCCTTTGTTTATTATACTGCAGATTATTCTTTATTGTCAGCCTAAATTAAATTCCTTAACATACCATTTCACCCAAAAAAAATTTAAATCTTTTTTTAATATAAAAAAATAGAAATCAAACTTTAATATATAGGAAATTATATAGATATATATATTGTACTATGTAATTGCTTTAAACATCATTCAGCTGCTAATTTGTTTTAGGTCTTCTTTACTCTTTAAGCTTTATTCTTTTCTCTTCTATCATTTTACTCCTTCTCTATTTTATCAACTCTAACTTTCTCTTATTTTGTTTCATGAATTGCTTCAATAAGTACTTTCTTGTTTTTATATTGATTACCTTTTGAGGCCAAATAGAATTCATGATATCTATCCAAATATTTAATAATGCAATTACTATTATCTATCAATTTTTTTGGCAGCTCTATATTTTCTTAATAATCTTCTTAAAACTCTTTATCTACGAATCCAAAGTACTTTTGTTGGCATTCTAGCCTCTCTTGTACCTCTTCTTTTACCAGTACCGGTGTGTCTACCTAAAATAATAATTAAAAACACAAATACCTCTTCTTTTGGCTTCTAAGAATCTTCTAGCTCTTGCTCTTGAATGTATTGTTCTTAACCTTCTCATTATTAATCCATCCTTAATTAATTTTCTTATTGACATTCTTGAATTCGCCAAACTAATTTCACTAGCTTCATTTGGATCTAACCAAACTCTGTTAACACCAACCTTCAACTATGTAGCTGCCAATCTTTTCTAGAGACGGAGATTAACCATTAAAAAATTAATATCTAAATATTTAAATTTTTATATATTAAATATGGGGAATTGTTTACAAAAAAATGGTGGAAATAATAATTAAAATCAGCAAGTACCAGTTTTGCACAACCAGAACAAGAAATATTTATTAAATGATAATATAAATTTCAAAAATAAATAAGATACAGAATAGAATAAAAATTAAAGTATAAAGGTAATTGAAAATTCAGAATTAAAATAAGGATGGTTAGGTAAAAGAAAAGAGCCCGTCAGCAATTAAAATACTAGATCCCTTAATAAAAATATCATAAAAGAAATATTAAGATAACGATCTTGTAAAGCATCATTAAGAAGTATGAGAATGTTTTGAATTAGTGCATTAATAATTTAAGTGAGGAAGACAAATTCACTTTAGAAATAGGAGAGGTTTAGTAATCAGAAAATGAATTTAAAGTTGAAATTGCAGGTTCATATTAATATTAATAAAATAAATGATAAAATCAAGATTTTTTTTCTCATATTAAGCAAAAGGTGTGTTTAAAAGAAAAAATCAAAATTTTCGAAGAGAAGATTTTGTTGTTAGAGTTTCAGATGAAGATGTTCATTCAAAAAGATTGGCTTCAGCATTAAATATTGATGAAAACTAGAACGATCAAATTTAAGCATAATCAAATTTTTTCTTTAGATAATCTAATCTATAAAATTTAGATCTATCCAATCTATATCGGATTGATTTTGATAACAATGATAAAATTTCTATCGTTCCTACATTGATTGAACCTTTAGAAAATATTGTTAAAAACCCAGGAATATATCCAATATCTGAATTTAAAAATCACCACAATTATAATTACTTAAAATATCTTTAAAGGGATGCTTAAATGAATAAGTTTGATACTTATCTTCCCCCTTCAAAGGATGTAACTCTATAATAATTTGCTAAGACCTTAAACTTAAAATATTGGTAAACCATTTATATTTTAATTTAGTGTTTCTACAAGTACATTTTCAAATGTACTCAGTTAGATTTTCTATTTGTTAAGTGGATTTAATGGTCCTGATTTCAGCGGTGTTTTTGAAGATTTTCCTGATGAGCCAAGAAAGTTTATGATTTCATAAAGGAAACCAACTTCTGCACTTCTTCAAAGAGTTGATTAAAACATGTATGCTTTAGATGGTGATCCTGGAATATTTGAGGAAGAAATAATGGAACTCTTAATGAGTGGTAAAATCGTAGAAAGACAATTAACTTAAGAAAAAGAGGAATTTGAAAATAGATATATTAAATTAGATCCTTAAATGCCTAATATAGAAGACTTTCATAGATTTATGGAATTAAATAATGAAATGTGTTTAAGATCTTAAATTGATTGTAGAAATAGATCTGAAGATCCATTTGTTTTTGAAATTAAAGCTAGAGGTGCATGTCCAATTAGATATGATTATCCTAATTATAGAGATTACTTAGATTATGAAATTAATTAATATAGAGGATTATTTTAATCCTTTGAAAGAGAATATTATGACTTAATTAGAGGAGCTTTCTTAAAATGGGCTATTTAATTAAAAATAGGTAGAATGGATGGAGCTTTTGTAGCATATCATAACTTACTTGAAATACAAGGTTTTGAATATATTAAATCATCTGAAATATATAAAAGAGTCTTTGGAACTGAAGAATTCAGTGATCTAAGTTTATTAGTTGGATCAAGAATTGCTACTAAAATGTTTGATGAAATTATTGCAGATATTAATGAAGATTTTGAAACTTTAAAAATAGGTATTTATTCATAAAATTTTACTAAAAAATTAATTTTATTTGTTGAAATTATTAAAGACAAAACAGAGTTTTAAAAAGTATTTAAGCAAGAAAACCTAAAAGATGAATATGATTATTATACAAAACATCCTTTAAAAAATAAAGTACTCAAATACGAATTCTTATTGAAACCTGAAATCAATGGAGTTGAATATAGTTACCCGACAATATTTAGGAAAAATGATTTGATTTCAATTAAGTATAAATTAAGAAGTTTAGGATAAGCAGATTTTGGAGACTATATGAATTTCCTTCACGATTGTTATAAGCACGAAGAAATTAATATAGAAATTAATTATTCTGGAGCATGGTAAAAATAAATGTGAATAATTATAATAATCTCATTAGAAAAAATTTTAACATTAATTTGCATCTTCAATATAAAATCAACTTACTTTTCCCTACCTATAATTTTATGCTATTATTATTAACCATATATTTATTTATTTCCATTTTTTCAATATTTTGTTTATAAATACTACTAATAATATTAAAAAACAATTAAAATTCTGGTTTTTATGAATCCAGACTTAATGGGTCAATTATTATCTATAATCCAAAGATTTTTAATAGGTTACATTAATAGTTTATAGTAATTAATAATATAAACCTGAATCAATTTATGGAAGAAAAGTTATTTTTCAATTTTTTTGAGTTTCAACAATACTTTAATTTTCTCAAGTCTAATTATAGTATTAATTTGATAACATACCTATGTGATGAAGAAAAAAACTTTAATTTTCTAAGAATTTAGATGGATTTTTAAAATATCAAATAAAAAACTTAGTTTCTAAAAATAATTTTCAATTTTCTATTTATTGCGTTTTGATTTTAATTATCATTAAAAAGTCCTAAAAATATTGAAATGACATGAAAATAAGGTTTACTACTTGGTAAAATGATAATATAATAATAAATTAATTAAATTAATGAAATTAGATTAAAGTTTATCGATTTACTAAAATTACTAAACTTTAAATTTGGAAAAAATTGATTTTAGCCGAATTTAGTTACAAATTGGAAACGAAGCAAATCAATAATAATGTAAATTTTTAATTTAAAAATATAAAATTTGAAAAGTGATTTTGAGAGTTAAGAGTATTTAATAAAAACGAGAATAAATAGCTTATTATTAAAAATAAACTATATTGAATTGGTAATAGATTTTATTAATGATTAATATGAGTATAAATAATTAAAAATATTTTAGAAAATAAGGAATATAGCATAATTTTTTCTTTTAATTTACTAATTTGAAATGTTATATTCTAAGTATTGTTAGTAAGATTTTGATGGTTATGAGAAAATATCAGAATTAGGGAATGGAGCATATGGAAAAGTTTATTTAGTTAAGAAGGATGGGGAGTTATTTGCTTTAAAAACTGTATGTATAAAAGTAACATAGAGGTGCCTAAAGGAATATTTAATGATATAAGTGAATAGTAATTACAGAAAGAAATTTATATTCATAAAAAACTAGTTCATACAAATATAATAAAGCTTCATTCTTATTATTAAGATAGATAGCATATTCATTTGTTGATGGAATATGCAGAAGGTGGTTGTTTATATTAAAGAAATTTAACATTGGATGAAATCTAAGACTACTTTAGTTAAATTTGCAATGGAATATACTACTTGCATTCAAATAATATAATACATCGAGATTTAAAAGTAATGTATTGAATTAATTGAAAGCCTGAGAATATTTTATTAAAGAACAATGTAATAAAGTTATGTGATTTTGGATGGTCAGCAGAGGTTGGATATAATAAATAGAGAGACACTCTTTGTGGTACTATTGATTACATGGCTCCAGAAGTGTCTTAAGGGAAATATTCATTTAAAGTAGATACATGGTCATTAGGAATAATTCTTTATGAAATGATTCATCATTCAGTTCCAAAAATTCCAAGAATATATAATTGTCCTGATTTAGTTAAAGATTTGATAGATAAATTATTAGTAGCTTAGGATGAAAGACTTAGTATAAGTTAGGTATTATAGCATCCTTTTGTGAAAAAGGGGTAAGTAGGTAGAGAATCAATTTTAAGTGTACATTCATTAAATTATAATAAATATCAAGCTGAAGGGTTGATATTATTTAATGAATTAGATGTAAGTTTGGAGTAATAAGACAGAGCTATAAATAGAATGACAGACATTTTTAAACCTAGGTAATCAAGGAAGGTTCCTGAATAATAAATAATATAGTAAACTACTAAAAAAACTTTATTCAATACAATACTAGATACTTTGGGATGTATGAATAGAATTAAGAAATAATAATAAAGTTGAAGAATAAAATTAAATTATATTAATGATAAATAATTCATTTCGTAAAACACTTATTGGATATCTACATCCATTTGGTTGGCTCTCAACATATTATAAAATGTCTACATCACCACATTCTGAATAGATTTCTCCAAAACTAAAAATAATGCGACCAACAAAATAAAAATTTCTTATTTCTTATAAAGAATTCATTAAACATTGTCAGCTGCTTTAGTAAGATTAAATATCTGAGATTATAAAACAGATTAAATTGATTCCATAAGCATCTCCTAGTTAAATTTTGGAGTTCATTAATTCAATATAAATTGAAGGAGAAATTAAAAATATTGTAGAAAATTTTGAATTTCTGCCAGAGGAATATTAATCAATTTTAATTTCCAAAAAAATAACATAACCAACACCTATTTAAAAAGCTATCATTCCGTTAATATTAGAGGGAAGAGATGTAATTGCAATTGCTGAAACTGGATCTGGCAAAACTTTAGCTTATGCTTTACCAGGGTTAATCCATTCTCAAGCATAACCGAAAGTGAAGGGTCCTAGAATTTTAGTGCTTGCTCCAACAAGAGAATTAGCATAATAAATCTAATCGCAATATGAACTTTTTATTAAAACATGTTGTGTATATGGAGGTGTATACAAAAATCTACAATATTGTGAAATATTAGGAATGAAAGAATCGAGAAACAATATTTAATTACCATCAGTAATTATTTGTACTCCTGGTAGATTATTAGATTTTATGAATGATGGCTATCCTTTGCATTCTATAACTCAAGTTGTTTTAGATGAAGCTGACAGAATGTTAGATATGGGATTTGAAGATTAAATTAAATAAGTTCTTATGGCTGTAAGAGAAGACAGACAAACTTTATTTTTTAGTGCAACATGGCCATAAGAAGTTTAAAGATTAGCTAATTCCTTATGCATTTAAGATCCTGTACTCTTATAACTTGGAGAATAAGGATTAACTGTTAATAAAAATATTAAGCAAGAAATTATATTTATTTATGAAAATAAATTTGAACAATTCGTTGAATTAATGGAAAAATTAAAAGAATAAAAATTACTCATCTTTTGTTAGAAGAAACTTGACACCTAAAAATTAGAGTATCGTCTATCATAACATGGTTTAAAAGCTAGATTTTTGCATGGAGACTTAAAACAAACTGAAAGAGATTACATTCTTGAAGATTTTAAAACGGGAAAAATAAATTGTTTGATTGCAACTGATTTAGCATCCAGAGGCTTAGATGTTTCAAATGTAGATGTTGTTGTAAGACTTTTATTTAATATTAGGTTAATTATGATTTCCCTCCTAAAATTTAAGATTATATTCATAGAATAGGTAGAACTGCTAGAGCTGGCAAAAAAGGATTAGCTATCAGTTTGTTAGAACCTACTTTTATGAATAACAAACTTAAGAACGATTTAATTTAAGTACTTTAATAATCTGATTAATTTATTCCCTAAGAATTATTAAACTTAAGGCTGTGATATATAGTAATTATGATCTATATTTTTATGTAAACTATTCCATATTTACTTCTCAAAACATAGAATTAAATAGCTATTATAATCTATTTAATGTACNAGATGTAATTGCAATTGCTGAAACTGGATCTGGCAAAACTTTAGCTTATGCTTTACCAGGGTTAATCCATTCTCAAGCATAACCGAAAGTGAAGGGTCCTAGAATTTTAGTGCTTGCTCCAACAAGAGAATTAGCATAATAAATCTAATCGCAATATGAACTTTTTATTAAAACATGTTGTGTATATGGAGGTGTATACAAAAATCTACAATATTGTGAAATATTAGGAATGAAAGAATCGAGAAACAATATTTAATTACCATCAGTAATTATTTGTACTCCTGGTAGATTATTAGATTTTATGAATGATGGCTATCCTTTGCATTCTATAACTCAAGTTGTTTTAGATGAAGCTGACAGAATGTTAGATATGGGATTTGAAGATTAAATTAAATAAGTTCTTATGGCTGTAAGAGAAGACAGACAAACTTTATTTTTTAGTGCAACATGGCCATAAGAAGTTTAAAGATTAGCTAATTCCTTATGCATTTAAGATCCTGTACTCTTATAACTTGGAGAATAAGGATTAACTGTTAATAAAAATATTAAGCAAGAAATTATATTTATTTATGAAAATAAATTTGAACAATTCGTTGAATTAATGGAAAAATTAAAAGAATAAAAATTACTCATCTTTTGTTAGAAGAAACTTGACACCTAAAAATTAGAGTATCGTCTATCATAACATGGTTTAAAAGCTAGATTTTTGCATGGAGACTTAAAACAAACTGAAAGAGATTACATTCTTGAAGATTTTAAAACGGGAAAAATAAATTGTTTGATTGCAACTGATTTAGCATCCAGAGGCTTAGATGTTTCAAATGTAGATGTTGTTGTAAGACTTTTATTTAATATTAGGTTAATTATGATTTCCCTCCTAAAATTTAAGATTATATTCATAGAATAGGTAGAACTGCTAGAGCTGGCAAAAAAGGATTAGCTATCAGTTTGTTAGAACCTACTTTTATGAATAACAAACTTAAGAACGATTTAATTTAAGTACTTTAATAATCTGATTAATTTATTCCCTAAGAATTATTAAACTTAAGGCTGTGATATATAGTAATTATGATCTATATTTTTATGTAAACTATTCCATATTTACTTCTCAAAACATAGAATTAAATAGCTATTATAATCTATTTAATGTACCATAATCAACCAAATCAAGTTTACGTCTTTGTTCCTTATTATATTCCTTATTAAGTTCCACCTGTTCCTAAATTTGATGTGACTAAAGAGGAATAACATTCTGATTCTGAAAAAGAACAAACGAAAGTTATGCAAGAAGAAATCCATACTAATGCAAGTGGAATTGTTAGAGGTAAAGGCTAATTGTGGACAGAAGAAGAAATCAATAATCTAGTCTCATTTTATAAAAAATATAATGGTAATTGGAAATACATTATCAAACATCTCAAAGGAAGAAATATTTCACAATGTTCTTAAAAATATAGAAAACTTATTGATCAATAAAAAAGAACTAAAAAGAAATGGTCAGCTGAAGAAGATCGAATTCTTTTAGAATCTTATGCAGAATTTGGAAGAGAATGGATTAAGATAAGTCAAAGTATTCAGTTTTATTATACTTTATTAGAATTACCAGGTCGTACTTCTAAACAAGTGAGAGACAGATACGTCAATTAAATCGATCCAAACATCAATCATCAACAATGGACTGATCAAGAAGATGAAAAAATCCTTGAGGAATTCAAAAAGGGAGGAGCCAGATGGGCGATTATTTCCAAAATGCTTAATAATAGATCAGTATAATATTGTATATAGTTTAGGAAAATCAGGTGAAAAATCGATTTTATTTTACAATCTTAAAAAAGTATCAAGGACAATAGCATCCATATCTAAAAATTCAATAGTGATCTTATTTTTTTTAGTTTTCATAATCTACGTGCTTCCTTTATATTATTAAATTTTTATATATGATTTTTATATATTTTATAAAAATCAATATTAATTTTCATATTCTTATTTATTTTGATGTATTTTTCAATTATTAACAACAAAAATTCTTTTACATAATAATGCATCTCAGGTAAGATATTTATAAGACTTTATAATTAACTTTTCTAAATATGATTAAATTATATCAAGCTTAATTCTTATAAAGCTGTTCAATTTAATTGGCAAAAACCTTTTTGGCAAGATGTCTTTGTAATTTAAGGGTTGAAGTCAAACATCCAAATGTTTGTAAAGGTTAAGGTTCTAAATATATTAGCTTAGCCTAATAAAATAAGTAATTAAATATTACAATTTCTAAAGAATTAAGTTTATTTGCTCTTCCATAATCATTAATATTTTTTTTAAAAAAGTTTATTATATCTGGATTATTACATAAATGCTGAAAATCACCTTAAATTTACTTTTCAGCTGCATATTTTTCAACAAATTCCTTTTAAGGAACAATGATGGCTACAATTTAACTTTAAAGTGAATCACCATAAATGAATGTTTCAGTAACACCTTAAACTCCATTATAAATGGCTTCAATTTTTTCTGGGGCAATATATTCACCCTATTATAATTTAAATATGTTTTTCTTTCGATCAATAATTTTGACTCCTCCATTTTCAGTAATAAGGCCTATATCTCCAGTATGCAACCATCCAGCAGCATCAATAACTTCGGCTGTTTTTTCAGGGTCTTTGTAATATCCTTTGAAAACACTTGGTCCTCTTAAACATATTTCTCCTCTAGGTGCTTTTATTCCATCAATAATATCTAAAGAAGTGTAATTCATTTCTGGAACATCTACTAATTTGAACTCTGTATTAGCAGCAGGTCCTCCAACATGACCAGACATTGGATCCCAAACAGCTGTTGAAAAAGATAAAAGAGATTCTGTTTAACCATATCCTTCAAGAATAGGACAACAAGCAGCTATTTTTAGAAAATCAATCACTTCTTATCGAATAGGTGCAGAACCAGTAACCATTAATCTACATCTACCACCAAATAAATCTCTAACTCCTTGAAAGGCTTTATCATATAATGCACTAGTATATTTAGCTTCTAATCTTAAATTTTCTAGTTTCACTCTGATTGCTCTTTCAGCCAATTATTTTTTAAAGCCAGTGACTTCATTAATTTTAGCTTTGATGCCATCATAGAATTTGTTATAAAGTCTAGGGACTGAAGCAAATATTGTAGGTCTTAGTTTTTAAATGTCTTCCTTCAATAAATTTGGATCGCCTCGATAAAATCTAGAATTTAAAGCTCAAATTACCCTATAGATGCACCAGAAAAGAGTAAATTAAGTATCAACCATCTTTCCATTATATGAGGTAATGGTAAATATGATATATGAACATCAGTCGAATCGATTTTCGCATCTGTTTATAAGGTACTTGCAATTGAAGAGATTATATTATCATGGGATATCATAACTCCTTTAGGATTTCCGGTAGTTCCAGAAGTATAACATAAAGTAAAGATGGAGGTAGGTAAAACTTAAGCTAATTAAATATTTGATTTCTTTCCATTTTCTATCACTTCTTCAAATTTAAATAATTGATATCCTTTATTTTTCAATTCAAAAATCTGTTATTCTGATAGAGGATCAAACAAAACCAAATTTTTTAATTTGTACTTTTCTTTGCATTAGAGCAAAGATTTGGTTGAGTCTCCGCTGATAAACATGGTCTCTATGTTGGTTTAATCAAGAATAAATGGAATAGCATCAGGACCAAGTGTATCGTAAAATGGGACCATTGTGTAACCGTAGAGTATATTAGCCCAATCTAAGATCATCCATTCTCTTCTATTTTTTGAGAAGACTCCTATTAATTTTAATTTATAGTGTTTGTATTCTTAGACTTCTCTTATTAAACTCAAATTTGACATTCTAAAGTCAATTTAATTTTTTACCCATTTCCTAGATTAATTGCTTCTTCATTTACTTAATGATAAGACATGAACTTATAATTATCTCCTTCATATTTGCCTAAACATGGTTGATTTCCATATTTAGCAACACTATTTTTTAACATCTCTTATAATGTAGTGATTCCTGGTTATGGAATCATAAGAAACTCATCTTTGTATTTTACATTTCTTCTGACAGTGGTTTATCCTTAATTGTTCTCCGTAAGATCAGGCTTTTCTACTGAGTAAGTCATAAATTAATGTGCCCTAGATACACCACAACCCATTAAAAATCAGATATATAATTTAAATTTTATATGATCTTCAATTAAAAATCGATTGTTAAATGATCATTTTATTTTTATAATTAAACTGTTTTTCAATTTTATTAAGTGTTATTAAAAAACTTATATATTTTAACAATTTGTATAATTTTAAACACACAATGAACATTAATCAATCAACTTCTTCCATCTTTGATTTGGTGGCTTCAGTATTAGCATCTTCTTTTTTCTAATAAAAATATAAATAATTAATAATACCTCTAATTATGGAAGTTTTTCATCTTCTTCTTCAATACCAGCATCATCAATAGATAAACCAAGTTTAATCATTTTGTGAATTCTATTAGCAAAGTGAGTTGGATCATCAAGACTGAATCCTGAAGTAAGTAGAGCAGTTTCATAAAGTAACCAGATAAGATCTTTAACTGTCTTATCACTCTTATCTTTATCTGATTTCTTCTTTAATTCAGTAAGAATAGGATGATTAGCATTAATTTCTAATGTTTTTTTGGACATCATATAGCTACTCATTGATGGATCTCTTAAAGCTTATGCTTTCATAATTCTTTCCATATTAGCAGACCATCCATATTCACCTGTAACCAATACACATGGTGATTAATCAAGTCTTTATCCTAATTAAACCTTTTCAACCTTATCTCCCAAAATTTCTTTAATCAATTTACATAATCCTTCAAAGGCTGATTTTTATTCTTCGAATTTCTTCTTTTCATCTTCAGTTTAATCTAAGTCTAAACCTTCCTTGGTACAATTCTTTAATTTCTTTCCATCAAATTCTTTTAATTATTAGATTACATATTCATCAATTGGATCAATCATATAAAGTACTTCATAATCCTTCTTCTTTAAAGCTTCAACAAATGGTGATGCAGCAACAGAAGCTTTAGATTCACCAGTAATAAAGAAGATATCTTTTTATCCTTCTTTCATTTTTCCAACATAATCTTTAAGTGAAATCAATTCTTCACCACTCTTTGATGTATGGAATCTAAGGAATTCACTCAATTTTGTTCTATTGGCGGAATCTTCATGAATACCTAATTTAAGATTCTTTGAGAATTATTCATAGAATTTCTTATAATCTTCAGCATTTTCACTTATTTCTTAGAACATTTCAATACATTTCTTTGTAATATTCTTCTTGATAACTTTCAAGATCTTATTATGTTACAAGAATTCTCTTGAAATATTCAAAGGTAAATCTTCAGAATCAACAACTCCCTTGACAAATCCTAAATATTCAGGGATTAATTCTTCACAATCATCCATAATGAATACTCTTCTAACATATAATTTAATGTTATTCTTCTTTTTCTTTGTTTCAAATAAATCAAATGGTGCTCTCTTTGGGATAAAGAGAACAGCCTTGAATTCCAAACCTCCCTCAACTGAAAATTATTTAACTGATAAATGTTCTTCCCAATCATTTGTCAATTATTTATAGAAATTAGCATATTCTTCCTTAGTAATTTCTTCTGGCTTCTTCATCCATAATGGTTTATTCTTATTAACTTATTCAAATTCAGTACTAACTTCCTTAATCTTCTTCTTCTTCTTTTCTGCCTTGTCTTTCTCTTCTTAAACTTCACCTTCTTCAGCTTTCTTTTCTTTGTTTTCATCTTCATCATCACTGACTTCTTTCTCTGTTGTTTTTTCAATTTATAATTCAATTGGGAATCCAATAAATTCTGAATGTTTCTTAACTAAATCCTTAATTCTCTTTTCTTCCAAAAATTCTAAGTTATCTTACTTCATGTGTAAAATGATTGTTGAACCTCTTGTCAATTAAACTGGGTTCTCAGCATCATCATAAACAAAGAATGTTCCACCAGCTTATGATTCCCATCTGTATTATTATTCACCTACAGCCTTTGAAATCACTACAACCTTATCAGCAACCAAGTAAGCAGAATAGAAACCAACACCAAATTGTCCAATCATAGAAATATCGGCTCCTGAGCTCAATGCTTCCATGAAGGCCTTGGTACCTGATTTTGCTATTGTACCCAAGTTGTTGATCATTTCATCTCTTGTCATACCAATACCTGTATCTTAAATTGTCAAAGTGTTGCTATTTTTGTCTGGGATAATCTTAATCTTAAAGTTTGGCTCAATGTTCAAACCAGCACTGTCTGGGTCTGTTATTGACTTATATCTAATCTTATCTAAGGCATCTGAAGCATTTGAGATCAATTCTCTTAAGAAAATCTCTTTGTTTGAATAGAATGTATTGATAATTAAACCCATCAATTATTGGATATCTGCATTGAAGTGGAATTACTCTTCTTTCTTTTATTCTGTTGACATTACTTAATTTTAAACTTAAAAATATCCATCTATAGAACTTGATTTTATACACAATTTTTTATTCTAGAAATTTCTGTAATCAAATTTATATTAAAATGAAATTCTATAAGCAATTAATATTTATTTAATTTAATTCATTATATATTAATTATTTATAAATCACATTATTTTACTCTATATATTATTATCTTCTTTTCAAAAAATATCATTATTTAATTTCAATATCATTTTTTTCATTTTATATTCTCTTTTCTTTCATTCCTACATTCTCTTGGTTTTTATTCCAATTTTATCATATACCTAAAAATAAATACAGTTTTATATATTTCTAAATTCATTTTCTATTTACCATATCTATTAAATAATAATCAACCAATAACTAAGTAATTAAATAATAATTAGAATCAAATCCCCCAAAAAATTTTATTGTTATTCATAATTTACAAATAAAATATGAATTATGTGTGTATTTTGAAGAGCACTAGTTAAATAAGTTATATAAAATATATGATCTTCAAAAATAAATTTAAAATGTTAACCATTTTTAAGATTATTTAGAATATCATTTCTTTAAGGCTTAAGTTAATTTCTAAAATTATCCCCATATGTTAAAGTTAAAAATAGGGTTAAGCTTTTTGAATATAATAGTTCTTTGAAAGAGGAGCTTTATAATATAAAAAAATAGTAAGGAATTAAAAAAAATTATTTGCACAAGTATAAATTAGTATAAGATTGATTTAATAAGGATAAATTAAATTTTATTGGAGAATTAGAGTAATTTATTATTGAATATATAAAAAAGGGATAGATTAAGTGAAATCTTAATGTAGAGAGTGAGTGTAATGATTAAATTGAATAAGGTTTTGTAATTTTTAGGAAATTATAAATGATAAAGGAATTGCTAATAAAAATGTGCCTAAATAATTAATAAAAAGATTTAAATAAAAAATCAAATTTTTATCAGGAATGGCAGCAAATAAGTTCTGGAAAAAAACTGAAGTAAGAGTATATGTTCAATAATGAGTTAACAAATTTGGAATAATAAGTTGGTGTAGCATTGACCTAAATCGAGTAATCAGTCGCAGAAGCCAAGAATCTTAAGGTTTCATCAGTTGTTGATTATACAGCAAAAATCAATGCTAAGAAATAAGTTTATTTAGTATTCATTCCCCATCCATGCTTATCAATCTACAATAAAGTGAGGTAAGAAATTGTGTAAATTGTTTAGCTCAAAATTATTACCAGAATTAGAAAAGAGATTGAAGGCAACAATATTAGTTGTTGCAAAGAGAACAATTGAAAGTAAATGGGTTAAAAAACACAGATCACAAACAAGACCAAATTCAAGAACACTCACATCTGTCTATGATGGACTTCTTGATGATCTTGTTGCACCATCAACTATTTTGGGAAGAAGAACAAGAGTTAGAGTTGATGGCACTAAATTCTATAGAATGTACAAATTTAATATTCATAATTAGCTTTTTGGATGAATAAGATAAAAATGAGGTTGAACCAAGACTTGATTCAATCAAAGCTGTCTATAAATTATTAACAACTAGAGAATTAGAATTTGAATTCAGAAGAGATGATGTCTTCTACTCAAAAAGAGGTGGAGCCAAGAAAACAACAAAAAAATGATGAGCAATAATATTTTAGTACAATATAATCAATAATAACACTAATTAAGCATTCTTATTCATTAATTTAATATAAAAAATTTTAGTATAAGTAAATAATCACTATTATATTTATGATTTTGAATATAATACTCTTCTTAAAGTATCAGAGGTCATTCCTCTTCTCCTGGAATTGTTTTAATTTTAATGAAAGTCTATTAATTTTGATAATTTAAAGATGGTTTACACTTCTGGTCCCAATTTACGAATTATTTATTTACTCAAATTACTACAAATAGAGGGTTCTTAATCATTTTCTGATTCTTGTAATACATCATCATAAGCCTTCGAATATTTAATTTATATTACCGAATAAATTTTTGAATACATCTTCGAATCAGCTTATAAATGATAATGAATTTTATTTGATGTTTCTGTTTCCTAAGATAAGTCATCCCTAAATTCTAATTATTTTTAATACTATTTAGTGTTATTGCTTCTTGTCCTCTCTTCAACTATTGTTCTATTAAATACTTCTGTTGTATTATCAAGGGAAATTAAAGGTTTTGGAGCAAAATTAAACATTAGCAATTATTACTGAGAAAAAATCACTTCTTTAAGTTTTTCTAAATCATTTAATTTTGTAAGTATATTAAACAAATCTATTTAATCAGTAATTTAACTACTAATACTTTAAAATTAATAGTTTACATTGCTTTATTCATCAATTAAATATGTTTTTTGTTTTTAAATACTTTCTAACAAGTTATGAAATTAACTAACATTTAAAATGTCATTAAAATTGGTTATGATCTTTAAATTAAATTTTAAATTTGTAATTAAAAGTATTCTAAACCATTTGAACAATTCAATTTTGATGCCATAGCTTCTTATTCATATATAAATTTATTTTTTTTTATGTTATTGTCACCTTATTTTTTTGATTGATTCTGTTATTATTATGATGTAGGACTCATCTATTCACTAAATTTTAATAGCTCATTTTTAGACTTTTAATTAATCGAACTTTAATGTAAAGGCTATATTTCTAAATCTGCATCAGAATTCCGAGGTTTCTCCTAAAATGGAATTTTTTCTTGTTTATTTTAAATCATTTAATTCACTAAATTTAGATTCTCTTAAAAATATTTTTCTTTTTGAAAAGAAACAAGCGTAAATTCATACAATTTATTTGCTAATTCAACCACAACTAGATATATATGTATTATTTACGTTAAAATCTATTGTATATTGTTATGATTGTTCCAACAAAAAATATAAATATTTATTAAATACCTCCTAAATTAGATAATAATTCATCTATTTTCAAATATTTTCTAAAAATCTTAATTTTATAAGGACTTTTTCTTATTTAAATTTGTACTAAGGATTATGCTTGAGAATTTTATAATTCAGTTCTCTCTTTGATTTCAGATTAATCTAATGTATAAAACTTTGAATATTCCAAATAACTAAATGGAAATAGACTTTGATCATTCGTAACTTCATATTCTTTTATAAAGAGATCCACAGACTTGTATGTATTTGAGGGGAGAAATCTAAAAAAAAATGAATCATCTAAAAAAGTTTATAAATAATTATCTTCAGGTTTATAAGGGTTTAAAATCTATAATATTATTCAATTATACTTTATTAATTGGAAATAATTTAATTTTGAAAGTTCCATTTTTTTCAATCTCTTATTACAACTCTTCTTTCGAAGCACAATTTGTTTTATTCTAACACTCTTACACTTTTATTTTCAAAAATTCAAATTCTAAATCTAAAAGAATTATTTATTTTATATACTTGAATATGATCCTTATATTTAAAATGATTGATTTAAGCTAAAAACATAAATAAAATCTCTTACTCAAAACACAAAAAGTCATATAATTTAAGTTGATTGAATTAGTCTGTCAAATCTCTTCCAAATTAAGAAAATATTTTATTAAAACGATCTAAAGTACAAGGTATCAACTTAATTTCTTTTTCTGTTTAAATTACCGACCCATTCTAAAATTTTTGATTTCTAGATTAATGTATCTTAATCTCATAAAAAGGCTTAGTTAAAAAATTCTCTTAATCAATTTGTAAAGCAAATAAAAAAAATGAATCATCAATTTATGATAAAGATGGGATTTCTTCAAATTCTGTTAAAACAGTAGCATTTAAATTTTCTCTGTTTAGAAAAGATATTATGTTTGACGAGAATATCAAAATTAAAATGATTAACAAAATCAAAGAAGAGCAACCTCCAAAAACAGTTTTATATGAGTTTTGCCTATTCATTCGTAATGTGATTGATTATCCAAAAATATCCATTTTAGAGATCACTTAAATTGATTTAGATAATTACGTTTGCTAACTCTTTGCATATTCAAAATAATAAAGCTTTAATACTTTAATTAATTAACATTCTATTTGGGTGTTTGAATAATTACTACAAATTCATAAGAACACTAAAAAAGTATTAAAACATTAAAATCACTCTTATTCTAATATTTTTAGAAATAAAATTTTGCCCTTTATACTTTCTGTTTTCTTATCAGAATAATTGTCTAGCATCTACTAATATTAATTGATGAAAAATTTCTGATTTCTAATTAAATTTTCAATGTATAACTAACATTAATAATATTGTATTTATTATTCATTTAGTTATCTTTAGCTTAATTAATTATATAAGAGATTTAGATAATTCTAAATAATAATTATAAAAATATATTCTAAATAATTTATATTATTTTATCATTTATATTATTAAAATTATTAATGAGACCAAGAGGTCCTGCAAAAGATCAAGAATCAACTGGGAAATCTTTAGATAATAACTCAGTTCACAAAAGAAGATAGGAATTATGGGAAAAGTAAATGGGAACAAATCAAATATGCTAAGGATATGTTTCTAATACTTAAGGAAGTGCTGAGTCTGGAATAAAATAGTTTTTATTTTCAATGAGGAAAAATGGAAGTTTTTAATAAATAGAAAATCAATTTAGACCTAATATAACAGAAAATGAAACTGAAACACCCAATAAATCATAACTGAAGATGACAGACACCTAATTGCTGACACCATTACAAAAAAATACACAAAAAAATTAAACCACTTACGATATATTATCTTAGATATATGAATTATAGAATAGAAAGAGTAGAAATTAGTCTCTTTTGGAGGAATTAATGAGAAAAACTAAATAAGCAAATGATAATTTAACGTTTTAAAGAATCTTATAAAGAAAAAAATATTATAAAAGGTCATAGAGATGTTAGTCAGTGGCTTAAAAAGAATATGAATTAGATTAATTGAAAGGATAATTAATTTAAGTAAAATAAGTTTAAGTTTAATAAATATAAAAAGAATAAACACCAAAGCAATAAGATAAATTGGTTCCATTATTGATTAGAAAGGAGAAGACTAAAAGTCCACCTTCAAAAGATAATGAGAGAAAGAAAATTCAGGCTTCTATTTGCAAAGCTAAAAAAATAGTGATTGATGATACTAGATTTTGGGATATTGGATTTACAAAATTTATTCAGAATCCAAGTTATTAAGAAATAAATTAATTAATCAATTTCTGTAATGGAATTTAAATAATTCCAGCATTGCATTAAAAATATTATAAGCTTTTTGTTGGTCGAGGCAATAACCATATGATGATAAAAGGAATTTTTAATTTAAGACCATAATGGAGTATTGCAAATTCTATTGAAGATGATACAGAAATAAATTTTGTTTGGACTTAAAAATTCATAGATTTACAACCCTCAGAAATAAAACCAAATTCTTAAGCTATAATTTCAGAAGAAATAAATAGTTGGATTGATTCTTAATAAATGAGTTTAATTAAATAAGCTTGGGATAAGATGGAAGGAAAATCAAAAAAGAAATTAAATGAGTATAATATAGATAGTCCACCAATTTTAAATAATGTAACTATTTGTTTTTATTTAAAGTTACATAATTATAAGGAATTAACACAACTTAATCATTAAAATATGAATATTCGTATTCATAATCATCTCAAAGGAGGTTATCAATTAGGTGACAAAAAATGGTTGTTTCATAATCTCTCTGAATATTGTTCAGAATAGAATATAGATGTATGGAATTATATTCCATTAACATATCATATTCATGGTCCAACAGATCGAGAATTCGTTAATTTCTAATAAACATTTTAGCATTTAGCTTAAGATAAAGATATTAAAAATATCTGGATCATAAAGCCAGGAGAAGATAGTAATAGAGGTAATGGAATAAAAGGTATTGAAATTATATTAAATATATAGTAACAAATTAAATATCAGAAATTGTTTAACACATAACACAATAAGGACATACTTTTATACTATAAAAATATATAGAAAATCCATTTTTATATTAAAAGAGAAAGTTCGATATAAGAGGGTATTGTTTAATCACTATTATGAATGGAGTAAAAAGAGGTATCTTTTGCTGATAGAAATAGTTTTTTAGTATATTGGTACAAAAAAGGTTATTTGAGAACATCAAGTAGTTTCTTCACTTTAGAATCTTTAGATAATCAGAAAATACATTTAACAAATGATGCTATCTAAAATAGATTAAATGGATATGGAAAATTTGAAAAAGGAAATAAAGTCTCGTATGATTAATTCTAAACATATTTAGTAGAATAGAACAAGTAAAATAATACATCTTATAGTTTTGATGAATTATATGCTGATATGAAGGTATATCATTTAATAATGAATGTAGGCTCTTACTAAATTGGCCACTCAATCAGCTATTGATAAAATAACAAATGATGATTAAATTTTGGGATTCGAATTATATGGGTTAGATTTTATGATTTCTAATAACTTCAAACCTTTGCTTATAGAATTCAATACTAATCCTTGTATAGAGACTGGATGTCCTGTTTTGACCAAAATTATTACGGGACTTTTAGAAAATCTTATGAGATTCATCATTGATCCTTTGTTTCCAGCAAAGAGAATGGGAAATGATGATTTCATGAATAAAAATGATTTTGAATTATTATTATCATAATGAATTATATTATATTATGAGAGATATTTTAAATAAAATTTATTAAATAAAGTAAATTATATTTGTCTTGCGTAAAGAGTTCCAAACTGAGATGTAATGGTATAAAAATTTATTGTTATATTAATTTAAATTTGAAATAAATGAATTTCGATAAAAGTCTAAAAAATAGGCCGACTCTATCTTTCACAGGGTTTTCACCATCAAAATCAAATATTAATATTGAGGCTTCTCGTAAGAATCTATAAAGTTCATCCTTTGGATCACCTCATCATGTTTAATCACTTGAAACTTAATTAAAATAGGAATTTGAGGCTTAATATAATGAAAGAATATTATCAATGAGAAGCTTTTATGATATGAAATATTAAACGCTTTTTGAGACAGTCAAAGACGCACTTGATAAAGTAGATATTTATATATACAAAGTTAGATTATGAATGATGAATTAATTGACACAATGAGATAAGATATAACATCATAAGAATTTGTATATCAGAGAGTAAGAGAAATGTTTGAAGAAATAATTCTCAGTGAAAGAGAAGTCCTTATAGAAAAATTATCTACTTAGTATGCATATCTGAAAATGGAATTCGGAAAAATTGAATAAGATAAAAGAAAAGTATTGTTTTCATCAATTATGTAGTTAGCAATAGAATTATAAATGATATAGGATGAATAAGCTGATAAAGAAGCATAAGCTTAAAATTAAGTATAATAAGCTTAAGAACAAATTTCATATTTATAACAGAATAATGATTAGCTGTAATAATTTATTTTTAAGTTAAGCAATAAAAAAGTTTCACAATTAGAACAAAAACTTTCTTCAGCAAGTTAAACAGCTAAAGAAGTTCAGCAACTTTAAACTACGGCTAAAGAGTATAATATACTTAAGGAAGAATATGAATAATTAGTTCAAACAAATGATAAATTATAATAAATTAATAAACAACAAGTTTAGGAAATTGAATAATTACATAAAATTAGTGAAAACTTATAGCTGAAAGTATAGTAATTGAATAAAATTTATTAAGAATTAGAAGGAGAAGTGATTTCATATAAAAAAAAGTCTACTGATTCAGAAGCTAAAACATAATTTACTATTTCAAATTTATAAAATTAATTAGAAGCTGTAACTTTATAATCGAATCAATAAAAAATAGAATACGAAAAGAGGTTAGAAAAGGAAGCATAATCCTTTGAAAATGAAATTAATAAACTTAGCTAAAAATTATAAAAAAAAAAGGAAAAATCAACATTGCATAAATCAAATGCTAAATAATTATAAATTAGATTAGATTAATTAATTAGAGATCATGCTGAATAGTTATAAAATGAAACTTAATAATTTTAAAGAAAGATAAATGAGCTTTAATAATAGAATCAATATTAATTACAATAAACTCAAAAGTAAATTGATGAGTTAAAAGATTTTCATGAAAAAAACATTAATAATTTAAGAAACTAATTTGAATAAATAAATAAATAATAATGTGATGATTCAGATAAATAAAAAATAAACTTATTGAATGAATTAGATAGAGTTCAAAGTGAACTCGAATCTGTTGTTTTATAATAATAGTAATAAATTGAAAGTAATTACATTCCAAAAGTTTAATATGAATAATAAGTAAATGAATTACAAAAGAAAATAACTGAGTCTAATTAAAAACTTAGAGAATAAGATGCTTTAATGAAAAAATAATAAGATGAATTTGAAAATAATAAGGAATAGTGGAATAGATAATAAAATAAATTATATTTAGATGTTAAAGATAGAAATGAAATTTAAGAATAACTTTTAGCAAGAGAGGAAACTATTAATAATCAAAATAAATTAATATCTTAATTAACATAATAGGTTAAGATGTTAGAATCTGATTATTAAAGATTATAGGAAAGATCTAAATAATAATTAGAATATATTGAAGAATTAAAAAATGATGTAAGTAATTGTTAAAGTGAAGTTCTTAAGATTTAAAAATAATTAAAATAATAGAAAGATGAACTAATGGAACAATATAGATAATTAGAGGGAGAAAATAAAAATAAAAATGATAAAGTTTAATTATTAAATTCATAATTAGAAAGATTACTAAATGAATCATCTGAAAATGAAAAATTATTGAATTACAAAAGCAAAGAGTTGTAACAATTAGAAGATGAACTAATGCAATATTAGAATATTAAAAGATATGCATAATAACAATCTGAAGAAAATGAATAATTAAGAGTTTAAATTGATAAATTAATTAATATTTAAGAATTATAAGAATAAAAATAGGATGAAATTAAAAAGCAGTTGGAAACTGAATTAAAATAAAAGAATTAATTAATTCTTAACAATGAATCACTTATGTAAAGATATTAAAAATATGTAAAAACAATAAAAGTAAAAATAATGATAATATTTTAGGAATAAAGAAAGTATATAAAAAGAAGAATAATTAGCGAGCTTTAAAAAATAAAATAGGAACATGCAAGTTTAGAATAATACTTAAGATAAATTATGAGGATGAAAAACAATGAAGATAATTTATTGATTGCATCAATAGTAACAAAAGTAAAAGATTTATGGAATAGAAAAGAAATTTAACATGAAAATGAAATTGTATAAATATAAATGTTAAAATAAGTTAAAAATAAGGAATGAAATATTTGATTAGTATAGTGGAAGTGCATCACATTTGAGAACTGCATATGAACAGACATTAGATGAAACTTAAAAATAATTTGAGTAGTAAATAGAGAATTTAAGGGATGCAAAAGAAAAAATGGAGGATGAAAATAAAGAATTATTGCACGAATTATAAAAAGTTTAAGTTATTTTAGAAGATCAATCAGCTTTAATAACAAATTTAAAAAATGAAAATAAAACATTAAAAAGTAATGGAATGCTCATTGAAAATGAATTATCTACAACTTTAAAAAACATGAATGATGTAAATTTAAAATACTATTTATTTTAGATGAAAGATTCTTTTGAAGATCAAATTTAAGAATTAACAAAATAATTAAAAAAATATGAAAGAAAGCAATAACATTAATAAGATTTGAAAGGATAGATTGATAATTTACAAAATGAATTAGAAAAATTGAGAACTCTTAATAGATCTAATACTTAAGAGACAGAAAATAGAATAGCAAAATTAGTAAAGTAATAACAATCAGAAGTTCAATTATTAGTAAATCAATTTTAAAGAGAATAAATAAAACTTAGATAAGAGTAAGTAGATCTTAAGGATTAAGTATCTTAAAATGAAGAGATTATTCATAAATTATATTAATCACTTGATGATGTCAATTAAATAGTGAATTAAAAAGATAAATAGTTGTAGAATTTAATAGAAGATATTGAGTAAGAAAGAGCTTCTGATTAATAAAAAATTAATGATCTTTAAAATAAGTAAAATATTAAATTAATAATAGATTGAGAAGAGAAGAGGAAGAAATTAAAGTAACTAAATAAAAGGGTTAGAGAGATATTGAAAAAAGCTAATTGTAAATTGCATCCGCTGAATCAGAAATTAGTTAATTTAAAATCGAAAATAAATCATTAAGAATATAATGTGAATAATTGGCAGAAGAATTAGAAAAAAAAACTAAGCAATTTGATCAATTGAATCGTGAATATGATGATTAGAAAATCATTTAAAATTAAGAAATTGCTGATTTACATAGGTTTTTTCCACATATATTAATTAGGTTGCTTAAAATACAAGTGTAAAATGATGATATGTCAAATTACTATAGTGAGAGTAAAGAATTGGCTTAAAGAGTTAAGGAATTATAAAAAATTAATTCATAATTCTCTGATAGTAATTATCCTAGACGATTAGAATCATCAGTTTAGAAATTTGATAGTTCTAAAAAATTAAATTCAAGTAACAACTTGAAACCTCGCCTAGCTAATTATACTCCCATGACTAAGAAATGAGTATGATAATTAAATATTTAAATAAATTATTTCAAACTAAATCTAATACTAAAAAATACTTTCTTAGATAATTATATATAAAAGTAAAAAATAAATTTGTAAATATAAATTTTTATATGACCTATGATAATAATTAATGTTATTGAAAATTAGTTATTACTAATTTTAGCTACTTAAAGTTAGGTTCAAAATTATTTCTTGATTGAATTTATATTTGATGATTACTGATTATTAATGCAAATATTTTATGTGCTTGAAATTAAAAAACATAATTTCAAGTTAAATAAGAATATAGAGATTTATAAAATATAAATGTATAAGAATCAATAATATGAAGGAGCATAAATCTATGAAATAAAATCTCAGATTATATATTTAAACATAATAGTGAAAATCTAAATAAGAATTTCAGAACTAATTAAAAGTTAATTTAAATAATCAATTATTACTCTTTTGAGATCAATGAAAGTTGAAGATAATTAGCTATTGACAAATAAATCGACTGGAAAACTTTATTAACAAATAGATCTTCTGCCATTTTAGAAAAATTTTCTTTTCAAAGAGCTTTATAGATTTAATACCAAGACAGAAAAATTATTAATTTTGATTGAAATCATAGCAAAATCTAATTATGAAAGCAATAACAAACATTAAAGAAGTTTTTTCTTTAAGAAATAAAAACATTATATTAAATGTATCAATAAAATAATATCTTTTAGGATTACACATAAAAAATTTTAGAAAACTTTAGAGAAGTGCATATAAAATGATTTATTGGTGGTAGTGCTTTTAAATTTCCTCAATATAATTCATTCAAGTTTCCTATTTTGAGGTTCTACTATTAAAATATTAACGTTTGAATGTACGCTATGTTTAATATCATGTTTGCTTCTATGAGAAAAGCTAGAGATAGGCATTCTAGCAGAAGTAAATAATAGAGGTTAATAGCTTAAAAAATTTTTTAATCTTTGATTTTATAGATCAATTCTAAATTTGACTCCAATTGTAATTAAGGAAGTCATTATAAAAGACTCATTAAATGTAAAAATTTAACATTCTAATACCCAATTAGAGAAATCAATTTTTTTCTAATTTAAGTCTAACAATTCCATCTAATCGAAAGTTGTATTTGAAAGATCTAGAAAATCAACTATTATGCTGAGATTCTATAATCCTAATTATGGACAAACATTAATTAATGGTGAAGATATTAGAGATTATAATGTTCGAAATTTAAAGATATTATTAGCTATTGTTTTAAAAGGGCCGGTTCTTTATAATGGAATTATTAAAGAGAATATTAAATAGAAAATTAAAGGAGTCAGTATGGTATAATTTGAACAGACCGCCAAAAAGGATATTGTTAATGACTTTATTATTCTTAATCAATAATTTGAAAACCATCCTGAAACAATTAGATTTTAGGAAAGTGTTTGGTAAACAGTTGGGCTAAAATGATTATATAAAGCTCCGAGTTTCTATTTCTACTAGAATTCTTAGAAATGCGATAAATTTTTTTTTGATAAGGCCAGAAGTACTTTGAAAGCAAAAAATATCCAAGCAAGACTTCGACAGAAAATAATAAACCATAACTATGATCTCAACCAAAAATTCTTGATTTTTTTTAATTTTTCATAACAGTTTTATTTATAAAACTAATAATCCTAAATAATCCACTTTAACTGAGAAACATAATTAAAAAATAATTTAAGTTGTTCTGCATTAGAATTAAACTTTTATATCCTTTAGAAATTATATGCTTCTTTGTAATTAAAAAAAAGTTAATACGACAATATTATATCCAAATTTCTTAGAATTATGATATTGCATTGAACTACATATGTCGATATATCTTCATTAAATCAGATTAATCTTTTTTAAACAATAAAAGTAATATGGGGTGTGCAGTAGGTTTTTCTCTTTAGGAAGATTTGAATTAGTCGATTTCAATCAAAGAGGCTTAATTATTATTATTAGACACTCCAATTTATAACATATATTAGCCTAAGACAATTGAATCAACTTCTATATGTAATTCACTAAAGTGGTGCGATGATGATGATAATTTAGAAAATCTTTTTGAAGAATGTAGAAAATTGGAGCAGGATGAGATAAATGCAAATGTGAGAATTCTTAAGAAAGATGAAAATTAAGTTTAAGAGATATACTAAATTTCATAATAATCAAAAACATACTCTTAAACATCGATATGCTTGAAAATCAGACGAAATCTTTTTATAAAGCACAACAAATAACCAGATAGGAATCAAAAAATTCCAAATAGCATTTTGAAAAGATAACATTTCAAAGAGGGTCAAGGAGTTACAGGCAAGATTAAAAGTAAAATGTCATAGCAAAAAATTGTAAGATTTAGCAAATGTTATGTAAAAGTAATACCAGAAATCTCAATCTAAAAGAGTACAATCGATTTTTTAACTAAGTCAAGAAATGATTTAAATAATTAATTAAAATGATGAATTTTTGTATATTAAAAATTAAAATCTGATAAGACCCAAGCAGAATAAATGTTGAAAAAGGTATATTAATAAATATACTTACACTTTTCATTAATGTGTTAAACTAATTTAAGATATAAAAAAGTTGATAATATAAATTTTATTATGACTTATAAATCGACATAATAAATACATTTATTATACATATTAATTTTTATGTACACTGATCCTGTGGCAGAATTACTACGGCCAAAACAATCAAATTTAATAAAATCAAGCGATTCAGTAGGATCATATCGTCCAAAAAGTATATAATCAAATCGCAGTAACAAAAATATAATTTCTTAATAATAATAACGCCCTCCTTCTTAATAGTCTTAAGTTGGAAGCAATGGTGCAAAACGAATAGTTCATATTGGTAGGAATGGAAAAAAAATTGAATAATTATCAAGTATTGCACCAGCTAAGACAACTAATGATCTTTGTTATGAATTTGATCCATTTGTTTTAGATTAGATAAGTCCAGAAGATCCAGTTTGGAGATAGATATTACCAGATAATATGCCATTAGATGAATAAACTTTAGAAAAATTATTGGAAGATAACCCTGATTATTTTTATCATCATCTTGGATTTTGTGCATGTTATCGATGCAAATGTGGTAGATGCAGATGTGATGTCTCGAATTAAGTTAAATTAAAAATAAATGGATCTTTTCTAACTATTTATGATAAGGATTTCATTCCTCATAAATCAAGTTATAATAATCTAACACCATTGAATTCTAAAACCTATGCTACCAAATTTCTCGATTAAAAGACAATTGATTTTACTACATCTCATCAGCAAGATTATAAAGAAATGCCTATTCAATAAACTGAGAGTTTCAAGCCACCATATCGACCTTAATTAGGATCAATGTCAAATCTGACTAGCTATAAAGTATATTCTAAACTCTTATTTAGTCAAATTATAGTAATTGGGGCAATAATTATTAAAGATTTAGTAGATATCCTCATATAAGCACAAGTACAGATATAAAATTCATTGGTAAAACATAATATTAAGATTCATTTGTTCCACCTAATAGTTGGAAAGTTGAAAGCTAAAATTACTTTAAAAGTGAACTGTAATTATTTTGTTATATGATTAAAGTTCTCCAATGCCAACAGGTCCCTTTGTTGGAATGACTACAAGTTAATAAAACTTTTAGCCTTTCAAAGTATCAAGAAGTCCTCAAAAACCTACACATCATGTATATTTATTTATTAAATATAATATTCTTAGAAATATGAAACAACTCCATCTTTCGATGGATAATTCACATCTACTGGAATGAAAGATTTTACTTAATAATAGGACGATTATTGCCCAGCTAAATAATTTTAGAAAATATTTAGAAAAAAATTGGCATAAAAAGTAGAGAAGAAAAAAGAAAATTTTATAGAACGTAGAATTAACAATGCAATGAAAAATTGATTTTTTATATCTAAGTTCATTTCATAAAATTATCATAATTTGTTAGTATTAATTTACATACAAACATTATCATAATAATATCAAACCGAAAAATGTAAATCTTAACTAATGAAACTTATAACATATGCATTTTCCATCAATCTGTCCAATGGAAATAAGGTTAGCAATTATTTACTTTGTCTGTATTAATTTTTAACCTTTTGAATTGTCTTAATAGTCATTAATAAAGAACAACTCATTATTATACCTGCAAATCCGAGCATTATTGAATTTATTAAAATAGTAGAATAAACCATCCTTTTAATTTGATTTGTTAGCAATACAACTATAATATGAAATCCATATTAGATATATAATCTCTTTATTTGTTATTAAGAATTTTGAAGAAACTCTTAAAAAGAGTATGTAGATTAATCATTTATTTAAAGCAATTACAAAAACTCAAATTAATTTTAGTACAGTTCTTAAACAACAAAAGTTAAACCTTTTTCAAGATTATTAATGGTATTACATTATTAAAAACTAAATAGATTGGAATAATCTAAATAGTTAAATTAACTATAGATGTAAAATATAATATCATACAATGAATTGAAAAGTTAGTCACATATATTATTAGAGAGGATCTCATAGATATCATTATTATAGCTCTACTAATATTGAGATAAACTAGTTGTAAGTTATTTTAAGTATTCAACACTTTTATTTTATATTTCGATTTCTTCACTCTTAATAGTTTAGTTTAATAAAATTGCTTATTATGCATAAGATAATGCAAGCTAATTATTTATAATCTCAAATTATATTTTTTCATTTTATCTAGCAGAAACATTCTAGATAGCCTCTTCAAATAGGATATAACTTCCTATATAATAAAAAGAACACATAAATGCATAAATAAAAATAAACAAATAAAAGAAAACTTAAGCAGAATTTGTTTCTATATAATTATATCAATTTTTACGTACATTTTACTGAAATTTGTCTTCCTACTCTATTATGCTTATCTAACATATTGGATGTTACTGTCTTTTGATATTAACGCATCATAGTTGTTTCAAATTACTCCTCGTCAGTTTCATGATTTTTAAATTTAGTATTATTTAATTGATTGTATAAAGAACTAAATTATAGAAATTACTCTTATATAACTTCCTTTGAAAAAGTACAAAATAATTTATATATTTTTATTTTCATCTAAATTATTTTAAAGCATAGGTAAATGTATCTTATTAAAAATAGTAATAATACAATTTCCTCTATAAGAACACTAAAAATAAAATTTTAAGATTTACAATATTCCTAAATCCATTTATTAATTTTTGGAAGCTGCATTTTAAATTTGGTTTATTTATGTATTAAATTGATCTGTGTTGTTAAAAAAATCTTAAGAAAGAATTAGTTCATTCATCCTTTAAACTTTTGATAATTATGTCAAAATGATTATTATTCTGCTTTTCATTGTAAGGTTACTAATTAAGTTAATATGTGGAAATCTTGTTATTGTTTGATCAATATCTTTTATATTATCAACAAAAAATTTTAAAGCTACATCACTTAAGTTTTTAAATTGAAAATTACTATCATTTATAAATGATTATGCTATAACAAATTCATTATAAAAATAAGAAAATTCAAATGGCAAATTATCATAATTTTAGTCTTAATTGATTTTCTCAAACTCAAAATATAATATCAAATAATTCACAAAATATCCTACTATGACTAATATGAATAGAGAGAATAAAAATAATTTTGTTTAAACATTTAAACCTCTATTATCAGATAAACAATCCCTCATCTATCTTTTTAATGCTGTAGTATTATTTTAAGAAGATCTACTTCCAACAGAGCCAGCATTATATTACATATTTTATTCTTATATTTTTTGTTTGTAATCAGATTCAAAATCACTTAAATCATTGCTTTTATCTGATTAATTTAAATTATTTCTTAGTTCAATGACTCTTTCTTCAAAAAAATGCTCGCTATTTTAAAGTAGCCTTTTAGTAGAATTTTGATGATGAGCTGTATTTATCATATTAATATTTGCCAATTAATTTTTTAAGTCTTGAACCATTTTTAATTCTTCAACTAAATTTTCATATTCTAAATCACATTCATTTATTTCTCCATTAAATTACAGAGAATTAGCGAAAGCTAATAGATCAGCACTTTATGTTATTGCCTCATTTTAAGTTGATGAATTTAACAATTAAGATGATCTATGTCTTAATTAAATTAATTATCGACTTGTAATTTTTTAATTCTAGATTTATTTATATTCAGGCATTTCTAAAATTACTAATCTAATAATAAAATATAATTTAACCTTAAATTGATTGTGACTAGACTTATAAGATGCAATGATATTTAAAATATTACATTATCTAAGGGTTAGTTTTCAAGAGATTTTATGATACTTTATTATAATAAAGCTTTGATAAAAACAGTATTTCTTGAACTTTACATACTTCTGTAAATTTATTTTGATAGATTTGGAATGATTAAATGACATTCTAATCTTTTGTCCAACTTTTCAAAGTTTTCATTAAATAACCCATTCCAAATTTTAGCTAATTCAGGTATAAAAATCAAACAATCTAATCCTTTAACATAATCAAGTTCAATTCCTAAAAATTTTTCAAATATTTCATCATATAAATTTTTAGTTAATTCTTCAATTTATCCATGTTCATTTAACATCATATATCCATATGTTAAATTAACAGGTGTAATTAAAGCAGTAGCTCCAAACTCATTAGTACTAGCTTCAAGTCTTAATCTTGTATTAATTGGAACAACAAATTGTGATTTAGTTTTACCTAGGATAACTCTAACCGCACTTCGAACAACATTTATCCTACCTCTTTCAACAAAATTATCTAAATATAAATCATGATCATTTGCTATTATTTAAGGCATAAATCTATTTATATTTTAATCTTAAATCTCTTCATCCTAATATCCTATAGCTTTTTAAAATGTCCTCGTGTATCTAATAACATTTCCTCTAGGTTAAAGTAATGTAATTTATATAACACAACTCCCTGGATCATATATTATTCTTTCATTTGATTATAAGAATTGCATCATCATTTAACCATCTCTTCTATATTATTTAGGTCTTATTTTATTGAAATTTATGTATTTATAAAAGATATTGTAAATAGTATCGCATTCATTACTTTAAGGATTCGTTTTGTATAATAATTGTAATTATTTTTCAAGATCTTTTATATTTTCAAGCAGTTTAAATCCAATATCAACAATATAATCTATATCTATTACTTATGTTAAAATACAACCATAAAAGTCCTTAAATTTATTTAATCTATACCTTTTCTTATCTAACAATAGTTTAAAGATTGCTTTTTAATACATTCAAAGACTCTTCAAATTAATAAACTTTCTTAAATACGAATTTCTAATTTACTAAATCATTTTTTTTAACTAAATCAGAAAATTTATCAAGTGCATCATGCTTTAACTTTCTAATTATCGCTTATTATTTTAAAGTTTATTCCTTATTATATAAACATTATATATTACTTTTTGCATCATTGACAATCTAATAACTTCATATATTGCTTAAGTTGGAACCTTCTTAATTTAAACCAAGAAATAAATATAGATTAACATCAAATTAATATGTTAATTTTCAATAATTTCATCTTCTAATGTTTAACCTATTAGTTCCTTTGCAAATTGTTTCATTTACTCTAAACTTTAAAATGTATCATTATCTTTAAAAAAATCAGTACAAAAGCATTTGTATTTTAATTTTATATTCTTTTATACTTTTCTATCTCTTTATAATTTACATTCTCTCAGATGACTTGATATAAATGTATAGATTTCTAAGGATTGTTTTGGATCCAATAATCTTTATTATTTCTTTAAATCAACCTACTCTTAAAAAATAATATATAATCTTCTTATTTATCTCTCCAAATTGGTTTTTTAAAAATTTGCGTTTCTCAGATCTTACTTTAATATTAATTCATTTGCAATAAAAAACATTAAGGGGTAAAAGATTAGTAGTAATAATACAACACTAATTTTGAATTATGGTTAACCATATTGACACAAAAGCAAGATCAGTTAATAAGTCATACAAAATGTTGAAATTTAAAAATTTAATCTAGATATTCTATAATCTATATAAATCTATTAATTGTAAGCATATATTATCTTCAATAATTAATTTAAGACTCCTAATATTTAGATCACCAATGTATTAAGTTGAATTCCAGATAATAATATTATTCTAATATTCTATCTATCTAAAATATGTACAATAATTAAAATCCGAATAAGACATGGGTTTTCTAAGTTTAAAATTTGCCTAAAAAGTCATACGACTTCATTCTATACTCAAATTAATGTAAATGAATGTATAATCCAATTAATGTTTATTATGTTATCAATAATATACTGAATATTACACCAACATATTCTAATGAATTTAAACTTTCTGAATAATTACAAATTAATACAGGATTCAATAATATTGGTTAATAATGTTATCCCACAAAACAAAAATGGTATTTGTAACAATGAGATGTTTATTTAAAAATGAAAAGAAATCATCCAATTCAACAAATGCCTATCAGAATTATTAGATTCAGCTGACTAATAAATCAAATATTAAAATACCTATTCTATTGTTAAAATTTTGAGTTATTGTTTCTTTTGTATGAATATATTGATGTTTAAAAGAGAATACAATATTATTGTAAGAAATAGGCCTTGTAAAACAAAACCAAAAACTGAAAATATTGATCTAATAGAAATGGAATTTCCAAAAATTGTGTAGAATCTAATTAATAAATGTAAATATGTAACCTAGAGAAATCAATAACACTTCTAATGTGAATCAAAAATTAGTCATATTCAAATTGAATGATATCATTTGTGTAAATAGAAACCATTTAAATGTTTTCAATTAGCAGCAAGATAATAGCAATTAAATAACTTTTTCTCCATGTTTCTTTAACATTCAAGAAATCTTGAGTGTAAAATGTCTTTGTCTAAAGAATAATTTTATTCATAATTATAAGAGGGTAATTAATTAATAATTATTGAATCCATAAGATTATTAAAATCCAATAATATAATCAGAATTGATTTTCTATAAATAAGGAGATTTCTTATTAATAGATACATTTTAGATAACTTCATCTTACATTATTAATGTTATTGAATTTGAAAAAAAACAGGGTAAATAATAAAATAAATTAACTTTTAGAATTTCTAAATTAAAATAAATTAATTTCACATTTTAATTAACTAAAATTAATTTAATAATGATTTATAGATGCAAGAATCTTTTATCTCTCGAAATTTTCGGTATTGTGTGAATAAAGATCATCTTAATATTGCAATAGAAATATAATTGACATAATTTTTCAAAATGAAAATATTTGCTTAATTTTTTGATCAATCATCTCCTCCTTTTGTTCGCTAGTCAAGTAATTGAATTTTTCAAAATATTCATCAACTTTTTAGTTTAATAACTGAAATATGAGAAAAATTTATTACTTCTTGTTTAGTCTCTCTATCAAATAAAATAGTATCCAAAACTTAAATGGATAGATTATTTATGCAATTGTCTTGATTTTCACTTTAACCTTTTTCATCTTATAATTGCATATAATAATTGATCAAGATATCACGATAATTTTCATCAAATTAAAGGGATGGTGCAAGTTATGATTCTGAAATATATTGTTCATTCGCTTTATTTTACATCTAAAATAAGAGAGTTCTTAAAAATAAAAATATAAAATACTGTAATTATTATTGAATACCATTAAAATAGGTCATCTAAATTTAATAATCTTCATCACATAATTTAATGAATGCAATAAATTAAGGGAAAGTATAAAGTTCAATGAAATATGCACATTAATAAATATTTCTTTACGTTTTTAGAATATCTAGAAATTGACCCATTTCAATAATCAATTTCTTTGAAATAATAAAAGCAGGTAGAAACACCTAAAATTAATTAAAAATTATTACATTAGTATTTTGAGTGTGATTTCTTTAATGAATTTCATGTAAAATAGTACCTAAGAAAACTAAAGTATTTCTTTCATTTAAATATTTTTCAAATACATTGTTTAAATCATTTGTTTTTTATTACTAAAGATGTTTTTATGTAAGAGCTTCTTATAATAATAATTCTTCATCCTTAGAATTATCCACAACTTATTTATGTTCGAATTTAGGATCATCAGATTATAAATTCATTATCATATTCTAATTAGTGATATTGTCAAATTTTTATTAATTTTACTCATAGACTTTCTTATTCATGTTCAAATCTACTTATGTAGCAACTACTTTGTCAACTGTTAATTAGGATAAGGCTAAGTAAATAAATTGATTATAATTGAATACCACGTTAAACGACTTGATTAGAAAATAAAGGTGATTAATATAGTTCATTCCATTACAATCTTTATTTTGGATTTGGATTAAGCATTTTAATGAGCAACTCTTAAGATTATTTAGATATTTGAATGTTATTTCTATTTAAATTAGGTGAATCTTTAAAATAATAGAATTTAGATTTACTTTTTTTAACATCCTTAAGAAAATCATCGTTACTTATAGTTCTAAAAGGTAGTACTCCAAAAAGTAATTGATAATAAATAGCTCCAATTGAAAACATATCTGCAAGAATTCCATATGGTTTAAATTCTATGATTTCTGGAGCCATTGTTCCTAATGTACCCAATGCTTCTTTAACTACTCCATCTAAACTTTCTAATCTTTTAGCAAATCCTAAATCTCCTATCTTTAAAACAGAATTAGAAATTAATATATTTGCCAATTTTAAATCTCTGTGAATAACTTTCATTTCATGCAATCTATTATTTTTTATCGTTTTACCCTCTCATTCCATTCAATATCTATTTCATATACTAAATTGCAACTTCTTCTTTTATACAACCCTTTTTCCTCAATAATTATTCAAGATCTCCTTCTAAATTAATATAATTATTTTCTTTACAATTACAATATTCCATAACTAAATAGCAATTATTATCACTTTCTAGGTACTTATTCATTTTAACAACATTTATATTATTACATGAAGCTAACACTTAAACTTCTGTCTTTAACAATTATCCTACTAACCCATTACTTTCTTTTCTAATCAAAATATAATCAAATCAATTACAATTTAACTTTTGAAACACATTTAATAGCCACTGTTTCTTTTGTAATTATGTTTTATGCAGAAAATACCTTTATTCATTTAATATATGCTTTACTTAACCAAATGCTCCTGAGCCTAATAATTCTACAAAAATATAATCATCTATCCTCTTTCCAACAAAGTTTCGAGTCTATTAAATATTCATAAATTAATTATTTAGTTTTTATAGTAAGATTAGAAATTAACTCAGATAATCTATATAATTTATCCAATTAAATCAATTCATATTATCATATATCACTTCTATAATTATACACATCATCTTTCTCTAAGACTTCTATAACTTTTTGTTAGCATATAATCTAGATTAGTATTGATAGTAATATAAAAAAAAAGATTAATCATTTTTTTAATAGAGAATTTAATTAATCAATAATGTTTTTTTTATCTTTATATTTCCCTTCTAAAGATTAGTCGGAAATAAGTAATCTGATGAAATTGATTATTAGATCAAATTTTTTAATTAATCTACTTCTGATTCTTCATAAAATTCTATACATTGTTAACTAAATATTATATTCTTATTGCAAAATATCCTCTCTCTCTAAGTGGATTTTTGTTTTATTTAGAATTTATGTTTAAGGAAAACCTTTTCCACACCAAATCATAGGAATTGTAAATAGAAAGCACCAAGTCTAGTCAGTATTACTCTGCAATCCCATACTATCTTTAATATAGATTCGATAGTAATCAATACGATTTTTTTATTTCTTATTACTGTTTTTTAATTAAATTATCTTTTTAAGTCTTTAGAAGAGTAATTTACTATTTTATTTTTTTGAGAATTACAAATAACAATTTATTACTATTTTTAATTTAAAAAAGAAGATATGTCTTAAATAATATTGTATTAATAAACGTTAATTTATGAATTGATTTCTTTTTCTAACTTATTTTGTTACTTAATTATTTTATATAAATATTAATTACAATTGATTTGGTATTTATTAAGAATGTAAATATTTTATATTTTCTGGTTCTTTAAAAATTTATTAATAGAACAAGGTAAGGTAAGAATCATAAGTGGCTTTTGTAGATTAATGTGTTTTATGTTTAAATATTTTTATAAGTGTTTTTTTTTGAACCTTGAGTAGAGAAATAAAAATTTGAGAATGAATGACTTAGAAATTCTTAAATTTCGTAAATGGGCTGAACTATTAAGATTAATTGAGATTAGTTCTTGAGTGTCTTACTAATTTTAATTAATATTTAAATTAATTATGTTAAGATCTAAAATCTGTTTTGTATTATTTCTGTATATTTGATTAGATGAGTATTTTTCTAAGTTAAATTGAATGAATAAATGGCTTCTTAAAAAGCAAAGTAAAGTATACTGGAAATCTAAATAAATTTATATTCATTAATTTTGCCATCGATCTAATTAATAAATGTTCTATAAACACTCTTATCATTCATCAAGATTTACTACTTAGATTGAGGAATCATAAAGTCAAGAAACTATGGATGTAAAATAACAGAGACCTTTTAGAAGGTTTGTTTCTACTAGTTTGAGTTTATACAATCGGCCATATTTATATACAAGAAGTATCCCAAAATCTTTAATCGAAGAAGGTAATAATTAAATTATAAGTATTATTATAGGGTATAGATCTAAAAGCATACTTTATCATATGTGTTTATTATAGAATGATATAAAATTAAAGAATAGATAAAATAGAAGGGATAGAGAAAAAACAACTATATTCACAGACAACATGGAATTATATCATCATAAAATCATTAAAAGGATTAAAGAAATTTGTAGAAGGAGAAGTTGTAATTGTGGTGGATGTGGTATAAAAACAAATTTCGAAAAGAAACATGATGATTTTGAAGTTCGTACTTAGTAAGCAATTACAACAGATTTAAAATTATTATCATTTACAAGAGGAGGATAAAAGAAAAAGCAAACAATAATTAAGGAGTTCAAAATAAAATAAATTAATGAAAAAAAAATTAAGAATTAATTCTCATCAATGAATTCATAATTATAGATCAATATTCCTTTAACTTAAAGAGAAAATGTTTAAATAGATAAGTAAGAAACATAAAGATCTTTATTGAAAACAACAAAAGAGCTGATACAATCATTACCTTCAATAAAAAACATTGTACCTTTAACAATATTAAAATAAATCTATATAGCAGGTAGATAGTAAAAATAATGTGCAATTCGGAAACCATCTCATGATTCTCTAATAATGAGAGCTTACAAACTGAAATGATACTCAGAGTTAACTTCTCATTTATAAAGAACAATACTTTTAGAGTTATAAATGTATATATATATCTGTATATTAAATTATATAGATTATATATATATGGTGTTCATATAATTTTTATTTTAAGCAAGACTCTACCAACTTAGATTTCTTAAATATCTTTTAGTAATTGTAGTTTGTTCTGAATGATTCTCAAAGTACCAAATTTACTGCCTTAATCTTAGATAGACCAGAATTTTTCATATGAGATATTGGCATGATTTCTTGAAACTGAGATATCTTGACATCTAATTTCACTATTATGTCCTCTTCCTATTGATACAGAACATGTTCCAAAAGCATGCATAAATGTTAAACTTTTTGAAAGACTCTCTTATCTTGTGATTTATTCAAGAATTATGTAGGGACCATCTAATTTTTCTACTTATATCATTTAAAGAGGTTCTGGTTAATTCTCAATATATACACGAGCTGGAAGAGGGTCTTTACAAACCTTTCTGAATTTGAATAACTTACATCACATTCTAAAACTTTATTCCAATGGTATTAAACAGTATTTTATGTTTATTTACATGAGATTCTATTTTGAAAATTAACCCATTGTTTAAGACATTCAAAATGAACATAAGCCATAAGTCCTTTACAACTACACAAATCAGATAGAAAAGGATTCTTTGGATCTTCTGTTACTTCTTATTCTTCCATTAAACAAAATCTACACTATCTTGGATCTTCTTTCTTTTATAATTTAATATGTCTATCTAAATTATAATGATCTTCAGCCATCATTATTTTATCACCATTGTTTAATTCAGATACAAAATATTCCCTTATTAATAAATTATAATATTACATTCTTCCAAATTTAAAAAGATCGCCAACCTATAACTATTATCTTTATTTTGGATCTAATTTCACATAAGCATCTTAAAAGTCTGGATTACTTTTAAAATCTAAAAAATGCATTTTATATTTACATATAGCATTCCCTTCATAACTTATTGAACCAATACAATCTTAACTAATTTTCTCTGATAAAACAATAGTATCAGGATTATCTTCTATTATAATATTTTAATAATAATTGTACCATTTAAAATTAAGTTTGTTGTGTTTTTCACAGTTATTTTTGATGTTTTCAATTCTTTTGATTCATAATCAAATAATCCATGATTGTTATGAGTCCAAGTTGCTATATCTATAGATATCTACATGAGAATATTAAAATTATTAATTAAAATATTTCATTTTTTTAAGTTTTATCCTTTAATGGAATATATTGCATTAGAATTAGAAGCTAAATTATTATTATAATGATAAAAAAACATATATACACAAATATAAGTTGAAGAAAATCTATTATTTAAAAAGGCTGATAGAATTATAAATATGACTCAAGGAGCTAAGAAAAGTAATATAAAAACTGTTATTTCAAATTAACATTCACATTCAAATAAATATAAAAATAAGAAACTACTCGAAGAAACACTACATTTAAAATTATTGCATTACAGAATTACACTCCTATTTAAAGAGAAAATGTCAGTTAAGTTAATAGAAACAATAAAATCTTTTTATTATTTAGTAATTAATCAATTCATATCATTTTATCAATTTTAATGAAATGTTGGATCTCAATCTTAATTCTTATGATGTTTTACAGTTTCCATTAGAATATTTATTAATATGATACAAATTTGAAGTCTCTTTTGATGGTGTAATACCTTTCACAACACTATTATTATAACTCTTAACAGTTGTCTCTTTGTGTAACTTTGAAAATTAGTTTTACGATTTTGAAACTGACAAAATACCTCCATTTGAACTTCGTCTACTTAAATCATTCTTTTAGGGAGATTTATTATATTAAAATTAAGACATCTCTATCTATTTTTTTTATTCTTATAATTGAGTTAACATATTGTTAAGTTACAATATTTCTTATTCTAATAAAGCCTTATTTGGTTTATTCTTTTATAACAATTACTCTTAAGTACTTTCAATAGCTAATTGTATTGAACTTAAATATTTCTATAACTCTGACTCTTGATTATTAAAATGATCAATTTTTTTCTTAAACTATTATTCTAATTACTCAATCTCTTATTCTATTTTATTTTTACGTTCGATATAAGGTTTTTCGCTTCCACTGAGTTTATCAAAATCTTTCTTTGCTGTATTCATTGATTATTAAATATTCTTTAATTCAGGAAGTATTTCTTAATCTACAATCTGAATGTTTATTTTTATTGCCTAATCTTATTGATAATATTTTTAAAGCAGTTTATAAGTATTATTAAATTACTCCTTTTAAAATATTATATAAGATTACCTCTTCTTAATCCTGCATTAATAATTACATCTCTTTAAAGGTTTAGTCAAGCATAGACTTATATTCGGTAATTCCAAGTTTGTTTAATATATGATTAAGTTCTTCTTCATTCTAATCCTAATATTGTTGAAATGCCTATTCACTTAATTAACTGATCCTTTCTTGAAATTAATCATATAATCTATTATTGAAAATATATATACATTTCTCTTCTATATAGTGCTGAAGAATGTTCTTCTTCTAATTCTTTTATTTATTATTTCTTTAATTCTACTTAATGATCTAAAGCACAAACTTCATTTGATATCAATAATTCATCACCATATTATTTTAAACTATGCTTTAAATCCTATATATATATATAATTATTAATTACAGATAATTGAATATAGATTTATCTTTGAGATAATGAGGCAAATATAAATTATTCCAATTAAAATACAAATTCTTTCAAACTTCCCCAATTACTTCCTAAATTTCCCTACTTGAATAGATTATTTCTAAATTGCTGAATAAAACTAGATAATTTAGTTTGGAACTCAATCGACTCTAAATGAATAGGTTAATTTCCATATTAAGCTATAAAGTCATTTAGAATAGAATCTGGATGTTACAAATTCAAGCTTTTTTAAATTGGTACAATTTTATTTCTTAAAGATTTAACCTTTTAAGTTTGTTAATGTACTTACACTTCCAATAAAGTAGTTTAATTAAATGAAGCTAATTATTTTTTTTTCTAATCTTATTAAAAATACAACTATTAGATATGTATTTTTATTTCTTAAATATTTTGAAGAATTTCTTTTACTTTTAAATCACATTAATAAATTGATTCAACAATTTCAGTAAGTTAAGGATGCTCATTTTTAATTTGTTCAACAAATTCTTCTAATTCTTCTTTCTAACCAACTAACTCTGCTCTTTATAACAATTTTGCATTCAAATCTTCTTACAACATAGCTTTTGTTTCTAATATTGAATTATATGTTTAATGAACATCACTTCTTTCTTTGAGAAATTATTGATGTTCTTAAGTTATCAACTAATATTAAGATTTGAGTTTGTTGAATTCATTTTCATAGTAATCATAAAGCATAGATTATTGTTTAACAATATCATTTTGCATTTACTGATAACTAAATTATTTATTTATGGTACTTTTATTCTTCAAAACGTAAATCTTATAGTTTAGTTTAATAAGTTGATTAATCTATTGAGCATTTAGATTCACCAAGTAGAGATGTTATCTTTTTCTTAATGTTGGATTAGTATTCAATTATTTTATGATCAATTTATTCTAATTAATCTTGTAGATAATCAGATCCACTATTTAACACTTCATTGATGAGTTTATGAGAAATGTTACTCTGTCTAACAATCGAACAGTATTTTTATGAATTCTCCTTATTTGAACGTTTATATGATGGACTATCTGTTAGCATCAAATTTTAACGATAATTAATAAAATTTTGCTCCTTTTTTTTTAAAGAAATTTATAATTATATTTTTTTAAAAAGTCATGGCTCAAAATCCAATTTTAAATCATTAAATAAAAAGTACAGATCATTCATTTGACAGTTAAAGTGAAGGAGAATAAGAAGATTCTTTTGAATTAGTTGAAAAAAAAATTAAGAACAAAAAATCATTTTTATAAGAAGAACCAAAGAAAAAAAAGAAGGAGATATGTCGAAATTATTAAATAATGGGTATTTGTAAATATAGAGAATAAGTAATTTTGTTTAAATATCATTTAGTGTTTTTATGCTCACTCTCCTTCCTATTCTTAAATTACAGCTTAACCTAAAGTTCTTACTAAGATAAAACCTTGTAAAAGATATTTTAATGGTATTTGTTACTTTGGACAAAAATGTCAATTTTTACACTATGAATGTATAGATGTAATAGAACTAAGAGAATTTGTAGAGAAACAATATAAAGAATAAAAATTGATAGTTCCTTTAAATCCAAGTTTTAATTTATTCAATTAAATAGCTAAATTAGATCAAAATATAAGATTTGATTTACAAAGATTTCACCATCTTTATAAAATTTTTGGAAGAAAATTAAACTTCAAAAGAGATGATTTAATAATTAATAGTAGTAGTAGGTAAGAAACATATATATATTTAGTCGTTTAAATATATTCATATCAATTTGTAAATAATAAGACAGATTCGAATAATTATTAATGTCAAATAATACAAGCAGAAAAGAAAGTGAATAGAGCTGAATCCACTTTATTTTGGTAAGTTTATTAAATCATATTTTAAATGTTTTCATTAAAGGATATAAATTTAAGGCTCGATCTCTTTTTTCTTCAACTTATTTTTTTTACCTAGTTCATAAATATTTCTTTATTCTATTAATCTCTCGATTCCATTTATGTTGATTCTTAATCTAGCTTAAATTTTTTATTTCTAACCTTAAATATTATAATACAATTTATATTTTTTAGTAATTTATAATTCCTTATTACATTTTCTAATAATTTCTTTTTATTATTCTTCCTATAAAGTTGGTTGTTGTAATGGATTAATTTTAAAAATCTATACTCTTTTTGCATCAAAATCTTCCCTTTCTTTAATTATTTCTTTGAGTTTTAATTGCTTTTAACGAAAAGTTTCTCCTTCTTTAATCATTTATATTATTTTCTATTCTTTTTATTTAGTTATTTCTTCTTCATGTCTTTGTAATTCTTCTTAATGTTTTTCAAATTTATATGTAGTTAACTTCTTATTCTTTCAATTGAATAACGCTTATATCACAAGCCTTCTATTTTAGTTACATTTAAATCTCTCATTTTTATACTTCCTATTTAATTTGATTAAATTTACTCTTTATTTTTTCATTTCTAATTCTCTGTCTTTTATTTCTTTTTCTAATTACTTTTTTCCTCATCCTAACACTATATTGATTATCTGACATCCATAAACTTTTATCGTTTATTCATAGATTTTATTTCTTCATTTTTTTATCTACTTTCTTTCTTAAAATATACTATATCTTATTGTAATTTTTTATATTCTTTTAATTGTATCTCTTTCATTTAATTATATTGCTTTGCTAAAATTATATATGTTTCTCTTTTTAATTATTTTTTAATTAGACTTCTCTGAATCTCTTCTATTAACTTTTTTAACTCAATATCTTTTATCCTTTTTACATCAAGCGTTATTTACATCTCTTATCTCTCCTTATTTAAATGATAAAGAGCTTCATTAATTTTATAATTCTCGCACATCAATAATTATAAAATTCAAATTATGTACACTAATAATCGTTCTTTGAATTAACTCTCACTTTGACTAATTCATTCACCTATTCAAAATCCAAATTCATAACTCTTATCATATGAACCTTTTTTAATTTTTTCACTCTACGAAAATAATTGATAAATTAAAAAAAAAATTATTGACAAAATTTTTATAATAAGAAGGATTTTTAATAGCACAATTATTTATTTAAGATCAATTTTATTTACAATTAACTTAACACTTATTTTAAAGTTTTTTAAAATTTTTAATAGATGCTAATACTGTTTATAGTGTTTCAACAAAAAAAAAGTAGTAGAAAAAATTGAACTTAAGATAATAATTTTTATTTTGAGAAAGAATTTAAATTTTTTATCATTTTTGTTTAATTTCAAGACTTGATTTTATAGAATACATTGAATTAAAATTTTAAGAAATATATTCTAAGATCAAGATGATTTTATTTATTATTATTAATTGTAGAATTTCAAGTTTCTGCTATTTATGAATCCTCAAAACTCAAAGTTTGCACTTCTTAAAAATAAAGATTTTGAATTGCCAAAAATAAAAGCAATGACACACCATTCCTTCTACCGTGGAAGATTAAATACACATTCATCACCAGAATCAAAAGTCTTCAAATCAGAATAATTAACTTTTTAATCCACACTTATAATTAAAAGATTATAACCAAGATGCAGACAAAGGAAAGTTAAAATGCTTAATATTTCTTTACAGAAAATCAATAATACATCATAAGAGCATAGATTTTAATTTCTTTTAAATCAATCTGTTGATGTTAAAGGGTGGTCATAAAAAAGCGTCATTGAAATATCTGATATATGATACTAACTAATTAACATAATAAAAATTGAATGTAATTGTAAAAAATCTTAATTAAATATAATAAAAAAAAATAACTCTTCTCATATTTGTATAGTCATATTTATGTTTTTCTTCTTAACTCATGATATATTCTTAAAATAGTAAAAGATGAAGAATTAAGAATATAAAAATCGTAATTCCTTTCAAAGAATCATGAATGGATGGATATAAGTCATCAGATACAGATTGAAAGGTTAAATTATAAAATGCTAAAAAAATTAATTTTCATTATTACTAATAAAATTTTAGTGTTGGAGCTAGATGAAGAGAAAAGAGGAGTTTGTTAACTCTTCATTAAACTTTGATCAAAGAATTTTAGTTAAAGATATATATATTATAACATTTTCATTAGATATAGAAATTTTAATCTGTTGCTGAAGAAACTTATATGTTTTTTATAAATTTGATTGGTTTATGAATTAATCCTCATAAATTCTTAGAAAACAAAAATAATTATTAATTATTACTAAAAATTAATTAAGTAAATTATATTCTCAATTTATCGTATTATTGAATATACTTAAGATTCTGATTCAAATTGTATTTATATAAATCAATTATCGCAAAAAATAAATTTTGATATGAATTCATCAATAGACTTTTAGGAAGTAACTATGTTTGTTAATAGAAAGAGATGATTAATTTTTAGGTTCATTTTTGATAATAGCAACTTAAAGGATGAGTTAAATTTATATCTTCTATTAAAAATAATTATTAAGACCAAACTCAAGTTTTAATTTTATATTCTAAATATATTTTTTTCTTATATTTTACAAAGACCAAACATAATTATTTATTTTATAAAGCTTTGAGCTATTGAAATTTTCAATAAATTTTTAATATTTGATGTCAATAAGCATAAATAATCATTCATCTGTGCATCCAATAATTCTAATTCTTTTATCACAAATTTCTGTCAACCATCCAATATCACATTGATCAGGAATACAACAATTTTACCAATTCTTTCCACAATTGATTCCATTAGCTTAAGTACATTTATTTCTACAATCTTCATTATCATTTGCATATCCTATTTCTCTTTGATGATTATTTTTAAAATTATGAATTTACTTTTTTTTTAGGTAAGTATCTTGAGTTACTTAGTATGTGACTAGTATGATTAATACAGAAGCCACTAGAAATATTAAATATTTATTCATATTATTATGATATTTTAATAATAAATATAATTAATTAAATTATGAATCCTTTATAAGGATATCTATTGCTTTGCTTTCAATATAATTCCTTCAGTTTATAATAAACTTATGGTTGCAATTAACTATCCAGGAATTTATTGATATAGGTTCCAATTTTGATCTTTTTAACATATCCAGCACTCAATGATGATTCTACAGATGCAGAAGTTGATGTTTCATTTGGTTCCCATACTTATCGAATAAAATCAAACTCATTCTTATTTCCAGAATCAATTATTTCTTTAATTATTTCATCATTAGTTTTCTTGGCTGCCGTTCTTAAATTAATTGCTTCTGAATTCATTATAATAATAAATAAAATAAAAAATCATAGTTTTTAGTTTTCTTAACATATCAAAAAAAGATGAAACTTATTCAAAGAGAATTTTTTTGAATTCTTTAACACTTTGTATTAATGTATATAACTCTATAGTTAAACTTATCTAAATTTATCTTAAGTTCAAGATTATTGATGTATATTTATTATAAAACGTATATTCCTTAAATAAAATAAAATTTATTTGTTTTTACATTTCGGTAATATTGGCAAAATGAAACAGAATCCAATAATTTTGAATAAATCTATTTTTTAAAATAAATCAAGCAAAAATAAAATGGATTTTTAATAAAATTCAAGCTATTAAATTCTAGTTAAATAATTAAACTCTATATCTAACTATATTAATATGTTAGTATATGGGTCTTTTTAATTTACATAATATGTTTTAATTCCCTCATTGAAACGAATAATTTAATTTAGAGGAGTTGAATATAATTTAAATGAAAATTTGGTTATCAATCTATTGTATTATTTGCATAAATGTTAATTTTATGTTGTAAAAGATTCTGATGACTTAAATTCATATTGAATACAACATCTAGTAATATCGATAGCTGATCAATAAAAATTATTAGATAATTATTATATAAGTATTAAGGTTCTTTCTGACAAAGTAATATAAAAAGTGATCTCAAATAAAAATTATGATTTTAAAATAATTTAAAAAAGAATTTTATTTTTCTTTTATGCTGCAACAACTAAATAAAGAAGTATTATGTGAAATGATGAATAGGTTTTATTGAAAAGAAGAGAGGCATTAGAATAAGTGATAAAAAGAAGATTTATTTATTAACCTGCTTTTTCACTTTATGGAGGAGTGGCAGGATTATATGATTATGGACCTGTTGGATGTGCAATAAAAACAAATATAGAATAATATTGGAGAGAACACTTTATAATAGAAGAAGACTTATTTGAGATAGCAGCAACAATTTTAACTCCAGAGCCAGTATTAAAAGCATCTGGACACGTGGATAGATTCACAGATTTATTAGTTTGTGATATTAAGACAGGAACAGGATACAGAGCTGATAAAATAGTTACAGAGGTAATAATATAAGTATAAGTGTAATAGACATTAGAATAGAGAATAGCAAAAGAAGGAGATAAATTAGGAGCTGATGTTAAAGCTAAATATTTAGCAGTTATAAAAGATGTTGATACATTTAAATAGGATAAGATGAAAGAGATTATCGCTGAATTATAAATAAAGGCTCCTGAAACTGGAAATGAAGTAATAAAATAGATAATACATAATTAGTTAACTGATCCATCTCCATTTAATTTAATGTTACCAACAATAGTAGGACCATCAACAAAATTACCTGCTTTTTTGAGACCAGAAACAGCTTAAGGAATGTTTCTTAATTTTGCTAGACTTTTAGAGTAGAATGGAGGAAGAGTACCATTTGGAGCAGCTTAAATAGGATTGGGATTTAGAAATGAAATCGCTCCAAGAGGAGGATTATTAAGATGTCGAGAATTTTAAATGGCTGAAATTGAATATTTTGTAGATCCAACAGAGAAAGCTACCTTTAAGAAATTTAATAAATATATCAATTTAGAAATACCTTTATTATCTAGACAACTTTAAGCTGATGCTTTATAACATTAACCTTTTAAAATGGGAGATGCTGTAAAAGCAGGAATAATTAATAATGAAACACTTGCTTATTTTATATGCAGAACATATCTTTATTTAGTTGAAATAGGAATTAATCCAGTTAATATTAGATTTAGATAACATTAAGCAGATGAAATGGCTCATTATTCATCTGATTGTTGGGATGCAGAAATTGAAATGTCTAGTGGATGGGTTGAATGTGTTGGATTAGCTGACAGATCTGCATATGATCTTAATGCCCATTCTAATGCAACTGGATAAAAATTATAAGCTGCTCGTAAATTTAAAGTTCCTTAACCAAGATAAGTTTTATCAATCATATTAGATAAATAAAAAATTGGAAAAGAATTGAAAAAAGATGGAATGGCTTTAATTAAATATGTTGAAGCATTACCTGATGATGAAAAATTAGAATTATCAGAATATTTCTAAACTCATGATGAAAAGGTATTCAATATTGATGGAAAAGATTTAACTTTAAATAAATAACTTGTTAAATTTGAATAAAAAACTATGAATGTAATGGAAGAAAAGTTTATTCCACATGTTATTGAACCAGCATTTGGAATAGGAAGAATTTTATAAGCTATTATTGAACATTCTTTCAACTAAAGAGATGATCCTTAAAAAACCTTTTTTAAATTCTCTCCAAGAGTTGCACCTGTTAAATGCTCAATCTTATCTGTTGTCTAAAATGAAGAATTTGATCTTGTTATTTAAGAATTAAGTATTATTATACTTATTTTTTAGCTGCATCTCTTAAGAAATTGGGAATATCTTGTAAAACTGATAATGCTGGAGTTGCTTTAGGAAAAAAATATGCTAGAACTGATGAGATCGGAATTCCATTTGCTATCACAGTAGATAAAGAAACACTTACTGCTTAATCTGTTACATTAAGAGAAATTGAAACTACTAAATAAGTTAGAGTTCCTATTGTTGAAGTACCTAGAATTATTCTTGAATTAAGCAGCGGATTAATTCTTTGGACAGATGTTTTAACAAAATATCCACTTTTTGCTGCTAAAGAAGAAGATGCATGAGTATTATTTAATAACCAATCAATAATGTGTTCTTTTTATTTTCATCATTTTAGGTTTTTTAAAACAAAATTTATGATATAAATATTTTCACAAATTATTTGGCTAAATCAATATTTATTTTATAAAAATTCATTATTATTTAGTTTAATATATACTTTACTATTCAAATTTTAGATATAGTTTTTTATTAAAACTCTTTCTTCTAATCTATTACAGATAAAATTACGCATTTTATATGTTTGAAGAATAATAAAATTATATTATACCAAACAAATTAAAATTAATATTTTATGGTTAAAATTCAAGGTATTTAGGATAAATTGAAATTCTACTAATAGTTTTTTGGAAAGTATAAATAAAATAGTTTTATAGACATAAATAACTGTATTATAATCTAATTATTCAAATTCATTTTATTTTTATGAAGGAATATTAATTTAAATAAATTTATTATAAAGTAAATAGATGCAGAAATAATTAAGTGCTTATGATTAGTACTATATTTATTAATATTTAACATAGATTAGAGTAATTTTTCTAAAGAAGTGATATTAAGATTGATGAATACCAATCTGCTTTTTCTAATTAGATTGTTTTATTTGCCTGCTCTAATCTGGATCAAAATAAGACTTTTATATAATTTTAGATGAATCCAATCTAAACAGAAATAGGTACTCATCATTGAATATTCAGCCACTGTTAATATACCAAATGCAAGAATATTTCCTTTCAAAGATTTGCAAAGTTAAGAAATAGTTTAGAAATTTTAGTAAAATTCAGACATTATTTTGTACTCATTCATGCATTCTTATGATACTATTTCAGTTAGTTATCTTGAATTTTGTGAATTGTTTGCTATCACTTACAATGGATATACAATAATAATAGGTAATGATCAAGATGTTAATAAATGGAATCCTCCTAATAAAGAAAGATTTTTTGAAGTTGTTTATACTTTCTTTGGAATTTTATCAAGGTTAAATAGGGCTCTATAAAATTTTAAAAAAGATCTAATTAATAGAAGCTTAATTGGTATGTTTAACTATAAATCAATATAATGGCTTGGTATAGTAGAACATTATGGATCAGAAAAATTATTACAACCTGATATAGTGAAAAACTTTTTATAAAAATATAACTTAGAATTTGTATTTGTCAAATGCTATTAAGGTGTCAATCTTAATTCTATACAATAAATTTATCAAGAAATTAGAAATTAATTAATATTTGATTTTAATGATATGAATATTGGATCAACTCTGTATTTTTGGAGTTCTAAATAATTTTTAGGAAGCTATTTCATCCCACATAAGCATTATGAAATATTAGATACTGTTAAAAAAATGTTTAAAGAAAGAAAATTTATCAACTAATAATAAAGTCCATATTCTTTCCTTAGTGACTATGATCTTAACAGTAGTGAAATAGAATTTTATAAAAAATACATAAATAGAATTTTACGAGATAATAGTAGTGNTATTATAATCTAATTATTCAAATTCATTTTATTTTTATGAAGGAATATTAATTTAAATAAATTTATTATAAAGTAAATAGATGCAGAAATAATTAAGTGCTTATGATTAGTACTATATTTATTAATATTTAACATAGATTAGAGTAATTTTTCTAAAGAAGTGATATTAAGATTGATGAATACCAATCTGCTTTTTCTAATTAGATTGTTTTATTTGCCTGCTCTAATCTGGATCAAAATAAGACTTTTATATAATTTTAGATGAATCCAATCTAAACAGAAATAGGTACTCATCATTGAATATTCAGCCACTGTTAATATACCAAATGCAAGAATATTTCCTTTCAAAGATTTGCAAAGTTAAGAAATAGTTTAGAAATTTTAGTAAAATTCAGACATTATTTTGTACTCATTCATGCATTCTTATGATACTATTTCAGTTAGTTATCTTGAATTTTGTGAATTGTTTGCTATCACTTACAATGGATATACAATAATAATAGGTAATGATCAAGATGTTAATAAATGGAATCCTCCTAATAAAGAAAGATTTTTTGAAGTTGTTTATACTTTCTTTGGAATTTTATCAAGGTTAAATAGGGCTCTATAAAATTTTAAAAAAGATCTAATTAATAGAAGCTTAATTGGTATGTTTAACTATAAATCAATATAATGGCTTGGTATAGTAGAACATTATGGATCAGAAAAATTATTACAACCTGATATAGTGAAAAACTTTTTATAAAAATATAACTTAGAATTTGTATTTGTCAAATGCTATTAAGGTGTCAATCTTAATTCTATACAATAAATTTATCAAGAAATTAGAAATTAATTAATATTTGATTTTAATGATATGAATATTGGATCAACTCTGTATTTTTGGAGTTCTAAATAATTTTTAGGAAGCTATTTCATCCCACATAAGCATTATGAAATATTAGATACTGTTAAAAAAATGTTTAAAGAAAGAAAATTTATCAACTAATAATAAAGTCCATATTCTTTCCTTAGTGACTATGATCTTAACAGTAGTGAAATAGAATTTTATAAAAAATACATAAATAGAATTTTACGAGATAATAGTAGTGGTTATACTTTTTCTACTCTAACTTCAATTATATTCAATGCTATTTTGATTGGTTAAGAGAATTAACATAATAAATTTGAATAAAGATACCCATTATCATTTTGTATGAAACCTACATCGATTGTTATAATTCCATTAGGTTTTAATATATCAGGATTAGGATTCGATAATTTATTTTAATCCTTGTAATAAATATTTTCGTTTGTAAAAAAAATAAAATCAGTAAATCAAATTACCAACACTCGTTAAATTTACTATTTTGATTAATGTTTTTGTTTTGATTAATGCTAAAATTTAATAAATCACCTAAATAAAATAAAAAATCTTAAGATTGTAGGTCTTTTACACCAAAACAACTAGTAAAGTTATAAATTATAGAGTGGAGAATCATTACCTTTTTCATTTGATTATATTTCTTATAGTTTAATAGAGTCATCAAAAACTTATGATAATTTTGAAAACTCTATTAATATTTTATTATCTTATTTAGACTAAGATATAAAGTAATTACCACTGAATGAATTATTATAAATATCAATAATACCAGAAGACTAAAAACAGGGAAAAATTAAAATTTTATGTTAAGAATAGGATATTTATGAAATTATTTATAATAAAAATCTTAATATAGAATAAATGCGGAACCATTTTTTACAATTGAGATAGAATAATTCTTCAGTAAATGATCAAAATTTTTAAGTTTAAGTTTAAAATCAATATTTTTATAAGTAAAGTTTGAAATTAATTGCTGATATTGAAGCGTAACTGAGAATTTTTCTTTAAAATCCTAAGACATCAAGATCTTATGTAATTATTACAAATTAATATAATCAACAATAATGTGAAAAATAGAAATCAAGTGAATGTATAATTACTAATTAGAGTTGGAAGGAAATAGAAGATTATGTACTTGATTCATTAGAGCTTATAAAAGAAATATATAGATAGAATGAGATTATATCTTAAACATTTAAAATTTTAGATTCCTAGTTTCTACATGCTGGACAGGTAGTTTACAAAAGTAATAAAATCCCATTTAAGGTATTAAATAATAAAATAAGTTCTGTGAAAATGTAAATATTTGTAATTGTATTGAATGCAATGATAATAATACTACCTTAAGACTTATAATTATTTTCGGGTATAACAATTTACACGAAATAGTTGGAGGCTTCATGTATGGATGATATATTAAAAATATTGAAAGAGAATATAGAAAAACTTTAATAAGAAAATATAGAAGAGAGATCTGTAGTAAATTAGTAATTTAATTTTAACAATTAAGATTGGAATGCATATATTGTAAAGTATTCATCAGCTGAAATTAATTTATAGAATATAAAGTAAGAATGATTCATAATGTATATTTATATATAATAAATATCTTAAAAAGGGAATTATAAAAGATAAGTTAAATCGTAGTAAAAACTTTAAAGTCTTTTTTAAAATCATTTTATAATTTAGTTTTGGTATTTAAATCCTACAATATGTAAAAAAGATTAATTTGATATTAAAATAATGCCTAAACATGTTTAAGAATATACAGAGAGAGTAAGATTATAAAATGATTTAGTTTGATTAAGTTTTAGAGATGTTAGTATAGAAGGTAGGAGAAGCTAAATGGGCTGAAATAACAAGATAAATGAAGAATTTGTATGGGATAAATGTACCATAGAAACCTATGGTTTAAGCTAGATGGAGAGCAATAGATCCAAAAATAAATAGAGAACCATTTACAGCAGAAGAGATGGTATAACATTGGCATCATTGTGTAAGATTTAAATGTCATTGGGATGCTATAAGAGATTAATATGAATTAATAGGTTAACAAAGAGATAAGACTTATTTATCATAGAGATTTTCTATATATTTTACTTAAAAGTTATCAGAATTGAATAGAGAAATAGGAAAGATAGCATCATACAATTAATAGAAAATAGATACAATGAGAGATACTACAAAAAAGAGAGTTATAGAATTTAATAGTAGAGATCCTTTAAGTGTTTAAGATTAATCAGCAAGAGAAATTATAGTGAGTTGTAAATCATTAGTAAAAGTAATGACTTATTTAATTGATAATTCACATCTTTAAACTGAATTAATGTGGGCTGAAGTTAAGAAGATAATATCTCCAGCTAAATTTTAGAAAGTATTATTTAATATTTTTATAATGGATACAATTGTGTTAATATCTTGTAATGAATTAAAAGCTATTGATGATACATCTGATTTAATTAATGCAGATGATTTCAGAAAAGGAAAATATATTAAACCTACAAAAATAAGATTTTGGAAAGATGCACTTGAATAAGAATCAAGTCCTGAACATACAGAAGAAGAGGAAATCTTAACTACATCAGTTAGATTAAGTAGAATGGGACCTTAAACTTAATTTACAAAAAAAGATATTGATGAAATTAAAGATAGCTTTATTTATAAATATTGTAATACAGATTAAAATAAAGCCTTTTATAATTGGTATAATGAAGCTAAAACATAAAAGAATGCATTCCCATCTGATTTAACTATAGATGTTATGGAATTGGAAGGTGGAAGATAATTATTAAATTATGATCCTGCTCAACCTAAAAGAAAATATGTTAAAAAATAAAAACCCGAAAATAAAGTTTAGAAACAAATTATAAAATTCTAAAGAAAAAAAAGAAAGATATAACTTTAAGGTGAAGGAAAATAAAAAATAAAAACTAAAAAAGGTAGAATACGTCTTCATAAAGAAAGATTTCCTGGTTAAGACACTGTTATTTTTAATTAATAACTAGAATAAGAAGATGAAGAATCTAGTAATGATTATTAATTAATGGATGCAGAATAGATTTATAAAATGAATATGAGAATGAATGGTAAAAATGTTCAAAGTTAAAGTGAAAATGCCAGTTAAGAAAGTAATTGAACAATTATTAAATTATGATAAATTATAATTATTATCATTCCTTGACTATTTTAGAAATTATCAGAAGTATAATTTAAGTTGGGTTTTAAGTCATTCTAATTAAATAACTTTAATAAATTAATTATAATGAACAATAAAAAAGATCAAAATCTAACTGCCTAAGGCACATAAATTAAAGGAACCACTAAATAACCAGCTCATTAAACACAGTAATAAAAACCTGCTCAGAATCACCCAGTTTAAAATTAAACAGCTACTAAACAATAATAATAAAAACCAACACAATAACATCCTACAAACACTAAAACATAACCAAAATAATAAACTTAATAATAAGCATAAGTAACTAAACCTTAATAATAATAACAAAAATAACAATAATAATAATAATAATAATAATAATAATAATAATAAGTGTAACCAGTTGCTCCAAAGAAATTAGAACCTAAAAGGACTATTAAGCTATAAGCTATGTTAAATGCTATGGATTAAGATAAAGAAGAAGGAAAAATTAGTTTTTTAGTAGATAAAACAGGTAAATAAAACTAATTTATTCATTTTAGGAAATGCTTATACATTTTTTAAGTATAAGGGAACAATTGTTGATATTACCTAATTCTTGATTGTTGAATAAAATTAAGGAAAAAATCATGAAGATCATATTGAAAAAGCTAGAAAAGCTGTTGTATATAGTTTAGAGGTTGGTGATAATTTAGTATTTTCAACTGATCTTGCAACAACAAATTTGAATGAATTTTTTAAGTAATAACTTTATATTAATTTCAGATCTGATTGGTATAAGCCAGAATCAATATTCAATTACGAAGAAATTACAAATCCAAAGTATTTTAGAGCTCATTTATTAAAACCTGAAGAGGACAAAGATGGATTTGGTAATAAAGGATAATTTTGGCCTAAAAAAGAGTTACATATTGTGATGTTGTTTACCATAAAAGAAGGAGATTTAGACTATGAATAACATTTGAATAAATTAGGATTAGACAAATTAAAAAATCAATTTGTAATAACAATAATTGAAGATTGATTATATTTGATCAAGTATTCAACAAAAATATAAAATCAATTTAATTATTCATAATATGTATATTTCTTTAAAAAACAAAATCTTTTAGAATAAAATAATCATTTAAATTTAATTTTAACTTAATGATTCAATTTTATAAAATAGTTTTGATAAATTTATTATGAACTTATAATTAGATATTTCTTACAAAGATTTAATGGTATAATGTTGTAAATAAAGAGTTATAATGTTAATTAAAAACAAGTTTATTTTTTTTAATATACCAGAATTGATTTTATATGAACTTGTTTAGCCATGATGAAATTAATTTATTGGAGGTATCCAAATAGAGGATTGCTAGGCCGCATAAGATGGAAAGTTAGAGTTCATTAATAATCAGTTAACATCTTTGACTTCTCGACAATTATAAGAAGCTTGTAAAAAGAGTGATTACTATGGCAGAAATGCATTACATTATGTACATAAACTATCATATTAGGCTGCATATCGAGGACATTACTCAGTAGTTGAATATTTTCTTGATTTATAGAGCATAAATATTAACTCATAAGATAATAAGGGTAAAATATAGTAAACTATTATTGAGGTAACACAGCATTAATGTTGGTCTGTGTTCGTGGGTATAATTCAGACATTAATACTTTGAGAGATGGTTAGAAATTTGATATATGTTCTTTATTGATTGAAAGAGGAGCATCAGTTGAATATTATAAGAAATCAGGAATAAATAATCCTTTACATTGGGCTTGCTTTTTTGGGGATCTTAAAACAGCTAAATTGTTAATGTATTTAGAGCCAAGCTTAAGTAATTATAGAAAGTGATTTTAGTGTTGTTTACTAATAACAGGGATTAATTTCCTATTGATTTATCTCTTATGACAGGTAAAGAATTAGATGATAGGGAATAAGATGAAAAAGTTTTAGAGTATATGATTATGAAATTCTTGGCTTAGTATCTTGGTAGTGAAGAACATAAAAATAAATTAGAAGTTTCTGATAAAGAATATGAAACCTTTAGAAATTTAAATAAACATAAACTTAATATTAAATCCACAAAGCAATTTAAATAAGTAGGTCTCAGATATTTATTTTGGGCAAGCACATAAGGTAGATTAGATCTTATAAAACCATTATTGAATTGTAAATATTCACCATTTGAACCATCTTATAAAGGTAGAAATGCACTTCATGCTGCTGTTTATCATAATAAATTAGAATTAGTTAAATTTTATTTAGAATCCGAAGAATCTAGAATTTTTAGAGATGATAATGTAATCAATATTATGACAAAAGATAAGCCTTAAACTGCCTTACATATAGCAGTTGAAAGAGGCCATGTTGAAATAGCTAAAATATTAATAAAAAAAGGGGCTGATCCAAATTATTATAATTTTAGAAATCATCGTGCTTTTGATTAATCAAGATTAAGTGAAATTAAATAATTAAAGAAAGAACTTTTTCCTAATGATTAAGATAATAATTTAAGATCTGGATTTATTCTTGTTGGTTAACAGAAAATTAAAAATGAATTGTTAGAATAATAATTTAAAAATATATAAACAAAATATAGAAAAAAAAACGAAGAAGGATACTATAAGGGTGAAAAAGAATAATTTAAATTTAAATATTATACATAAGAATCTATTGATAAAGAATATACATATTATTGTTTAAAAGTTAATGAAGAACTTAAAAATGAAATTGCTGATAAAAATAAGATGATGATTTATAATTCAAGAGAAGGATATTTATCTCCTTTTAAAAAAGAAATTTAAGATTAATTTGAAAATTTTCATCATATTCATAATTAATAAATCCTATTAACTTTATTATATGATGAATTTGATATTGAATAATTTATAGATGATGGATTACTTTTAGAATATTATCCATTACATGATGAAAATGAAAAAGAATTAATTATTAATTTTTGGAAAAATGAAAGAATAAATATCCTATATGAACCATTTTAATTGAAAAAATCATCAAGTCGTACATTTAGTGCATTAGCAACTTATTTTGGACCAGAAGTAGGAATGTTCTTTGTTTTTTTATGTTTTTTTTCAACTTGGTTATTTTTACCAGCAATACCAGGATTAATTATAGGAGTATATTCATTTTTTGATAAAGAAGCTATGTTGGCTGTTGCTCCAATATATACTTTATGTATGGCTGTTTGGGCTACTATCTTTTTTGAATTTTGGAAAAGAAAATAAAGTGAAACTATGTATAATTTTGATATGCATGTTACAAAAGAATAAAGAAGAAATATTCCACAATATAAAGGATCATTTATAATTGAAGATGTAACTCATACTATAGAAATAATGGATACTAGAAATGTATAATGGAAATACTTTAAATCAAATACACCATTAGTAATTTTAGCTTTGATCTTTATTGCGGGATAATAGACAGGTTATTACTATTTAAAATAGGTTTATGAAGATGATGATTTTTATTAAACACTTTGGGTCTGTATATTAGCTTTTACGGTTTTAATTACAAATGAAATCTTTAATTATTGTGCAAAACATACTCTTATTTACGAAAACCATTAATTCCAAGATGAAAGAGAAAATGTTTATATATTAAAAGTATTTGCTTTCACTTTTCTTAATTCTTTTGGAAGATTGTTTTATAGAAGTATTATTAGACCTGATTAAGAAGAATTACATCTATTCAGTATATCATTCACAATAATATGGTCTGTAGTTCATCTTATTCGATATTTTATATATCCATGGATATCTTTTAGTTTCATTAAATTAAAGTTTAATTGGGATTTCAATCGATTTAAATCATAAAACAATAAATAAGTCAATATACAATAAAAAATAGGAGATACTGAAACTAGTGGAATGAATAAATCATTTGATAAGGTAATATCTTCTTAATATTTACTTTAACAAATTGAATTAAATAAAAGAATGATAGATCCACCAGATCATGTTGAATAATTCACTTATTTTGTAATTATAATATAAAAAAATAGATGACCTAATTTTGTATGGTTACAATGTTTGGTGCTGGTTCATAAATAATACCTATTATTACCTTGTTTTTTAATTTACTAAATATTGAAGGATTATTATACGGATATAGAAAATTCGTTAAAAGACCATTAGCAGAACCCAAAAAAAATATAGGAGTATGGAATGATATCTTATAATTAATCGGCTATATTGGTATTGTTTCAAATTGCTTATCTATTTATTAAGCAAATTAAGAATAGTTAAATTATTTGATCGGAGCAAGTAATGAAACCTCTAATCAAGATCAAACTAATGTAATATATTACTTAATTTAGCTTGGACTAAGAAACTTTTTATTATTAATTGTTGCTGAGCATATAGTTATTGGAATTAAATTTGTAATTGAAGCAGTAATTCCAGATGAGCCTGAATGGATTGAACTTGTCTTAAAAAAAGAAGAATATTTATCAGAAAAAAATAAATCAGCTGAGTAAAAGTATGATTAATCTATCAAGACTCTAGAAAATAAAGTCAAAAAAGATTGATTTTATATTATATATATACCTTTAGTAAAAGTGATTTCAAATAAATATAAAAGAACTATTTAATCTTAATCAGCCTAATTTCATAATAATTAAACAATGAGAGTATATATTTGATTACTAAATAATTAAATAAAATGATTTCAAAATCTCATAATGTTTTGCCAGAAATAAAAATACTAATTTATAGTTTAAATAAGATTATACAAGTTTGAATTTAGAAACAGATTTATATATGATCCTAATAATATTCATTAATTAGGAAATTATTTATTAATTCTAATCTCTGACTATAATAGTTGATTTTTGCCCATAACTAACTTTTTATAAATTAATTATTAATATTTTTTTTAAATTGCTAATTCTGTTTTAATATTTTACTTATCAAATTTTATTTTTATTTAATATTTAACTAATTAAAAAATTATAATTAAGTTATTATTATCTCAAATTAAGGAAAAAATAAAAATTAAATATTACTTGAACTTTTATCGATCATATGATCTTTCAAATACAAAATTGAATAAAAATTCATGTATATATATATAATTTATAATAATAGAAGCCATCACTAATCAAGAAAATTTTTATTAATAATAAATTAGAATAGGATTAATTATCAATATAAATCCTCAGGTTTTCATTAATGCATGTTATTCATAAAGTTTGTTTTGCACTTATGAATAAAAGCTTGGGTTTTCAGATTATGGAATTTAAGTTAAATAAGAACATTTTTCTTGTTTTCTATTATTAATTTATTGGCTTTCTTAAAATTTAGGCACAGTATTAGGATTAATAGTACTGAACTCTTTAGTTAAGGCATTTTACTTAATCATTATGTTCATCTCCTCTAAAAAGTTGTTTTTAGCTTACTAGTTTACTAACTAACAGAAAATTCGAGATTTGTTATTTATTAGCTATTATTTAAGCATATTCTCCTTAAAATCTCTTATATCAGTATTATCATCTTTAACATCCAAAAATTCCTTGATATCTTCCCCTAATTTTACAAAACTCTCTTTCCTATAATTTTTATGAAATTTTTACATATCATCAGCTACAAAAAATAAGACTTATGAAGTTATTTTTAAAATTTTATCTCTTTTTTATTTTTTTTAGATTCTCCCTTCCCTTTTATAAACTTAGTAAATGGCTTTTATTGTGGAAATGTTGTGGCCTGTAATAATAGAGACCTAAAAATTGTTTAGAACAATACATGTGAGGAAGAGTACTTATATTGTTCAATATATTGAATGATAAGTTCTCTTTCATCAGAACTAATGCTCTTATATTTTGATCTTTAGATTTTCTCCTTTTTAATTTTCATCATAAATTAAATTCCAAATCTTAATCTCATTAATTTTTTTTGAGGCTATAATAAATCCGTAAATAAGAAAGAGCAGTTCTTTTTATAAAAATGACCTAAAATCCTTATTATTCAAAAGATATAATATGTCATTCATCTAAATTATAATAACATTCTGTAAATAAATTTAATTTAATTAAAGCAGTAATTTTAATTTAATCTATATACATTAATTAAATTATCATCTTTATTATAGTTTATTTATTGTTACTGTTACGCTTTGCTGCTTCCTTTAAAGCAAAAATATAATGTGGCTAAAGGCTAATTCAATCTTAACTTTGTTCTAAACCTAAATATTGATAAATTTCTCTAAAAACTATATTTTTAGAGAAAAATTTCAATTTTATTTGCTTTCTAAACATACAAAAACCTATTAAAATATATCTCAAGAAATAATTTTGTTATTTTGCCTAATCAAAATTTCAATTTTTGAAAAACTTGTATTGTTCAAAGTGTTTAGGAAATTTATATAATTTCTTATCTGCTTTTCTAAGGGGATAAAAAAATCCAATATATATACTTGATTGATAGTGTTAGTTAAACAAATTTTTTCAATCAAATATTTTGATGTAAAATTTTTGTATATCAAGTTACTAAATCAATTTAAAGCTCTTGATATTAGAAATTTCAATAAAATGTTCATGAATAAGATATGTTGTTTAATTTGGTAATGAACAGAGGTTTTTAATATATTATGTGAACAGGAATTGAAATTTTTAAATATTAATTCAGGATATTAATAATATCAATATTTCAATAATAAAAATTAAGTAACATTAAAAATTGAATTAACTATATGAGATTTCAATGAAAGATAGATGAGTTTATGATCAATAATATATAAGCATCAATTATTTTTTGAATTATTCATTCCATACCAAAGACTCCTTCTAGATCGTTAAGAACAATAGATCTTAAATATTTTCTCATCATTTCTTCACTAGTATATTTAGGGAGTTCAAGTCTATTGAAACAAGTGTGAGCTATTGGAAATGAGTTCGTATTATTATAATCAATAGGAACTATCTAAAATTTTGAATACATTCCTCTATTTGACTCAAGTTTACTAAAACCACTATGAAATGGAAAGATAAATTATATACTTAACAGGAATTCTATAAGAACCTGTGCAATAATGTAAGAATTTTTTTAATTAATCTTGATCAAACTCAGATAATATTTTCCAAAACCATTTAATTTATTGAGAATTTTCAGCATAAGGGGTTTTATATAATGTATGTTATTTCCACTCATCTAAATCTACAACAGATACACCATATAGTATCATTTCAAACTCTTCTGCTGTAAATATATTTAAATATTCTTTTTATATGTATTTATATAAGGAATTTTAAATACACCCAAGCTATTATTAAATCATTTTATCACTATAGTATTAAATGCTGAATAATAATAGAATAATTTACCTTAAATCTACATATTCTTATTTGTTTTAGTTTGTGACTAAAATATCAGCTCCATTTTATTTTAACTCAATTATTTCATCATCTTTACATAAGATAAAATATTATTATAATTCATTTTCATCAAATTAATTTTCTAGTAAATATTTCCAACTCAAAAATAGACCTTTATCATAATACTACATATCTTGAAATGAGATTTCTTATCCAAGTAATTTTTTAACTAAAGGCCTATCAAATTCAACACATATAGTCATTCTTTCAAAAAGTGCTTTTGCTATAGCTAAGCCAACTAATTCAAAATAAGGACTTTGTTGAGCAATTTTATATGTAACATCATTAGTTTCAGTTAATGTAAAGATGTCTTTGCACATTTCTTTAAAAATTAAAGTTAACCATTCTCTTAGTAATCCTCCTGCATCTTATACTTTATCATTCTGAAATACAACTTTAACTTCTTTATAAAGATTAACACCTCTAGCTGAAATAAGAGATGACTATAATAAATTATTCATATTGACATTCAATTTGTCAGATCCTAGTTACCAAGGAATACGATATTTTTCAAGTTAAAGATTGAACCACATTTATTTTTCAGGAAATGACCTGTTTTTAATTTCTTGAAGACTTAAATTCTATATATTTCAATAGAGAATGTTACTTAGATCTATCCTCCATTTACTTATGATTATACTCGTTTCCATTGATTGTTTTGTTTAACCCAAATGTAATTATCTCCTAATTAAACTTATGGTTGAGGCATTTAAAATCCAATATTAGGTATTATTTATTAATTTTGTAAACAATGGTCAATATGACTATTAAGTACATTATATGTAGTAGAAGGTCCAAACTTACGATCACAATTAGGACATTTGGTTTCAGAACCAATTTTTTAATGTTAATTATTTGAACTTCTATTCCCCATTTTATGGAACTTTATTATAATTAAAATTTAGGGAATAAACAAATTAACAAATATGAAACGAATTATATTATAGATATTTATATTCTTAATACTCAGATAATTGTTTAAGTGATTTAGGAATCACACAAATCAGCATCTTCAACAGTTTAATTCAGATTTTAAATTGGTCTTGGAGGGAAACCTGATATTAACTAAATTTGTTTTTGAGGAGGTAAGTTCATCATTCTTAAAATTAAAATTAATTTAGATACTTTAAAAGATGTTATTAAATAGTTGTGACTCTTGTGGTTGTATTAACTGTCAATGTTATTGTATTACCATTAGAAAGTCTTACCATTATATTTGTTGTAGGTTGATTAGGATCAATTTGTATTTAACCTTACTTACTCAAATCTACTTAAACCTATTATTGTTATTAAACAAATTATTATTAACCCAAACTTACTCCTGATCCACTGAATTCTACATATTTTGGTGGAGGAGGTGGTACATATTTTTCTGATTTTCTATCTTCTAATCTTACACTCAACCCTTTTGGGTATTTTTAACGTAAAACTGTTGGTACATTACTTTTATAATTTATTATTCACTTTACCCTTATTTCAATTCAGATATAAATTTCTTGTTTTCTGGGTCATTGATATCTTTAAATTCCCCATCATTTATTTAAAATCCATTATTCCATAAAGTTATTTTACAAGATTCTTTTGGATCATCATCACTTTCAGGTCTGCTACCGCCTTCTTTTCTATTACCTTTTTATATATTAATTACGCTTTATTTATTATTTCATCATAATCATCAGGATTTTCAACAGATAATCCACTATATAATTTCATTCGTTTTTATACCTCTTTTCTCCTCCTGCATAAGAATTACTAGTTTTCTTTTATTATTTCTGGTCCTTTTCTACTTTCTTTAAATCGTCTAAAGTTTTAAACATACCCAAATTTTTATATTAAATATATATATAATAATTAATCAATCATAGCATAAAAGTAACTATTTTGCTAAATTTGATAGATATTCATTTTAAGACATAAACAAAAATTCTATCTTATTATTAAATATATTATTTACCTTATTTTTGTATTTAGCAAATATATTTTAATACATATCATCCCTTATCGTATCTCCAAATTCTAATATTCTTTTAACATATTTTAAAATAGCAATTGAAATATTTAGATTTTCTACATTCAAATTTAACAATTAAGAAGTATAATATTTTTCATCTACAATTTAAGGATAGTCATACAAAAATTCATCATCTTACATTAGAAATTCTAAAACATTTAAGGATTCTTCAGTAAATTCAGTATCCAATGAAATTTTTATCATATAATTCAAAATATCCTTCTAACAAATATAAAATTAAATATCTTCTAATTCAACTACATTACTAAATAAAATTAATAAAGATTTAATGCAATTTGAATTATTTGTTGTCAAAAACAAATTACTAATAAAATTATTAATTTCTTTTTATGAAAATATTTGATATAGTAATTAGTGATCCTTAATTTCTTATAAAATCCTTAAAATTATTGAAGTAAGATTGTCTTCATTTTTTAGCAAAAATCGAATAGCATGAAGAATTAAATGATGATCACTAAATTCCATTCTTGATGTTAGAATATATGTACATTAAAATGCAATATATTGTGGCATCATATAACACAAAGTTTCTACTAGATAATTACTCAATATTGATTTGAATTCAACAATTTTAACGCAAATATGCACTAATAATTTTTTATAGGTTTCTTCTTAAATAATGCTAATGTTATTATTTAGGATAAGTAACAATTCATCATCTCTCATTAAATATTCAAAAACATCGATATCATAATCTGCAAGTAAATTTTGAATGATTTCAAGAACATATTCATTGTAAATTGGATTTTTAATATCGGTATAGAGTATTTTTAAAAAATCAAAATTTGTATCGAATAGAAATCTAGCACCAATTTTATCCCCTAAAGTGAGATTGCAAAGAATCCAATAGATAGTGATTCTATAGTTTTGTTAAAAATTGAATTCAAATTAGAGTAGTAATTCATTCATGAGATCTTTGTCTACTAAGTAATCATAATATTTAATCATAGCCTTTTAAAAATCGTTTTCAATATTTTCTTAAATGGCAATCATTTAATTTTTGATAATTTTAAGTTTATCATTCAAATCATTATCTTCTTCTTGAGGGATAATGATTCTTTTTTTTTTGAGTTATTATTCAATGAACTCTTTTCTAATGACAGTTCTAAATTTTTCCCTTTTAAGATTCAAAATTGATGTAGATTAATCCATTATTAATATAATTGTGTTTATTTGGTATTATTATATCAAATTTAGATGGCTTATTTTTGGAACAAATTTTAAGCCTTGTTGACATCTCCAACAGTGAATAAGTTTTAAAGGTTGCTTATATCAACAGACTAGAATGATATAATAAGATAAATGATACTTATGATTATTCACTAAGAATTGAATCATCTACTACAAGACTATAATTGTCATAAAATTTAAGAATGTTTTAGACTTTATTAAGTTTATCTGCTCCAGTTAAAACAGTATTATATCCTCTTTCTAATCCTCCAGCAACTATAAGATTATTATGATCTATATTTTACCTATACTAAAATTGGTTACAGTTTATGGATCTCCTGAAATGATAATATGTTTAGATGCCTATACTTTTTCACTCATTTTAATTAAGTCTTAGTAAGTATAGGTTTAGAGTTATCCATTTTATACTCTAGCAGTAATTGGTCCTGTAACAGTTGGAAGAGTGAGTCTATTAAAGTTTTTAGAGGCATAAACTAATGATTCCTAATGGGTTTAATAGTATTTAATACTCTGAATTTATAGGTGCCTGGATATGAGTAAAATCCAGTATGAATTAACCATTTCAGATTAGTAAATTTATTACTCTTGAGACTTTCTCCTGATTATGCTTTGGACAAATTAATTTTAATAGATACTCTAAGTTGTTTCTGGTACTAATGTTTTAAGTATTTCAATAAATTTGGTTTCTCCAATGAGTTGATTTGGTGAAAACACAATTCCTTTAGGATTGACTAAATTAATGGTCTTTTCAATTTCTTTTGGATCATTGGATCTAAATGGTACTGTTATTACTCCTGCTTTAGATGCTCCAACAAATGTAGTAGCAGCTTCACTTGTATTAGATCTACCAAGCATAAGTAATAACTTATCTCCTTGTTTCCAACCTTATTCAATCAATCCATAAGCTAATGCATTTGAATGTGTCTCTCAATAATTATTATTCTATACATCAAATTCACCAAATGTCCAAGTTAAATTCTAATTCTCAAATCTAAATCCATTTTTTAATGGATTTTATTTTACTAAGGTTGAGAATCCTTGATAAATAAATCGTAGCATTTTTTATTAAATAATTTAAATATAAATATTAATATAAATGTTTCTTCTTAATTGGTTTGGAGGTAATAGCAATTAGAGTGGTAAAAATAAGAAAAAGAAGAAGAAGTAAAATGTGGTTTAGAATCTAAATAAGACATTAATCAATCCAATGAAGGAAATTAAATTATTTGGTCATTCTAAAATGGGATATGGTCCTAAAAAAACTGAATGTTAAGATTCTTATTGTACAATGGAGAGATTTACTGAAGATTGTTATTTTTATGCAGGTTAATTATTAATATCTATATTTAAGTATATGATGGTCACGGTTCTTCTGGTAAGGAAGCATCATAAGCAGCAAATGATTATATTTAAACATTTTTGGAGAAGAATCCAAAGAGAATTAAAGCATTGTAGAATGATAAATAAAGAGAGAGTTTTTTAAAGAGTGCTTTTAAGAATGCAGAAGCAAAACTTAGATCATCTGGTATAGATTATAGTAATTCTGGGACATGTGCAATATCTATATTTGTTGTTAAGAACATGTGTTATATAGCAAATTTAGGTGATTCAAGAGCAGTACTATTTAGATAAACAGCAAAAGAGAAACTAGCGATTGAATTATCATATGATCATAAACCAACTAGACCAGATGAGAAGGAGAGAATCATTAGATGTGGAGGTAAGATTGAAAGATTAATACATGATGGTTAACCTGTTGGACCATATCGTATTTGGGCAGATGATGAAGGACCAGGTATAGCAATGACTAGAACGTATTATAATTCAAATTTAAATAAAGATTGGGAGATTTATAAGCTAAGAAAATTGGTTTGATCTCTGAACCTGAAGTTCAACATATTGAATTAACAAAGTAAGATAAGTTCATGGTTATTGGATCTGATGGTGTATGGGATGTTATGAGTAGTGCAGAAGTTTGTGGATTTGTTTTGAAACATGAACCAAAGGAAAGTGTTGCTGAAGCTTTAGTAAACTCTTTAAATTTACATTCTAGGTTACTGAATGTAGATCTAGATGGGATGAAATGAATAAATAAAAGAAAACCAATTCCAAAATTGGAGATTTACCATATCTTAAATTTGGTTGTGATGACATTACTGCTGTTATTGCTTATTTCACATTTATTGATGAATTAGAAGACAACTATTTCTAATAATAGAGATATTGAATCATAAATATAACAAAATAATATTTTATGATTTATATTTTGATAAAATATCTTTATCATTTTAAAACCAATCTTACTTAAGGAATTCCCTTTATGATTTCTTAACTCTATACACTCAATGTAAAATTGATAGTCAAATCAACATATTTCTAATATATATTTAATCATATCTATACTTGTATATCTAAAAGTTTTATGATTGCCTAATTCAAAAATTGTTTCTTTTCTTCTGGCTTTTTTGCATACATGATTTCCATGTATACAGGTTAAGCCTTCAAAAATACATCTCTTGGATGAAGATCATATTATTAATTCAAAATCTCAAACAATTATCCAAATGTAGTAGATTTTGATATTTCATGAGTCCAAATATCCCATAATGTAACAGTCACTTTTTCATTTATTTTTTTTTTTGGTACCAATCCTGGTTCTGTCAATTTAACAAAAGGAATAGCCAGATTGACAAAAGCATTTTTCATATCTGAAATTTATACATTCTTTAATGTTTTTATTAACTCTATTGTTTATAAACCAGCAACCACAGCAGTTGTAGTAGCCAAAGCAGGTACAATACGTCCTGCTTTAATTTTTACTGTTAACCAATCCATTGGTTCTAATTTATAATTTGCAGCTCTTAAATTTCCAAAAGAATGTATAAAATCTATGTGACCATTTTAATCAAAATCTTTTTCAAATTCATCTGATTATAAAGTTATCGGCAATAAGGATCTAAATTATTTAAATAATAATTAGGTTTCTTCTTGTGTGCTTTAATTTTGATTTGATTCATTCTCTTCTATTTCTTCTTTTTACCCTTACTCTTTAACCTTATCAGATATAGACTATAAATATTAATCAATACAATTAATACCTTCTTTTTTTCTTCACTTGGTTACCATTCAGGGAAAGTAATAAGATTAGCTTCTTTTGCTACTTATTATCTATAAGTTTTAGTTCTCCAATCTTTATCTGTTTGAAGACCAAACATTTTGGCTCTGAGGAAAGCAAAAGTTGATACAAATTATTAATGAATTTCATTTTCAGGATCAAATTAAATAGGTTTAGGAGGACGTTTAGGCATTGTCCAGAATAGATTACCATCTTTAGTTTTAGCATCTTCTGGATAAGTATACATAAGTTATTTGATATCATTAACAAAATATTTTTAGAATTTACCTCTTGCCCATTTAATACAATCTTAAAAGGAAGTTGGTTTATTTTTGAATAATTTAATACTTTCTCTTAATGGTTTATTATCTTCTAAACTAGGAATGTAATCTTCAGCCATCATTTTGATAATTTATTTAGGTCTTGCTGAAAAGTGTTTTCCAAATTTATCTCTTGCAAATTCTACACAATGGAAAGTTTCTTCTGGAAACATTTTTAATGTACAATAAGGAATTTCTCCTTCTTCAACAGGATCATTAGAACTTCCATACGATTCAGTTTAAAATGGAATGATACATTATACATGACCTTTTGGTCCAAGAGTACCAGATTCTAAAAGAGGTTTTCTAGCATTTACACATCTTTTATCAACATATCTTCTGGCAGCAACATTATCAAGTGCATTAGCAATAATATCTTAACCCTCAAAAAATTGATCTGAATAAATATGTTCAGTTGAATCATGAACTTTATCAAGTCTTGCTATAATGTGATCTCGTAAATATGGATTCATTTAAATTACAGCAGCAGCAGCAGTTTAAGACTTTGGCTTTCTAAGATGTTTTTCTCTGAATAAAAATTATCTATTTAAATTACTCACTTCAATATGATCAGGATCTGTTATTGTAAGACAACCTTTCACACCTAAATTAAGCATAGCAAAATTCTTTAGTAATTCACAACCTATTGCACCACATCCAACCATAAATACTTTAGATTTCTCTAATTTCTCAGAAACTTCTATTCCTAAGAATCTACTTAATGATCTTTCATTGATTTTAACATCTTTAGATATTTCTTATTATAACACTTCAGTGCAATCTACATAAAATAGTTATTAAATAGGAGTAAATTTGTTTGTTATTCCTTTTATTGCTTCCTAACTTACAAATCCTCCTAAATAAGCAGACAAAGGAGGGAATTCTCCCAAAGTTGAATAATGTTTAAATAAAGATTCTAAATTCTAATCTTTGATTTATTTATTATTATAAAGATTGTGTAATTACTCAGTATTTTATAATTTGATAAAGTCATATTCTGACATATTTGGATCATAAATTGGTTTATCTATAAATTCTTGATTATAGGGGAGAAAAGATAATTCTACAGGTACTTTGACTAATTTAATAGTTCCATTACGAATATATTTCGAATATCCATTTAATTATATTTCTAATACTGATTTACTAATAACTTTAACTTTTTAGATTGTTTTATTTATAGAATTTCCATTTGAATCAATCATTCCCTCTATGTTATCGATCATAACAACATCATTATCTTAAAACTCATGTTTTCCAGTGATTTCAAAGTGCATTTTATTATCATTCTTATCAGTAACTGATTTAATGATATAATCAACAGTCTATTCACCATTTTTATCTTCAACAATAAATTATTAACCAAAGTCATTAAAAACTCTTCCAAAGACTCCATCGACTGAACTAATAATTAATTTTACTTTATGTTAACGACATAATAAGGATAATTTGAATAATAAATCATTTGAATATGAAGCACAAACGACAACAATATTATATTTAGTGAAATCTATATTAAGTAGTTCTACTGTTTCATAATTTACTCTAACATATGAATTGAGTTATTGTAATTTTTCCCAACTTACTTCAGCTCTATTTTTACCAATATCTTTTTCTTCAATGAAAAACTATCCATTAAGATCATATTATGAACATTTAGATTCATCATGAATAGTTAACATTTTAACTCCAGACAAAACTATATTTTTTGCTACTTCAATACCCAAAGCACCAATTCCTGATATTAATACACAACTATTTGTTTATTTTTTAACTGCATCCATACCCATAGCTCCTATATATCTACTCCATCTATCTAAAACATTCTCATCATTAGCTTCAAATTCTTTCTATTGTATCTTTGTATATGTAACATCTACTTCATCTAAATTAGCCATTCCGTCTTTTACATTTTTCACTTTTGGTTGTTTTTTAATATGAGTCTTTAAAACTCTGGATCCTTCTAAATCAATTGCAGAAGGTGGTTATATTTTATTTAATTCATCTTCCAATTCCTTTACAGCTTCACACAATTTCTTATGATATGCTTTCTTATTCTTTTTAAATTCACTACACCAACTAGAATTATGGTCATTCAATAATCCTGTATATACAGCTTCCTTTGTATCTGCAAGTTCAATCCATTTATTACATTCCTCTAAGATTTCTTATTTCTTCAAATAGAAGTGTCTTCTTATAATTGTTTCAAATCCTTTAGGAGGATCTCTAATCTAATCTATCATAGCATATTTAATATTGCAATATCTTACAATATTTGAATAACCCTCATTTTTCTTTTCCCCTTCTTCTGTATTCGCCTCCTATTCAAATCCTGGTTCATTGAAATATACTTCTTCACTCATTATTATAGCTTAAGTAGATACTAATACTTAGAGTAGGGTAGAGATTTTTGGATCCCAATTCTCTGATGCATTTCCTCTCCAAGTACCCAAAAGAGATAAACATACTTTTCCACAACTATATAAATTTGGATTAAATCTCACTTTTCCATTTCCAGTTGTAGATAAATTCATTTTAGGAGGAGCATTTGGATATGAGTCATCTGCATATATATCAAAAAGATAAGCACCATGTGCATATGGAGTCCCTTTTGCACCCATAACTAGAGCTTTCATCACATCCACACGTTCTTTGTCAGCTCTTACAAATATTGCATTCGTATGTTCTATTGGTAATGATGTTGACATATCTGCAAATTCTTATGCCAATCTTACAATTTTATCTTAATTTATTTGAGTTGAAATATTTCCAGAATAATGATGTTTATATCTACCACCTACTTTCATATCTATATAACTGAATCTTAAATCAGACAATAATGTTCTATATGCTTCTGCTAATTATTTTGATAGTATTTCTTATATTAATTGATTAGCTAATTCTTTCTATTTTTTCAATTGCTCACTTTCATCTTCTTCATTACTACTGCTACCACTATCATTCATTTTATTAATACAATTCTCCATACGTTTATGAGTATCTATTATCAATTTAGCAATCTCAAAAGAATGTTCATCCTCTTCATTCTTCTTACGATTATTTTAAATACAATTTAAAAAGATTTTAGAAGTATCTGCTAATGCTGTTAACAATTCAAATAATGATTATGTTTAAGGAGGGTAATATTATTCTGGTATCTTCAAGAAAACACTAGCCAATACTTTATGATGAGACATTGATTAAACTATCTTCAAATACTTACAATATAAGTCGAATTCTTTTGATATTTCCAGAAGTGAACCACTTCTAAAGGCACTTTCCAATAAAGGAAGTAGTGCACTTTCAAATAATGTATTTTTTAATTTATGTAATAATTCTTCACTAGGATGCCAATGTTAAAAATCAAAGAATGATTCCACAATTCCTAGTAATCCTATCAATTATTATGATTTCTATGTTTTTTTCTCTACATATTCGATGGTATTCCATTTTTAATTTTATCCAGTATTATCACTTGCATACCCTACTCCTCTTTTCTATTTAGTTGATTTTTATAAAGAATTATTTTTTTAAAGCTACTCTTAAACTGCTTATTCTTCAATTACATTTCTAAATACTCTTTTAGTCTCTTTACTTACCAAAGCTATTCTGTCCAAAATTTGTTTAATTAAGTTTTATTCCAAAGCTTTTATTCTCACTTCAGGTCCACTACTAGCACTAAAAACATTAACTAGAGTTGTATAAATAAATTTAACAGCATTTTATTCTTCCTCTTCTAATTTCTTATTATTATTTGAATCTGGAGGACCAGCAATTAAATCAAATAATAAATTTACACATTATTAGTTCTTCATAAACAAATTGAAAAAATTAGGCAATTAACAAAATGATTGTAATTCATTCAAAAATTAAAGCCAAGCATTAGCTCTCTATTAATTCTTCCATTATCCTATACCTTCTCTAATTACTGATAACATAGCATTTACACCATTTAGTTCTTCAAACATGGGAAATATAGTTAATTACTAAGGATATGTGAATGTTGATGTCTTTGGTTGAATATTATCTATAAATTCCTTTGCATTGAGTACTAATTCAATAATATTTTATTGATTTGTAGGTAATTCACCTAATTTAGTTTATTTGTCAAACAAATTGGATTCCTATTTTAATCCATATTTATTAAAAGCAATCAATTATTTTAATTCACACAACTTTAATTAACTAGGCAATTAGTAGACAGGAACAACACTGTAATATTATAAAGATTGATTTGTCTCATAATTAGAGAAGAGTAAACTAGTAGTATCCTATGGTATATTAATTTAAGGTAATGTTTTCTTTTACTTTTAAGGTCTGATTCCAGAGACATAATATTCAATTTTTAAATTATCTAAAGTTCCTTAATCCTTTAAATTTAAAGAGGTTAAATTGATTCTTGAAGGTTCTCCTGGAACATATTCAATTTCCAATAATACTTGATCGTTATTTTAGAATGTTAATGTGCCTTACTCATCATATATTTCGATAAAAGCGTTCATATCAATTTCTTAATTTGTAATTAAGTTATTTTCATTAAAATAAAACACCTTCATTTTACCTTAACTCCAACTATATGTTAAATCTAATTTTTATGTTTTTGTGCATTTTACATTATGATATAAAATAATAGTTTTATCAACATTGTTTATTCTATAATTGATAACCATCATTTAAGGTGTTGCATTAAAGAATTTATCTTCTAAATGAGGAAGCATATCTGCATCTCCATCATTTTTTTGATAAGCAACCTTACTCCAATAAGTTTCACTAATATGTGTAAATAATTAATCCTTTTATTTTATTGTTAATAATTATGAATCGAAAACTAATTCATCTTGCTATTAATTATTATCAATTTATTTAGAAACAACTAATTTTGGATCCATTATATATTTACCTTGATCTTCAAATTGAATTTTTAAAAATACATAATCTTCACTATTAAGAATAGGAACTAGCAAAGATCGAACAAATTTCATATCTTTATTCCCTTCTAATCTTCCTATATCTCTAATTAATGCTTCAATTATGAATTTTGCATGATATTTTTAGACCATGTAACTTATAAATTTTGAGGCCAATTCTATTGTTTTATCATCCAATTATTTTAAAATTGTTTTACTTGTGGGTTCCTCTATCAATTGATTATAAAGAGGTAGAAGATATTTAAGAAGATGATCAGCTATCTATTTATTTGTTGATAGAGTATAAAAGAATTAGATAACATATTAAAGTTCAAATTTACCAAAAATTGAATCCAATTAATTTATAATCCAATCAATACTTACTTTATTTCCTAAAGCCAGTGGTCCAAGAACTTCAAAGAAATATGGTTAAGTTTTACTTTTATCCAAAGTAAACTACAATATCTATTCAATTTCTTCAATTTATTAATATGGATGTGGAAGGTAAGTAATTGTTACAATCAATTTAATAAGCAAATGTCTCGCATGTTTGTTATGTAACAATTAAAATAATTCAATTAGATGAATAATATCATTTTTACTAATATTTAAACTTAGTTCTCTTTATTTCAATTTGCTATTTTATAATAAAAGTACATTACAATAGGATTCTATAAAATGTTGAGCTAATTTTTCATACCATAATAGATCCTATTATTAATGATTATTAATTTGCAGGGCCATAAGTTTTTCAAAAAGATGATTGTGTAATTTCAAGAATCTTTCATGAACATGTTCGCCTTCCAAAATAATTTAACTAAGCAATTTACTGTGTGATTATTCTGGATATTCCATTAACTTGACAACTAACCAATCTCCAACTTAATAATTATACTTAGCAATTGCCAAAATTAAGGGACTTAATTAAAATGAATAAGAATTAAGTGCATTCATAAACTTATTTATATTATTTTAAAGTTGCTCTAAAACAATAGAATCATTTGCTAACTGTTGCAAAGTCTTCTAATAATTTGGTTTACAAAATTTGGATAATATATCAATAGCAGTTTTTTCTTATAAAGTATAAATGAAATCCACTTTTTATTTATTTGCAGCATAACCAAGAACTGAAATAAAACTGATACCCAAACACAACTTTTTAACAGCTCTAGAAATATCCAATTATTCTACATAGGGTTATCTCATTCTAAAACTTATAAATTTAATAGATTGACCTTAAGGTAATTGTTATTTACTCATAACTTATGAATTATAACAAAAAACTTTAACTTAAAATTGTGAGTAATGTTCATCATTAATTAATTACATTTCTGAGATTGGATAGAGTTCTTCTAATGATTTTCCTACTTCTAATAAAATACTACTTGGTGTGCCTAGTTATTTATCAGCAAAATCAGCAGTGAATGTCTGAATTCCTAATCTGATATTTTTTATTTCGATTTCATTGTCAAATTAGAAAACCATTTAATATTCACTTCTCATTCCTTATGGAAGAGTAATAAGAGCTAATCTGCTCTTTGCTCCTTTCTTATGTAAAGGCCAATCTTAATTAGAAATATTTTAACCTGGTAAATTGAAAATTTTCATTTTACTACCAAATTCTTCTTCTAAAAATTAAACCTATGTGATTTGTTTCTCTTTAATTATTTAATTTATTAAGTAATGATAAATGTCTGATTAAAATTATTAAGCAACATCGTCTGAGATTAAATATTTATCAAATTATTATTGAATTACTTCCAAAATTTGAGTTGTATATGTGTGTGCAGTATATGAAGTGATCTAATTATTCTCATATTAATTCACTATCACATCATCTATATAGTATTACTATTTGAATAATTGTTTTAACATATATTATTTACATGGCAATAGTTCAAATAATTAATCTAATGAATCACTCATCTATTTAAGCAATTAACTTGAATATGAATGTAATGTATTTCCTGTGTAAGAATTTATACAATACCATTCAAATAAATGGTTTAAGTCTGGACTTTCATTTAATTGAATGAGTGTTTATTCACTTTACAAGAGCAAATAGATCATCGATTAACAGAGTTCCAATTACTGAATTACTTGACTATCTGCATTTATTATACCATCTTTTCCTCCTAAGAAAGGTATATACATTCCAAGGTATTTTAGTAAGGTATTCACATTATTCAAATAAATATGTTACACTTCTTATGAAAAAACTATGAATATATGGTTGATGTCATTTAATCCCAAATAGGGAAGTAAAGAATCAATTATTTGAGAACATGTTTAATTTTATTGTACTTATTGTTAACCTAAATTTAAAGTGAATTAGAGTAATTCATTCATTAAAAGTTTTTATTTGCATCCTATGTATGATTGAATAACTCTATTATATATTTATAATTCATTTTAGAGTTGAGGAGTTATCATCAATATAACTTTTAATACTTTATTCCAAATCAAATAATTCTCTGATTTCTCTAATAGAATTATTAATCTATTTATTGTGTCAGGATAACAAATTTAGATGTGTTATCTTTATAAGAAATCCTCAAAATCAGTTAATTATTTATTGTTTCCTCTGATTTTTAATTTATTTACCTTTTTAACACTTCTTGTTAGAAAATCAAATAACAAAAGTAAATTATCAATTGTTAATTATTCAACGTTGTCCTTTATGTAGGATTAACAAAAGTAAATAATGTATTTTGATATATATATCAAACTGTCCTTCTCAATTTACAAAATGTTATTAGTTTAATCACTTAATGAAAGTGTAGCTGCCCAATCTGTAAATCTACTTTCTAATTATCTTGGTTAGATGAGCATGTCCAAAAGAGTTTTTAATTTCTCAGGTTATAATAATCCTTTTGTAAATAAATCACTAAAAATTTTGTGATTAAAAGAATTCTTAATTTGTAGAGCTGTACATTTTGATAGAGCATTTTATAACAAATTTAATCTAAACTTTTTATCATTAACAAGAAATTCAAGAACTAATACTAATATTTTTTCATTATCAGGATTTCCTTCTTCTGTTTATTTTTATTAGGGCAATCTCTAGAGTTAAATTACGAGAGCTTCATAGAGAATATCATCATTTAATTCAATTAATTTATTTAATGATTCTAATATTGGAATAGGTAACTAATGTAATAACTTTTTCTTTAGGGGATTTTGACTTGTTAATTATTCTAACATCAATTAATTCCATTCTTAATCAGGAATTTATTATTTTACTTTCTTTTGAATGAATTATAAAGCTAAATCAGTTATGCCTTTTAGATCTCCTAATGAAATGACAAGATGAATAAATTCTATAGCATCAGGTACTTTTCCAGATACAGCAATTAACATTCTCAATAGAAGGGTTGAAAATACAGTCAAGAAATTTGAATTGTTTTCATAATTTCTTGGAGGAGCAACTTTCAAAAATTCAAGTTGTGTTTATTCAATAAGAGTCTAAAGATGACTGGTTTGCAATTTACATTTTTCTTTTAATTACATTTCTGATTATAATTTATAAATAGCTTATTCTAGATAATCAGCATTTCTTCTTAATGATTTGGTTGACATTACAATATAATGATCAGTTAAATCAGTTTTTTTATAAACATTGTATGAATCCATGAGTATTGATTGATCTGATTAATAAACATAATAAACAGTGTCTCCTAATGATAAAGTAGTTTTATATCTAAAATCTTCAGTAATTTCTAAAGGACTCAATTCAGCATTTATAAGGGATCCATAAAATTCTGGTATAACTGTTAAATAATTTTATGGTATCTACAATTGAGCTGCTTGTTTTGAATAATAATTGTCACTTCCCAAAGTTAATTGTACCAATAATTTACGAGCTCTAACTCCATTTAGTGTAATATGTAAACAATTATAATTATGATAATTGGGACATTTATGAACATAATCAGTAAATTGTACAAATGTCCATTCATCATAAACTTAATCTAAGACTAAATTATCTACCCAAACCTAGACTCTGAATTTAACAGAGTTAGAAGTTTATTGGAATCTCAAGGATAACTTCTCTATATCAAATTCTCCTAATAGATTGACTTCAAATCTTCTTATTTATTATTTATTTGATAGTTGCATTATTAAAATTTAGGAAAGAGGATCTTTTTAACATATTAAAGATTTCTAGTTTTCATTTTAATCAATTAAGGGTTCATCAATTTCTTAGATTTAAATTTATCCCTAAGGTCCTCCAAATTTAGTTGAAAACAAGAACATATCTTTATGTTAAAGGTTTTTTAATTTTTACAAAGCAAATAATAAAGATTTCATTGCCATATCAGTAATTTCTTAAGTTTTAAATTTAGCTGTATAAGTAATTAATCCCAAAAAGTATTCTAAGCCACTTTCTATTAAGACTATTTTTTCAATTTTGTTTAATATCTATTATGCCACTTAAATTATGATGTCATGAAATTCATCATGTTATTAGAGTTGACAGAAAAAGTCTGTTACTTATTCATTAACATCTTAAGATAGAACATTACCTAGGATAAATTTATATAGATTGATTAGTTCTAAGACTTTTTTTGATTCTTTTTTCATAAACAAATTAAGAACAGTCAAAGCACCTGGTTTTTTTTGATATACTTATTCAATTAGATTGTCTAATTAATTGATTTATAAGTTATTGTATTTTTTACCAGTAACTGTAATTTTTAATAATTGAAATTGTGAATCCTTATAAGGTTTAATAATAAAATCACCTGAAAATACAGTGTCAAATTCAATTATACCATTGCTAGGATATCCATTGATACCTTGATATTTACATTAGACTGTTAATTTATCAGGTAGATCAATTCTTTTTCTTAATTCATTTAATAATTGACATTCAGATATTGTTCCAATATTTGAGTATTCATTTTAAATTTTGGGAATTTCTTTACCATAAGCAACAAAGCCTTTGATTTCAATAGAGTTGGTTAAAAAATGAGCTGTGTGATTATGAGGTGTTTTTCTGAAATTAGTTGGTTTAAGCATAATATATTTACAAGGTCTTATAACTTCTAATTAACATAGAACTTCTTTAGAATCAGCTTCAAATTCAAAGTATCCTACTGGTTCATTTGCATATAAGCTTTAATGATTTAATTTCCATGATTCATATTATTATTTATCAAAATTATCAAATTCTGTTGTATCAAATAATTCATGTTCTTCTTTTGAAATAAAGATTAATCCAGCTCCAATTGGAAATCCTTTAAAAACATTTGTAATTTCACTTTTAATAATAACATGATCTACAAGCATGACTTCATCAAATTGGCTTCTAAAAATGAATTAAGTTTTTGGATAGTTACTAGAAAATGGTTTATTATTATCATAAAGCATTTAAGTGACAAATGTTTAATCATTAAAGGATGCCCCTCTGAATGAATGTACAGTAAGAGCCAACTTTTATGGATCACTGACAGTTAAAGGACTATTCATTAATAAAATTTGTTTTGGTTCTTCAATTGGACCTTCAAAAACAGCTTTGATGTGTATATGAATGAATTTATCTTCAATGTAGAATTTTTACATATGAATATCATCAATAACAGTTTAGAATATTTAAACTTCTTCACTTTAAATGATATTATTCTCTAAAATTTCTGAATTATCTTCAATATGTTTGATTTGATTGTTGCTCTCATAACAAATGATATTATCTTTTATGTGAGCATTTTGTATTGGTTCTTAGATTTCGGAGACATTTAAACGAGAGTCAATAACAAAATTTTTAATGAAACCATTGACTAAACATTTAGTTTTTGAAATGATTAAATTATAATTGTATCCAACTGAAATTAATTTGATAAATTCAATCTAAGAATTTTGAGAGATCTCATAAATACTAAATACTTAATCACCAAGCAAAAATATGTATAGTCTATTATTCCAGATAGCAGTATCAATAGATTTAATATCATGTTATACTTAAATAGCTTTATGATTAGCTTTAATCATTTCTAATTTCTTCGAATGTTTACTATACAAAGGAGCTAAAGTTTCAACAATTTATCTGCTAGTATCTGATTGTAATAATAATGCATAATCTTTATTTTTACTCCAGCAATTGGTTAAAACACAATAATATCCATCATCATTGATAAAAAATTGATCTAAGTAATTTGAACTGTATGAAATGAATTTAATAGAAAGTACATTTTTATTATGAACACTAGCTACTAAAATAGGGAACACAGTATTATTGCTATTCCAATGAATAACTGTAACATAATCAATATTACCTTCTGTAATTTTATCTTTTAAATCTGGATTGATTTCTTCATTTTCTTCTACTTCTACTTATTCTTATTAAATTTACAATTATTATTTTATAACAAATTATTCTACCTGTTCTTCTGGTTTTTGTGCTTCACAAGCTTCACAAGTTTAATTAGTTTCTTTATTTAATAAAGTACAAACTGTACATTGCCATTCTCCACTTGTGCTACTTACAATATCAAGTGCATTATCAAAATTATTATTAGTTTAAATAAGAGCTTCCTTACAAGTTGATTCTTCAAAGCCCATTCCCATTAATTTCTCAAGTAATGCTTAATCATATAATGGTAATTATTCAGTTTCTCCAGTTATATAACTTTCCAATATTTTATATATATGACTTGGTGTCTCTTCAGATTAAACTTCAATTTTCTTCTTATTTTTTTAATAAGGTCCCAATTATCTCAAATCTATATCAATTACTTTAAAAAGTTCAGCTTCTCCATTATAAATAGTAATTTAATCTTGATTTTTAAGAGAGAAATAACGATCACTTTTACATGGAATTCTTTAACCTGATGCTACAATTTCACTTCTTAATATTAATTTAGAATATCTAGTTCCATTTTTATTGATTTCATCATCACAATAGGCATACTTCACTCCACAACCTGGTTATAAATATAATCCATATTCAACAACATTAAATGGGTTTTGTGTTGCAGGATGGTCAGTGAATGTTTATAATCTCATTTTTGCAGAATCAATTGTTGTAACATCTTCAAATTGTTCAATTAATTAAATGATTATTCTCTCAGCTATCTTGCATTACTCTATAGAATATTTATATTGATATTCATCTTTCTTTTCTTCTTAAATAATGTCCTCATTATTTGGTAGCATTTACGTAATGTCTTCTAATAATTAATCCTTCTCCTATTCTTTTGGTTTACATTCAAATCTCTCCTTTAATTTTCGCACATAATGCTTTAAATACTATCTTAATCTTTTAAGTTTCTTTGATGCTTATTCATCCAATATCAAATATACCATCTCATCGTCTTAATGATAATTGCAAATGACCAAATTCATCTTTATGAGTACATCTAATTCAGCCTTTAGAATTTATTATCCAATCAAAGGGCAATTTCGAACAGACACTAATCTATCTTCCTATTAATGAATTTCATTTCTAACTATATCATATTAGGAATACTTATTTATCAAAAATTAAGGATTTCGATGCTATACTTCCTAAGTCTCAAGCTTAACTTATTCTATATTCTCTACTACACTTAAATCCTCATACTTCATTGTCAAATGCACCGAATTCCCATATTGTGATAACCTAACACAAGGGTACCATGGACATTAAACAAGACTCCCCTTTTGTAACCCTTTGTTTGTACTCAGATTGCCATTCAAGTAAAATTATAGTGATTGCTCGTTGAAATTAAGAAGCACACCCACCACTCTCTAAGTTGTCGTTTTAAATTCGAATAGGTGTCCCTCAAAATTCTCACTTGGAGATGACTATTTGGATATGCCAATCTGCAATTAGGACTACGCCTTACTTTCACTCCATCTGTATTAAAAGGGCATACGATTTCCCAATAATGAACGCCTTCGCTGAAACATATATTCGCTATTGCTAAACCACTCGAGTCTTTTGTCGGATTAAGTTGCTATATTGTTGTGCCTTATAACGATGCCACTATGTGTGGTGTTAATTATGAAAAGAACATTAATTAAATAATTACCTCTGATACATTCTGAACAGGTATTTAGATTAATGTACAAGAATCATATACACTTATCAATTATTTTAACTATTTCAATACCAAATCGGACATTATTGTTGTCTATTAATTTAGATATCGTTAAAAAGAAGACATTTATTTTAATATTCATTTTAAAATACAGCAATTCTATTTATTAAATTACACCTTATGTATATTTTTATAAAATGCTTCTATTTTAGTACTGTGATCTAACCATCATTCATTAAATTAAATAATTTTTTAAATATGTCATCGGATTCACCATCGCATAAAAAAGAGGAGGCCAATCGAATCTATGTGACAGGATACTCTGCAAAAGAATCAGAAATGGAAATAAAGAGCGAATTTGCTAGACATGGAGAAATTCAAGAGTTTTCTTGGAAGGGGCGATTTTGTTTCATCGTAAGACATGGACCGTTTGGCATTTAGGGTACAGGCTTATGCCAAGCCTGAAGACGCATCTAATGCTGTTAGATTAATGAACATGCAAGACTTCAATGGAAGAAATCTAATTGTCGAGTTAGCAAGAGCAAAGAAAAAAGATGGTGCATGCTATTAATGTGGAAAATAGGGGCATTTGTAATAATAAATATGATTTTGTTTAGTGCCCGAAATTGTCGTCTCAATCGACGTTCCTACTCTGACTCCAGGTATAAGAACATGTGACATTAGGCGCCATTCAAAAAAGAAAAAAAAACATCCAAAGCATCGATCTTCTAGCTCTTCCTCCAGTAGTGAAAAGAAAAAGTCGAAGAAAAAAAGGAGAAAGAGTTCCTCGAGTTCTCATTCACGATCTAGTGATTGATATTAAATATTCAAATATATTAATAGTAAATTATAATATTAATCTCATTCCTAAAATTTTTGATTTGTGATATGGGATAAAATTGTAGTCATTGTTCTATCCTCATTTCCTCCTTTCAAATCTTTTTTAAATGTAGGCATCTTGGATAGATTTCTTTGTATGTTCTGTTGGTTCACATCACTATCCCTTATGAACATTCTTTTATCCACTCAAATTATTAAAATTAAAACTTACAGTCAATCACTCCAAAACATTTCTCGTTTTGCATAAGCAAATTGCTTTAGATCATAAAAGTCTCTAAAACTTTGTGTCCAAAAGTAATAAAAATTCGAACAGATTCCTCTGCACAAAAATTATTAATCTTTTAAGCTATTACATCACTCTCTTATCTGACAAAAGTCTTAATCTCTGTTTACATTACTCTTGTTTTTAAGAACATCTCATTTAAATTAACTGTTTTAAAGCTTGATGCTTTTGCAGCACTACTGACTCCATTTTCTTTGCATTAAGGTGATAAGGGTTCTTGACAAAGTAGAGTACGTTTTGGCTTTTGATTATTGATGAAGAACTAGAAGCAATTATCAGGTAAAAAAGGATCCAAAGATTAAACATGAACAGAAAAGTTCCATAACATAGTTTACTAATTAATTCTATTAATTTCTAATTTTGATTTCATAACATTATGTTATCGATTTTTTGAATCTATTTTTGTTCCATCTTAAAATAAATAAATAAATTACCTGGACAAACAAGTGCGAAATCTAATTAAAAGTTATTTTTATTAGGAACATAAATTAGAATATGATATTGGTTAATGAGACTGTAATAATCTGGAATCATTGGAATATTGAGTAATTATCCTGTAGAATTAGCAAGCACATCAAAATCATAGGATACTTGCAAAAAACCTTTTCTTTATGCATGAACTCTCACTTGCTTAAACATCAATCCTGGACAACTATATAATCCTTATTCATTAGTGATTCCTACAATCGATTCTTAATCTGTTTAATCAGATTAAAATAATTCAAGTCTGCAATTTTCAATGTCTTTGTGTTATCCACTTCTTAACAGAATATTATAAGCTCTAAATTATAATGTAGTTTCAACACAACTAACTAAATCAAATTCAATTTTCACATCAGTGTTCCCTTATAAAAAAATAGTCTTTTTTTAAGAGAAACAATCTTTTTTATTAACATCAATCAGATATTCTTATTTTTCTCTTCCATAAAATATAAAAGCTTATTCATTGATGTCATAATTCAAAGTTTCAGTAATATTTTTAGTTACATTAACTGTAGCATCTTCTGGAGCTCTAACAATGCATTTAATCACATCATTCCTCTCCACTCTAGTTGAAACATATACTGTGTCTGTATTATCATCAAGAAGATCATCAACATTTAATTGAGTTTTCGTTGTTTGAATACAATTTCCTGTAATTTCTATTTCATATGCATTAACTTATTAAACTAAATCAATAAATTTGGCTTCATCGAAACAACTAATTGGAACTGTCTAACTGAACAATTTTACAGTGAACTTTTTCTCAGGTGATTAAACTCTCTATTTTTAGCCTGATAGATCAATTTAAGAAATATTAGTCTATGTCATCCATGCCTATGATTTAGTAGGCGAAAAATAAACTCTTACTGATTTTTCTATATCTCTTATATTTTCTGTACTCTTATATATATCTAGTTTAGAAGCACTTTTTTAAGCACTTCCTTATTAACAAAATGAAGTTCTTATTACAATTTATTTTGTTGGAGTTTATGCTGACTATAAAGTTGGAGCCTCTCTTTAACGGACTGTCACTTATAGTCCCTCTAGAATGTTTCTTTATATTCCATCCTCACAAACAGGAATGACATTCTTGATTGGACAATCAACATTGACTGTTAAATTAAATTTTCTTAGATGAAGCCATATCAAATCAGCTATTAATTTAGGAGTGATTTGCTCTTTTGAAAATTACCTAGAATACAATACTACTGAATGCACTTCAGATTGATAGAGTTAGATTTATAAATAATGATTTGGATGACTAATTTATTGTCGAAATACTTTTATAAAGGGATACCTACCAAATATACAATTTCATTTTACTTTCTATTTATTGTTTGCTTTATCTCATCTAATAAGTCTTAAAATGCTTCTTTTGTTTCCTCTACACATGTACTCTTATATTTTGGATTATAACAACTCTATATCGAAACTGCTATCTGTTATGGTTTTTGTTAATCAAACTCAGAAAAATTTACAAAAGATGCCTTATCTTGAATACTGGTTATCATATTTCGTAAAAATTCCTTGTATTATAAAGTAATTTTAGTTGTCATTGCTGGCACCATTGTGTCATTAAAAAAACTAAATCTCTACTAATAAGGTACCTCACTTTGGATTTGAACTTAAATCTATTTGGAGACTGCTAAGAATTTATACTGCTGGTTGTTTAGAACATAATTTTATAATTGATCGTTAAAAAATTAAAAGAGGTTTTTCATTGCTCATCTTTGAGTTTAACAAAAAATCTACTTTAGATTCCAATCATACCATATTATAATCAATAATCATTTATCTGCATATTTATTTGCTCAAAGAATCTCAAAAATAATTATTCTTACATATGTGATTAATTTCTATATCTTTAATTGACAATGCTTATCTAAATTTATACTTGAAAAAATCAAAAAATATTTAAACATCTAATATTTAAATCAATAAATTATTAAAATTTTTAATATTTATTTCACTCTTATAATTAATTTTATATTTCTAATTCTTTTTATCGTTTCTCGCTTTCTAATTAATAGCTTTAAACTTCTATGCTCCATGCTGAATCCTTTCCTCCAGAATTTTATTTATCTTAACTATCTATTTCATCTGGAACTTAATTCTAAGGTTATTTTTATTAATTGCTCTCATATTAACTCTAAACCAAACGAAATAAACTCGAATTTTATTTAGTAAAACTTAATAATTTTTAATTCAAAGTAGAATTTTGATTTAAATTCTCATTAATTCTTTGAAAAGTTCGAACTAATCCTTCCGCATTCGAAGCTCCTAATTATGCTTTAAAAAAACGAGCTACTTTTGCTAAACGAACATTTATTGGTACTATATTATAGTATATAATAACATTACTTTCTGAACTAGCAACAAAAGTTAAATCTAATCTTTTATCTTTTTCAGATACTTATGAATTAGATAATATTTTTTTCTGTTATTGTTATTAATTTGTTAATATATCAAATAAGTCCTTTTAGTTTGCCATACCATCCTAAAACACAGGAGAGCAAAATGTATTAAATAAAATTAATTAATCATCGTCAAAAAAAAATAATTTTAGACAGTCAATCTCATAGAGTTTTTTCAAAATATTAGTTAGATCTAAATCATATTAAATTTTTGATTTAGCTATCTAAGAGATGATAATTTCTTTTTCAGTCTTAAAATAATTTTTACCTTATATAGACTTAAACAATCTGTAAATTAAATATTTTATGTATTAGATGAAAGAATAGGATATTTCAAAATTTAATATCTAATTTATGATATTTCAATTTTAATACTTGTTATAATTACCCTGTTTTGACAGGAGTGGTAGATGTTTTTTGTTAAAATACAGTACCCGATTATTCTGACTGGTAAATAGAAGATTATCTTTTTTTTTTGACACTTTCTAAGTCAAATTTAAATACAGAGTTCATGAGAACAGCAAAAGTTTTATGCTAATTATAACTATGATAAAAGATCTTTAAAAAACTCATTATCGCCACTGCAAGAGCGGTAGCTTCAGATAATGAAGAGCTAAAAATAGTAAAGAGGTCTGATTAAGCTATAAAATAATATTAATTGTCAAGTGATGATCTAATATAAAATGAGCATAAAGAAGATCCTTCTGCAAAATCTGTTGGTTCTAATCTCCTTTCCTACTTTTGAAAAGCAGTAGTTTAAAATAGTTTTTCTTCTTATTTAACATTCATTAAGTCATAAAAAATTGAATTACTTTCTTAAAATTGATAAATAAAATACTTAAGTCCATAGAAAAAGGCATAATAAAAATATCTTCATTGTTTGATATTCCAAGTACTAATTTCCAAAAAATATTTGTTGGGTAAGCTTAAATTGGAGAAGAAAGATTAAATTACTGTCTAAGTCTTGATCCTTTTAAAAATAAATCTATATTGATTCTAAATTAATGAATAAAATTAATACCCGCTTTTAATAAATGTTTAGATCTCATCTAAAGGCTTGCAAATGTTATTTGTAATATTTTTACATACTTTAATTTATATTTTTAAGTAAGAAAAGTAAGAATCAAAATATTATCCTATGAGTTCATATTTCCCATCTGCACAATAAAGATTTTGTTTTTAGGAATTTGAAATTGTTATTACATCAAAATTAAATTTTTCAACAGTGGTAGTTTCACACTTTTTCAATAGCAAATTGCTTGAGTTTCTTTCGAATCCTATTTGTGAGGCATCCCTCTTTTATTCTACGTATAAAACATCTATAGAGATATATCTATTATTTATTTTATATACTATTCAATTTCTGATATGTTTTCAAAAATGTTTCCATTATAATCAGAAACCTCAAATGCAAATATTGTGTTGTTGCTATTTATATATGTTTAATTTATAATTGTACTCTGAGTACCTACATAAATAGTTTCTTAATCTGATAGTGCTTTTTAAATGACTCCAATCATATAAAATATACTAAAAATTCCAACTAATATTGTAAGTACACCACCTTTGATTAAAAAATGTTTTACCAATAACTGTTAAAGATTTTTGTCTTTGATTGACATTAAATTCATAAGGAGTTACAAGCATATCAGCTCTCTTTAATAAATTTCTCATATAATAATTATTATTCCTCAAATACTATGGTCAGGTTCTCAGGAATTTATTATTAATGAGAAATATTTTTTGAAATCATTATGTAAAATGACGAAACATTTAGAAATTCTTAATAAATCATAAAACATTCTCAAGGATAAAAATTATAGTAATTAATAGTTTATGTTAAAAAAAACTAAATTAGGAGCAGAAAAAAAGCTTTAATTAAAATTAAATTAGTGTAATTTTTAATTGTTTTTTATATGTAATAAATTGTAAATTGAATTTGGAATATAATATATTTTTGTATTAGAAATTTTATTACAGACAAAAGATATTATTTCGAAAGTAAATAGTTTAGAGAATAGGGAATGAAATATAAATATTTTAAATGTTTTAGCATATATAATAAATGAATTTATAAATATTTGTACTAATATCAATTTACTAAATTCAGCACCCCTAATTTTCCATCTGAAGTTCCATAACTTAGTTTATTGTAATTTGTATTATGATCGATAGTCATAATTCCATTAAGTGAGCAACAATATGAATCAACACATCGATACTAGGAATCAAATTGCCTGATTTCAGAAAATACACTTAAATGATATAATTTGTTACCTTCCAGCATTTGCAGCATATATAAAGTTTGTTCTCTTATCAAATTTACATGCATATAATTTACTTACATTTAATTTTGGTAATAAGCCTTAAATATTATTTGCATTCTCTGTCCATTCTATAGTCTATAATTTATTTAAAGTTCTAGTATCCCAGATTTCTAATTATTTTTCATCTCTATATGAAGCAGTGATTAATTAAAATCCTTTTGAATCCATAGCATCTCCATAAACACAAGGACCAAATATATAACCAGTTGATTTCTTTTATCTTAAATCCCATTATATAACCATTTTATCCCATCCTCCTGTATAAAGTTAATTATGATCACCCTAATTAAATTTCATACCAAATATTCGATTCTAATGAACAGCTGATTATCCTTCTACAAATGTAGTTGGTGTTTTACTTAATTTTCCACAATCATATAATTTAACCTAACAATCTGAACCACCTATAACAAATTTATCACCATCCAATGAAAATTCACAACAATTTATTTAATTATCTTTATCTTCTAAATTAAATAAGCATTATTTTGATGTTGCATGCCAATATATAATACTTCCATTTGCATATGTTGATAATAATGTATGTTTTAAATGTTCTACTACTTAACCAGGTCTCCATTTTACACATGTTGCTGGACCTGGTTTCTATTTTGGGTCTAATAATGGAACTATTGTATAATCTTTCCCCAAATATGCAATATTTACCAGACCATCAGAATTAGCTGAAGCTAAAAATTAAGTTGTATTATCAAATGCACATGAAAGCACTTTTATTTGCTTTTAATATATATACAGTTTATACTTCTCCTGTTACTATGTCATTCTAGAATTAGTAATTTTTCAGTGATGAAAAAGATGATTAAGCAAAAATATCTTTATATGCAGCTTTTATTCTTTCTAATAGTGTAGAATCTTCAATTCCTCCATTCTCATTTGTATCTGTTGATTAAGACATTTATGTAGATAAATTTCTTTGACCTTCTTTCAAATTTTGCATTAATTTATGATTCAATGTAATTTTAATAAAATATCATATTTCTATCCAGAATTTTAGGAAAATAATTTTATATCAATAACTAAAAGGCAATACTTATAATCGATTTCTTGTAAGAATTCAAAAATCAATTTCTCAATTTTTAAATAAATTTATTCCCAGCTTTCCAATCCTTAAATAATACATGAAATATTTGTTTTTATTTATATATGATAACTAAAAATGTAAAAATACTTTATTTTATTACTGAGCTACACATATCATAATCTTAATTAAACCTAAATATCTAATTTAATATCCTAAGATTTTCTTTTTATAAAATGGGATCAAATTCTTTAATATTTTGAAAAATTATATGAAACAAAAAGCTAATAATAAATTATGTGCTAATTATTACTTTAATTTTAAATACTGAAAACAAGTTTTCTTATTAAAAAAGCAGCATCGAAATAATCAAATAAAATTTACAAAACCATAAAAATATTATTTTTTTTACTTATGATATTTTATAATATGATTAAGCTAATTTTCTTAAAAAATTCCATCTTCTAATAATGCATAATGCATTTAAGAAATGATTTTTATAGCTTTTTATTATGAAATTTTTCCTATCAAAATATTTAATCCTTAAATAATTCTTATTATTGATTGTTAATTTTAAAAATTTTTTGGAATACACAAATAAAAATGAAAGAATAAATATATATATATATTTAAGGTAATTATTTGAACAAAATATCTTAGAATCGATTATTTTATAGAATAAATATTAAAGAAGTGTTAATAATTATAATTAAGATAATTAATTTTCAAAATAATATTTAATATCATAAATATTTAACATACTTTGTTTGAATATTGTTCATCAAAGTACCCTAGATTTCTTTGAGAGTTGATGAGTAACTTTTTTTTGGAATGTACATTAATTTTATGTCTTCTTCTGCCACATAACTAAATGTTTCAACTGTACCAGCCACAATACTTTGATCCCCAAAATATTCACCAAGTTTGTTCAGTTCAAATATTTTTTCTAAAATAAAAAACACGATTTTACAATTATTTTTATTAACTCCCACTCTTCCTTATTCTAAAATAAATATTTCATTGCTTTTTTATCCTTATTAAAGAATAACATCCCCTTTTTTAAATTATTTTTCAAATAATGCATCACTCATTTTTAATTTATCATAAGGATCTTTAATTTCTTTTAATAAATCCCAATTTTCAAGAAATCTTGAATTAACGATATGAAGTTTACGTTTCGAATTATTGTCTCTTTTTGATAGAAGCTTCCTTTACAATTAAATTGAAAGTTTCTCTATCTAATTACCAGAGAATAGCTTTATCACTTTTAACTTTGATTGAAGCAGCCTATAAATTTAATAAAGTTAAATACTCTTGGAGATTGAAATAATAATGCTAGTTCACCAAAGCTTTCTCCAGGATAATATGTCTTAAGAAAAATATCACCTTTGCCATAATTCTTAAAACAATCTAATTCTCCTGTATCAACAACATAAAGAACATTTCCTTCCTCTCCTTATTTAATTACATATTCTGTTTTATGAAAGATCTTTTCTTCCATTGCTCCAACAACAATTTCTATTTCTTTATCATTTAATGCACTAAACATGAATCCTGCTTGCATTCTTTATTTAATTCGATCAGATTATTCCTTATTTTTAGGAATATATTTTGCTTTAAAATTCTCCTTCTTATTAAATTATCCATAAGCTTCAGCAGAAACTGAGAATCTCTAAAATATTAATTATTATTACTTGTTTTTGTACATCTTTTTTAATGGCAACAATTTCATCAACTTCATCATCTGATGATTCTGAGTTTGAACTCAAAGCACAATCTACATGTTTTTTCTTGTTGACTTATTATAGAAAATTAGGACCATTTCTAACTTTTTAAGAATTCATAAATTAATTAAAATAATTTACATGAAAGAATAACTCCTTGGTAAAATAGCAAGATATAGAATATTTTTATAATAAGGATTATCAATTCCTGATGAGAATGGTGATGATCTCAGATGCATTGATTTTAATTTTGATAAATACATAGAATAGCAGTTATAGATTGAACAAGAATAAAATATTGATTAAGATGATAAAAAAATAGAATTAATTGATAAAAAAATAACAGAATTAGATTTAAAATTAAATGATTTAGATTTAGAGGGGTTGTTAAAAGATTTAGAAAATATAATGTTTGATGGAGAAATTGATTTTACTAAATAAAATATTGGTGATTAAGTATTTTTTTGATTTAATATTTATTTTTAGACTGCAATTAGATTATCAGTATTGATTTAAAAACTTCCAATTTCATCTTTAATATTAAGTGATACAAAAATTTCTTATATTGGAGGTTTAGAATTAGGAAAAGCAATTAAAAATAGTAAATTAAGGAAGCTAATTTTAACAAATTGTAATTTAGGTCACAGTTCTAAGTAAGTATAAGTGTAATTAATAAGTATTTTAATGGAATAATTACATTTCTTGGAAGAAGTAGATTTTGGAGTGCTTGGAAATAGAGCACTTAGATATTTATCATAATAAAAACATGAATTATTACATTTAGGATTTCAAGAAGATCCTAAAGAAGTATGGGATGCGAAAACAAAAGAATTATTTTTAGTATCAATTCCTAAGTCTTTATTAAGTATTTAATTCTAGATTGATAATGCGGATCATAAAAAGTATTATGTCTAAATATTAAAGATTTATAGGAATAGCTGAAATTAAATGTTAAGAAAATAGAGATGCATATTTGAGAAAAAAAGCTAATGAATATAAAAGTAAAGATCTAGATCCTGATCATCCTGAGTATTATGATTGGTAAATTTAAATTTAATTATTTAGTGATGATTTTAAAGTCAATGCATTTAAATTTAGTGTGAAATCTTATTTATCTAATGTTTTCGAATCATTATTAGATGAGTCTTTATATTATTTAGAAAAAGAAAGATAAAATGTACTTAGAGATGAGGCTATATATTAAGTAACAAAAGAACTTTTACCTTAATCTATTATGGAAGATATTTGTCAAGCAGATGGTTCTTTAATTGTTTTAGCTAAATATCTTTTGACTAAAATTAAAAAATGATATCATTATAAAAAATAATCTTATAAATATCAATTGCCAATCAAACTTATTAAAGTCTATATTACAATAAATCTGGAGATTAATTTATCTCTAGATCTTTTTAACTTTAACCTGATTCTTTACTACCAACTGCCTCAGATGGTTTTCTACCTTCATCTAATTCATTAGGCACATCTAATATAATTTAATCTTAAAAGTATTTTTAATCATCTTCATTTTACTATTATAAAATTGTTGTATAATTTTATTAGACAAGATTAAATAAACTTTTGTTCTACTTAGCAAATTCTATTAATTAATCATTTAATTAACTATTTTTATTCTTATTTTCTGTTATTTTTTAAAAATTGTCAACTAAATCTTATGCATTTTCTGCACCAAGTTATGCTTTAAAAAATCTTGTCAATTTTGCTAATCTAATATTGATTGGTACTAAAATAATTATTTATTCAAAATACTTGTTGAAGTTGCGGCATATTATATTATATTTTAATTATTTTCTAAATTGGTTTAATTATTTGATTATTATTGAAGCTAATTTATTGATTTAGTCTATTTATTACTTGCAGTTAAAATATCAAATAGTTCTTTTTGGTTAGTCATTTAATCCTGAAAAACAGGTGAACAAAATGAATTAAAAAGCATAAGTTGATCATCATCAAATAAAAACAATTTTAAACAATCAATTTCATATAATTTTTTTAGAATATTAGTTAAATCTAAATCGAATTCAATTTTAGATTTAGCTATTTATGATATTACTAATTCTTTTTCATCTTCCATTTTTTTACAACTTTTAAAGTATTTTCTTAGAATGTAAAGTACATATTAATAAAATGAGTAATTTATTGTATAATCAAAGATCTTTATAAATATGCAAAAATACTTATTGTAACAATATTTTTGAATTTTTCGCTGAAGACTAAATCTTTCCAGGAGTTTATGATTAATTAACCTATGATAATTTTCTTTATTGAACACTTTTTAAGTCAAATTTAAAAACAGAATTCATTAATATTTCAAAAGTTTTATGCTAGTTATAAACTTTATAAAATATTTTGATAATTTGCATAACAGCTAAACACAAAGCGGTAGCCTCAGAAACTGCTGATAATATAATTGAAGGTAAATCTTATTGTATTACAAAATAAAATGAAGTATCAGATGAAGCTCTAAATTTCAATAAGAAAATACCTTAAATAAAATGTACATAATCCAACTCCTGAAGAGATTGATATAGGTTCTTGTCTTCTCTCTTATCTTTAAACAACTGAACCATTGTATAATCTTTTAGTATCTTCAATATTAAATATATCGCTAAAAAATTAGATTTTTTCTAATCAATTTAAATGTATTTTACTTAAATCCATTTATAATGGTTACATATAAATATCTTCATTATCACCAATACCAGTAGTTAATCTCCAAAATACATTATTTGAAAAAATATCAGCAGGACTTGAATAATTTAATGATTATTTAATTTTTGATCCTTTGATAAACATATCCACATTAACACTTTTAATAGTTGTTATAATTACCCTTTATTAATAAAATCTTCAATTTCCTTTGATGATTTACATGTTTTGCTTGTAGAATTATTGCAAACACTGACAGTTAATTTAATATAAGCAAAATATGGTTCATAGAATTGTCCTTATAATGTGAAATTACCATTAAAACAAATTAAATTTTCTTTTTATTCTTAAGTCATTGATGCAGAATTAAAATTGAATTATTCAATTTTTTCTAAAGAACATTTAGATTAATTTAATGAACTGTAATTTCTTGTAAATCCTATTTTTCCTTCGACTCTTTATTATTGAATATACTATGCAGTTAATGTAAAATAACTAAATTGATGTTCAAGTTAATACTCTTAGACATTTGTATTATTGCTCAAGAATTTTCCATTAAGGGTTGACAATTCAATTGAAAATATGGTGTTTTCATTACTCAATACAAATTCAGTGTTTTTATCACTTTAAGTACCAGCATAAATAGTATTTTCATTTTAAATACTTCTTTGAAATACTCCAACAATATAAAAAGAAGTAAAAACTAATAAGAGAATACTTATAAATCCACCTAAAACTCAAATAATTATAAACCTATTGGAGTTAAAGATTTCTCTTTTTGCGAAATATTAAATTCATAAGGATCAACAAGCAAATCAGCTTTTTTTATTAAATTTCTAATCATTATATTAATTTGAAAAATTATCAACTTTATTAAATATATTGATTTGTAAAATTTCTGATAAATTTTATATAATTTAGATATAATAAATAAAATATAATTATAAATAAATTTAATTCATGTACTTGTTTGCTCTTTTCTTTGTCTCATCTACAAATTTTAATGATATCAGTACTTCATTAATAACAGACTTGACAAAATTAGGATACACTTTCCATAACAACAAACAATAATCTAAAGTTTTTTCATTAAATTTATATTCTCCATTATCATCAATAGTGAAACCTATTTCAGATAGTTTTTGATGGTTAGTTTTCAGATGATTTTTTAATTAATTAGGTTTCTTATACATCTTTTAACACTTATGATATGGACATTTAAAAACATTTTTCTCAATATTATAAGGTTAAGATTTATACTGTCTAATTTTTACTTCTTCAAATAAACGTTTAATCTTTTCGTCTGTTGTTTAATTTTCTAATATAAATAAAAAGAAAGTATACTTTTTTCTAATGCTTCTCTTTATCTTTATACAAATTCTTCAGTTACATGAGGAAAGAGATTTTAGAGATCTTTTTCTGATATTTAAACAGGTTATTCTACTTCTTCTGGTTCTTTTTCGACTTCTTATTTTTCAATTTTTTATGGTTTCTTATTAGGGTCTGGTTAAGGAATTTAAATTTATGGTTCAGGTTGGATAGGTTATTATTGATCAAATGCTGTGAATTTTATCTTAGGTAATTATAAGGTTTTTAATAATTCTTGTAAAACCTTTTTAGCTCCATATAAATTATTTCCTACTTTTGCATACCATTCTCTTAAAAATCTAAAATGAATTTATAAAACTTAAGCTTCATTTTTATCTATAATTATAAAATATATATATGAATTACTCTAAATTTCTTGAGCCAAATTTTGAATTGGTTTTTTATTTTACTCAATTCTTGTATATTTAATTAATGATTTTGTAGAAATAATTAGAAGGTTTTCATTTCCATTTACTTCTATTTCATCTACATCTTCTAGTTTAAAATCAATTTTTTATTTCTATTATTAATATGGATTCGGCTAAAAAAATCATAAAATACAACATAAAGATTAGAATTTATTTCTTCATCTTTTTAATCTCTTGTAGGTCTGTCAAATGTGACAATTTATAAATTTCTATTACTTAATTAAAATTTCAAGATAATGTCTTATTGATCATTTGTCAAAGTGGAACTTAGAAAAATTTGACTTAAATTATTACGTGATTGATGGATTAGATAATAATGTAAATGATACTTTTTCTTAGAAGATATCTAAAAAATAAAAGATTTAAATATTACTTAATGATGATGTACCTGTATTTGGTCTAATATGTCCTGCTCCATAAGATACATAAGTATTGTATCGATTCCTTTGAAGATTACTAGGATTTTTCTAAGATTAATTAAATGATTCGATAAGAGTTTAAAGATTCTTATCTTAAGCGAAAGAATTCTAAAATTTAGGAAGCATATGAATATTTAGTTTATTTATATTAATATAAATGTATAAATAAATGTATAATTAAGATGACAAATGAATTAAATCTAGAGTTTAATAAAAATATACTAAGCTAAACAATTCATTCCTAAACTGATTCTTTATTTTAAATAAATAGATTTGGATTAGCTGTTTAATTAGGTGTATTGAATTATTAAATTTATGTTTGTAATTCTAGTCGATTATTTAATATATTATTAGGAGTATAAAGATGGTTTAATACTTTATAATTATTGGGTTATCTTTTTTCTGTTTTTGAAACACTATGTAAAATATTAAATAAAATATAATACCCTTATATATTCTCATTTAAAGTTCCAGGACGAACTCCAAAATTGACATTTTAATATTATCTTACAACATTGGCTAAATCTTCAATATGTTTTTTTCTGTTTTATGCATCATTTCTCTAAAATGAAAATAGTACAGTATTATTACTTCATCATTAGCAACTTTACCATCTAACATTCTAATAGTTCTAGTAGCATAGTTTTTTAAATTGGTATCATGAGTAACCATAATGATTGTAATACCTTTTTCAATGTTCAAATCAATTATAATTTTCATTATTAAATCTGAATTTTTAGTATCTAGATCTCCAGTTGGTTCATCTAATAATAAAATAGATGGGTTATTAGCTAATGCTCTTGCAATTGTAACTCTTTATTATTCTAAAACTTAATAAATAAATGTTTACCTCCTCCTGATAATTAATTTGGATAATGATTTAATCTTCCACTTAATCCAACTTATTCTAATAATTACATGGCATTATTTCGAATTTCAGCTTTACTTAATGTTCCTTTAAGGATCATAGGTAATTCCACATTCTCTAATGCTGTCAATGATGTTATTAAATTAAAAGTTTGGAAAACAAATCCCAAAGATGATAATCTAAGTGATGCAAGGAATTTATCTTCTGTAGAGGCTCTTATTCTTTGACCACAAATTCTTACATCACCCTATTTTAGATTAGGATTATGGATTATACTTTTGTAGGTAAATCTATACTACCTAATAGATTTAGTAATGTAGTCTTGCCACATCCTGATGTACCTAAAATTGTTATAAACTCTCTCTCTTAAACATTAAAAGATACTCCTAATTTATTTATACCATATTACAACCTCTTAATGCAGTAACACCCTCTAATCCCAATAAGTAAGTTTTATGAACATTTCTGACTTCTATTATATATTGATCTGGCTAAATAAGTGGATATATTGGAATTTCCTGCTTTTCATCTATTTCTTAACCTTCAATATCTATGCTCATCTAATCAAAATTTTATTTATTATTAATATTAAAAAACAACACTTGAATCTCTCTTTGTGAATTAATTCAATTGTAAAACAATATTTCAATCTTATTTTAACACTCTAATTTTCACACATTCTAGTATTCATAATAAATATCTTATTATTTTGAATCATATTTCTTCCAACAAAAAAAAAGTTTTAAATTACTCAAATTATTCTATTTGTATTCATTCAAATATACATATAACAATATTTATTTATTTCTATTTTTATAATCATGATTTTCATTATTCATTAAGACATTGACTTATAATTGTTTACTTTTTAAATGTATAAAAATATTAAAATAAAATTTATTGAAATTTTTATTCCATATGACTTGGCAACCTACTGAGAAAATTGTTAAATATATTATATAGATAATAATTGCAGAAAATGTTGAGAATAATTCATTATATATAAAGTTTCTTGGTACTGTGGATTAAGAAATATTGATTGTTTGCAAATAGATTTTTCACTCCTTCATCTATCATTATTACTTATAGTAATTCTCCATTGCCACTATAATATATGAAAATAATTTACTAATTTTATTTAACAATTTAGCCATTAGAACTTCCACTTATTATGATGTTATTCCAAATACATTAAATACATATTATTTTATTTTATTGAAAATTATTATTTGTGTATTATTTTATTTGTTTTCCATTCTCAGCATTAATCAATACTAAATTATCACCACCAACTAAAACATTTTAAGTTTCCCAAGGTATTTACACTATTTTAGATATTTATTTCATTGCTTAAATTGTACGAGTTTAATTTAATGTAAATTGTTATCCAGATTTTTCTCGTTTCCATAATCTCATTCTTCCATCTACTTATGTTGTTATCATCTAATTTTTAGTATACAATATTATATTGTTAATATATGATTTATCAAAGCTTTCCTAAATTAATAATAACTTAATTACTTGATATTCAACTTTGTATTCATTTGAAATACTTAACATAATTAACTTTTTATCTTCTGTCGATATCATTAATGATGATTCCATGATTTAAGCGTCTATGATACTTTTTTCATTTATTTATAATTGCTAATATTTATAATATATTTATTAGGATTCCATTGTATACAATTATACTATTCCGTTTTCTAAACCAATTATTAATATGTTGTTACATAACTTTAACAAAGTTATCTTACTTTCTATTTGAATATTTTATATTCGTTAAGTTGTGATAGTGTTTATTGTAGAGAAACCTTATTCATTTGAGTAGATAAATAGATTTTCATTTAATATTGATGAATTTTCTGTTTCAACTTAAATTTCATATTGGAATTGCTATTCATCTTTAAACTGATTTTCAATCATATGAATAAAATGTTCTTCATTTTAAAAAATTAATAATCCCAGCATCCAAAAACCTTTACTTCTCTTAATTTTATAATCGCCTATTTCTGTAACACAATATTTTGTTTGCAACAATATTTTGATGCTCTTTATTTGCCCTTTAATTTGTAATCCAAATCTAATATTTTCATCCAATAAATCCACATACCATATTTCATTTTCCAATAAGGATGTAGTTTCTTATCTATCTAATATTCTAGTTTTTAATTACTTTTATAAAAACATTTCGGAACATAGGAGTTTGTTGATCCAATCAAAATTAGTCTTGAATGATCAATTTCTTAATGATATTTCTTATGTGTTGAAATATCATTATAAAACAATAATTGGTTATTGGTTAATACTTATAAGCACAATCCTTAAGGATTTATATATAAACTAACAAATAAATATGAAATACATTTATTTTCTTAAAATCTATATTTAATTTTTGAGATTATATTTCTTATCTAAATCTTATTCAAGTAAATATATTATCTAATTATCCCTAACATAAATTTGATTTTTGAAAAGAAGGATTTATTATATTGGATCCATTGACAATTTTATATGATCAACTTCTTCCAATGTATGTTTATATATTGATAATACTCCATCTTCTCTTCCAAAAAGTAGTGTTTATTACTCCAAATTGTTTTAGCTTATCTTAACTTTATTATGGCTAATACTTTATTTTTTTAATTAAAACTATACATTAATAGGAGTGATCTATAATTAAAATAATGTCAAATAAGATTATCCAATAGAAATTAATTGAGTGGATTCAAAATCTTGGCAATGATAACAATCTAATTTTGCATATCCTTTTTATTTCAATGAAACATCATAAATTGCAACAAACCCACATTTTTCAAAATATATATAAATATCTTTATGAATCATTTATGCTTTTATGATCTAATTATTATTATTTTTGAATGGTTGTTATTGCATAACTTATTAATTCATCAATATAATATTACATTGTTACTCTTATTAAAAAGTTCCCAATTATATTGGATGACCTTCGAGAATTGCATTTTGATTTGTAAATATGATAGGTTATTCATCAAAATTTGGAATTACATCAACAATTTGTAATTTACCAATTTCAATAACTTGATTCTTCCAAATTAACTTTTAATCAATTTAATAGCATTCAGAATTAAAAACTTTAGTAATTCTTTAATCATGTTTCTCTATATCATCATAAAAATTTCTAAATTCTATATGCGAGATAATTTAATTTATGAGAAATAATTAACAATCTTATTTACCACATATACCAAGAATCCAAAATTATGGAAAAGTTAAAAGATCTATATCAGGTTATTTGATAGTGATTATTTCATCTTATAAGAGGATTTTTAAAATCAATTCTTATAATTTTAAATTCTCAATGATTACATATATTAATTAAGGGCAATCGCTATAAATTTCAAAAAAACAAATGTTTTATTAATTTTATTTTTTTCTAATTTTTTAATTATTTAAGTAGATATCAATAGAATTATCTGAAATGATGGATAAAATTTTAGTTTTTTTGATCAGTTTAAAAATATTTCTAGAACTTTTTAAATCTACTTCTTCATTAATTCCATAATTGATATCAAGGGTGTAATATTATTCATGTTCTACTTTGATAGATCCTTTATTTAAGTGATTGAATAATAATTTTGCATGACCAGAATTATTAGTTGTACAAGTGATTATTTTATTGGAAATAGAATCAGTTATGACAATTTAAGCTTTAATTATAATCGAATCTGTAAAATAATCAACAACGTACATTTAGCCAACTTCTAGAAGGGATAAAATTTTTAAATTAACTTATTATGGTGGTTTAATCGTTTTTTTTTTCTTATATATGAAACTTGAATTGATTATTGTTTAATTAGAGTTTTGATTGAGAAGTGTAGAGATTTCTGTGGTTTTATTTATTATTTATATTTTTATGTCGTTATTTCCTCCATGCAATTCTATAAATTATGAAACTTATTCAAAGCCATATTTACTTACAATAAGAGTGTATNCATATCCTTTTTATTTCAATGAAACATCATAAATTGCAACAAACCCACATTTTTCAAAATATATATAAATATCTTTATGAATCATTTATGCTTTTATGATCTAATTATTATTATTTTTGAATGGTTGTTATTGCATAACTTATTAATTCATCAATATAATATTACATTGTTACTCTTATTAAAAAGTTCCCAATTATATTGGATGACCTTCGAGAATTGCATTTTGATTTGTAAATATGATAGGTTATTCATCAAAATTTGGAATTACATCAACAATTTGTAATTTACCAATTTCAATAACTTGATTCTTCCAAATTAACTTTTAATCAATTTAATAGCATTCAGAATTAAAAACTTTAGTAATTCTTTAATCATGTTTCTCTATATCATCATAAAAATTTCTAAATTCTATATGCGAGATAATTTAATTTATGAGAAATAATTAACAATCTTATTTACCACATATACCAAGAATCCAAAATTATGGAAAAGTTAAAAGATCTATATCAGGTTATTTGATAGTGATTATTTCATCTTATAAGAGGATTTTTAAAATCAATTCTTATAATTTTAAATTCTCAATGATTACATATATTAATTAAGGGCAATCGCTATAAATTTCAAAAAAACAAATGTTTTATTAATTTTATTTTTTTCTAATTTTTTAATTATTTAAGTAGATATCAATAGAATTATCTGAAATGATGGATAAAATTTTAGTTTTTTTGATCAGTTTAAAAATATTTCTAGAACTTTTTAAATCTACTTCTTCATTAATTCCATAATTGATATCAAGGGTGTAATATTATTCATGTTCTACTTTGATAGATCCTTTATTTAAGTGATTGAATAATAATTTTGCATGACCAGAATTATTAGTTGTACAAGTGATTATTTTATTGGAAATAGAATCAGTTATGACAATTTAAGCTTTAATTATAATCGAATCTGTAAAATAATCAACAACGTACATTTAGCCAACTTCTAGAAGGGATAAAATTTTTAAATTAACTTATTATGGTGGTTTAATCGTTTTTTTTTTCTTATATATGAAACTTGAATTGATTATTGTTTAATTAGAGTTTTGATTGAGAAGTGTAGAGATTTCTGTGGTTTTATTTATTATTTATATTTTTATGTCGTTATTTCCTCCATGCAATTCTATAAATTATGAAACTTATTCAAAGCCATATTTACTTACAATAAGAGTGTATATACCTGGTTCAAGAAATCCTTAATATATTCCTGAATTTTCAGAGATTTCTTTAAGTAACATTCTTTCTTAATTCTGAATAACATTAACTTGAGTATCAGTAAAAGGAATTATCACATCTGTTTCGTGATGTGGTCCAACTACTTCAACTGTTAATAATGCTAGTTTAGGTTTGATTAATTTAATTTGATGATATGCTCCTTCTGTTCTTACTAATTCTTACAAAGTTACTATTTCATTTAAAGATAAATTATTGGTAGATTCTTGAATTAAAATTTCGTATCGATCAATAGGAATATTGAGAAATAATACCCTACCTTAAGAATCAGATTTTTCACTATATCTGATAATATTGCTTTGTTAAGATAAGGCCCTTTGTCTATGAAATGAAGATGATTTACTTGATCTATTCTCTGATAATTTACTTTATGGACGTAAATGTTAACTTGATGTAAGCTATTTGTTTTGAAAAGATTACATTGTCACATTAATTCCTTTTAAGTTAGTATCACCATCATTAAAGACCAATTAAATTAATAGATTAGTTTTTCGAAATTGTTGATGAATAGCTTTGAGAATGTCATTAACGTTTGGCCAAGACTTAGATTGCAACTTACTAAACAATTATGATTGTTAACCATTTAATTAAAATTGGACTTCGAAAGCTCCAATACGTCTCTAAAGAAAGAGGGAATTTATAGTTTTATCATTTTCAAAAACTAATGGCTTAAGATAAACTTTGATGTCTGGATAATTTAGCAAAATAGATTATTTCATAAGTAAAGCGTAGGAATAATATTGTTCTTCATTATGACGAGTCGATCGCTAATGTTCTTTGCAATTTGTGCTATTAAATTATAAATGAATATGATTATATATACCAATATTCTATAGTAACAACCATTTCATCTAATTTATCTTAAAATTCGATAAAGGACCTCCAATTACCTTGTTTGATCATAATCTCTTTGATGGATACATTACGTTGTTCTAGATCTTAGAAATTTTTAAGTTTGGTGCAATTGGTTCTAACTTCACTCAATCCAATATCACTATATACAATTTATTTAGAATCACTAGTAATTAAATCTTCATTACTTTAACCCACAAGGAAGAAATGGAGTTGAATGTAATTTAGAATCATAATGATTATCAATATACCTTGAATTACTCCAAGTCCTTTTGCTTCTTGATCGAATACTTTAAGTTGATATATTCATATTATTAAATTATATATATACATTATCAATCACTCATGTAATCTTCTTTTTGTTGTTATTATTATTTTGAGATGATTCTATTCCTAGGATTTAAATCTCAATTAGCTTGAGTGTAGTGAATATTATTGCATATTAGCATCCAACCCATAAACATACAATCCTTTTGAATTTTTGGGATTATCTCTGCTAATGTGACTACTTACAAAGAATGTTGCAAATTTTAATGAACCAGACTTAGGTTTTTGACAATCTTTAAGAGTATGTTTTTAAGAACCATAATTATAACAAATAATCTCATCATTAGTAGAGTACTTCTCGACAATGCTAAGCTGTATTTCCTATCTTTTTGCAAACCAGAAAAACTTTAATTTTCCTTTCATTTTTATTTTCTTCTTTTCTTTTTGTACTTCTTCCAGTTTTAGTTGTATTTTAGATAACTTCTTTTAAATTCGTCTTTCTAAATCTTTTATTTCTTTTCCTCAATGACATATGAAGTTGCATTAACATTTACTCCGATACCAATTAACTTCATATTTTTTTAATATGCTAACTCATGATACAATCATTTTCTTTGAGTCCCATTATTTGGTTCTTGAAGTTCTGATATTCTAGATTCGAGATGTTAAATTTTTTATTTATATTATTCTTCTTTCACATGTAAAATTCTAAGATTAGAATCTAGTTTAGGATCCTTTAAATCTTTTGATTTACATTTGATTGTTTAGATTATTTAGTTGAATTTTTGCTGATTTATTTTCTCATATTAAAATTAATAACCACATAATACTATCATTTATTTGGTACACGATATTCTTCACCTAAATGTTCTGGTGCTTACAGAGGTATGTTCAAACTATATAATATATATATAATATTCATACACATTAGATTAATCTAATTTTTGTCCTTTTTCTAAGAAATATTCTCTAGTATATTTATACACAGCTGTTTCAGTTTTGAATTAATAAGTTTTAGAATAATCTGAATAAAATTCTGGTTACCCATACTTTTATAAGACTCTCTCTTCAAATGAAGGTAGTTTAGAACAACGTTCAATCTTAATTAATATATAATTTTAATTACTTCTTATTGGATCCACTCTTTAAATTTTCTAAAATCTCCATATCTAGTACAATTAACTCTGAATGGAGCTTTTTCTTCTTGATTCCAAAATTCTTCAAATGTAGGCCATCTTTTCTTTCTATAGATGGGTTTCAAATACTATTATTTATTATAAAATTATTCTGATTTGTTGGATCCCCAATACCTGGTAGTTTATTTAGCATCATATCTTTGTTATTTATGAAGGAATTATACAAACAAAATTTGTCTAAATTAGAATCTTCAAAATCAAATTCTTTAGTAGCTAATCTATTTCTCCATGGATCCATTCCCATTCCAAATGCATGAATTAACCATTTTGGTGATAAATATATTTTACACACGACAATTTCTGAATATTCATCTGGTTTGTAATATGGATCATGAAATGTTGTCCAAGCATAATAATCAGTTAATGTTAAATCAAATCTATTTTTATTTAGTTTCTCTATTACTTAGGACGATCATAAATAGCAATACGCTTTTATTTTGGTTAAATCACTTAAATTTCTTTTTCTTTCTCTGTCTTAACTAACTTAGTATATTTTAAATAAGTTTCAAAATTGTAGTTCACAGTATGAGTAAACCTTTCCTATTTTAAATTCTCATCTAATAATCCACTTTATTCAAGTTGTTATTGTTTTTCTTTTATTGCTAATTANTACTTCTCGACAATGCTAAGCTGTATTTCCTATCTTTTTGCAAACCAGAAAAACTTTAATTTTCCTTTCATTTTTATTTTCTTCTTTTCTTTTTGTACTTCTTCCAGTTTTAGTTGTATTTTAGATAACTTCTTTTAAATTCGTCTTTCTAAATCTTTTATTTCTTTTCCTCAATGACATATGAAGTTGCATTAACATTTACTCCGATACCAATTAACTTCATATTTTTTTAATATGCTAACTCATGATACAATCATTTTCTTTGAGTCCCATTATTTGGTTCTTGAAGTTCTGATATTCTAGATTCGAGATGTTAAATTTTTTATTTATATTATTCTTCTTTCACATGTAAAATTCTAAGATTAGAATCTAGTTTAGGATCCTTTAAATCTTTTGATTTACATTTGATTGTTTAGATTATTTAGTTGAATTTTTGCTGATTTATTTTCTCATATTAAAATTAATAACCACATAATACTATCATTTATTTGGTACACGATATTCTTCACCTAAATGTTCTGGTGCTTACAGAGGTATGTTCAAACTATATAATATATATATAATATTCATACACATTAGATTAATCTAATTTTTGTCCTTTTTCTAAGAAATATTCTCTAGTATATTTATACACAGCTGTTTCAGTTTTGAATTAATAAGTTTTAGAATAATCTGAATAAAATTCTGGTTACCCATACTTTTATAAGACTCTCTCTTCAAATGAAGGTAGTTTAGAACAACGTTCAATCTTAATTAATATATAATTTTAATTACTTCTTATTGGATCCACTCTTTAAATTTTCTAAAATCTCCATATCTAGTACAATTAACTCTGAATGGAGCTTTTTCTTCTTGATTCCAAAATTCTTCAAATGTAGGCCATCTTTTCTTTCTATAGATGGGTTTCAAATACTATTATTTATTATAAAATTATTCTGATTTGTTGGATCCCCAATACCTGGTAGTTTATTTAGCATCATATCTTTGTTATTTATGAAGGAATTATACAAACAAAATTTGTCTAAATTAGAATCTTCAAAATCAAATTCTTTAGTAGCTAATCTATTTCTCCATGGATCCATTCCCATTCCAAATGCATGAATTAACCATTTTGGTGATAAATATATTTTACACACGACAATTTCTGAATATTCATCTGGTTTGTAATATGGATCATGAAATGTTGTCCAAGCATAATAATCAGTTAATGTTAAATCAAATCTATTTTTATTTAGTTTCTCTATTACTTAGGACGATCATAAATAGCAATACGCTTTTATTTTGGTTAAATCACTTAAATTTCTTTTTCTTTCTCTGTCTTAACTAACTTAGTATATTTTAAATAAGTTTCAAAATTGTAGTTCACAGTATGAGTAAACCTTTCCTATTTTAAATTCTCATCTAATAATCCACTTTATTCAAGTTGTTATTGTTTTTCTTTTATTGCTAATTATAATGCTCTTTTCTTTTGATTAACATTTTTAGAAGGCACTGGTTTAATAAATCTGCTAAAGATTTAACCCATACAATATCGAGGTATATAGAATTACATATTTTTAATATTTTAATATTTTAATTCTCATCAAAACTCTAATTTATCAACTGCATCACTTACATAAGGGATTGTAACTTTCAAAAGTGGTTCCATTTCCATCTATCTCTTTATATTAAATTATGCATTCTAATTTCCACACCAAGATCTTCTTGCTACACCATTATTCACATCCCATTACAGCATCATCTTAGCTCTTCTAGATGCATCATCTAATAATATATTATTTAAATACCTGAACCATCTAATACTAATCCAAATCCACCATTTATTACCTCTCCCCAACCTACTCCACCGCCATTATGTAATGCTACCCAAGTTGCTCCTCTAAATGAATCTCCTATCACATTCTGAACTGCCATATCTGCTGTGAATTAAGAACCATCATATATATCTGCTGTCTCTCTAAATGGACTATCTGTACCAGATACATCATGATGATCTCTTGATAAAACTATAGGACCTGAAATTTCTCCCTTTTTTACACCTTCATTGAATCTAATTGCTATCTCTGTTCTTGCTTAAGTGTCAGCATATAGTATTCGAGCTTATGATCCTATTACTAATTTATTCTCTTCTGCCTTACGAATCCAATCCAAATTATCTCTTAATTAATCTGCAACTATTTTTGGAGAATTTATTATCAGATCTTAAAGTACTTATTCAGCTATTTTATCAGTCTTTCTTAAATCTTCACATAATCCACTTGAACATATCCATCTAAATGGACCAAAACCAAGACTAAATATATCACCCATTATATCTTAGAAATAACTAGGATATCGAAATAATTATTCATCATGTTCCGAATTTACATTAGCACCAGCTCTTCTACTTTCTAATAAAAAACGATTTCCATAATCCCAAAAATGCATACCTTTTGCTGTTAATTAATTAATTGCATCTACTTATCTAACTAATGATTGATAAACTAATTTCTTAAATTATTCTGGATCCTAAACCATCATTTAATTAGCTTCTTCGAATGATAATTAAACAGGATAATATCCCCCATTAAAAGGATTATGTAGAGAAGTTTGATCCGATCCCAAATGAACTAAATTAACTTCTTCCTAAGCTAATCTTTCCCACAATAAGACTATATTGCCTAAGAATCCAATAGATTCTGCTCTTTTTTCTTATTTAGCCAATTTAATTTGTGTAATTACTTCTTCAACATCAGTAATTTTTTTTTTAACCCAACCCTATTTCAATCGTTTATCCAATGCTTTTTCAGAAACTTCTGCAATGACTGAGATACAACCTAGAATATCAGCAGCTTTTGGTTATGCACCACTCATTCCACCTAAACCAGATGAAACAAAGACGACACCATTTAATGAATCAGTGTTGAGATATTTCCTTGCTGCATTCAATAAAGTAAGTGTTGTTCCATGTACAATACCTTAACTTCCTATATAACAATAGCTTCCTGCAGTCATTTGTCCATACATAGTATTACCTAAAGCATAATGTTTTTCATAATGAGATTAAGTAGAATAATTAGGAATCATCATTCCATTACTTAATACAATTCTTGGAGCATCAGGATGACTAGGAAATAATCCTTAAGGATGACCACTATTCATTACTAATGTTTGATTTTCAGTCATTTAAGTGAGATATTACATAGTTAAGTGATATTAAGCCCAATTTTAAAAGACACTACCATTACCACCATAAGTAATTAATTCGTGTGGAAACTATGCAACTTCATGATTAAGATTATTCATTATCATATGCATGATAACCTAAGCTTATTTACATTGGCAAGGATATCTAAAAATTAAAAAGATTAATACTTATCATATGGATATGCTTTCATTTCATAATTTGGAATCAATCTATACATATAGATATGCCCATAAGTTTATAATTCATATAAAAATTCAGGTACTAATTTCTCATGAAGATCTGGATGAAAGTATCTTAAAGCATTTTTTAATGCTAATCTTTATTCCTAATGTCTATTTTATTGTTTACTTATTTGTTTAAACATAGATTCTTGCATGGAGCATGAGGTATTGATTGATCTCTAACATATCGATTTTTATGGAAATCAACATCAATTCCTCTTTTTAATGTTTCCAAAAATGCGTAATCGATTTACATATTTAATAATATTTATGATTTATTTAATTTATATTCACTCCTTAATCATGCTGCCACCATAGGAAAAATCATAATAAATTCTGCCTTCTGAACTTGCAGTTTCAAATGATGCTATGGTACATTCAGTAAATTCCTATTAAATACCATCTATAAAATAATATACAGAATCAAAATTTGAAGTGTCTTCTTCATTTGTCAATTTAGGTTTAAATGGTGCCTCCACTTTCTTTTATAATATGTAATCCCAATTAACTCTTTCAAACCATGGATGTGATTTAATTTCAAATGCTCCATTATAACCCAAACGTTCTAAGTATTTTCTACTATTTTTATACTTTCTGGTTATTTTAAAAATAAACCTTCCAATAGATTCCTTAATATAGGATTCAAATTTTATGGATATTTTGGAAATTATAATTTTATCTATTCAAACAAGTCACTTCTTTGATTTGAATAGTAAGGAGGCATTCCAGTTATCATTTCAAAAATGATGCATCCCAAAGTCCACCAATCTACTGGTTTACCATGTCCTTATTTCATTAATATTTCAGGTGCCAAATATTCAGGTGTTCCACATACTGAATATGCATCTTTGTCTTATTTTACATTCTTTTTTGATAATCCAAAATCTGTTATTCTTATATATCCATCTGCATCCAAAATTACATTCTCTGGTTTTAAACTATACCTTAACATTCATCTCTTACTCTCTATATATTATATTATTTTCATGCAAGTATTCTATAGCCAATATCATTTAACAAACATAAAATCGACATCTTTTAAAAATATTTATTCTTTTACTAATCTTCTGTCAATTTCTTTTTCTTCTATAATAAATTAAATAACTCTCCACCTGGACAATATTCTAAAACAAAGTATAATTTCCTCTCATTTTAAAATGAATATGCCAATTTTATTATAAATGGATGATTTGCTGAAACCAACACATTTCTTTCAACCATTATATGTTCCTATTTTATTTTATCTTATTCCATACCTCCTATCTTTTCTATTAAATATACTTCTTCTTTAAGGCCTTTATTGCATACAATTTCCCTGAATCATTCTTTCTTACTAAAAGCACTTTTGCATATGATCCTTTCCCAATTACCTTTATTAATTAAAAATCTTAAATTGATAAGTGGCTTAATTACTCTTATTACATCTCTAATTTTTTTATTATTTATTACTTATCAATATTTTTAAACAAACAAATTAAAATTAAAATATTCTTTTTTTTTTCATTAATTCCTTAAAATACTTAATATTAATTTTATAATGTTCAAATTACTCAATTGTCTCAAATATCTATCTCTTAAGACAGCAACTATACTTTTGCAATTACTTATCATGAGCATAGTAATTGGACTTTGTGCAATTGTTCTTCTTGTTAATCGTTTTATGATGGATGCTCTTATTTCAGAATTTTCAGATAAATTGTTGTTTAAATAAAATTTTTAATAATATGAACTTTAAACTGAAATGCTTAAATAATAACTTAATTTGCCAATGTATAAAAGATTTTAAATGATGAATAGCTTTAATATTTTATACAAAGATTTTATTCCTTAAATATAAATCTAGAGTATTAATTATCCTTTAGAATGTCCATCATATGAAGGTAAGTCCCATGAATAATATAATATATTATTTTCATTGCCTGAATTTTGCATCTCTTTTAAAAATAAAACTAATTTTGTTGAAAATGGATAATTATACCATTTTCTAAATTTTCTTAATTAGCTGATAATCCCTTTAACTTGGACTCCTTTCACAACACTTTATATGACAAACACAGAAGAAAATTATTATTTTGCTTCTAATCCACCTATTTTTGATTATCCTTTCTACAATCCTTAAATTAGACCTTGGTATATTAATCATATTGAAAAATCTCAAATTTCAAATCGATAAGCTTTTGTGTCATATATATATTAATCATTTGGTTATAATGAATTTAGTTTCACAATTACTTACTCCTTATTTGAAAAAGAATCATAAAACAAAAATTAACTTAAAAATATTAAAGCTGTAATGGGTTATGATATGAGTTTTAATGAATATGCTAATTAACTTTAATTCTAATAATTTGTCTTTCTAATTACAAATCCACTTGGTTAAATAATCTGTACAAATTCTATCGAAAATGTAAGTCTTGATTAAGGAATATATTATGTTTATTAACAAAATTTAACTGGTTTTACAGAAAAAGATTGGTAGTAAATAAAATATTCTGCTCTATATTAACCTTATATTAACAATTGTACATTAGAAATTAATCATCTTTGTAGATTTAATGCAAAATACTAAGAAGATATTATTCTTCATGTATTAAATTTAAATTCGGATTTTTTTTTAATTATGTACTTATTTATATTTTACAATAGTTTCTAAAACGTTACGATGCAGAAAGAAAACATAGGAATGGCTGAAAAAACGAAATTGGATGTAATTAAAACGTTTGCTCGGAACTTATATTATTTAATAGGAATATCAATGATACTTCTTATCTCTAGTTGGATAGGAATGTACTTATTTTTTCGACCAATTTAGCAAATGAAATAAAAAATGGAAAAAATAATTCTTAAAAAATTTTCTAGTCCTAATTGGATGTAAAAGATACAAAATGAATTTGATGAAAAGAATACTAATTACCTAAAAGAAGCTTTAAATAATTTGAAGTCAGTAATTACTAATATAAAAAGAAAAAAATGTTTAAATTGTTATTTAATAGAAAATTTTAAATATCCTAGAAATATAATGATTAGTGAATTTTACTAAATTAAAATTAAATTAAAAGAAATTTAATAGGATATAATTGATGAAGAATCAATAATACAAAATAATTAAAATATTGATAAAGTTAACAATTAAACGTAAAATATAAAATCAGTTCCAGAAATACATTCAAAAAAAATTTATATTTAAACATTGAATAGTGAAATAGATGAGAATGTTTAATTAATAAATAGTACTGAAGGGAGGATATTCTGAATAAAGATAATAGAAAGAAAATTTTTTGATTATTATGTTATCTTATTTTAAAACTACGAAAGAAAGATATAAAGAATAAACATAAAAATAATGAAATATTAGATTTCAATTTTAATTTTAAGATATCCTCATCATCATAGATTTAAATTCTTCAAAGGTAAGCTAAAATAATTAAAAAAAATAGTACTTTTCCATCAGAATTCTAATCAACTTCTTAAATCATCTATTTCCAAACTTCTTCACTAATTCCAGAGTTTTAACCAAAAGCTAATTTAATTTCATCTTTTGTAATGGCTCCACTTTTATCTTTATCAATAATTTTAAAAGCCTAAAGTAATCTTTCAGTTGCTAATAGTTTTTCTCTATTAATAGTAGCATAAACAAATTCTAAATAAATTAAATAAATTTAATACCAGAATAATCAATAGAACCACTACCATCTGCATCTAATTTATTCATAATTTCATCAACTTAAGTTTCAGCATCAATATCACTCATAACTTTTTTATATCCATTGACTAATTCTTCTCTACTTAATTTTCCATCATTATTTGTATCCAAAGCTTAAAACTATTTTAATAAATCTCTTTTTTCTTCTTTAGTGGCAATAAAATTAACCATAAACATAAGTGCTGCTTCTTATAATTTTTTTTCAACCTAAATATTAAATATAAATTACTCTAAATGCTTTAATTCTTTATAAAGCTTCAGTAAGTGAAGGTAAATCTTCTTCTTTTTTTTAACAATATGTTTATATCCAAGGATGATTCATAGCATCCTTTGCTGATATTCTCTTTTTTGTATCTTTTTCAATCATTTTCATAACAAGATCTTTTGCTTCATTGGATATTTTCTTCCATTCTTATTCTTTAAATTTAAACACTCCTTTTCTAACTGATTCCATAATTTAATAATCATCATCACCATTAAATGGAGGTGCTTTTATTAGTTATATATAAATAATAATTACCTCCACATAACATTATATATAAAATTACACCGCATGACCAAATATCACATTTTTCATTATATTTTCTATCTAATACCTCAGGAGCTATATAATATGGAGTACCAACTCTTTAATCCATCTTTTTATCTGGATTGAATTTTTAACTAGTTCCAAAATCAGCTATTTTTATTAATGAATCTGTATTATTAGTTTCATAAAGTATGTTTTCAGGTTTCAAATCTCTATGAACAATATTTTTTTCATGACAATATGTTACTGCACTTAACACCTATTTCATAACATCTGCAGCTTTCTTTTCTGAAAAATTCTTTTCTTATACTATTCGATCAAATAATTCACCTCCTTAACATAATTCTGTTACTATATAAAAATATTCAGAGTCCTAATAAAACTCATAAATTGATATTATATTTAAATGATCCTTAAATATTTAATTTTATCATTACCAATTATTTTAATATATCAACTTCTCTAGTTAACATTTAACAATCTTCTTCTGTCATAAGTTTTTTCCTTATTAATTTTATTGCTCTAACTTAATTTGTAACCTTTTGAATTCCTCTATAAACTTCACCAAAGGCACCTTTAAATCAATTATTTTATATATATACCTTTCCCAAGACATGGTTAAATTAGATTGTAATCAGCAGTGATTTTTCCTTTTTTCTCAGTAACGAATCCTTAATAAGCAAATTTTGTATCCTCTATCTTAGTAACTTATTTTAGGATGATTATTCATTTTACCTTTGTTTGAGGGTTCTTAAATCCCATTAGATGATCCACAACCCATTAGTATAATAAAATAAGTTATCTAAATTAAATATTAAAAAATATATATTATTCCGTTCAATAATCTATTAGTAATACATCATTATTTCATTTCTATTCTCTACTATAACTTATTTCTTTATTAGATCTTTAATTCATCAATCTTCTTATCATTATTATATTTAGAGAATTATTTTAGATTTTTTTATTTACATTCTAAAATCAATCTATTGTATTTATAAAAGAATAATAAATTATTTCATATTATGAATCAAATCAATTAACATTTTTGTAATTATAATATATTGAGACCAAAGTATTATCTATATTTAATGATGTATATACGTTACTTAACAAAAATATACTAAATCATAAAATAAATTTAAGAAATACTTGAATTAAATAAAATAAAAGACTAACGACTTATAACTAATACATCTAATAAAAAGTTATTAAGATAATAAAAGTATAAATAGAAATTATTAATCATCAAGTTTAGTAATATAAAATTGAATATAAATATATAAATGAATTAAACCTAAAAGTCTTTTGATGTTTCTAAAGGTGGTGAGAAACTGTCAGATATAGAGTCATTAAAACGAAGAACATATAAAAAGATCTTAATGTATTAGATTTAACTATTATTAGGATGTCTTCAATGAATAAAAACATTATGAAATATATCTAGAAAGCCTTTTAATTAGGTCCAAAATATTTGACAATTGAATGTCTTGTTGAAGAAGTTAAGACAACTCCATTGAATGAATTAGAACGTTATGGTGCCACTATTTTAGATAAAGATAGATTAAAAGAGCTTTAAGAATTGTTAGGAAAAATAAAATAGATGATAGATTAAGAAGTAAAATAACTTAGTAGTGATCAATTAGTGGTATATAATATTTTTTAAGATAGTAACTAATTAAATATTTTGTTTTATCTCCAGTAGAGAAAACATATATTCAAAAAATAGAAGCTGAATTAGCAGAAACTGTAATGATTAGAAATAATATTTTAATAGAAAAATTTAGATGAATAAATCAAAGCAGCTTAGACAAGATAAAAAGAGCAATAAGATTTAAAAATTGAAGAATATCGACAAGAAAAAAATGGATAATAAATAATTAAATAAAACTTATAATCTTAACAACATCAGATTTCAGTGCATGAAAATAAATTAGAAAAAGCTAATTAAAAATTAAATGAGATTGTTGCTCATAATAAATAATTGAGAGAAAGGATTAATTAATTAAGAAAAGAAAAAAATATGGTTGAAGAGTAAATAATTATTTATATATTTATAGAATATCAAAGAATTTAGAAAAGGAATTAGAAGATAAAAAAAAGAATGTTGAAGAAACTATTAAATCAGCAGGATAGGCATATTATTATAGAAATAAAGCAGAAGAAGAATTAACTAAATTACAGAAAAAAGCAGAAGCATAAAAAAAAGAGTTTGAATAAGAATGTGAATCATTAAATGAGAAAATATAGCATGACAAGAAATTTAAAGCATTTATTTAAAGCAAAAAGAAAGAATAAGAATATTTAGATAAATTAGAAAAATAAATAGCAGAAAATTAAGAAATTATAAGATAGAAATCAGCTTCAAATGCTTAAATAGATAAAGAATATATGTTGAGTGCTTCTAAGGAATAAGAGATTAAAGATGCTTTTGAAAGAATTAAATAAGAGACAGGAATTCATGATAAAAAAAAAGAAAGAGAAAGTAAATAATTATTGACTGTCTTTATTGAATTGTATTAAAATAATCAAATCATGTCATAATTTGTTAAGGAATTATAAGAAACTGTTGAAGAATTAGAGAGATAAATAGAAGAAAAGAAAGCAGAAATATAAATGTATTCAACAAAAGGAGCTACTAATGATAATTAAAGAAGAGAATAAAAGATGGCATTGTCGAATAAAATTTAATAAGAAGAAAAAAAGAAAATTATACTGAAAGCATAATATGAAAAATCAATTGAAACAATCAATTTAATTAAAAAATATTTAGAAGAAGTTTTCTAAGCTATAGATGTTGATGATGAAACTATAAAAAAATTAAGTAATAATATTCTTATATATTTTATAGAATCAGCAGCAATTACTGAAGAGAATATGGTACACTTTTTAGGAATATTGGAATAAAAAGGATTGGATGCTATCTAAGAATATGCTAGATTGATTGCAGAATAATTGAAATTAGAAAAAGGAGAAGTACATGGTTTATCATCTTAAGTTGATGATCTAAATAATATTATTGCTTATGAAAATGCTAACATTATGAATTATTATTCATAAGCTTCCTAATTTAGATAAGAGTGTCCAGATGATGTGCTTTCATTTAATGAAGAAGAGAATGATATGAAATAGAGATGGTTCCAAGAAGAAGAATTTAAAAAGTAAGCTATGGAAGTATAATTCATTATATTATCAAGTCAATCTCTAAAAGATCTGGACCAAAGAAACCCATTAAACCAAAGTTTAAAGAAAGAGAGTAAAAACAATGAGAATTATTATACTCATCTATATTCAAATATGTATTATTCTATAAGTGTATCATTAAATAAACTATTAAATATTAAACTTTTTTATTTTAGCTTAATTTTTATTGGGTGTTCATTATCTTCAATATTTTGTAGAAATTAATTATTTCTTTCAAAATATTTATATATATTCATTTTCAAAAAATTAAAATATTATAATATAACAAAAATTTATTTATCAAAAAATGATAATCATTGTTAAGTATCATAAGCATAATACTCTAAAATAAATAAATAGTATAATCAATCTGGATACATAATAATTTAAAGTAGAACTTCAATTAATAAAGATCATTGATAATAAAATTGACATATTTTTTTTAAATTAATCTTTTAATAACTAAATTAATAAAGCTATTATTTATATTTAAATTTTAAATGTATATAAAATATTATACTAAATTTTAAAATTGAATCTCTATTTTAAATAAGCTGATTATTATTTAAATAGGTCATCCTTTTTTAGATTAATTAATTCTTTTAATAATAGAATAAGAAATTTAGATTAATACATTTCGATAATTTATTTATACTGAATAAGAATCCCTTATTTATTCTAACTATTCAAGCAAATAAATCTAAAGTTACTATTTAGTTTATTTCTAAATCATTATTAGTTTTTATAAGAATATTGATAAGGGGAGAGGTAAAGATTCTCCAAAGAAACATAAATTAACAAATATAAATTTCTATTAAATTAATATTATTATGTCTGGGATTTATAATATAATTCTTGAGCCTTCAAAGTAAAATCTGGAAGTCTAACTTGAATTTTCTACAACTGTATCTGAAATATTTGATTATATCAACACATAGTATAAGTAAGTATCAATATTGATTTTAAGAATTTCTAATACCTGTTAATCATGGACTTGTTATTCTAGTAATCGATAAAAATATTTGACTCATTAAGAAACAATTGGATAATTTCCAAATGATACTTTAATAATTAACACATATGTAGTCACTTAAATTTCTAATACAAATCTAAGTGAGATTATACTATTTATAAATATAACAGATGGCTTTGTAAAAAAATCTTTTCAAGCAAAATTTAATGAAAGTAATACACTTGAGGACATTGCTTCCTCAATATTAGCTTATTGTTAATTGCCCAAAGATTTGTATAAATTAATTATTATCTTATTTAGAAATATAGCCACAGCTGATCTATTCATATTCAATTAACCATATAATGATTAAATTAAGAGAGGAAAAACTTTAACTGAGTTATAAATTAAAGATAATTTAACAATTGAAGCAAAAATTAGATGGATAGGAGGTAATGATATGATAATTAAATATTATTGAAATATCTTAAAATATTTTCATATTGAAAACAATCCAAATTATAATTTACAATAACTTACATACTACATTATATAATGATATACTTTCCTACAATAAAATTGTATTTCAAAAGGAATATTTTTATTTAAAAATTATCAATTATTTAAATTTCAAATAATAATAGAAGATAAATCATTATACTCTTTTTTAACATATAATATCGAAATATAAAGATTATTTTAAAATTTATTCATATTTTAAATCAGTATTATATAATTAAACTCTTTAACTAATTTAGCATTAAATAATTTATATATGTATATTCTTATATAAAGAAAATTTTGAGATTTATTAATGAATAATGATTACGAAAAATATGAAAGTTTATGAGGAATTTTAATGTGACAACTAATTTTTCTAATTGAAATAAAAATTATAGAAATGGATGAAAAATTTAAATTTTTTAATTAATTCAAAATACTGTAGGATGTTAATCTTAAAATCAATAAATAGAAGCAAAATGATTTAGAAAACTCACCAGACAATATTTCTATTAACAAATAAAATATCTTTCTCTATTATTTTGATGATTTAAGATAATTAAAAATTAGATTTTGAATTTAGAAAGATATAATTCAAAATAATTATATAATTTCTTTGAAAACTATTAAATGATTATTTAATCTTTAAATTTAAACTGTAGAAATTTGATTCAACAAAAATCTTAAAGGGTATTTTTAAACTCATCAAATAGTTTTATCAGCAATAATGACTGTAAAATTTCAAGAATTCAAAGCATTACTTATCAATGGATTGCTTTATTTGTTCATTTCATTAATGTCCATCTGAAAAGAATCTTTAGATATTAAGTTAATAATTTGGTCTATAGTTAATTATCAAAACATTAGTAATATTTAATTAAGTTAAATATTAAGGATCAAAAGGTTGATCTTATCATAAGAAATTGAAAATTTTAGGAGTGGATACATTTTTTTAAATTGTAAATTAAAAATAATTCTAAAAATAGAAGCTAAAATAAGATGCTTTTAAAGTATTTAAAAATGATAATTTTGATTATTTTATCTTCATTTCGGCAATTTTCAATATCAATGATCATTTTTAAATTATAATTATTAAAAATTTTCCTAACATTGTCTAAAATTACATAGTTTTTTTCTTAAGCAAAAATTATAAAATCCAATAGATGCCTTTTGATATAAATTGAATTGATAACTTTGTATTTTTTTAAATTTACTCCAAACTTCCTATTTCAAATTAAACGAAAGAAGAATTTATTTAAATCATTCATTATTTTCTAAACTCTTGTACTATGATGCTCAAGAGTTGAGCAGTTTTCTGTTAAAAAATAGTAATAAATATATATAAATATTTATATCTTAAAAATAATAAATTAGTATTTAAATTAATTTAAATTTATGCATACCATTAATCATTAAAATTTAATAAAATATAATAAATTGGAAATATTATTTAATGTGGTCTTGCTTTTTCAAAGTGAGTATTAATTTGAATTTAAATTTGTAGGTTGAAAATCATTAGAATTATATTTAAGTTTGGGTAAGTCTTAAACTTTCTGTGTAAAATATAAATTTTATATAGTAATTGATTTAGATGTATAGATTTAATAATAAAGGGGAATGTTTGCTATTAGAGAATAACATGATAATAAAATTAATTAAAAAAAAATTAGTTGTATTTATAGATTTGAAGGTAGTCTAAGTAAAATAATTTAAATAAATAATCTTATATGTTTGGACAAAATAAAAAAATATCTTTTATATTTTTTAAATAAGCATATTAAATGATATTGAAATAATAATAAATGTGATATTAATAATAGATATTTTAAAAATAATGAATTGGCGCATTTTTTTTGTATTTAAATAGAGAATTGTTTGCGGGAAATGATAAAATAATAATCATGTTCACAAATCTTAGATCTACAGACAACACAATTAGACAATAGGCAGAATAAGAATTATATGCTTAGGCTGCAGGAAATCCAATAGGAATTCTTGAATAATTTTTGATAGCAATGTAAAATAAGGATGACACAGAATTTGTATCGATTTTACTATCTAAAACAATATTTGAGAATGAGGAGAATATTAGTAAGTTAGAATGGAGCCATGTTGAAGCAGTATTAAAGTTTTGCATTAGTGAATTAAAATAAGAAAATAAGTTGTCTCATCTTAAGAGAATGTGTGATTTGGCGGTAAAAGGATTATTAAAGTTCACAAAATATGATGAAATGATTATGTTACTTTTTGAAATAGGTAGAGGTGCTTAAAGCTTAAATTAAAAGTTAGCAACAATGTATTATATTGAAATCATGTGTGAATTTGCCTTATGTGATGAATAATTAATTAAACATAGTTAATAATTGAATGAAATATTTTCAGCATATTTAAATGATTAATCTCCTTAAGTTAGAGCAGCAACATGTTAAGGAATTAGCAGTTTTTTAGTATCAATTGAAGAGGAATCTTTATTGAATAGATTTAGTAATAATGCAGTAGTTTTATTATAATAATTTGCATAAGTAATGTAAGTTGATTAGGAAGCATCAGTTCAAGCTTTACAATCAATAAATGAATTATTAGAGAATCATCCTAAATTCATGAAGAATTTGTATTCAGAATTGTTAAACATTCATACATAATTATTGGGATCTTAAGTTACATTATCATTAAAAAAGGCAGCACTTCATGGTTTATAAACTTTATGTTAGATAGCTCCAGCTTTTATAAGAAAGAGTGATTAATTTAAGACTTCATCAAATTTAATGATAATGAAGATGTTAACAGAAGTTGATAGAAAAGATTGGGAAAATACATTTGATGATAATTGTTTATAATTAAATGATTTATCAAGTGTGGCAGAAGATTGTCTTGGTAAAATGGTAAGAGATTTGGGAGTAAAATATTTATTACCAATATTTGTTCCATTAATAATGCAAGCCTTAAGATCTCCAGTAATAAATGAATAACATGCTGGTTTGATTGCAATGGCAACATTGTCAGATAAAGCAGCAGATCATTTTTAGAATGAATTAACAAACATAATGGAATTAATATTGCCATTATCTTAATCATAAAATAAATTAATAATTTATGATTTATTAACATGTTTAGCATCTCTTTGTTAAGAATTTACACCAAAAATATAAACAAATTATGGATCATAGATTCTATAATTGATTGTATCTTGCATGTAATAAAAGATCTCATAAAAAATTCAATACATTTCTATTGCTTGTTTGGTAGATTTCACTAGAGAATTGGTAGAAGATAAGGAGGCAGCAAAGAATGTATTGACACCAGTATCAACATTTTTGATAGAATAATTGTATTCAGTAATTCAATCAAATTTAACAGGTTCAATAGATTAATAATAATAATAAATATTAGAGTAAGCATTATCAGCATTTAGTGCTTTAGCTACAAGTTTACAAGAACATTTCACATAATATTATGATTAAATGATGCCATACATGATGTAAATGATGTAGACAGTAACAGTAAATGAAGTAAAATCCCTTTTATTAGAATGTATTGGTTGTTTCTTGGTGTCTATTAGTACAACAAGAAAGGATTAATGCAAAACTGATTCTAATTAATTAGTAACTCATTTTATTTAATTATAAAATAAAATGGAATCAGATGATCCTGCTCATACCTCTATATTCTTTTTCTATACTTAAGTTGCTACTGCATTAAGAACAGAATTTGGATAATATTTAGAATCTATATTCCCATTAGTTGAAAGAGCCATGAGATTAGATGTTGGATTTTCTGTTAATTCATAGGCTGAAGGCAAAAACATTACTAAAGTCAAATTGGATCTTAAATTTTTAGGAGTTAAGAGTTTATCACTTAATACTAGTGCACTTGAATAAAAGGTTGAAGGAGCTCACACTCTTGTTAATTTAGCTGAATAATGTGGTAAAGCTTTCTATCCTTACATCACTAAAACTATAGTCTTAATGAAAGAATTTATCAATTATAAACATAGTTCATAAATTTAAAAGTCGATGGCTAAATGTGCTGAATATTTGATTGCTGCTTGTACACTTGAAACAGATATGGCATAAGTACTTATTTAAGTTACTCCTATGCTCATTACTGAATTCACTGTGTTTCTAAATAGTAAATCATTTGAAAGAGCTGCTGAAATTGCAGAAGTCTTAGCTAATTGTTTAAATCAAGTTAAAGCTCCTATTTTAGATGCTAGTACAATAGATTCAATGTTCTAAACATCAAACAAAGCTCTTGCTGCTATTATTAAGGCTAAAGAATCTATCACTTATGAAGATGAAGAACAATTTGAAGCTGATTGTGAAGAAATTGATTCATTATTTGATCACATTACTAATATTGCAACAGAATTGATTTCTAATCATAAATGTGAATCTGTTTAAACAATGATGCCTACATATTATTCATTTTTAAATAGTAAATCAACAAAATCTTAGACTATTAATTCTATTGCATTTTTCAATATGGTATTACCACTTTGCAATGAATCAGTATTTTAATAAGCTCAAAATGAAATTTTAAAATGCTATTCTACATTTGCCAAAACAGCTGATTTAGAGTTAAAACAAAATCTTCTTTTTGGGTATGGAAATATAGCAAAAAGATTTCCAACTTTAGATACTACTCATGTTATTGAATTAGCATAAACAATTATTGAATAACCAGATTGCAAAAATGTTGATAAAGTTGCATCATATGAAACTGCTTTGACAACTTTGGGTAAAGTATCTATGTATTGTAATGTTCCTTAAAAAGAATAACTTTTGAATAAATTTTTAGATTCACTTCCACACGAATATTAAGACAACCAAGAAACTCATTTAATGTTTATTAAAGAAGTAATTTTATTTTCTATTATATTAGATTTAAAATAACAATCCAACATTAATGTAATTTAAAGATTAAGTTATCCAAGCTTTGAATAGAATTAAAGTGTAAGATTGCAACAATCCTGAAAATGAATTGTTGTGTGATGAAGGAAGAAAATTGATTTCATAAATATTGTGTTGAATGTTATTAATTATAAATTAAAGTTATATAATAGAATTTTATTCAAAATAAATTTTTAAATGATTTTAATCTTATTTGGCATCAAAATATTATTAATTATTTTCGTTCAAATTAAGTGATCTAGGTATTGCCTTTTTGTGAACATTTATAACTCTAGAAAGATTCTAAGAAATTATTTCATTTATACTATTGATACCATGATATTTATATTTCCAAATAAATAAGACATAATGACGATTTTACTGATTTTTTTGAAAAATAATGAAGAATCAAATAAATATATAAAAAATTTACTAAAATCAAAACTTAGAATAATGATTTGGTTAAGCTTCAAGTAATGAATATAAAGAAGATTAAATTACATTATTAGTATAAATTTAAAGTTTAGAAATTTCTACCCAAAAATTAATTTAATAAAAATGATATTACTTTAATCAAAAATAGTGACATTTATTAAATGTGCAGCACTAATTTAAATCATTTATTTTATATTATTTATAATTAAGCCATTGATGAATATGCAGATCTGATTGTTAAGGTTAAAGAATTTAATGATATTCAAGAAAAAGCGAAATAATAATAATTATTAAAATCAGAAAATTTTTAGTAATTGATATTAAAGACATTTTTATTTTAAATATCACTTATTAAGTTCATTTCAGAAACTCTTAATTATTCCATTTAATATAAATAATAAGAAATTTTATTATTGTTATTAGTTATCAATTGAAGAATAAGAATTTTATTTTAATTTTAGCATCTACTTATATTTCTTTAAGGTCTCCTTAATCTGTATTAAATTTGAATTATTAATAATCTTAGTTAAAATCTGAAAAGAAAGATATTCTTTTTATATTTTAGTTTTTCATTTAATTTTAAGATACTTAATTATAGGCTACCTAGAACTTTTTATGCTTTATTTAGTTAATTAAATAAGATTTTGAAGTTAAGTTAGTTAGATAACATGATAATTTTTTGATTATATGTTATGATATTAAATATAACAAATGAAAATAAATTGATATTGATAATATAAAGATATTAATCATTAAATCTATGATTATTACTGACTATGTTATTCATCTTCTAAAATTTGATGTCCATAGATACTAAGAAATCTTTATTTCCATTCTTTGGCAATAATATTTTATAATTTAGGATCTACTATACCAACTAAAACTTTATATGGAACATCAGGGATGATATTAAAGGTAGGAGTCAATTCATGTACAATTTTATCAACAAAAATATCAGCTCTTTTTTTAATATAGACATCATCTTTAATATCTTGCTCTGTTTTTTCAAGATCACTCATATCATATGATTGATATAATTATTTTAAATTTTCAGGTATTTCTAATTTTCCACTTTTGGTTACTTCTTTTAATCCTATTTTCTAAGAATACAATTAATCATAATAAGAGGGATGTTCATCAGCAGAAATAATCTAAAATTATTAATTGATCTATACTTTACAGCTATTCTATTAACAATAATGCATAGCATAAATATTTTCTAATCCTGCATAAAAATCAAGTTCTTTCATTTTAGTAACTTCTTCAGGATTAGTTTTTAAATGATAATCTACTTTTTTCATAATTTCTTAAAGATGAGGATTCCTAAGTATAGGTCTATATTCATCTTCTAATTATTTTTCTGATATTTATAATGCAACTAATTTAGGTTTTGCAACATCTAAGACTTCTTTTAATAATGCTAAATCTTCTCCTGTCTTCTTATATCCCTGTAAATAAAAGAAAGTCATTGTACTATATAGTACTCTCATATTATCTTTATTAAGAATTGCATTTCTTCTTTAAATTAAACTTTCTGTATTATTTCCTTAACTCATTCTTGGTTTCACTATTGAATATATTGCTAAAAGAGCTGTTGATCCTAATCCAAATATAATTGCTGCTTTTTCTGCCTTTGTCATTAACTCTTATTAAAATTTAATTATGTCAATTATTTATATTTTAACTTTTTTGTATATCTTTATAAAATATACATAAAATTATTAATAAATAAAGAAAAAATCATTTATATTTATTACAAGCATCTTATAAACTTTTAAACCAATCTATAGGTCCACTTGTACTTGCTCTATTTACTATCATTTTTGGAATATATCCTTTTATATCATTATTTGAACAAATTGAGATTTTTATATTCTTTTATTCAAAGTTTTCAAATATCATAGATGATATCTCAGTATGTGCTCTTATTCTATTTCTATTTATTGGATGCTGAGGATAATCAACAGAATAAAATATTAAAGTGATTTACCCTTTTTAAGGAAAATCATATCTTAAAATTCTTCTCTAAATCCATTCTCTAGGAGTGACCAAACTTATTGGAGGTTATACATAATAAGAAACAATATCAATATCTTTAGATTCAGTTTTTATTATTTTAAAATCTCTTAATAATTTATCCCTATTAAATTAATTATTATTATTATTACCATTCTCTCCTCAAATTAACATCATAAACTACTTTTAATGCTGAATCCAAAGTTGTCTAAACACAATTAAATCTATATTTACATCTTTTATTATCCCAAATCCTTTGATAAACACTGTGTCAGATCCTTCCTTAAAACTTTTATAGATTTGTGAATCTTTATTATTTATTGCTAAATCCCATAAATCAGTTGGTTCATTTATCAATTTTAAAAACAATTCAAACTTATCTATTGTTCTTTAACAGTAATGTTATGGGTATTTACTTTTATAATTCTCTATTTCTAAGTTTTATATATTTATTTCATCATAAGATAATTATGGAATTGAATTCAGATTGCCTTTTGGATCTATTTTAGAGAAGTTAATCTTATTTGGATGAGATTGCAACTTTAATTTAATTTATTATGGCTCCTGATTTATTGTTTCTTCAAGCTTTAATTGTAATTCATTATTTTGTATGATAATATCATATTATTATTCTTCAATCTATTCTTATTTGATATTTATTTTTATTTCATCTTCCTATTAAATATTATAAATTGAAGTTTATTTCTACATATAACATTAAATGTCTTAACCAACAGTTTCCAATTTTCGGAAAGTTTATTATTATACATATAATTTCAAATTTTAAGTAATTACTCTTTAATTCAAATATACATTTAGCATTTTGATATAATAAATACTCATTTATGGATCAGGAAATTGCTTTGATAATTAAATTATCTCAATAGAATAAATGAATTATCTAACATTTCTTATTATTTCAGGTAATTTATTATCAGGTAATTAAGTTTAAAATAATGTTACAACAGGCTTTAAAACATTATCAATACCTTTCAAAACTGAAATTTCTAATTGATTTCTATAATGCATTTATTCATTTAATAACTTTATCTCTTCTTCATTGAGATAAATATTTTAATCCTACAAACTAAAATACTTTAGAATCTTTAATTATTCTTTCAATAATAATAAACTTAATTCTATGGAACATAAATACAAATCTTAATTTATAAATATAAAAGACTTTTTAAGAAGTTTCTAAAGTTTATTTTAATTTATAACTGAGAAATATTTAAAATGTAGAGCTATTTTAATTTCAGTTAAGATTTTATCAATTACGAATCTTTGGAGATTAATATTATAATTATATTTTTTTTATTATTATTATGCCCATTTTAAAATAGTTCTAATTCTTAGATCATAAATATCTATCTCATTAATGTCTTATTAATTTTATAATGTCTTCTTAATTCTTTTCCCAACTTAATGACCTCCAATAATTCCTAATATTCCTCCTCCTATTCCTCCTAATAATGCAAATCCAAAAATAAAAAATCCTATTGCTCCCAATAAGATCATTCCAATAACTGTCCTATTATTATTTTATATATATAATTTACCCTAATTTTCTTTGATCAAACTAATCACAACTTTATAGAACATCATTAAATTCTTTTGCTTAAGTTGGAGTTTAATAATTTTAAGATAAATAAAAATGCTTTGACAATATAAGTTAAACAAATTTTGTTGGAGTTTAAGCAAGTGCACTAAATTCAATCCCTAAAACAATATTTAAACTTGGATGTAATATTCCGAATTCATAAAATTAACTGCAATAATTCCATAACTTTTGAAACTTTTTTCTTTTCAGCTTCTCTTAAACTTTCTTTAAGTAACTTTGGAGATTTTACATAAAATTTTGTTTTTAAATATATTTAGGATATGTCTTAATAATATTATGTATAAAGAATATTAAATATAAAATAAAAATAATAAAGAAATAAAAAAATTAGAATATTTACCTCTTTATATTGTATATTTTGTATATTCTAAACAATGAAAACTTTAATATTATATAAATCTAATATTGGAAATATAATATATTAAACCTTTATAAGAATTTACATATAAATCTCATTATTTTAGAATCATAATTAAGAAAATGTTTTTGATGATTTATAAATTCATAAAATTTACACTTGTAATTAAAAATATAAGTTAATCTATCTAAAAGAAGATAAACTAACAAAAATTCTTAAATTAATTTTAAAAGATAGCAATGATTTTTTGATATCTATGAGATAAATTGCTTTTACATTGATATTTGAATCAAAATAACTATATTTAGATTGGTATGAATAATGTTATTAAGAATTATGAATGAAAATCTGATAAAATATAAATTATAATTAAATTTATGATAATACCAACATAAGACTTACCTTATAATTCTTTGTAATAGGTATGAATTTTGAAATAATAACAATAAGTTGGGACAAAGAGATTTAAATTAAGATGTATTTGATTTAATATATTGGGTCTAATAAGAAATATTAAGTCCAGAATTGTTGCCATATTATGATGTTTCAAAAATATAAGAGGCTTTGAAAGGGTAATTGGAATCAATTCAAGAGTTGAAGAAAGATTTGTCTAAACATAATAAACAAAGAGACACTTAATATTTAACATTACATGTAATTGAATTAGAGCAAATATAATATTTTTATCAATAATATTTGCGAACAAGGATTTAGAAGTTAATTTCGAAAGCATTTTATTATTATAATAATATTGGAGAATATTAAATAAGTTTGAAAGAGAAAGAATTCTTGAGAACATTAGTTGAGAAATAAGCAGACTATTTATTTACAAATTGTTTATAATATTATCAGAAGACTTAGAGAAATTTCGGAGTAAGATTAGATAATCAAAATCAATCGTAATAAAGTTAATAGGATGATAAAATCAGTAAAAGCAAGTTCAATATTATGTAGATGTTGAAAAGCCAGATACAAATAAATACGTAGTAATACATGTAAATACATCAAGAACTATCCATATTGGGTCAATGTAAATGATTAATAATATATAAAAGAGCATTGAGTGAAAATGATATAGCGCTAGTTTCATATGATGATATAAAGTAGTTTAAATAGATTATATTTAGATTTATGGTGCCAATAAAGAGTGTGACATTGATTTGAAATAATAATATTATTTTTTGATCAAATCTTTATGAATATTATCAATCAGTTATTAGCAGGAGCAAATTGTATGACAAATTCATAAACAGTTTAGTATTTAGACTCAATTTCCAGATGTGTAACAACAATACGAATAGTATACCATAACCAAAAGAGAAGGAAGAATAACTTAATTTACTTTAAAATACAATATTTTCAAATTTGGTACTTATAGTTATTAATTTATTAGCTGATGGCATCTCAAATGAAAACTGTCCAATAATCATAATCTTAATAATTATAAGTAGTACAAAAATCAAAAAAGATGTATCTATTTCTAAATATCGTTTTAGAAGCAAACGTAATAATAATTGTGGACATCCTGAAAAAGAACATTATGCAAAAGGTATGTGTAATAATTGTTATCACAAATATGGTAGAACTAAAAAACCATGGATTTGTGGACATGACAAATTATATGCTTGTAATATTTATTTATTTATTAACATATAGAAGGTTTATGTTAGAATTGTTACATAAACAAATATAATCAAAAGAGAAGAGAATTAGGTGACACTGAAGTTCTCAAATAGGAAGTTTCACATCAATAGTAATTAGAAGAATAATAGTCATGAATATTTATTTTCTAATTACATAACATAATTAATTTTCCTTCTCTATTTATACACATAATATTCTTGTAACAATAATAAATTATCATTTCTTATTTGCTTCTTGTAACAACTCATTAATTAAACTTCTCATTTTTGGTTAAACTATATAACCTTTTACATCAAGATATTCTGCACTATCAATTTTACGTTCAACTAACTAATATAATCTACTTTCTATTTACTTAAGCTTTATTAGGCATACTATATATTCTTAAAATTATAAATCTCTGATATAATTCTTAAGATGCTCCAAATCCAAAAGTCTTGTTTGCTTTCTTGTCCTAAATAACATATATATATAATTTACATCAAAAAGTATAAATATATCGCCTTCCTTTACTTTCTCAAACCATTAATAAATGTATGTAGAAACATAATAACTAATACACGTGTATAATCAAATTTACAATATTATGCAAGCAATCAATATGTAATAGTCTTGAGGATATGGAATGAAATGATAATGTGAATAGATTACATTAGCTATCATAAACAATCCAAAAATGGCTTTCAAATTTTGGAATTTAAAATTTTCTTTTATTCCTTCCTTTCCAATTAATTCATCTGAAATAAATTTACAAAAAGCATCTTTTGTCATGTAAGTATCAAATTTATTTTCTGTTCTGTATATTTCTAATATTAAATCTTATTTTACTTTATTTTTCTTTTGCCATTTTATTTAATAAAAAATAATCTAAACAATTTTTTTAATGAACTTAAATGTTTATATAATTATTTTTATTTTGTAAGAAACTATCTCTGTACAAAAGTCTTTATTTTTACTTTCCAAAAAAGCTAACTTAAATTATTCATTAGAATCAAATACTTTTGTCAAAATTTATTCCCTTTCATTCAAGAAAAGCCAAATTCAAATAATAATTTAGTATTAAAGGAATCTAAATTTATGTTTTTTTTCTTTATGTTCAAAGTTATTTCTCCCTTTCTTATATTACAATCTATTTTTCAGAATAAATCGAATTTCAATACTTTGTAAGAATGGGTTTGTCATTCTATCATTGAAAAAGTGAGTCTCTAAAGGATTTAGTGAATCAAAATTTAATTTTTTAGTGTTTACTAATTTAAAAAAATCTAATTTTTATATTAAACAAATAATTTATTATTTAAGTATTGATCTATCAATACAATACAAAGATCTCAGAAATTGTTTAAATTCTAAAGTATCTTAAAAGATTATATTCTCAAGTTAGATTTTAATATAGATAATGTCATATAGATTAACAGTGTGTTAATTAATATTATAAATCATTTAATGAGATTATGATTTACTCAACTCTATTTTTTGGTTCAAATTGCATCATTGAAGAAATAACCCTAGCTATCTTTAATTAAAGATAAATTTAAACTTAAAATTCATAATATTTTAAAAAGTTGAGCTTATCTTAATGATTATAAAATGGGCATTAATATTAGAATAACTAGAAAGATAGAATTTAACATTAAATTAATATAATATCAAATAAAAAAAGATGGTTAGATACAAAATCCAATCTTTGATGATCACCATCTTTGGTATTATTAACATATAATTTTAATATTATTGACTATTATACTTTTTTTAATTATTCTAAGCCTAAGATATATGTTTTAAAATACTAATTTTATATCTAATACTAAAAAATATGTAAATAAAATTTTATTTATGATAATATACTAAATTTACAATTGAAATATACATCATTGATCTTCTATATTTTCTCTTTTAACAGGAAAGCGTTCCCTTTTCTTTTTAAGATTTTTGTTTGCAGTTGGTAATTAAAACAGCCATTCAGGTACTTAACAGCCTGAAACTTTTAAAACATTAGCTAATGATCGTAACATAGTTTTATCTTCATCTGTAAAAAGTGTAATAGCTTTTCCTTATTTTCCAGCTCTACCTGTTCTACCAACTCTATGTACATAAGTAATCATAGATTATGGAAAATCATAATTGATAACTAATTAAACATCTTTAAAATCTATTCCTCTTGCCATCATATCTGTACAAATGAGCATCCATATAGTACCTTTATGAAATTATTCAACAATTTCTTATCTTGATTTACTTTCCATATCTCCATGAATACAATTGACTCTAATAACTTTTAATTGTTCTATTTCATACATTAAGGCTTCAGCCCTTGTTTTAGATTATACAAAAACCAAAATAGGAGGAGTCATTTAACCTTCATTAATTAAATTTCTTATTTCCTATATCTTTCCATATTCATTTGATACATATCTTAATTGTTAATCTATTCTACTTAAAACATGATTTCTTCCTCCTATCATTATTTTAATGGGATCAATTAATAAATCTCTATAAATATCTTCAACTGGTTCAGGTAGAGTAGCACTGAAAAACATATAAGTTATTTATAAAGATTCCAAAATCCTTAATAATTATTTTACTTAAGCTAACAAACCTAATTCAAAATATTTATCAGCCTCATCCATTATAACATATTCTATTGTACTCAAATCTACTACTTTATGTAATTTTAAAAACTTTAGAGGTGAACTTATTAATATATCAATATGATTCCATGCTTATTTAAATGCCTACTTTTCTCTATTCATTTCTTAGATTTGTTTAATTTTTAATTCCTTATTAAACTTATTAAATTCTTTAAATAATTAATCAGCCAATTCTTATGCTGGTGCAAATACTAAACATCTAGGGCCTCCTTCTTTATGAATTTCTAAATTTTATAATATAGGCAATGCAAAAGCACAAGTCTTACCAGAGCCTGTTGGAGCTATTGCTATTAAATTCTTCTTTTGCAATATTATTGGAATTGCTACCATTTATATTGGAGTTGGCTTTTAATAACCACATTTCTATAATTAATTCATTAAATCTTAATTTAGATAATTCTTCATCTTGCAAAAATTACTTAAAATTGGTGTATTTATGTTATCTCCACTTATTTTTATCTTTAATTTTTTTAGTAGAGTATTTCTTTTTTAAATCTCTTATGTTCTTCTTTTTGTCATTTCTTACTCTATTTGATCTAAACTCTCTTTTCTTCTTGATCTTTTTAGATCATGTTCAACTTATTTTGGTTATTCTTCTGATTCTGATTCTTATACTTCTAACTTTTATTCAACCAATTTTCTCTTTTTTTGAGCACAAATTCCATTTTTTAAAACTTAAAAAACACTTAACATAATTAAATTTATTAATGGATAAATAGAATACAAAATATATATTATTTCATAATTAATTTATTTTCTTTGTTATTAAATTTCTTTAGAGTATTAAGTTATTTTTAATAGTGAAAGAGTGTTTATTGTAAATTATAGTAAGATATGATATGAACATGAATTCTATGATAATTTAGTGAAAAATAAATAATACTGAGAAATTAAGATTAAGTTTTATATAATATTTATTGGGAATGTTAGCAAAATCTAATGATTTTCGAGTAAAGACTTCAAGATAATAATCAAAACATCCTTATTATTAAACATTGTAATAAGGAGTTTAAGGAGTTTCTTAAGCAAGTAGTATTAAGTTTGAAAATTAGCATTGAAAAAGAAACTTTCTCCAATAAGATTAAATAAGTATAATGTATTTATGGATTGTTTAAATGACATAACTTAATAGAAGTTTGAAAAATGCCAATCTAGAATATTGTTTTAGTAAATAGAAGAGAAAGTAAAGAAAAATTAATTGCTATGTATATTATTCATACAGAATGTTACAGTGTATAATAAATATGATTTGCCAAATAATAAAGTATATATATGAGTAATTGAGATTCCACCAAAATTTTCATGGGAAGCAATATATCGAGGAAAAACATTAATATTAACAACTCCGCATTAATATACAAAAACTTGTCATGGAATAGTAGACTTTATGTTTAAATCAAATGCAAAATATCCATTGAAGTTAAAGTTGTTGAAAGTGAAGAATTATGAAGAGCAATACATAGGGGAGATAGATTTGTCAGTTTCAGATTTTGTGGATTTTGAAGTAGTGTAAGAATATTAAGGAAAGATGATAAAGGAAACATTTGTATAGAAAGAAATGTTTAAAGTATATAATGATTAATGGGCATCAATTGGATAGGTGAGTTTGAAAATAATATAATTTTGTTCTTCGAGCGTTCCATCAAGTACTAAATGAATAAATTGTAGATAAATCATCGAACATTCCAGGATCACCAAAGACTTTAGAATAAAGGAAGAAGCATTAATAAATAGAGGAAGCAAAATAAAAAGGATTTGATTGGGGAAGTAGTAAGGATGAAGAGATGATAATCTAATAGATTTTGGAATATTAAAAAGAGATGGGAGGAAAGATAAAATAAAATATGGAAGAAGTTTAAGAGAAAATTTTATGTAAGTATATTGATAAAACCTAGAATTGGATAGTGTTTTATGTGGGTTATTGAAAGAATCATGTTTTAGTGATACTTTAATAAATAAACGTAGAGCATTAACAAGGATCAAAAGATTAAGATAAGATTTAGATAATTAAATATCTGGTTTGTTAAAGTAATCAGAATCTTCTTATTTGGAAGTGCTTGGCTAATTAAGATTAACAACTAGATAGGGAAGAATTAAGAAAGTAGATATTGAATAGGCACTTTGTTATTTTGGTTGTGAAGCTTCAAAATTATTATTATTGACAGTAGATGATTTTGGAATGTGTTTAATTGATTATATGTTTGATTCAGATTCATTGCCAGAAGTTCTTTATTTCTTTAATTAATTGGGTTTAAATGAGGATGTTTAATTGGAAGTCTTTGCTTAATCATTATTTGAGAATATTAAGTAAAGACTTAGAAAGAATCATTATCTAAAAGCTTTAGCTTATTTTATTAATGCTTTACATATGTATCCTAACATTGGATTAATAATTGCTTAATATGCAACCAATCCTTAAAATTCATCAATTTTATCTCCTTTACTTTTAGAATTCAACATTCAAGATTATCAACATGTCATTGTTTTATCAAAATTGAGAAAATTATGTTCTAAATTCCTTAATTAAGAATTACCATTTATGAAATCAATTGAAGATTTATATAGAAAAGCGAAATAAGATACTTATTTTAAAATTCCTATTCTTCCAAAAAAAGTAGAAACTTAAGAAAAATTTGATCTATTATAATTACCTGAATTATAATAAAATATATTCCATGAAATTGTTAGAAGAAAAAGATGGAATCTATTTGCAAGATCTTATAAACAATTTGAATAATTTGTTTATTAAAAAGATCATTAGGGAATATCACCTATGATGATGTTTTTAGAGAATGCACCATTAGATTAGATTCTTAATTTAGATTCTCTTTAAATTCAAACTTCATTAAGTGGATAAACATCTTTACATTTTTTGATTATGAATCCAGATTTATCAATAAATTCATTATAAGCTTGTATAAATAAGTTTAATATGATTAATGATAAAGTTTGGCTAGGATTTACTCCTTTGGCTTTATTTTTAGATAGATTGCTTTATAAATAGAAAAAACATAAAAGTAGAATCATCAAAGAATTGAAAGCTGCTCAAGAAAGTAATTCTAATAAATGTGTATAAGTATTAGAAATCTTAAGTCTTTCTGCAATCAATTTTATCAAGCACTTTAATTTTAATAAATACTTATTGTATTGTTAAAACATTAAAAAAGATCATTTCTAAGATGAGTTTATAAAATTGAAGCTTAATAAACCATTTTAAATATAATAATAAAAAAATAAGTAAATAATAGAATGGGATATTTTTTATTATTAACATACAGTTCCAGCCATGATTCTATGTAAATTAGATGAATCAATATAAGAATTGATTTGGTAATAATTTGATTGGATTAATTGGTTATGTAGTAAGTAAAATTATCCTTATGAAACTTATTACAATTAAACATTAATGGTTTCTATTGCTAAAACTACTTAAACTTAATATATTTATCAATATCTTACAAAAGATGTTTAAATTACTTATAGAGATAATGATTAATTTAGTAATGAAAGAAACAACACTTTTGATTTCTTACCAATATTTTAATCTATTTATTAGATTACTGAAATAACAGCTAAATTAAAAGACGATATTCAAAAAAAATATAAAGGAATTTAAGATAATAATAAAAAAAAGGAAGAAGAAGATGAAAATGTAAATAAAATAAATAAAAAGAAAGATGATAAGGAATTTAATCATTATATTTTATTACATAAGAATATAAAATAAATGTAATAAAATCTTGCTTAATAAAAATATCAATAAGTATTGGATCAATTAATGTAAGAGTAATAAACAACAGAGGGTTTACTAAAAAATAATTTCAAATATTAAGGTATAGTAAATGACTTAATGGTTGCTAAGAGTTTAAATTTTGGTAAATTCTTTCGTAAAGCTTATGATTCTAAATTTCATGACATGTTGAATTTTGTAGATATATTATTAAAAGCATTACACCATAATAATATGCAAGCTGCACATATGGCTTTATTTTTTGCTTAATTAAGAATGAACAAATGTTAAAGAGTAGCTTAATTGAAGAATAATTAATAAGTATTTTTATAATCATTGAATACCCATTGGTCTATTGAATTAGATTTTGGATAATTTTAAGCAATGATTAATGATATCAAAGATATTTGTTAATAAAATGAAGTCAATTATGTTATTTTAATATTGGCAATGAATGGAAGATACAATAAATTAAAATTGATACATGATAGAATGACAAATCAAAATTATATAATCTAAGCTTTACCAATTGCAGCTCATCAAATTAATACAATTAGAAAGGCACTCTATTATGAAAACTTAAATAAATTATTATAGGAATGTGATGTTAAGAGACTCTATCCTGAAGACAATCTTGATTTCTTTAAACCTCCTAAAGACAAAGAAAAACTAAAACCAGATCCAAAAAAACCTTTTGATAAAGCCAAGCCTGTATTTCAAAAGTGGATTATGGTTTAAGGAGCATTAGTATATATAATCTTTATTAATACAGACTACTTAATTGTAATTAATATACAAATATGCCGCCAATAGTTACCAGAGAGTTAAATCTGAATTTTCCATCCTTGCAAAATAATATCAATAATTATGGTACTAAGAGTACTCTTATAAATTAAGAAGATTATTTCCAAGGTAAAATTTTAGATCTGTCTTTTATTCTTCTAAACAAAAAGAATCTGATTTTGTTAAAACTATTGAATTATTAATTGAAAAGGTTCTCTAATTAAAATTAACACCTTCAGATGATTTTTTTACTTATGTACATGTTCATGATAAATTTTCAGAACTTTTATCCTAATCTCCTAATTAGAATATATGTATAGTTTAAGCATTTAAATCAATGATTAATTTATTCTAATATGAATAATCTAATGAAGTATTATCTAGATGTATAAATTTCTTAAAAAAATATTTAAACTCTAAAATATTTAAAGATTTAAATGAGCCTGATACATTTAGAGATGAGACTCAATTACTAACAAAGTATTTATCTAAAAGTGATCCATTATCAACTTAATGTAAATTTGCATGTGAGGTTTTAATTCTAATGGACTAAAATTTTACTACTCAAGAATTTGAAACATTGAATTTAATATAATAACCATAATAATTAGCAAGTTTATTATTGAAATATAAAACATTGGAAAAAAGAACTTTAGGTTTTATTCAAAAATATTTGAATTCAAGTAATAATTAAGCAAAGTAAGCCTTACCTTTTAATGAATCAAATATGAAATATATAGTAGATTTAGCTAAATAAGGAATTAATTTAATAAATGAAAATGCTTTAGAATTCTTTATAACAAAAGGATTGTTCAATTATTTAAAGGATTACTTTTTAAGTTCATTAAAACCAAAAGGAATGTTAAGTGATGATTAAAAGTAATTCTATTTAGGATTTGCATTTTCAAGTGGTTCTCAAGAGACAATTTAATTATGTTTAGAAGATTTATGCAGTTTAAAGAGTAGTGAATTAAAGTAATTTATGTTAGAAGGTAATTTATTGGGTAGAGCAATTGCAAAAGGATCTTAAGAGACATTATTATATATAACTAGGAAAATAATGAAATAATTGAGTTTTAGTGGAAAAGAGATTTTAAAATTATTACTAATATAGGATAATGTAGCAGAAGTATTTTAATTGGATAAATAGAAGAGATCTTTATTCACAACTATATTCTTATTAAATTATGATATATTTTATAAAGAGTTTTTTGTAGATTATTTATAGAAGATTTTACCTTAAGATTACAAAAATATTATGATGAAGATTTTGAATGCAACAGTATGTAAAGTAGATGAGAATAATAGTTGGAGTGTATTTTAATTAGCAATAAATTGTGGATTTTATGATGTGATACAAACAGTATTACAGTTGAATATAAATATTGATAGTAAAGATTTGAAGGAGGTATTAATAAATAATTTACCTTAAAGATGGTTATTTTAGACTCCATAGTAATTAGAGAATTTGTTAAAATAGGAACATTATAAATAATTATATAAGCAATCAGCATTAAGATTATATCGAATATGTAAGTATCACTTATGTAGATAAGAGAAATTAAAAGAGTTGGAGATCTGTTTAAATTTAGCACCTCTTTATAATAAGATTGGATTATAATTGGATAGTCGAGATCCAATTATTAACATTGTAATGAATTAAGAAATAGATCCAGCAAAACAGCCATTAATTTATTTATTGAAATTGCATTTGGATTAAGTTGATAAAGCAAATTCATTTATTTTGGTTGAAAGTTTTTGCGATAAACATCCATAGATAACTCATGATAAAATATACACATAATTGATAAAGAATAGAGAAGCTTATGAATTATTAAGAATATATTATCCTGAATAAAATGAACCAGGAAATGCTAAATTTGATTTTGATTTGCCTTATGGTGATAATATAGTAAAGGAATACTTATTATTATAAGATCCATATTAATTTATAAGATTTATTACAACTAATTAATAATTAGTATTTTCATTAAGAGTGTTATATGATAAGAATGATGATTAAGATAAATTCTATAATACTTTGATTGAACCACAACATGTAATTGTTTGTGGAATTCTATTATTAATATTAAATCCAAATAAGCATACAGAAGTTGTTCATAATAAATTTAAATAGATATTTGAACTAAGGGATGATCCATCTGCATCTTAAGTAACTAATATCTTTAGAGCTATTTTGAGATATTTTGAATCCATTGAAAGAACTTTTGTTTTTTTCTTTTCATTAATACAATCTTTACTCAATAATTAGATTTATTAATAACTTATACAAATAAAACCTATTGGAGATATGAATAATTAGATTAGTTCTGAAAAGTAATTCTTAGAAGATATTAAAGATGCATTGATATTTAATACATTTACACTTTAAGATAATGTTTGGGGATAGATATTAGGATAAAGTACTAAAGTTTCACATCCATTACAATCTGACAAATGGTTCTAAGGAGTAATAAATTATTTATTATATATTTAGTTATGTTTAATTAAATCATTATTACACGTATGTTATTAATCTGAAGTCATTATTCATGAGATACAAACACTTAGTAGATTAGATGATTACATATCTACTGATTTTTGGGGTGTTTAATCTGCTAATATAGAAATTAGAGCTGAATTACATCCTTCTGAATAAGTTGCTTAACATAAAGTCATTGTATTTAAATAATCTGAAAATAATACTTGGAAAATCAAATATCCACTTGGAATGGTTAAAGGTAATAATACAATATATTTTATTAGATACTTAATTTATATATCCATCCATTCTATCTTCATAAAAAGGGACTGAACATGCTAAAAATCAACTTATCTAATAAGTCTTTGATTAAATTAAATATGATATCTTACCTAAAATTGAAAATTTCACATTTGAATCATATAATCATGAAAATATTTAATAATTAATCATGGAAACTTAACAAAATACATTTATTACATTAAATCCTTATACATTTTAAGGTGATTCAATATAATATAATGGAAAATAACTGACATCCAATTATTCAACAAAAAGAAAAAATAAAAAAGAACTTATACTTACTCCTCTTACTAATTAGATTATTATTCAAGTAGTTTCTAAAGATGAATTTATTAGAAGAGAAAAATATTCATTTCTATTTAATTAGATTATTGAAGATTCATCTACTAAATATTGGACATATTTAATTGATAAAGAAAATATCTCATCTATTAAAGATGATTAAATCATTATGGATTTATATGAAATGACTAAAGATAGATTAGGATATCATGTCTAATTTTAATCATTTGTTGAATGTTATTATAATAAATTAGCTAGTGGACTTGAAAAAGCTACCAAAAAATGTATTATAATTATTTCATCATTTTTAGCTATCTCACCTAAAATTTGTGTAGACATTGCACTTTAATGGGATATGTTAATCAAAGTTATTAAACACATTGCTTCTTATATTAAATTCACTGATAATATCTGTTTTGAAATGGCTGAAATTGATTAAAGAAAAGTAATAAGTTATTAATTCTATTATTAGTCTATAAATATTAAATTAGAAGGTTTTGATTCTATTTTTAGATTTGGTTAATCTGAGCTTTCTGTATCTAATAATATTTTAGTCATCAAATTAAATATTGCTATGCTCACTAATGGAAACTTTTAACAATTATTATAAACACAAAATAGATCTAAATTAAACACTACAGAAATTAAAGAATCTATTGATATCTAAGTAATTTTATTATCTATAAATAGTAATATCTATTATCTATTTTTAATGAATAATAATTGTCACAATTATGATTTAATAATATTTATCTATATTAATATTTTCACATCATCTTTTAATCAACCAATTAGAGATAATTTTTTCAAAATAGCTTTTATTCTCTTTTATTCATTCAATATACTATTTGGGAAATATCTTTTGTAATAGCTTCTAGCTTTTTAATAATCAAATCTTAATTATTATTCAAAGTACAGTTCTAAAGTAGCTATGTATATCAAAAATGAAAAAACATAAAAACAAATTCTATATAATGGTAATTTATTTACATTAATAAAGTTTCTGTATTCATATAATAAGAAAAAATGCTGAAGAAATTTTTTATCCAAATTCTCCACATTTCTTTTCTACAAGAAAATATGTATGGTTATAACTAATTAATATTATTATTAAATACTATGTTTAATTCATAAATTGAATCAAATGATATTTCAGAAAACTTTGTTTTATTTTTGTCAAGTTAACTTTCAAATAGATGTCCCATTAAATAAAAAGTTTATTTCAATCCTCGTTTTAATATTCCATCAGCAATATTCTAACAATGACTTAAATTAGATTAAAGTAATTTGCATATGTCTGAATAAAAATAATCATCAATTAATGATTCTTGTGATTCAAGTGGGCTAGAGTCTGTATCCAAAGCTTCTACAACAAATTATTTTAAATATTCTTTGTATTCATTTGTTATTATATTATGAATATTATAACAGGATTCAATATAAAGTTCTTTTGAAAAAGAAAAAGTCCATGGACTTTTAGTTTCAAAAAGAAAAGGATTCTAAGATATCTCATTTTTTAAATCATATGCATACTTTTGCATATATATATTGTAAGTTAATGCCATCACTATTAAAAGAAACATGAATATAAAATATAAAAGAATTAATCTTAACTTTAATTTAAACCAATAATCTGAAACAATAAATTTAGTTGATTTTAAAGCCATAGTCATCTTATAATCTATTTCTGCTTTAATTAATCCTTCTGATTAAAATGAAATATAATAATCTATAATTAAAATTATTAATTTTACTATTTGATTGATATATTTAAATATCATTAAAATAATTAAAACATTATTTAAGTTTTTAATAATATTTAATTACACTATCAATTGTCTATTAATCAAAGTATTAAATTTAACTACATAAAGTTTAATAATAATCTATTATTTTAAACACATTAAAAAAATTAATAACCATCAAGGTTCCTAAAAAAATAAAACCACTTATCATATCAACCAAGAAAAATAATGATCTAAAATCAAATTCTAAGTAAATTTAATTTAGTAAATCAATTTGAATTGAACTTAAACTTTGAAATAATCCTGGCATTAAATTTGATTGTAGAATCTGATAATATTCAAATTCAAAAGTAATTTCTTTTAAATCTGATATAAGAATCTATTATAATAAAACTTAAAAGTTTTTTAAATCTTCTAATAAATTTTATTAATATATTTATTGATCATGTAATTAGACAGAAGTAGTATATAGTGTTTTTATGTTATACTTGCTAGTATAAAATTGATTTAGGCTGGTATTAATTTACTAAAGATCTAATTAAATACTTTAATTTAGAAATTCATATTTCTAAAAAAGGTTTGTATATGTTATAATATTAGAACATAAAGTAGCATTTTAATTACAAAGCGCAATATCTATTATTTGATTATAAAGAGTAGAAATATCTTAAGCAATAAGTACTGCAGTATAACTTGAATTAGCCTAATATTTTATTATAAAATTTACTCCCAAAAAATAAATATCATTATAACAAACATTTGGCCCATACGAAAACGATAACATAGTAATTAATATCATACCAATCATAAAATATCTATTAGTCCATTTAAAGTAATCTATTATATTCAAATGCTTTTTGATTTTGTTATGATCTTCTTTTAAAAATAAATTTTAATCAACTTTTATTGAAATATCTTAAATTAGAGATTCACTAAAATCATTTTTCATATGACTTTCATTTATTAAATGTTTGCTAGGATTTGTTGTTAAATTTTCATTTGGATAAATCTTAATATCTTTAATAACTGAGAGATTATTATATTATATGGAATTTTAATTTTAGAATTATTTTTATTTAGGTTCCATTTTGATTCTCAATGTTTTTCTATTTACATCACCTTTAAGTAACATTGATTATTTTTTAGATTTTATATTATTAAATGTTTCAAATCTATTAATCTTGATTATCTATATTTTATCTATTAATTAATTTTTTTCTAGTTTTATTTTTGCATCCATTCTAATTACTTTTTTTAGATTATCTGCCTTACTAAAGTATTTTCTATAGAGATATCCTTGATAATAAAAAATACTTACTATACACTTCTAATTAAGATAATAAACGGACTTTTTTTAGAAAGTTTATTTTTTCGATTAAAATTTTGAAATTTAAAGAAATTTTCTTTTTACCGTTTCTCATAATAATACTTTGCTTTTTCATAATCGAATCTTCTGGATAATCATGAAAATTTTCCTTATCAGCATTAATTATCAAATTAAAATATTCAGCCTACATTCTCTAATAAAGCATTGGAATTCTAATCAAAATTTAAAAATATTGTTCATTTTAATTTTAAAAATTAGAATTAAGTATTCTCTATCTTTCATCTAAATCATCTTCATGTTCTTTAATAAACTGTTCAGTAAATTACTTCTATTAATCAATATCATCAAATACATTATCATTTAACATGCTCTTTTATCCTAATGATATCAAAATTAATACTTTATAAATCACTTTGAATTGTTTGTTATTTTGAAAAATTCTAATTTTTATGTCCTTATATTTGGAATAAGGAATAATCTTCTTTTTCTAATAGATTTTGATATTAAGAATATAATAATAATTTAGGACAACTCAATAATAGATTAAACTATTATTCAAACATATTCTTTATTTATTTAGTTGCTTATACTATTTCCCAATCTTCATTAATAATTAAATAATTGCCAGATGATTCATGTTAAATTGGTCTTATCATTACTATAAATTCTATTAGCATAAATTAATTTATGCAAATTTTAAAATATTTATTAGCAGGAATTAGATATGAATTGCTATGTTAGATAAATATTTTCTTTCTTGAATATAATGAACTTATCTTTCCTTTTTCAACAAATTCTTTAACTCTCAACATATGATTTCGAATCATTGAATTTGGTATAATTTAATTAATATTAGTTAACCTTTGAATTCCAAAGATTTATTTTGTGTATTCATTAAATTTGACTATATTTCCATTTTCTTTTGCAAAGATTATAGATGTCATTGAATGAAAAACCTTTTTAGGATCAAAAGCTTGTAAAAAATGATTTTCATAATCAGAATCTGAATCTTCATCACAGAAATTCTATTGTTAAGTGCTGATCTGATGATAATCGATTATTTAACCTTTCATTTTTTAATTTAATATATATCTTCTGTACCATAAATTCAAAAATTCCCATTATGGTTTTTTATTTAAGTATTTTACATCATTTTGTGATACTTCAAGGTTTTTATTTGTTTTATTAATTTTTTACCATAATTTTTCACACTCAAATATTCCAATTCGTATTTTATTATCTAGTTTTAATAAATCAGATTCAATAATCCTTTCTAAATTTATTATATTCCAATATTTGATATAATTTTAAATTAAATCAACAATTTTTGTTTTTATTTTTTTTATTATTGTTTCTATTTCTATCACATGTTCAAAGTCTAAATAATTTCTATAACTACACGAATTTTGTATATTTATTTTATTATTCATCATCATCAGTAATAAATGAAAGTCAATCTTCTCAAAAAATGATAATTTATTAAATTTTTATTTCAATATTGACATCTATAAAATTGCTTAAGATTTATTTAAAATTGAGAAAAATAGATGTCTAGCATATGATAATCTTATTTGATGATTATCTTTATTTTAAAGAATGCATTACTCATACAAAGATTTAATTTCAAATCTGAAGAATGATTTATAGTGTTATTAAACTCTTGACTTTTAACTATTCACAAAGACTCTTCTTCTAACATCATAAAATTAATTTTATTGACAAAAACAATATCCTATTGAAGTATTATCTATATATTGACCTTTCATATAATCTATTTTTTGTTATTTTCTTTGTAGTTTAAAAATACAACCTTCTTAAAGATGTTTCTCAATCAATCCAATTATTATATATTTCTTATTTATAGATAACGTATTAAGTTATTATAAATAATAAATTTTATTTAATATTAAATATTCAGAAAGCTTTTGTTACATCAAATAATAAAAAACTACCTTATTTTGAAATATTTGTCCTAAAATATTCATAAACACACATATTATGATGATGTATAATAAATCGTCAACTTCATTATTTAAATATATCACTAACAATTTTATTAGAAAGGTTAACAAAAATCCTAATAAACTGAACATAAGATGTTCATAAAATTAATTTAATCTAAAATAGTAAAATGATGGACAATCATTACCTAAAAATTAGTTTACCAATTATTTCAAAGCCAATAATATAAAAATAATCAAATATGATACCTATATATTGTTATTATAATACGTAAAGAGATGTTGATTAAATTTAAATGCTATTAAATATTGCCATCACAATTTTATATATACAAATATTCAACATTATTTACTTATTTCTGCAACTTAATAAATCAATCTTATAATTAATATTTTTATAGAACAAAAGCAAAATCGAAGTCATCATTATTGTATTTAAAAATAACCCAACTAATGATATAGCATATAACAAAGCAACATTAGTGTAGTCTTCAGATAACATTTTATTCCAATCCAAAATTTAATTATTTAACAACAAAACTTCAAGTTCAACTTAAATAAAAGGCTAGAATAAGCACCAGTAATATATATCGATAAACTTTATAAATAACTAAAGGCTAAATATAATTCTTACTTTCAATAAATTTGATTTGTTTTACTCAATTCTCCCTTTCTTGTTGCTCATTATTCCTAAAATAAAATACACAAAAGGAAAACTAAATCCTATTATTAATATTGTTGTTAATAATATTGTATTTTATTGGCACAATTTCTCCACATCAAAATAAGTTAGTATTTATAAATATTCATCTATTGTACCTTATCTTTTATTCTTATTGTCTATTTGTCTGTACTCCATTTCTCTTAAAATAATCTCAAATTTTACAAAGTTAAAACACCACAATAAATTTAAATCAATCCTATACTAACCAAACAAAATGCCTTTGTCTTTGAATTTTTTTTTATATTTTCAACTTTGAACAAATATCCACAGAATTTTTTCATTAAAAAAAACTTTACTCAAGAATCTACTTTTTAAAGATTTTTTATATTAATACATACATAATTAATTCATTTTTTCTAAAACAAAATTATATCATTTCATAGATGTTGTCTTGCCTAAAGAGTAATACAAAGATTATTTTCTTTTACAATTTATTTAAAAATTTCAAAAATTATTACAAGTAACCAAAACATTTCGCTTAAATTGGTAATTCAAGATTTCTATGGTAATATCATTTTTTATTTAGATTAATTGCCAAACTAATGAGCTCCTCAAAATTTAAAACATTAAAACCTTTTTTTATATTCTTAAAACAAAATAAATTTGAAATAAAATAATTCTTAAAACAAACATCAAAATAATTATTGAATTATTATTTTTTTATTCAAATATATATAAAATAATATTGTTATTTTCTCTTTAAAATTCAAATGAAAATAATCAATATTAATGAAAATAGGTAATTTTATTATTAACAACGATCAAAAATCTTTATTTAAAAACTTTTCAAATAATTCGTTTCGCTGCCTGTATACTTTTGATCTCAATATTTATAAAGTTTTAAACTATTCTTTTATCATATAAAATAATAATTAATCTATTTTAATACATCTTAATATTATATTATTTTTCATGTCATAAAAATTACAATAATTTTATCAAGTAAATGCACATTTATTTATAAACCATACAAATTAGAGCTCTAATGTTTGAAAGTTATTTATAATTTATCAACTATAGTATAATTTCTATCATAATTTATATATAATATTATAATATTTATTTTACTGGGACAATGTAAAACTCAAAAAAGAAATTAAAATTTTAAATTCATAGACAACAAAAGCCTATTAATTTTTAAAATCTTTTATACCAAGAACCAAATAATAAACAACTTTATTAACTTTTCGAAAATAAAAATAATCATGAAATGATCTCGAAAGAAATAATTAATTAGAACAAATCTAAGATAGCTAACAATAAATCATTATAATTATTAAATTTGATATTATAGCATTAATCAAAAAGAGAACTTATAAGAACAAATCATAATTAGCCAGCTGTTTCTAAAAGCTTAATTATAAGAAAGTCATTACCGACAGTAAAACCTATTAATTAACCAATTATCTCATGTAGAGAAAAAAAATCATGTTCAGTTTAATAATAACGAAAATAGTCAAGTTCATATAATTAAAATCTTATATCAATGCGAGAGACAATAATTGGACCATGGGAAGAATGAAGTAAATGATATATATTTTTAAGTAATAAATCTATATTTACACTTGATCATTGCAAAACAGATGATTAAGATGATTTTAATTAATAAACTTTAGATGCTTTATTTAGAAATTAAAAATATGTATATTCTAACAAAAATTTTGGTTGTTTTTATCAATTATTATTTCAATATTAAAAAAAGTATGGTCAATAAAATAGTTAAAAATAGATATTTGTTATAGTATGATTAGATTCCATAATATAGTTTACTTTACTGAGAATTTGATTTAATTAGAAAGATCGTCATGTATGGAATGAATTAAAGAATAAGGAAATATGACAATAACAACATATTTAAATTGAGGTATAAAACTGATATTCATATAAGAAGGGATGCTTTGATATACTAATTTGAAAGTATTATGAATGGTTTTATTAGAAAAGAAATAAGAATTAAGTTGAAAGTAATACATTTAAATAGAAATAAAGTGTTAAAGTATGAGGAAAATGGCAATATTCAGTCAGCAAAGAGTAGCGAACGTTTTTTCATGAGAGTACTTTTGTTAGTATTAGATAATGAGATAATTTTTGAAAACTAGTGAAATATTTTAAAATATATTACTAATTTTTGTTTCATTTAGTGGTTGTATATATCCTCTTTGAGAGTAGGATTTGTAAACGATTAGATATTTAAATCATTTAAGTATTGACAGATTCTTTCCTCTAGATCATTAACTTCTTCAGCAGCATCATAACTTGAAGTTCTACTTAGACTATCTTCGGTAGTCCATGATTATCTAAAGTTATCTCCATCTGAATTATCACTTTAAAATTCTGCTTTTTACAAGTCCATCTTTATAACAAAAGATTTAATTAACTATATAAATAATACAAATTTCAGACATTATTTCATGCATTTAATTTGAAATATTCAAGTATACATTTATTTATGTAAAACAAGCTTTTATTTAATATGAAAACTAAAGATATTAATCTGATATAAAAATTAAATAAAGGTGAGTAGATAATGCATTTTTCATTAATAAATATAAATAGAATTGAAAAATATATAAATGAATGAAGATAGTATAATTAGAATGAAATAATAAAATTTAAGAATATGATAATATTATTATAATGTTAAATATAATTGATATATTCTATGTTGTTTTAATAATCTTTTTATTAAATGAAAGTTGGTATTAATATAAAATATGACGACATATTTCTGCAGATCTCGAAAATATTAAATTGTGTTTGATATATTAATATTAAATGTTAAGATTAAATTAGTTAGCAGGTTAAGTATAGGAAAAGAAGGCTCAAATTGATCCTATGGAATATTTGTCATTATATAATCTATTGACTCCAGAAGAATTAGAAGTTCGAAAGGTAGTTGAAGCATTTGTATAGAAAGAAGTAAGATATTATAATAATAATATAGGTAGCACCAAAAATAAATGATTATGTTGAGAGTGCTTAATTTCCAACAGAAATAGTAAATGCAGTGAAACCATTAAAATTATTTCATCATTTTTTAGATAAACCTTATGGTCATGGAACATCTTATACAAAATAAGGAATAATATTAATGGAAGCAGCAAGAGCAGATGCAGGATTTGCAACATTTATAGCAGTTTAGTAAAAATGTTATAAAATATTAGAAATTTATTATTGAATTATACATTAGAGAAATACGGTAATGAAGCATAAAAATAAAAATATTTAACAAAAACAAGAGATATAGAATATATAGGAGGTTGGGGATTAACAGAAAGAGGATATGGATCAGATGCTTCTAGTTTAACAGCTAATGTTAAAAAGGTTTAAGGTGGATATATATTAAATGGTGATAAAAGATGGATTGGAAATGGAAATAAAGATATATTAATAGTATGGGCAAGAAATTTAGATACAAATAAAGTAGAAGGATTTATAGTTGAAACTAAATGGTAAGGATATCATGCAGAAGTAATTTAAGGAAAATTAGCATTAAGAATAGTATAAAATTGTTAAATAACATTTACAAATATATTTATACCAGATGAAAATAAGTTAGATTCTGTAACTGATTTTTAAAATGGACCTAATTAAATACTAATGCATTCAAGAGTAATAGTACCATGGATAGCATTGGGAGTTATGAGAGGTGTATATGAACATTCATTAAAATGGACAACTACTAGAAAATAATTTGGAAAACCATTAGCTGCATTTTAATTATAATAAGAAAGATTAGTTAGAATATTATCAACATTTTAAGCATCATTTTTAATGGTTATGAGATTATCAAGATTAGCAGCAGAAGGAAAAGCTACTATTGGAATGATATCGAGTGTTAAAGCTTGGGTAACTGATAAAACTAGAGAAGTAGCTAGATTAGGAAGAGAAATGTTAGGTGGAGATGGTATAATATCAGATAATTATGTAATTAAAGCATTAACTGATGCAGAAGTATTATATACTTATGAAGTATAATTATATATTTATACATTAGGGAACTTACGATATAAATAGTCTTGTTGCAGGTAGAGAAATTACAGGACTTGGAGCATTTAAATGATTTATTCAATTCAAATAATATATATATCATAATAGAAAATTCATTAATTTTTAATTACTCTTTTCTATTTTTGAAATACCATATGCAATTAATGTTTAATTTATAAAGATCTTTAAATCTGCTTATGTTTAAAATTAACAAATTAAATCTTCTGATATTTTTAAAAATTTTAATAGAGTTTGTTATAGAATTGCTATTATATTTATTATTATCTTACATTCTCCTTCAAAAAGAAATACATCAAATAATTTAATAAAGTCTTCTTTTTTTATTTATTACCAAAAGTAAAATAAAAGAGGAACCTCAATTAAATCACTTATTTTCACTTAGTGTTATTCAATAAAATATTTTATTGAAGGCATTAGAGCATTTTGAAATTTTTAAGTTTCTATAAAACTTATATTTTATTTTAGTATTCTTCGATAATTTAAATTAAATAGAATGTGAATAGTCATCCAAAAAACCATTTATTCATAATAATCACTCATTCTATTAAATTAATTATATGAGTAATCTAAATTAATATATTATTCAGGATCCAATTATTATACTAAATATTCAACTATTTTATCAATCCCTTTAATAAATCCAATTTCAACATCATAATTAGCATAAGCTCTTAAGATGTCAAAAACTAAATCATTGTACTTCAAAATATATAATTTATAAATACTTTTTTATCCAGCTCTTTAATACATTTAAATATTTATTGATCATATTAAGATTCATATGATTTCAATTTTTGATAAATATTTGATGAATGCTTTACCATTTAAGTATTTTTTATATCTGTAATCCAAAACCAAGTAGCTGGTCTTAAATTACATAAAATTCCAAATCTTACATTTCTCTTCATTTCATCTCTCAAATTAGTGACTCAAATATACTATTCAATTTAATTTAAACTTTTTGTTTGGATAATCATTTGCCACTAAATACCTGACCAAGGCTTCTTTTCATATTAATTATTATCATAATCTATTATAATTATATTATTCTTATCTTATGATTCATCAAAAGAATCCTCTATTTTTATATAAAAATACCTCATCATTAGATTTACAATTTTACAATATAAATCTTTCTACCATTAATTTATTAGAATTAGTTCTTTCTATTTCATTTTCCCGTTTTTTCCTACCTAAACAACAGAACATTAATAATATAAAAATTTTATCAATAAAATGAAACGATAAAATTCTGCAAATTCAGCCACTAGTCCTACCAAATACTTTTACAATACTTCCAATTAATTCTCGGAAATTCTTCAATAAATTACACATAATTGCAATAATAAACTAGTTAAAAAAGCATAAAGTCCTAACCAAAATAATTANTTTAAATGATTTATTCAATTCAAATAATATATATATCATAATAGAAAATTCATTAATTTTTAATTACTCTTTTCTATTTTTGAAATACCATATGCAATTAATGTTTAATTTATAAAGATCTTTAAATCTGCTTATGTTTAAAATTAACAAATTAAATCTTCTGATATTTTTAAAAATTTTAATAGAGTTTGTTATAGAATTGCTATTATATTTATTATTATCTTACATTCTCCTTCAAAAAGAAATACATCAAATAATTTAATAAAGTCTTCTTTTTTTATTTATTACCAAAAGTAAAATAAAAGAGGAACCTCAATTAAATCACTTATTTTCACTTAGTGTTATTCAATAAAATATTTTATTGAAGGCATTAGAGCATTTTGAAATTTTTAAGTTTCTATAAAACTTATATTTTATTTTAGTATTCTTCGATAATTTAAATTAAATAGAATGTGAATAGTCATCCAAAAAACCATTTATTCATAATAATCACTCATTCTATTAAATTAATTATATGAGTAATCTAAATTAATATATTATTCAGGATCCAATTATTATACTAAATATTCAACTATTTTATCAATCCCTTTAATAAATCCAATTTCAACATCATAATTAGCATAAGCTCTTAAGATGTCAAAAACTAAATCATTGTACTTCAAAATATATAATTTATAAATACTTTTTTATCCAGCTCTTTAATACATTTAAATATTTATTGATCATATTAAGATTCATATGATTTCAATTTTTGATAAATATTTGATGAATGCTTTACCATTTAAGTATTTTTTATATCTGTAATCCAAAACCAAGTAGCTGGTCTTAAATTACATAAAATTCCAAATCTTACATTTCTCTTCATTTCATCTCTCAAATTAGTGACTCAAATATACTATTCAATTTAATTTAAACTTTTTGTTTGGATAATCATTTGCCACTAAATACCTGACCAAGGCTTCTTTTCATATTAATTATTATCATAATCTATTATAATTATATTATTCTTATCTTATGATTCATCAAAAGAATCCTCTATTTTTATATAAAAATACCTCATCATTAGATTTACAATTTTACAATATAAATCTTTCTACCATTAATTTATTAGAATTAGTTCTTTCTATTTCATTTTCCCGTTTTTTCCTACCTAAACAACAGAACATTAATAATATAAAAATTTTATCAATAAAATGAAACGATAAAATTCTGCAAATTCAGCCACTAGTCCTACCAAATACTTTTACAATACTTCCAATTAATTCTCGGAAATTCTTCAATAAATTACACATAATTGCAATAATAAACTAGTTAAAAAAGCATAAAGTCCTAACCAAAATAATTAAATGCAAAAAAGAGTAAAAACCTCAATTCGTATATCTCGTAATCTAAACTTGAATGATTAAAATAAAAAAGTGAATACAAGTGTTCCAAAAAATAAATTAGAATATTACTCTGTTTTAGAATAAATTGGATCAGGTAAGTTCGGTAAAGTATATAAATGTTTGCTTTATTCAACTAAAAAAGTATATGCCATTAAGATGATAGATAAAGTATAAATAAAAAAGAATTAAATGTTGCATTAATTATCAAGAGAAGTTATGATCTAATAAATGTTGAAACATTAAAATATAATTCAATTAATTGAATTTTTCGAGACTAATACCAATTATTGTTTAGTTTTAGAATATGCTACCGGAGGAACGTTATTTCAAACATTAACGAAATAAAATAATCGAAGATATTCAGAACCAGCAGCATCAAACATTATTAAATAAGTTGCTTATGCAATTTAATATATGCAAAAATTATCTATCATACATAGAGATTTAAAACCTGAAAACATCTTATGGTGTGATGGTTTAATTAAGGTAAGCGATTTTGGTTGGTCAGTCTAAGATAAAAAAGAAAGAGATACATTATGCGGTACTATAGATTATCTTCCACCTGAAATGGTTTATGGATAATAATATGATAATTCTATTGATTTATGGTCTTTAGGTGTGCTTACTTTTGAATTGACCACTGGTAAAACTCCGTTTCTAATTTAAGAAGGTTTTTCTTTACAATTTCCTGATTATTTATCAGGTGATGTAAAAGATCTTATGAAAGGATTATTAACTCATAAGAAAAACAGAAAAACCATTGAATGGGTTTTGAATCATGTTTGGTTAACTTGAATTTAATATTTATAATTTCTATTAATATAAATTCATTCGTTAATCAAAAACCTTTACTCGTTAAGATAATAATCTTGTTCTCAAAAACTCTATCCAATTTATCATTTACGAAACAAATATTTATTGAGTCAATTATTTTGATAAATCCTTTTTGAATGAAAAGAATTACAACATTTCTAAAACATTATTAACTCAATTAAGCTACAAGATCATATACTAATATAGATTGTTTTAATTTCATCAATTCATTATACTAATAAAACAAATTTATTTTTTCATTAAAAAATACCATTTTATATTGTTTTTATTAATATTTCCTTAATCTTCTAATCATACCTTTTTAGGGCATTTACATAAACAAGTTTTAAATCAAGATCAAAATTAAAAGGTTTATAAAAAGCTCATTATAAAAAAATATCACTCATAAATTGCTCTCTGAATATAGAAAAATTTAAATATTGATATTAATATATATTCGTCAAGTGTGTAATTAGATTAATTTGTATGTTAAGGTTTGTAAATTATATTATAAAAATGAAGTTAATTGTAATGTATTCAATATAAATTAAATAAATAATTATTAAAATCTTCATCTATTAAATTCAATAAGAAAAGATATAAGGTTTCATTTCCAGAATGAATAAAAGATTTATCCATCAAAAATTATTGCTATAATTAATTAAATATATTATATTATTCTGTTTTTAGAAATTAAATTTGGAAAAATATATATCATAAAAGCTAATCAATATTGATACTTATATTAGGAATTAAATTCTGAATTTTAATGATTATCTAATTGACGAATACTAGAGTTTTGAGAGTTTACACTTGAGTTAAATAAAGAAGAAATATTGCTATGGTCAGAATCTGAATCCTAAAATTGCAATTATTAACATATTTTACAGAACTAAGACATGCAAAGTCTAAAGGACTAAATGATTTTTTAAATTTCCTTCTTCTAACACCAACTATTGTAAACAATATTATATATTACAGAAATCAGTAGTTTCTTCTTGTTGATTATCGAAAAAGGATTTAATTTTTATTAATTATGCATCATGTGAATTAAATGAAAATATGACACTTTGAGATTAGTATTTAATATAAAGTGCTCTATTTTCGTTTTATTCCCAAATTATATTATCCAACCCTATAATGACTGCTTTAAACAATATGAGACAATCTTATGATGATGGAATAAGATACTTGGTTCAAAATCTCCTATTAATGTTCCTGTCCAGCAAGGGTAGATTTCTTAATAAGTATTTAATTTAAGGCCCTTTGATGGATGCCATTCGCCTAAAAGTTTAGCATCACCAACAATATATAATTGTTGATTAAGTTTAGCTTCACATCTAACTTTAAAGTTTATTTAGATTGACATCTTAAAAAGACTTAAACAGATGTAATGGTTAAATAATTTTTATATTAAGATNCTAATAAAACAAATTTATTTTTTCATTAAAAAATACCATTTTATATTGTTTTTATTAATATTTCCTTAATCTTCTAATCATACCTTTTTAGGGCATTTACATAAACAAGTTTTAAATCAAGATCAAAATTAAAAGGTTTATAAAAAGCTCATTATAAAAAAATATCACTCATAAATTGCTCTCTGAATATAGAAAAATTTAAATATTGATATTAATATATATTCGTCAAGTGTGTAATTAGATTAATTTGTATGTTAAGGTTTGTAAATTATATTATAAAAATGAAGTTAATTGTAATGTATTCAATATAAATTAAATAAATAATTATTAAAATCTTCATCTATTAAATTCAATAAGAAAAGATATAAGGTTTCATTTCCAGAATGAATAAAAGATTTATCCATCAAAAATTATTGCTATAATTAATTAAATATATTATATTATTCTGTTTTTAGAAATTAAATTTGGAAAAATATATATCATAAAAGCTAATCAATATTGATACTTATATTAGGAATTAAATTCTGAATTTTAATGATTATCTAATTGACGAATACTAGAGTTTTGAGAGTTTACACTTGAGTTAAATAAAGAAGAAATATTGCTATGGTCAGAATCTGAATCCTAAAATTGCAATTATTAACATATTTTACAGAACTAAGACATGCAAAGTCTAAAGGACTAAATGATTTTTTAAATTTCCTTCTTCTAACACCAACTATTGTAAACAATATTATATATTACAGAAATCAGTAGTTTCTTCTTGTTGATTATCGAAAAAGGATTTAATTTTTATTAATTATGCATCATGTGAATTAAATGAAAATATGACACTTTGAGATTAGTATTTAATATAAAGTGCTCTATTTTCGTTTTATTCCCAAATTATATTATCCAACCCTATAATGACTGCTTTAAACAATATGAGACAATCTTATGATGATGGAATAAGATACTTGGTTCAAAATCTCCTATTAATGTTCCTGTCCAGCAAGGGTAGATTTCTTAATAAGTATTTAATTTAAGGCCCTTTGATGGATGCCATTCGCCTAAAAGTTTAGCATCACCAACAATATATAATTGTTGATTAAGTTTAGCTTCACATCTAACTTTAAAGTTTATTTAGATTGACATCTTAAAAAGACTTAAACAGATGTAATGGTTAAATAATTTTTATATTAAGATTCTTCTTTTTAATTCCAATTAATTATAAGTTGTTAATATCAAATTAATTCTTTTATCAAAAATACTGTGCCTCCACTTATCTAAAATTAACATTCTCCTGCTCTAACTTTGTTTTTAAACCTGGAAAATTGAACAATAGCTTTTATATATTTAATTTATTTTATCTTTATTTAAAAAGTGTTCATATAACATTAATATTATTTCAATTCCTCTATTTTTGATCTTATTTAAAATTTTCCTAAAGCAATTAACAACTTTTAAACAACTCTATTGTACGAAATAGTGTTAAATTGTCATTCATAATTGAATTTTAAATATTTTTGTTCTCCTATTAATTTTATTCTTATAATTATTTACTGTCTCTAAATTTGTAAAGAACATATATCCTAAATTTGAATGGATATTTTTTTTGCTTTTTATTCAATTTTATACTTTATAAATATTTCAATCTATTCTTGGAACTTAAACTTCTTTAACTAAAGATTCAATTCATAAAACCTAAATTAAAGGATTATCGTAATTTAAAATTACAATTTACTTCAAACTGTAAACTTACATATAACCATGGGAACACAATTCCAATAAAAATATTATCTATATCATTAATATTCTTAATTATACTTTTTGGAGTTCGAATGGATAATAACTTAACCAGAATACATGTTCACGTTAGTTATATATATATTTTGATTTTATATAATTATCAATTCAAATCAATTTCTTATTTATTGTTTTACTTCAGAAAATATTATAATAAATATTTTATGATATAATCTCAAAAAATTTATTTTAACCTTTGAACAGGAAATTTTGGATATTGCTTTACAATTAAATCTCAATTAAGGCAATTTAAATGATAGAAAAACTTGTTGTTTTATTTATGAGCTGTAAGTATTGTTTTTATTATTTTTCCATTCAATCAATCTATTTAAAATTTTTATCAAAATTAAATGAATAAAAATGTGTTCTTAAGGTTGTCAGACCATTCTTTTTAATATTATCCTTATTAATTTCTTTATGAACTTCAAAATTTATTCTTTTTTTTCTAAAATTTTCATACTTATGTGATTGTAAAAGTTAATTTTTACATATTTATTATTATTACATATTAAACATGAAAGAACCTATACTTGTAATCTTAACAATATAAGCTGAAAACAAAGAAAATTTTACTATTTAATTGCCTTTGAAAAAGATTAACTGTATGTGTTAAATAGAAAAAGATAGATTACTACGTTTTCTAATCAAATACTAATAAATTAAACCATAAGATAAAGATTCAGTAATTTTAGGTAATTTTTATTTGTTATATTAGAATTTTATGACTTTTTTAACCAAAGGTATGTCTAAGAAAAGGATGTCACAATATCTAATAATATTTTTCAATTTTCTGAAAAGTTTTTGGGACTACCTGAATCCAAAGTTCTAAAAGTTGCTATTTACTATAATTTCAGCTATACCAATTTGATTGAGTTATATTAATCTATAGAAATGTTTAAATTAGATTAGAAAATATTTCAGGAGGAAAAAATTAAATATTAAAATTAACTTGAAGAATATGAAAAAGAATTTTTAGAAATGAAGGATACTTTAAAGGAAATATAATAAACACTTCTTCTTACAGAAAAATAATAAGAATAATAATAAAAAAATGTTGATATTGTGATTCTATATAGTAATCCAATTATTAGAGTTAATAATGGAATAAGAGAATCTTTATTTATTGATTATGAATCAGAAATTAAATCTATAAAAAATGTGATTATTCGATCAGATTAATCCATAAAATATGAAATTTTTAATGCTTCTATAAAAAATTTGGAGAAAGCAATCAGTTTACATCCACTTATCATACATGTAATTTCACATGGAGATTTTGATGAAAAACAATAAATTTTTTATTTAGAATTTTAAGATGATGGTGTTTCTACAAAATTAAAAACTGATGAAATTTAAAAAATGATTTAAAACAACAAAGGTATGGCAAGAATTCAACTTATTTGTATAAGCTCAATTGTCGGTAAAAATATCAGTGACTATATTCCAAAAACTGTTTCATGTGTAGTTTTTCAAAAATTATATAATATTATTGACAACGAGGGTCCTTATTTTTGGGAAGAATTTTATTAAAATATCTTTAAAAATTTTTCAGTTGGGGATGCTTATGAAAAGGCATAATAAAAACTTGAAAACGCCTTTTGGGATAATGAAAAGAAGTATGTTTGTTGTTGTTTTCATAAGCATGAACCAAAATGTCCTTTTGATCCAGCTTAAATAGGATATGAAAGTTCACATTAATAACATCTTAAATGCGCAAAACAAAAATGGGTTCACAGTTCTTTGGTTATGAATCCGTGTGATCCTTCATCTTATCAAGGTCAGTTACATAGACAATGCAATAATAATTGTCTTGGAAGATTAATTCTTGATTGTAAACATAAGAAATGTTAATAATAAATTTATGATTAAAGAATTGATGATATTCTTCAAAAACTTTAAATAGATTAGATTGACAAAGAAACTTTAAATACAAACCTTGTGAATATTCTTGATAAAAAACTTATTTGTTGTTGTTGTGAGTAATTAAACATCATATTAGAAACATAAAGTGAAAATATTTCTTCATTTATTGCTTCATAACATACTTATGATTAAAAAATACAATTTAAAAAAGAAAATAATGTATAATTTCTAGAACATATTGAATAAAATAAAGATCAAATTCAAGATATTTAATTTATGACAATTGATAAACAAATTATTTTGGTTCATTCCAAAGATCCATAGGATAAAGTTTTAGAAGTAGAAACATTATAAACCATAAATACTTACATTAAAGTATAATTTTTTTATTTATTAGATTTATATTTAAGAAAAATATAAGAAGGAAATTAAGAAGTTCAAGGAGAGTAAGAAGATCAAAGAAAACGAGCCAATCGAGGAAATTGTAATTAATTTAAATGGGTGTGATGTCAATAATTGGATAGAAATCGTATCAAAAAAACTTAATCTAGAACATGCCTCTTTTGACGAGTTTCTTATAAAATCAAAAGACTATTTTTGTAATCTATAAAGCTAAGATAATTTTTTTTACATTTTCACAATCTAAAACATTTCCAATATTTGTGAATCTGATTAATTTTAAAGCTTTTACCAGGTGATACAAGAAGCTAATGAATCTAATTTCATTTTAATATTACCTGTTGATAACACACAAAAAGAAAACTTAAAAAAAATAACAGCTGTTGAATTAGTTTAATTTATTGATTTAAAATAAATTTACAGTTTATTATAAGAGGAAAAAAATTGATAGGAATGAATATTATTAAATTTAACTTAATCAATTTTGATTATCTCAACTAAGCTAATCAAAACATTTTTATACTTAAATATGTTAAAATTAAGTAGAATTAGTAATTTTTTCAATAATTAACTACTTATTAAAATATATATTTTTTCTTTTGTTTTATAGCCAATTTCATTGTGAAAATATAATTAATATTAATTTAATAAAAAATTTTAATGACTTCCTAATATATTTGATTTATATTAGGTCAATGAAATACAACTATTTTATTGAGTCAATAATCAATCCAGATTGGTGATTCAAATTTGATTTATATTAGGGCAGATAAAAGATACATAATTTTATCTTCTTAATTTATAAATTATGTGATTAGCAATTATAGTTAATAAATAATTACTGATTTTGACTTTGTGTCTTTCGTTTACTTTTTGAAAAAGTTTAAGATCAATTAGATTGTAAATGATTTTCAATACAAATTTTAAAGAAAACAAAAAAATTTTTGGATTGTAGCCATCGGTAATAACTTAATTTTAAATTTATGGACTTATATAAATATTCCTCCTTTTGAATACACCCATTTTTTGAAACCAATTACTGATTTTATTTCTGCATTACTCAAATACATTTTTGTAACTTTAATCCTATTTTGTTATAATATTCGATTATCAATAGGCCATTGAATCATATAATTAATCCAGCATTACATCTAATAGTTTCCTTTATCTTTTTATTATTACGAAGATTATTAAAATAAAGAACAATAAATATTGATCAAAATTATTGCATTTTATTTAATAAAATTCTATATTCTCTTTTTTCTACTATTAATTTATTGATCCAAATAATCAAGAAAATCATCCACCAAATATCAATTGTACAATTATTGAATTGTTCGTTTCCAAATCCTCTCTCCTCTTTGATGTCTCAATTACAAAATATTCATAGATTGTCTAAATAAATATTAATTAAACAAATATATTAATTTTTCCTAATTAAATGATAAAAGTATTAAATCAATAAATTACATCTATTTTATTGACTCAACATATAATTTAATGAAATACTTTTAAATTTCTTCAGAAACTTCTTTTCTCTTTCTTAAACAATTTATAGCCTAAACTGTCGATTCTTAATTTATATATTAGTTCACTTCTTGAAGTAATAACTAGTCTGTTTTTTAGTTCTAGAAACATTTTACTATATTCAAAAGGTTTTATATTTTGGGATACCATTCTACTATTAGAATGAGTTCATTATTCCCTCTACTAGACTGATGTTTTGGTTTCACTTCAACTTTATTCCATGTACAAATCTACAGTCTCCATGTACTAATGTATAGATGAAAAAATAATCTATAAAAATAATAATATTATTATATTAAAAGATATCTTCAAAAATATTTAGAAGATAAGTAATATAATCTATCTTTAATCAAAACTAAAATATTTTTTTCTATTTTTTGTATTTTAAGTGATTTTTAAATTTAAAATAATATTGTTTCTAATTTTTTTTTTAAATTTAAGGTTTACTTGCTAACAGAGAATTTTTTGAATATTTTGATCTAAAATTTTAATACTATAGTCATATTTAAAAATTAGTCTTATGACTTTTTTGATTTAGTATTAGAATGAGGAGATTTTTAGCGAAATTTATTTTAAAAATATTGAATTTATAAATTTACAAGAAGAACGTTCAATAATAACTTTTTCTACCAAATTTTATTTGTTTGGTACGNATTCGATTATCAATAGGCCATTGAATCATATAATTAATCCAGCATTACATCTAATAGTTTCCTTTATCTTTTTATTATTACGAAGATTATTAAAATAAAGAACAATAAATATTGATCAAAATTATTGCATTTTATTTAATAAAATTCTATATTCTCTTTTTTCTACTATTAATTTATTGATCCAAATAATCAAGAAAATCATCCACCAAATATCAATTGTACAATTATTGAATTGTTCGTTTCCAAATCCTCTCTCCTCTTTGATGTCTCAATTACAAAATATTCATAGATTGTCTAAATAAATATTAATTAAACAAATATATTAATTTTTCCTAATTAAATGATAAAAGTATTAAATCAATAAATTACATCTATTTTATTGACTCAACATATAATTTAATGAAATATAGAATTTCTAATTTTAATATAAATTCAATTAAATTAATGGTAAAAAAATAAAAAATTATTCATCAAAAAATTGCTATACTTTTAAATTTCTTCAGAAACTTCTTTTCTCTTTCTTAAACAATTTATAGCCTAAACTGTCGATTCTTAATTTATATATTAGTTCACTTCTTGAAGTAATAACTAGTCTGTTTTTTAGTTCTAGAAACATTTTACTATATTCAAAAGGTTTTATATTTTGGGATACCATTCTACTATTAGAATGAGTTCATTATTCCCTCTACTAGACTGATGTTTTGGTTTCACTTCAACTTTATTCCATGTACAAATCTACAGTCTCCATGTACTAATGTATAGATGAAAAAATAATCTATAAAAATAATAATATTATTATATTAAAAGATATCTTCAAAAATATTTAGAAGATAAGTAATATAATCTATCTTTAATCAAAACTAAAATATTTTTTTCTATTTTTTGTATTTTAAGTGATTTTTAAATTTAAAATAATATTGTTTCTAATTTTTTTTTTAAATTTAAGGTTTACTTGCTAACAGAGAATTTTTTGAATATTTTGATCTAAAATTTTAATACTATAGTCATATTTAAAAATTAGTCTTATGACTTTTTTGATTTAGTATTAGAATGAGGAGATTTTTAGCGAAATTTATTTTAAAAATATTGAATTTATAAATTTACAAGAAGAACGTTCAATAATAACTTTTTCTACCAAATTTTATTTGTTTGGTACGTTTCAACAATTTTTGTTCATAATCATTAATTAATTATTATGTTATGGTTCTCTTAAATTTATGAGTATAAAAATTGTTATATTTTTCCAACATGATTTAGAAGAAAGTAACTCAAAATTCTAGATTAGAACATATTTATTATTTATCAATTTAAATATTATCGATTTATTAATAAAAAACAAATTATTTAGAATATTTTAATAATTAATCATGCAGCCATTTTTTGCGCAATTTAATATGGATTTCCGACAATTAATTTCTGAAGAGCCCAATTTATTTAATACAAGCTTTAGTGATTAGTAATTTGGATATTTATTAAATAGTTTTCAATCCTATGACAGTGATATATCATTTTAATTTACCAACTAATCACCGCCATTTATTCATATTGAAAATCCAGGAATCTAAATGATATCTATCATTAGAAATGAAGGAAGAAGCGGGTAATTGTTTTATTAGAAATTAGTCAAAAAAAGTAGATTTAAGAGATGTACACAAGATTAAGATAACACGAAATACAAAATAATAAATTAAATAAAAATGAGCCTCATATAAAAATAACTGTTATTAAAAACCAAAATCTATTAAATCCCATTTAGTAAATGGAACACTATATTAATTAATTTGGGTAAGTATATTTTCTAAATAAAGAATGATAGGTTCAATTAAAAATGCAGATTCAGAAGATGTTATAATAGGAAGACAAGAGAAACTTGAAAACTATTAAGGTTAATTAATATTTCCGAATGACATAAGTACATATATTAATAATTTTAGTTTTAAGAGAAACTGAGAGACTGATTTCTAGAATTCATTGCAAAATTATCTTTAGAAACTTTTTTAGGATAGAAACTTAAATATCACCATTATACAAATAAACTTTAAGTTAATTAAAATTGCCTTATAATATAATTTAAAGAATTATTTTATTTTTAGAGTATTATAATATAATATTTAAGGGAACCAAAAGATTGTTATGTCTAAGATATAGGTAGTGTATTTGGAACACATATTAAAATAGATAGAAACTATTCTCCAATAAAAAAATATTAGTAATATAGTATAGGGAGTGAAACTACAATCTAGATTCTTGAAATTCATAATTTAGGATCTGAATAAAAAGAAAAGGATTTAGAATTTGATAAACTGATATCAAAATTAAGAAACATTAAATATAAATGTTCTTTGTAAGGATTAGATTTAAAACTTTATGAAAGAGCATTATAAGCAGAATTAAGTTTCGATTAAATTCTATAAAATTTAAAATCTTATAATATTCCATTTATTATAATGAAATTTGGAGGATCTGGAGTAACCGATAATAATTAGAATATATTTTTTGCTAAGGACATTTCATCTATTTTTTCAATAGGAAGAGGAAATGATAATAATATCAGAATAAATTCAAATACAATATCTAGAAAATAAACTAGATTCAGATTTAATCAAAAGTATTAATTTTTAAGATATTTAAAGAGAAAACAATTGGGAAATTGCAGATGGAAGTTAAGATAAAGAATCAGCAAATGGAACTTGGATGCAATTGTAAACTATACAAGAAAGAGATTAAAAACATGAATCTAAAGTATTTCCTTTAAAGCATTTATCTGAAATTAAAATAAGTGAATACATTTTAAAAGTTGAACTTTTCAAAGGAAAGTATATTTTTTATTTATATAATAAGTTAAAAAGATAAAGCTAGATATGATGTAATGAAATCTTTGTTATGATAATTATAAGTTATAAGTAAATTATTTTTTCTAAATTCTTCTTGTTTTGAATTCAAACTATAGTAAATTGGGAAATTATAAATATTGAATTGTAATTAAATTAAAATGATGGATGAATTTTTTGAAGATGTACAAACTTCTGATTAACCGAGTGATATTTAGAATAGGTAATAAAATGGGATTTAAGAAGATTAGGTAATAAATTCTTGTGATATAAGTATGCTGTCTTTGATGCTTTTGCAGAAGAAGCAACAATTTAACCAATTATGATTAATGCTTATGTGGTATAATTCAAGTTTATTTAGCATAGAGCCCATAATAATAATAAAGAAAAGATAAATTGCGAATTTTAGAAGATGAAAGATTAGCTTAAATTAGAGAAAAGGATTAATAAGAAAGATTATTGAAATAATAAAAAAAATAAAAAGGTTAAGAGTTTTTGTAGGAATTTAAAAAGTAATAAGTTATTAAAAATTTTAAGATAATAAGAAGTAGATATTCAATAAAGAAGTAATTAAAATAGATAGAAATAAGAGATTTGGTTTGAAAATTAAAAAAATCACAATCAATATGTATGATAGTGTATTAAATTAAAGAAAAACTCTTGGGATTAAATATCATCTAATATAGCTTTAAAAGATGGAGAATATCCTGGTTAAAAAGATGTAACTAAAATGAGATAAGCAATCCTAAATAAAAGAAGCGATCTGATTAAGTGATGCTCATTAATATAATATTAAAATTCAATTCAAAGTTATTTGTGCATATTATAAATAAATTCTTAATTTAATTATATATATACATATCTAAATAATATAAAATCATAAATTTGGATCTTTCAGAATAGCCATTCTAACTTTCCTTTCAAAAGAATTGTCCAAAAATAACACTTCTCTTGGAATCAAATGGATAAACTTAACAGCATATGTTAGTTTCAATTTTAAGTTAGTTTTATAAGCAATTAATATAATTGCAAGTAAAATTAATGTGAAAGAGATGGATGAAACAAGAATTGTCTATGTTATACCAAATTATACTTCCAAAATATTTTTATAATGTAAAACTTGCTCAGAAAAATCTTTCATTGCCATGTCTGCTGCTGTTTATAAATATTCTACAAATAAATATGCTCCTTCAACTTCTAATATATTTATTGGTTAACGTTAAGAAAAATCTTAACCCATCAATTCTTATCTTACTATTTTTAATATATGATTCAAAACAGCTTAAATTCCTAATGCAAAAGAACCTTCAAATGAACTTATACAAATTTACCCATTTTTTTAATTATTTTCCTATGATACATTAATTAAATACTGGATTAATCAAAGTGCATAAATCTTATGTTTCTTAATTTAAAAAGTAGGTAACAAAATCTGAACGAAATAGCAAATTAGCTAGATTTATATTCAACAATTCTTATTAATATTATTAGATTTATATAGACGACTAATTCAACTGCTATATCATTGTTGTAAAATCTGATTCTTTTAAGTATTGAAAAAAAACCTAATTATTCAATTTTTCCTTTTAACTATATATTAATGCAACATTTAAACATAAATCAGATGTATTTTTATGCATAGTAGCAGTTGGTTTATATTTTTGAATAAATTCAGAAAGAATAAGAGTATTAGTTAGATTTACAGTTAAAAAACCAACAAACATTGTATAGATGAAAATCAAAAACCTGGAAGTATCAATTTTTGCTTTTTTATGAATTTATTTTTAATTGCTTGAAAAATGAGTTTTTGATTTTTAACTTAATACTTAAATTTCAAATTCTTTATTTTTTTCATTAAAGGTATAAAATTAAGTTATGTTATAATTTTAAATCTAACCAATCAAAAAATCTAAATTTTCTAATTCTGATTCCAAGACACTTTTTTCAATATTGAACATAAGACTTCCAAAAAGCTGCCTTTAGTTAGCAAACTTTCTATAATAGTAATTTGATAACAATAAACAAATAAAATTAACACTTAAAAAACATGCTATAACAATTATTTGATCATTAATTTATTTGGAATTTCTATTTATAGTGCTGTTATAAACTTAATCACTTAGATAAGAACAAATTTCAAACATTAATTTTTAATTCAACATTTAAAAAGTAACTGGGGTTGTTATTTTAGGAAGTTCATTATTGGAGTAAATTGCATAAATGAATTACTGATAATCTAAATATTTTATAAAGAAAGTTCTAGCACTAAAATTCTCATAAGTATAAGAATAATCATCTTCTAAATAGATTACTTGATAATAATGATCTATAAGAAAATCTTATAATAATTGAGATTCAAATAATTCTTAAATATGATCATGAAAATGAGCAAATTCTTTTTTTAAATATTTTTAAGCAAAGTCAGTTTCAATGAAATATTATTCTTTAGTTATTTAATTCTAAATTAATAAATTAGTTTTATCATATATAATAAATCTTAAAATGAAGAAACTTAACATAGGTTAGAGGATGTCATTTTTTATTGATAATTATCCAACATCGTTAATGTAATTATTAAAATTGTTTTATATAAGAAAAGTTTAAAGCAATAAGGATACAATTCCTAATAATGAAGAAACTACTAAAAATATGATTGCTAATCTAACAAATATATTTTTTATTTTTTTTTATCCCATTTTATCAATAAATTCTACTTTATCTTAAAAATTAGAATCATATTTCTCCTTTTTTTTTTATGGTGTACAAACATCTTCAACAGATATTTTTTATTTTTGAAATTCAGAATAAAACTGTGGCATACTTACTTATTTCAAGAAGTTTTTCTTAATTATTGAAACATCGTCACTTCCTCTAGATATATCATGATATCTATTGTAAAATTTTTATTAAAATAACAATTCATATGTAGAAGATTTTTCTTAAGGAGAGTTTAACTATTAATATGTAAGTTCTGGTTAAAATAATTAAACATCTAAGTATTTTGAATCATCAAAATCATATGGTGAATCAATCTTTATTCCTTCTTATAACTTTTATTATATATCAATTTTCTAATTAGATTTAGTTGAACATTCGATAAAATTTGATAACATAGAAGTTGCATTCTATTTTTTTAAATAATCAAATGTTAATATTATATATGCCAATTTGTTATTGTGATATTTAGATTAAATTTCAATCTAAGATTCAAATCTATCCAGCAGATTAGTATTTGTAAATCTTTCTGTCATTGTATGTTTTGTTAAATCAAACATATAACATTGTTTTATAAAATAGAATTCAATCAATGAAACCTATTTATTCTCTTCTATCAGCATTTTAAATTAAGGAATCAATATTTAAATATTTAGACCATATATCATATCATCTGGTTAAAAATAATCAATTTATGATTTTGAAAAATTTAACAAGTCCAAAAGGTGTTTATTTATTCCGACAATTTAAAATTAATTATTTAGAATCATATACCCTTTTACATCTTTAAGTTCTAAAATTATATTAATAAATCTTAGTTCAGATAAACTATTGTAAGAATCTAAATATGATTCAGCTATTTGTATAAAATTCTTTTAAAGAATGAACAAACGAGCATTTTATTTATATCTAGGAGATTACCCTGTTTAAAAAAAATCATGTAAGTTTTATCCATGATAATCTCTAATTCCTAAAGGGATTAGAGGTTCAATATATAAAGGTAATTCATTTTGAAAAAACTATTTTGCATTACTTGAAGCTCTTTCTATTTTTACATTATAAGAACAATCCCCTAATTTTGTAATTAAAAATGCAACTTTATTTTATTTAGCTAATAATACTATACTAGTTTATTTATATTAGGATTCCAATTCATAATTAACTGAATGTTCTCTGCTAGCTTAAGCATAGTTTCTTAGGATTTCAGTCTGATAAAATACTTTTAAATTTAAAATACTAATAGCTAACTTAAAAATTATTATTTCTTACATGGATTTTTTTAGTAGATTTGATTAATATTTTTCTCAATTTTACAAAGTTTCACAGATATTTTAAAACAAATATCAAAAATTTTATTTTATGAGACTTAATCTTTTATCAAACAATCATAAAAAACACATTTATCCTCTAATAATTTAACCATTTATAGATTTAAAATTCTGATTATATATTCTGTTTTGTAGAATTCTTCAAAAATCAAAGTAGTTTAATCATATTATTTAGAAAAATTCTTTCTTAATCTAGCTTTTAATAATTACTTACTTTCCTCTCTTAAATATGAATAAATAATCTGATATAAAATATAAGCTGGTTTTTGAAAATTATCTAAATAATTTATTGGCAAAATGGTTGACATAGATGAATTTTTCATAATAAATTTGTAAAGATAATTTTTATTTTAGTTTTTGTAGGTCTAATCTTAAAACTCTAAAATAGAACTACAAATTGCATAAGCTTAAATAAAGTTTTTTGTATAAATATGGATTAAGATCATTTAAATGATTTAAGGATTAGTCAATGTAGACTGTAAATAAGTATTGTTTGATAATTGTAAATAAATATCGTATATTTATTATTTTTAAGAGCAACTACAATTATGACATAAGGATAAATGTTTTTAATATACATAGACTTAAAAAGGTAATTTTGATTAATAATTTTTTGATTCTAAATGCTAGAATAATATTTAGAATATGATATTTGGATTAGTTTGATTATTATATGTTTTGAGAATTGCAATTCTTTTTTCAATTGATCTAAATATGTAAACAATTAAAGGTAAAGCAATCAGTTAAAATATTCCAAAATCATATTGAGTAATATTGAATAATATTGTAAAATATTCAGTTATTGATAAGACGAAAGCTAAACTTTAGGATATGATAATTATAGTATTTGCATTCTTATCTAAATAATGAAAATTTTATGTAATATTAATAAGCATTAAGATAGAGATTAAAAATGTTATAGTTACTTAATAAATATAGTTTGATGAATAAAAACAATACAATAAAATTTGAATAAAATTTAAAGTATGAAGCAAGACATCTAAAAGTGTTGTATAAAATTTGGATTATATTGTGATTTGATAAGACAATTTATTTTAATTTATCAATAATTTTGTTATGTCAAATAAGGAAAATGAAAAAAGTGTTATAATAATTAGAAGAGTATTAATATTTGAATTATCTTAGATTTAAGTTAAACTAATCTCAAAAAGGAAATTAATTATAATAATTTCATAAAATTCATAAATAAAAGCTGAAACTATATTCAAGAATCTAATTATTTTGTTTTGCTTAAAAACATAATTTTTTAAAGTAATTTTTTGTTTAAATTAATCTTCTTTATAATTGAAATAATTGGTAAGTTAATATGTCATGTTGAAAAATATGATGAGGATGATAATCATTGGTATTATGAATAAGTATTAACCATTTATTAATATTGATGGTCTTGAAAACCATGATATTAGCTAATATATTTAGTTATATTTAGTTTAACAATGATGGTGTAAATAAATTATGTAAGTGGAATTCTTAAATTATCCCAAAGAAAATATAATATATGAGAGTAGTTTGTTTGTAAATGGAAATTAATTATTCACTATGATAAATAATTTCATCAGGTCTTAAAATCCTTGTTTCAAAATATGAATAAATTTCATAGATCAATATAATTTATATTAATTAATTAAATAGTGCATTATAGAAATGATCTTTTATTAACAAACTAAAAAAAAATTTTTAAACTTGTGAAATTTAAAACTGTCTTAATCAATATAGGATTTTAAAATCATGTTGATTACTATAAATTATTTATTAACAAAAAAATTTTATTCAAAGATTTATGTCATGCATTTTTTGTATTGTTAACATTTCGCATTGAGAAATATAGAGAAATCTCAAAATTTTAAATATCAATTGACATCAATTTTTGGATGATAGTAACTTAAATCTGATTGTATTAAAGAACCAATTCTATACATTCAAATATAAATAGTTTGAGGAGTATAATAATAATTTTATATATGGATAGATATTATTTGTGATAGGAAATACATATTTACTATTTGATATATATGTTTTTAAAATAATTTATTTTAATTAAAAAAGTTTGAGTTTGAGTTTTAAAATACATCAGAAGTGTCTATGAAATTTTATCATAACGATAAAATTAGACAAGAAAGATTTAAAAACAAAATGAACACTCAAAAACAATATTTAGAAATAGTATAAATAAGTTATTATTTAATGTTTTGAAAAATAAGAGTCAATGGATAAAAAATTGGAATATTGAAATTACATATTAATATTATTTATAAAATAAACATTAATTATGGCAAATTAAAAATAAGAGAAATTCCTTGTACTCTATAGATTTTCAATTATTAATTTTATGCTTACACATTATTAAATAATTCCATTTTTGAAATTAAGATCTCACATTTATATTTTTAAAATTCTGACATATTTGAATTCTGTAAATCCTAAGATTAAAATGAGGATATAGATTTTTATTATTGAAAGTTAAAGTATTGGTAATATAACGATAATATTAATTTTTATTTTTATAATGTGTTGGAAAGGGGCACACTATCAATAATTTTAAATACCTTTTTATATTAATTTTCATTTTGATAAAAAAGAGTTAGGAATTATTTCTTTTCTAAATTAATAAAAACTTAATTTATTTGAAAATCAAACATTAATAGTTTTCTTAGTTTAATTAGTTTAATGGTTAAATCAAGAAAGTCGAAAAATGGTTTTATGTTCAAACTTAAATCTATTCTACTCGTAAATTATTTAAAAAATACATTTAGAATAATAAATACAAAGAAATTTTACAGTAACTTGATAAGAATGGCTTTATAATTAACGATTTGGAGAAATTTAAAAATTAAGTATTGAAAGAAAACTATAGACATACTAATTTTAATAGTTTTAGAAGGTATTAAAATATAAGATTTTTAGATCATTAAATTTGTATGGTTTTTGTTTAAAAAAATATAAAAAAGGAAAGATTTTATATATAAACCCAGATTTTAATATAAATTCGGAATAACTTCCAAGAAAATAGTAAAGGCAAATAGATGGATAAGATTTGACAAGTGATTTGTTTCGTGATTTCAATATTATATTTGAGATAAAAGAGAGTTAAAAGAGATTAAGGGAATAAATTTAATTACTGATTGAAGCACAGAATAATTTGCATTAAAAGTTTTAAAGATAATATTAGACTTATTTAAAGGAAAGGATAATTTAAAGAATTCGATTTAGAAAATTAGAACAATTTTGTTTTAGTTTTTATTTAAATATACAAGATTAAAAATATAGTAAATAAAAAAATATGATGAAATAGAAAAAATAATAGAAAAAAGTTTGGTGATAGTGGGGAAAAAACTTTAAGAATCATCTGATTATTAATTTATATGTGATAGTTTAACATAAATTTAATAATCAGAATCATAATAATAATAAGTGACATATTTTTTAGAAAGAAATTTATTTTCGAATGGAAATAGTAAACCACTATCATAAGTAGGAAGTAGTCCAATATAATTTGATTTAAATTAAAGTTTCAGTGGTTTAAGCAATTATTTTGAGATATGATATTGATTAGATAAAATTATAATAAAGCATTTAAAAATAATAATAATAGCAAAAATAATAATGATAATAGATTGATAAAATTAAGCCCACTTTTTTTCCGTTCTTCTTATTCCCCTCAGGTAGAAGAAGAGCGGAAATCACCAGCAAAGGTAACATTGTACTTTGGGCCAAGTTACATTGAGCGGTCAGTTCTTAAAGAAGGGTTTGATTTACAAGTACAAACTGAAATACATTAGGAGGAGTCTTCTTGGTTAAACAAATGTTTCCATTTTTTCTACGTTTATTCCCATTTGGCTAAATTTCCTTCGGCTATTTGTCATTTGGGTACTATTAATTCTTCCCATTAATCTGTTTCAATCTTTTATATATTTCTGTAATAATAATAATAATAATAATAATAATAATAATAATAATAAATAATAATCATAATAATCATAATCATTATCATAATAATATCAAATAGCTCCATCAACTCTCGTCATGACTGCACATGAGTTTCCTGGCTTCAACCAAATATGCCCTTACTCTCCCCATCCTTCACCCCATGAATTTCTAATTTTCCAATTTCCGCTATAATCAAATCCAACAGCAACAACAGCGTGATTATGATAATCATCTCTACAGGCACCATCATATATTCCTTAACTATAGAATTTCCAATAAGTTGCATCCACACTTACTGATAATGGATAATTCTATATCCCCTTTTTGATAGCATCTTCATTTGGACCATAATTCTCCCTTCCTTATATTCTAACCTTTCCTTATAAAACTTTACAAACTCCATTCTAAGCTGTCTTTTTGATATATTGAATATATTTACATATGGATAATCTCTTTCATATACTGAACCTACTTAAGCAATATAATCTATAGCTAAATCAGAATCTCCTCCATCACATCCATCTCCTGCATCTATTGCACAATCTACTAATTATTATTCAGATAAAACTCCTTTGAATCCTGTTCTTATAATTAAATAACCTTCAACTGCTCCTATGGCAGAAAATGTCCAACAAGAACCACAATTACCTTAGTTTTTTATTGGATTCATTTTATTAGACCAATCCACTTCACCTAAATTATTTCCATTACTTAATTCAATATTCTCTATTTTAACCTATTTTGCCTTTCCTAAATATAAACCTTCAAATTCTTCATCTGTTAAATCAGCAAATTAATTTACTGCCATACTATAACTTTTATTTACATTAGAGTTATGTTTCTTAATCAATTCAACATTTTTGTTAAATACTATCTATCGATATTCCTCTTCACTTTTACCATAGAATTTGTTATATTATTTTTACCAACTCTTAAATTCCTATGATTCTTCACTGTTATTGTAAATGGATAAACCACTTAATAGCAACGCTGTTATAAGCAAAGATAATATCTTCTACATTATATTAATAATAATAATCATGCTTTTTACTTTATAAATTAGCTCTGATGATGTCATTCAATCACTTATTATTTAATTCAATATTTTAACAAAATAGCATCCTATACCTTTTTCATTTATCTTATATTTAAATATATAATAATATTATAATCATACTAAATACATTATATATTAATTAATCAATTACTTTCATTTTCTCATTTTATGCTATATATTATATTTAATTTGTGATGTAAATTTGGAAATTATTTAACTAAAAAATCTTATTCTAGTTTGCTAGATAAATTAAACCTCGTATTCCAATATAAATCGATGAATTAAATAGGCAATTTGAATTACAGAAATTCTACATTAAAGAACAAGCAGAAAAATAAATTAGACATGCTCATTCAATCGCAGAATTAATTAGTTTAAATAAAGACGTAAGTTAATATGTCGATGTTACAGAACCTATTCTTAAACGTCTATAGAAACTCAAAATTACCTCAGAAGAGTTTTCTTCAAATTAAGACTTTATTGCTTAAATGGTAAATAAAAATACTAGTTAATTAATGTTCAACTTGCTCTAATATTATGAAAATGATCATATTGAGAACTTGGTACTTGATGCATATAAAAATAATCATTTACAAATTACAGAAGACAATAATCTTCGACTACTATAGATTATTGCAAAACATGGAAAACCTGAAGATTTATTATAATGGTCTTAAAATCCAGAGTTTAAACTAAATGGCAAAAATATAACTAAATTTTATGATATTTTAGATTTTTTAGATGGCAAATTACCTGATAGAGAAATTATTGTAAACAAAATAGAATAATAAATATATAAGTATGCTCATTAATATGAATATGTTACAATATTAAAGATCTTAAAACACAGATCTTTTAATGAAAAAGTATTAAATGAAGAACTTTTAATAGCTATTTTAAGAAGACTTTTATAAATTGAATTAAATTTAGAATAATTAATAAATATAAATTAGTATTTAACTGTTGAATTATAATATTTAGATGCTTAATGGTTAAATAAAATAAATAAATCAGTTATTCAATAATTATATCCTGATTAATAATAAATGGATTTATTAGAGGATAATTAAAATGACTAAGAAGAGGAAATAATTTAAAAGAATTAAGAAGAGGGAAGTGAGACATAGATTAATTCAAAAATAAAAAGTGAGTTAGATAATGAGGAATTGTTAAAATTAGTTAAAGATTTAGAATTAAGAACAGAACCATTTAAATTGAGTGATTTAGAAAAGCAATTTTTAAGACTTATGGATTAATTTTCAAAAGTCATAATAGTAAATGATTTAAATTTGTTAGCTTTGTAATTTTTTAAAGAATTGGATGTTCATATGATGTAATATTTAAATCATTTAACAGCCGATGAATAATTAATTTGCTTTAAATTTCATGGTAAATATATAGAAACAATATATAATGAATAATAATAAAATCCAAAATAATATAAAAAATCTTGTTAAAAAAGACTTGAGTAAATGAATAACTCTTATTATGAAATAACACTTTAATGTTTGAAGGAATTAAGTTTTGAATAGACATTAACATTTTTGGAAGCTGTATCAGTTTTAGGAGTAAGTAAAAGAAAAGTTTGTTAAAGAATAATGAATGTTGGATTTGAAGGATTACATAAAATAGATGAATGTAAATAGGAGAATCATAAAAAGAATTATGCTTTATTTGCTTATTATAAGTTATTACAATTATTTATAACATAAGAACATGATATTTTGTATAAATTAATAAATATAAGTAATTAGGTAGATAGAGAAATAATTTTAGGAAATAAAAATAAATACTTTAGATCTTTAGAGTGAATATGCTCATTTAGGAATAAAAAGATAAAAAATATAGGAGTTGGAGAGTAAGAATAATAATATTAATAATGATAATGAGTTATAAATTTGATCCGATTTACTGTGTATAATAATAATAATAATATTCATTCAAACAATCATAACTTTAGTTTAATCTTATTCTGTTTTTGAGATAATTTGAGTAAGAGAATAGATCATATTAGGAGGTCCACAAATATAAACTTTTTTATTATAATCTCCTAAATGTTATTTAACAAAATCTTCAGAGAATCTGCCTCTAAAAGCAGGAATGATTGTATCTAATTTTGAATCTGAATATCGGATTTACATATCAAAAAGTTTTAAATTATTAGTTTTACTAATTGAATAAAGTTTTCTAATCCATTCTTTACCAATAAATTCATCTTCATTTTAGAAGGAAGCAAGTAGAGTAAATTCAAATGATTCATCTAATTGATCAAATTATGGAAAGAATGATTAAATTTATGATTATTTTTCTTTATTGGTTAGATAAATGGATTTAATTAATAAATGATCTAATAAATCTAGGAATGGTAATAATCCAGTTCCACCAACAAAGGCAACGCATTTAGAATTTGATTATAATTCTAAACCTCTTCCAAATGGGCCTTAAATCCAAAAGTTACCTTAATGTTAAAAGATTTATGCTGATAATGCATTAGGAAAATTATATTTTTTAATAATTAAAGGAAGAGTATTAATTTTATCGAATTATAATGCTGGTAGTTAATTAGATTTATTTTCAATGTAGTTAATAATTTAATTTCTAAAATTTGAATATGGAGTTGACATACATAATACTTTAGTATATAATCTTACTTTACCTCCAATTTCTTAGAGAGTGATACTAAAATGTTGACCTAGATCTTGAATATTTTGACGAAGATTAATTGAAAAATTAGAGTTAGCAAATTAAAATAAAGCAATATTAGAAGATAGATCAACTTTTTCAATAAGATCCCAATAAGATGAAGGATTAGAATTATTAGTATTAACATTTTATAATGTTCCAATATATCTTTTTTAGAGTGTTTAATAGGCAAATTAACTATGAGTATATGGTTCCATAGTAGTAGATTCAAGAGCAAAAGCACCATAAAAATATCGACTGATTTCTTAACCATTTACATTAGAAATAATAAAATTACCACCAGGATGTTAATAATCAGTAAGATCATATACATCTTGATTTAGCAATACCCATTTAATATTAGGTAATTCTTTTAGAATATCAGAGGTTTGATGATTACCTTATAATAATTTGAGTAATTTAGTTTAAGTTTCATTTAATGGTTATATTTTTTAGGGAGCAATCTTGTTTCTTATTGAAGAATTAAAAGATTTGTAAATTTCTAATCCAATTCTAATAAGAATTAATAGAACTGTCCAAATAATTCCTAAAGCTAATAATATTTTTTCTTCATTTTTGACAAATCCTAATATAATATCTACTTTAGCTGCTAAATACATAATTGTTCCTAATATCACATGTATAATTCTAATAGTAAATAGTATTTATCTATTTTGTTTTTCAGTAGCTTCAAGTAAATGTTTAACAATAACTCCCAAAACATGTTAAATAACAACAGTAATACCAAGAACTATAGCTATTATTTTATGAGCTTCTAATGCACCATCTTCAGTTGTACTTCCTTCACTTCCGCCTACAAATAGCATTAAAATCACTAGTACAAGTGTTGAAAGATCAACAAATATAAAACAGATTGCATGAATCCATAAATAACTATTTATTGATTTAAAAAATCTTCCTATTATTATACCAAAATCTGCAACAATACCCCATGCTATGAATAATACTATTGCATGAACATAATATAAAATGCCATCTCCAGATGAAAGTTATGCTTAACCTACTATTCCATTATCAAATGTAATATCAAAGTTGTACCATTCACTATGCATTTCCATTTAATCAGCTCCTGACCAAGCCATACAAAATGTATATTTATTACCTTTAACTAACACTTAATCTGCTGTATCTCCTGTATCCAATTTTCTATTGAATCTAACCTTATATCCTGTTTAATTCACTGCATATGATACTATATCTATATCATTTGATTTATCTGTCCTAGGTGTCGATTAACCATAAGAATATGTATCCATTACTATTACTGCATTCTATTACACATATAATACTATCATGTCGCAATTTGACATCTAATATATTTTATAAATTCTTACTGTTGGACAAAATCCAAATCCTATCCAATTCAATTTATTATAATCTATAGCCATCTCAAATGAACCATTTGTATATATTTCCCATTTCATATATAATTCATTACTACCCAATTATAATGAACTTGTTAAGTCAATATCAGAGTAAGTTACACTTTAAGCAGCTACAGATTTCTCCAAATATTACTCTAAATCTAAAATCCTAAAATGAGAATTTCTATTCATCTCCTATCCATTCTAATATTTACTCATTTCTTCCTTTCCTAATATTCTATCTCCATCTATATAGGGTAATTTTTAAAAATAAAAATGATATTCCTCATTATCTTAGAAACAATAAAAATTCCTAAATTTAGTACTTTCACATTCACATTTCTATAAATTCGAACAATTTACAATTTCAAAAGAATGAGTCTAAATCATACATAATTGATTACTTTGTTGTTATAATAAGAAAGTTAGAAGTCAAATTATTATGGCAAAATTATTTATACATTCAACAGCTTTTCATTATCATACATTTCTACAGTCTAAGCAATTTATTAGGCTTAACAGTTCATAATTATCCAAAGTAAAGAAGCTAATATAGTAAAATTCATATTCATATATTTATCTAATTAAATCAGCCTGACCTGGCTTTACAACATTTAATTTTATAGATCATTATGCAAAATTTATTATTATATGGAATAAATTTAACCAAAAGTAATCATCAAGCATAATCATCTCGAAAAAAAAAAAAGAATCATTTATTCTCATATGTTAGAACCTTAACATAAATATCATTTCTAACTATTTTAATTAATTTTTTATACTTTTCACTTATTAGATTTTTGACAATTATTGATTTCTTCATAATAATTTGTTTTGAAATTTTTCTTTGTTATATTACATTTAATTCCTCAAGAATAATTTAAGAAAAATTAAAATTCAATATTTAGAAATGCAAATTTAGTCAACGTTATCTTATATTACTTAAGTTCATAATTTAAAATGGTTTGAATGAACATTCAAGAATTAGAAGTTAATCATATTTAACTAACTCTAATTTTTATCAATTACACAATAAATATATTTATATTTATCATCATTAAGATAGTATTTTTTCTAGTTCTTCTAGATCATCAAATTCATGTTTAATTGGAAGTTTGTCTAACCATCCATCTTGATGTTTAAATGATTAGCTCTCTAATTTACTGTTATTATTATTTAAATTATTGAACTCCAAAATTGAATGATTATCATTATCATCAAAAAGAATCATGGATTCTTCATAGAACTTTTATTTTTTAGGTTAATCTAATTAATCTAAAAACTATTCTAATTCTTCAATAAAATCTTAATCATTCACTATAGCTTTTTTTATTGCTGGACCTGGATTATATTTATTCATCAAATCTAATAGATTAATGTAATTAATGCTCTCATTTATTCTACTTTAATTTACCAAGGAATGTAAAAGCAAATTGTTCTGGGTCTCATCTGAATCCCCCATAATATTATATTAAATTAATTAACTAAGTAAAAGTTGTAAAATCTAGTCCAAACTATCTCATCTTAATAATATATATTCAATCAATAATCATTCATAAATTCCTATTCTCGACTTTTTTAAATATATATATATATATCCATGTTTAAGAAGAAAATTTCAATGCTAAAATCTTGTTTAAATATTTCAAAATTAACATTCCGAAGTCTTTTTTATTTTTCAATGGATCAACCCTAAGTTCCACCAACTGGAGATCAAGCCATAAGCAAATCACAGATGAAATATCTTAAAAAGTAAGAGGAGAAAGAGAAGAAGAAAGCTGAGAAAGATGCTCAATAAGTATAGTAATAAAAAAATGCCCCAGAAAAAGAAAAATAAACAAGTATCAGAAATATCTATTAATATTAGAAAAGGGCGTATAATAAGCTGAAGAAGAATTAGATCCTCGCCTCTTCCATGAGAATCGCTCAAAATAAGTTTTGGCACTTAAGCAAAGTTAAGACCCGTATTAAATTTAATTTAAAATAGAAACCCTTACCCTCATAAATTCCATGTAGATTTAACAATAGCTTAATTCCGAGAAAAGTATGGTCCAATATGTACAGAGAAAGGAAAGATTCATGAGGACTTAGTATCAGTGGCAGGTAGAGTAGTCACAATTAGATCAATGGGTGCTAATCTTATGTTTTATGATTTATAAGGAGATGGAACAAAGATTTAAGTGATGGCTAATGCAGCTAATCACAAAGATGAAGGATTTTCATTTGAGAAAATTCATAGTTTGATAAAAAGAGGAGATATAGTAGGAGTTCAAGGAAATCCTTGTTTAACAAAAGCAGGTGAATTAAGTATTGCTCCAGGAATAATTTAATTATTATCTCCAACATTACATATGTTACCAACAGCTCATTTTGGATTTAAAGATCATGAATAGAGATATAGAATGAGATATTTAGATTTAATTATGAATAAAAAAGTGAGAGAAATATTCCTTACTAGATCAGCAGTAATAAAACAATTAAGAGAATATTTTGATAATAAAGGTTTTATTGAAGTAGAGACTCCATCTTTAAATGTTATTTAAGGAGGAGCAACAGCTAAACCATTTAAAACATTCCATAATTCATTACATAGAGATTTGTTTATGAGAGTTGCACCAGAATTATATCTAAAAATGTTAATTGTAGGAGGATTAGATAGAGTATATGAAATTGGTAAGAACTTTAGAAATGAAGGAATTGATTAAACTCATAATCCTGAATTTACAGCTATGGAATTTTATTGGGCATATTGTGATTATAATGATCTTATGAATGTAACTGAAGAAGTCTTATCATCTATTGTTAAAAAAGTTAAAGGAGATTATAAATTTAAAATACATAAAGGTGATAATCCTACTATTACACTTACTGAACATGATATTAAATCTGGTCATTTTAAAGAATAAGAAGATGATTTTATTGAATTAGATTTTACACCACCTTGGCCTAGAATTTCTATGATGAAAGAATTAGAAAAAAAACTTGGTGAAAAATTACCTGAAGTATTAGAAAGTGAAGAGGCTAATGTTTTCTTTAATGAATAAGCTAAAAAACATAAAGTTGAATGTTCTAATCCAAGAACTACTGCAAGATTAATAGATAAATTAGTTGGACATTTCTTAGAAGTCAATTTTAAGAATCCTACATTTTTAATTGATCATCCTTAATTAATGAGTCCATTAAGTAAAGTTCATAGATAATATCCAGGTTTAACTGAAAGGTATTTATTTTTATTTTATCTAGATTTGAACTATTTGTTAATTATCACGAATTATGCAATGCATATACAGAATTGAATGATCCATTTGTCTAAAAAGCATTATTCTAAAAATAAGTTGAAGATGCTGCTAAAGGTGATGATGAAGCTATGGGATATGATGAAGGATTTATTAAGTCTTTAGAACATGCTTTACCACCGTAATTTTTATATATTATTCAACTTTAGAACTGCAGGATGGGGTCTTGGTATTGATAGATTTGTTATGTTGTTAACTGATACATAAAATATTTAAGAAGTTCTACTCTTCCCAGCAATGAAACCAGAAATGACTGTTGAAGAAATGTAAAAAATCTAAAAAGAAAAAGAAGAATTAAAATTAAAATAATAATAATAATAATAATAATAATAATAATAATAATAATAATAATAATAATAATAAGAGTAATAATAATAATAATAAGAGTAATAAAAATAATGAAGAATATTACATAAATAAAATATACATATTCACACATTTTTAATTATTATTTTAGTTGATCTTTTATTTCCTTATGTTGTAATATCATCACTTTTCATTAATGTGTCACTTGATTTGAATTTATTATTACTTGCAAAACTTTAAGGAGTTCTTTCAACAGGAGTTTCATCAGTAACTGCATAAATTGGTTTCATTATTTGTTATTTTCGAATCAATTTATCTATTTATTGATTATTATTTTCAATTTCTTTTAATAAATATTTGCAAAACTATGCACTAGGTCTATCGTTTGGATCATTTTCTAACATATGAGCCAACAAGACAAATAATTAATCCATTTTGCTTGAATAGAATTCTGGATGTTAAGGATTTTTTCTTAATTCAAAATTACCTTCTTTATTTTCTTAAAAGATATTTTTCTATCTATGAAACAAGTTTTCACCAGATAACCTATATTCAATTTAATTTTATACATTTTATATAACACAGATCCTAAACTAAAAATATCAGCTTTTTCATCATATTATTTTTCTTATTTATAATTTATGATTTCTGGAGCCATATAACCTGGAGTTCCAGCTGTTGGAAATATTAATTAGTTTTTAATTTTGCGAGCCAAACCAAAATCAATTAATTTGACATTTTCTGATATCATTATATTATGTGGGTTTAGATCTCTATGCATAACTCCTTATTAATGAATATATATAAGAGCATTTAAAATTTAAAACATAATTTTTAATGTTTAAGTTATGCTTAAACCTGTTGGTCTTGAAAGCAATTCAGTATGTAATGTTCTGCCATCAACAAAATCAGTAATAATGTAATAAAATTACTAATCTGAATAGACTTCCTTTAATTTTAAAATATTTATATGTTAGAGTTATTGTAGAAGCTACAATTCTTAGATGAATTAAGGCTAAAATCTTATTAAATCAATTACAATTCCACCTTATAGTGAAGCTAATTTCTATTTTTCACATTTTTTGATGGCAACATAATCACCATTTTAAGATACAGCTCTATAGACCTAACTTTTTTATCAATTTATACTTCTCCAATCATTCCCTATCCAACTTTCATTTGAATTTCGTAGAAGTTTTGAATTCCACAATAAAATACTCGACCAGCAATCATCTCTCTCAGCAATTATAGTTTGTTAGAAGAGCCATAAAATGGCTTCATTTTATTATTATATGGTATTTCAAAGGCTTATATTTTATTATCACTGACAATCCAATTGAATGTTGTTGTCATATTCAATTTGATCTCATATTTTGCTTTTTTTGTTTAGTTCTATTTATAATATATATTGGAATACATCAGTCATAATCAATTCATCACTAAACAAGAATAGTTAGTATTCTTTATCTGAGAAAAAGTGCTTTCGAGTGACAGGGAAAGTAAATAATGCATTATCAAATCTATACATTTTTATTTAATATTGATATAACATCAAATCCTTTAATGAGATGTCCTCATGATTGGAGATAGTTTTTCAGATTTTCACTAACAAAATTTTCCAATTACCATAATAGATAAGAAAAAAATTCACTTTAATAATGATGTTATTCAGTTTTTTGTTTTCATTCAATTTATTCAAAATTAAACTTTTTTTATTCAAAAACAAGGTTATTTCCATAAAATTTATAAATGATTGCATATTTTATATAGAACTAGTTAGAGATACTAGTTTTAATAATATTTTATAGGTAATTTAAACAATATTGAAATAGGGATATGAATAAAAGTGAAAAAATAAAAAATGTGAAATTTTTAAGAGACATAAAAAAGTTTAATATTTATTTTAATTATAAAAATGGAAACAGGAAAAAACAAAAATAAAAAAAAAATGATAATTCATTTTGATTCTTCATAGTAAGATGAGGTTAGTTCACCATCAATAAAACCATCTGAAAGTGAAGGAGATAATGGATTTCCTTTAACAAAAACAATAAAGAATATGCTTTATGTTTATGGTGATTAAAAAAAGTCTGAGGTGCATAATTTGGCACATTTATAAATTTAGGAATTGATATCAGATATCTTTTAACCATAAATATTACATGCTTTATATTCTGTTGCTCCAAAGCCATGGGAAGAGATTGGAGCAGATATAAAATTCGAATTTCCTCAACCGCTGACAAAGAACAAGAGAATACTCTAGAATTATTTAAATAGTGTTTTTAAAGAATTTGTGAGTTTATTTTAGAGATTGTCAAGAATTTCAAAAAGATTAAAGAAACATGCATCAGAAGTGAATTAAGATAATAATATTGATTATGAAACAACATTAAGAAATAAAGCTTAGAAAGATGGGATTTTAATATACGAAGAACAATATTCATAATAAGAAGATTCAGTATCAAATTCTTCAATAGCATCAGAATCTCCACATGAAGTATGGGAAGAATATATGAAAGCTAGAGTAGAATAGATGCCTTCTTAAGAATTTATAAAATTTATGGAATTAAGATCATAAACATTTATTCATCATAAGGGATTTAAGTAATTTATTGATCCTCATAATTATGGTCAAAACTTTATAGAATGTATAAATCTAAAATTTTTGAATTATTGTTTATGTAGAGTAATTAAACGTATAATATAGAAAGTAATGTAATTTGAATAGCCATAAAAATAAGTATTTTAGTTGTCTGAAGATAATCTAAAGAAGTATGGTTATTAAATAATAGAAACTTATAAAATANCATCAAATCCTTTAATGAGATGTCCTCATGATTGGAGATAGTTTTTCAGATTTTCACTAACAAAATTTTCCAATTACCATAATAGATAAGAAAAAAATTCACTTTAATAATGATGTTATTCAGTTTTTTGTTTTCATTCAATTTATTCAAAATTAAACTTTTTTTATTCAAAAACAAGGTTATTTCCATAAAATTTATAAATGATTGCATATTTTATATAGAACTAGTTAGAGATACTAGTTTTAATAATATTTTATAGGTAATTTAAACAATATTGAAATAGGGATATGAATAAAAGTGAAAAAATAAAAAATGTGAAATTTTTAAGAGACATAAAAAAGTTTAATATTTATTTTAATTATAAAAATGGAAACAGGAAAAAACAAAAATAAAAAAAAAATGATAATTCATTTTGATTCTTCATAGTAAGATGAGGTTAGTTCACCATCAATAAAACCATCTGAAAGTGAAGGAGATAATGGATTTCCTTTAACAAAAACAATAAAGAATATGCTTTATGTTTATGGTGATTAAAAAAAGTCTGAGGTGCATAATTTGGCACATTTATAAATTTAGGAATTGATATCAGATATCTTTTAACCATAAATATTACATGCTTTATATTCTGTTGCTCCAAAGCCATGGGAAGAGATTGGAGCAGATATAAAATTCGAATTTCCTCAACCGCTGACAAAGAACAAGAGAATACTCTAGAATTATTTAAATAGTGTTTTTAAAGAATTTGTGAGTTTATTTTAGAGATTGTCAAGAATTTCAAAAAGATTAAAGAAACATGCATCAGAAGTGAATTAAGATAATAATATTGATTATGAAACAACATTAAGAAATAAAGCTTAGAAAGATGGGATTTTAATATACGAAGAACAATATTCATAATAAGAAGATTCAGTATCAAATTCTTCAATAGCATCAGAATCTCCACATGAAGTATGGGAAGAATATATGAAAGCTAGAGTAGAATAGATGCCTTCTTAAGAATTTATAAAATTTATGGAATTAAGATCATAAACATTTATTCATCATAAGGGATTTAAGTAATTTATTGATCCTCATAATTATGGTCAAAACTTTATAGAATGTATAAATCTAAAATTTTTGAATTATTGTTTATGTAGAGTAATTAAACGTATAATATAGAAAGTAATGTAATTTGAATAGCCATAAAAATAAGTATTTTAGTTGTCTGAAGATAATCTAAAGAAGTATGGTTATTAAATAATAGAAACTTATAAAATAAGAGCTAAGAAATATGCTTTATAAGATTAGAAATTAAATTAAATGGCCTACAAATTATTTTTATTAGAATTCTGTACTTAAGGTTATGATGCATATTTTTAATCGAAATGGATATTAAAGAAGAACGGATAACTATCTAGTAATTAAGAAGTGAGAGCTTAAGAAGAATGGGAAAAGATGGGCAATATTAAATAGAAATGGATAGATAGAGTAAGAGCAGAAAAATAAGTTAGATAAAAGTTAGTAAAATAAAAAGAAATAATTCCAAATAGTCCTTATTCAAAAATCTTATTATAAAGAGTAGGTAATAAAACATATGAATAAGCTAAAAGTGAATTTTCAACTATTTTTAAAGAATGGTTTATTCATTTAAAAAGAGTAACAGAAGAAATTGATAGTATATATGATTGATTATTTGTTCTTATTATTTATTATTATATCATGCTTGATTTTAATATTCTTTTTAAACAACAGCTTTAAATTCATCCCAACTTAATGATCCATCTTTATCTTTATCAGCATATTCAACCATTTCTCTTAACTCTTAATCTGTATATCTCTCTGATACTAAATCATTAATTCTCTTGAAATCCTCGTAAGTTACTTTACTTTATCCAGAGGAATCAAATTCAGAATATAATTTCTCAAGTACTTATTCATCTTCAATTGTGCTATAATACTATTATTAAATTTTAATACCCTGAAAATCCAAATATATTTAAAAATTCTTCAAAATCTATTAAACTTGATCCATCTTAATCAAGATCTTAAATCATATTCACAATATCTTCAGCTGATTATTCCATACCTAATGCAATAATAGCATTTTTCATTTCATTTGGACTTTTATAGTTATTATTTCTTACGAAATTGATCCACTCTTATCATCATCAAAAATATCGAAGCATTCCTTTATTTTTAAGACTTCTTCTTTACTAAGACCAGGTTTAACATATTTTTAAGCATCAAAACCATTTCCAACTTATTACTAAACTGGCTATTATTATACAGGAGATTTCCCTCTTGTTGCATCAGGAGCTGCTACTTAACTTTTATTTGTTGTTTAACCTGCTGGTTATGGTTTTTATTGATTTCTATTCATTTATTTTAAATAAATATTAAGGATACATTTATTCATCACTAATATATTTTCAATTTTATTCACTACTCTCTTATTCTTTCTATTTTGATATTACTTCACTCTTCTTTTCTTTATTTTCTATATATTAATTCAAATCTTAATTCAAATTTCTCTCTTCTTCTTACAAACTTTAATCTTTTTACTTCTTTTCTATTATTAATACAGATTCTTATATATGTTGTTATTCAATCTGAGATATCAATTGAGAATCTAAAATATTTTACCAATACTCAGCACTAATACTTATTTATTCCATCTCTAATTAACCTATATATTTTATCAACTTAAATAAATTCTGCTCTTTCTCATTTATAAACTCAGGAATCTCAAATAAACATACCTAACCCATTGTTATATTTATTAAACCCTTTAACTCTTATATATACTTACAATACTAATATAAACCATCTCAACATATTACATGATCAATCTAATTTTACAATCTTAATATCTCTTTGTCTTTTGATCCAAAAAATAACTTTGAAACAGCATTTCTCTAATTATTTAATGTTTATTATAAGTCTAACTAACTCTATCTTATTTTATCCTCATATCTTATAATTTTATCCTCCCACTTCCTTATCTAATCAAATTAAATCGCATGAGACTAATATAATACTAATATTTTATCACCTCTATGTCGCTCTCTAATATATATAGATCGATCAAAATTTGATCACTCTAAGATTTTCGAACTTAATCATATTTTTGATTCTTCATCAAATCTAAAGGTTTTGTTTTCTAGAAAAATTTCTTATCACTTTTAAATAATAAATTCTTTTCAAACTCTGGAAGTACATAATTCACAAAAATCAACTTCTCTGTATTAAAATTTGTCTTGGCAGTCACATAATTATTGCACATCTTTTTAAAGTTATCTATCATCGGCTTAACTTTTACTAAAAATGATTAAAAATCATTAAATTAACATTTCATATCTAATGTAATTTCTAGCTTTGATTAATTATGTTGATTACATTTGAGCAATCAGGAAGATTAGTTTTATATTTCTCTTCTAATGAAATATTTTCATTGTTAAGAGGTATCCAAGTTTAGTTCTGTTCATTAAGAAATTATTTAGTTTCAGGAGAATTCCATATGATTTATCTTTTGAATAATGAATTCAGGAATTACTATAACATTCTTCTTCTAATTCGAAGGAAGCCTTCTTCAAGATTTCCCTAAAATTTTCATCATGACGTTACCATAGCTTATTTTTCAGGGAGTCTAGGAATAAATATTCCAGGATAGTTTGCAAGTAATACATCATAAAAGTGAACAAAGTCATTAAACCTTCTGCAAATAATATTTTGATTAAATTGAATCTTATAAGAAGCATATCGCCCTAAAATTTCAGTGCTCATTGAGATTTCAATAATTTTAGGACATGATTATTATTACATAATATTTTATATTCACAATATGTTTTATTATTCAATATTTTAAATGGATTTATATTTTTTAAGAGATAAGAACTGATCATTAAGAATAGAGTTTATATATAATTATATATATTTTAATTACTTCACTTAAATTTATTGGAATAAGGACTGATTTTATTCATAGTGAAATAATCATTTGCGTAATTTGTTTCTTTACACAATTTTCTAGGATATGTAAATTTTGATGGAGAAAGGCTATGAGAGTTCTAAATAATAAATTATACATTAGAATGCCATCCAAGCTCTTAATTAGAAGTTTGTGGAAATTAGTATTTCTAACGAGGAGTTCTATTCATTGTATTTAATTTATCAATAATTTCCTCTAAAATATTGATTTTCCATTACTTTCTAAAGGAGGAGAGTCATCAGTAATTTAATTAACATCAAATGCAGGTTTTGTAATTGCTCCTGTCTTTTCAAGATGCTTCTACAACATAATACTATTGTTAGGTTTCTCTTGGATAATATATACTAATTTTAGAGTTAACAGTTGCACATACATTTTTATGGATTGATAGTAAAATGCTCATAAACTTTTAAGTGTTAATTCTCTTTTCTGACTGCTTCTTACCAAATTTTCATTTCNATATTACTTCACTCTTCTTTTCTTTATTTTCTATATATTAATTCAAATCTTAATTCAAATTTCTCTCTTCTTCTTACAAACTTTAATCTTTTTACTTCTTTTCTATTATTAATACAGATTCTTATATATGTTGTTATTCAATCTGAGATATCAATTGAGAATCTAAAATATTTTACCAATACTCAGCACTAATACTTATTTATTCCATCTCTAATTAACCTATATATTTTATCAACTTAAATAAATTCTGCTCTTTCTCATTTATAAACTCAGGAATCTCAAATAAACATACCTAACCCATTGTTATATTTATTAAACCCTTTAACTCTTATATATACTTACAATACTAATATAAACCATCTCAACATATTACATGATCAATCTAATTTTACAATCTTAATATCTCTTTGTCTTTTGATCCAAAAAATAACTTTGAAACAGCATTTCTCTAATTATTTAATGTTTATTATAAGTCTAACTAACTCTATCTTATTTTATCCTCATATCTTATAATTTTATCCTCCCACTTCCTTATCTAATCAAATTAAATCGCATGAGACTAATATAATACTAATATTTTATCACCTCTATGTCGCTCTCTAATATATATAGATCGATCAAAATTTGATCACTCTAAGATTTTCGAACTTAATCATATTTTTGATTCTTCATCAAATCTAAAGGTTTTGTTTTCTAGAAAAATTTCTTATCACTTTTAAATAATAAATTCTTTTCAAACTCTGGAAGTACATAATTCACAAAAATCAACTTCTCTGTATTAAAATTTGTCTTGGCAGTCACATAATTATTGCACATCTTTTTAAAGTTATCTATCATCGGCTTAACTTTTACTAAAAATGATTAAAAATCATTAAATTAACATTTCATATCTAATGTAATTTCTAGCTTTGATTAATTATGTTGATTACATTTGAGCAATCAGGAAGATTAGTTTTATATTTCTCTTCTAATGAAATATTTTCATTGTTAAGAGGTATCCAAGTTTAGTTCTGTTCATTAAGAAATTATTTAGTTTCAGGAGAATTCCATATGATTTATCTTTTGAATAATGAATTCAGGAATTACTATAACATTCTTCTTCTAATTCGAAGGAAGCCTTCTTCAAGATTTCCCTAAAATTTTCATCATGACGTTACCATAGCTTATTTTTCAGGGAGTCTAGGAATAAATATTCCAGGATAGTTTGCAAGTAATACATCATAAAAGTGAACAAAGTCATTAAACCTTCTGCAAATAATATTTTGATTAAATTGAATCTTATAAGAAGCATATCGCCCTAAAATTTCAGTGCTCATTGAGATTTCAATAATTTTAGGACATGATTATTATTACATAATATTTTATATTCACAATATGTTTTATTATTCAATATTTTAAATGGATTTATATTTTTTAAGAGATAAGAACTGATCATTAAGAATAGAGTTTATATATAATTATATATATTTTAATTACTTCACTTAAATTTATTGGAATAAGGACTGATTTTATTCATAGTGAAATAATCATTTGCGTAATTTGTTTCTTTACACAATTTTCTAGGATATGTAAATTTTGATGGAGAAAGGCTATGAGAGTTCTAAATAATAAATTATACATTAGAATGCCATCCAAGCTCTTAATTAGAAGTTTGTGGAAATTAGTATTTCTAACGAGGAGTTCTATTCATTGTATTTAATTTATCAATAATTTCCTCTAAAATATTGATTTTCCATTACTTTCTAAAGGAGGAGAGTCATCAGTAATTTAATTAACATCAAATGCAGGTTTTGTAATTGCTCCTGTCTTTTCAAGATGCTTCTACAACATAATACTATTGTTAGGTTTCTCTTGGATAATATATACTAATTTTAGAGTTAACAGTTGCACATACATTTTTATGGATTGATAGTAAAATGCTCATAAACTTTTAAGTGTTAATTCTCTTTTCTGACTGCTTCTTACCAAATTTTCATTTCCTATATTATAAAATTTGATTACTGCAACTGGGCTGCGATCTCTTTTATTATTTTTTGCATCTTATTTTGCCATTTTATTATAAAACAATAATTATTTAGAAAGAAGAGAATTAAATGAATATAAAATACTATACAACAATAGTTTAGTGTCTCAAAAAAACTTTATTCAATTTAATCTACCAATACAATTCTTAGCTCCACAACTACATTATATTTTTTGTGATTCTGCTTCGATTTCAAATTAGTAATCATAAGTCAGTTCTTCTCCTACTTATATATCTTTTTTAGCATAAATTATAATCTTCTCATCTAATAATAATGAATCACAATTAGGCTATAATTAATACATATTAATTACTTAACAACTATGATTTAAAAATCTAGCTTCTGAACCTTTAAAAGTTGCATCAATTACTTTAGTTTTTGAAGCTCTAAACATATAACAATCTCCAAATCCTTATTCATTATATGTTAACTCTCTATAATCAGCAAGGGCATTTCTAATTACTTCTCCAGTATATTCTATTACGAAATCTCCTTTTTTAAAACTAATTATATAATTCAAATTACTCTTATTTAGTAAAAAGTCCATATTTATGAATATATGATGGTGCTACATAAAGTCTATTTTTTTATTTTTAATTTTTAGAATCTTATTTCAATTTTTTTTCTAATTCTTCTTACTTATCAATCTGCTTCAATTCTTCAGTTAATAGATTAGCTTCCTCTAATATATCATTTGGATTAATTGTCACTATTTTTTATTGAGGGTCTTTTCTTGATAATTTACTATTCTGATGTTTAATTGTTGGAAGGTTGTCATATAACATTGGATGATTATCATATAAAGTATTTATATTTACTTAACTCTAAGAAATTAATCTACTTATCTATTGTAAAATTTATATTCTTTCATCTAAAGGAAGATCTTCAACAAATAAAGATTAATAAAACCATTCTTTAAAATGACTAAATTAACAGACTGAATTGCACATTTTTTATATATTTTTAGTATCCAATAATTATTGACGTATTTAATATGAATATAACATAAAAAATTCACCTAAATTTTCTGTAAATTCTATTCCTTAAATATTATTATCTTTAAAAGAATCCAATAATTACTATAAATTTTATACCTTATATTCATTATAAGGATATTTATCCAAAATTAATTTTGTAACTGTAAATTACAATTGTCTATTTTTATCACTCTTTTCACATTCTTTAAGAAATTGTTATTTACTGACTTCAGTATATCTTATTTTAAATTCTTTCATATTCAATGAAATGTATAAGATTTTATTTCGTAATGTCAATAAATTTAATTCTTCAAATTGTCCTCTTTATTCTGATGGTTTTAAAGCAATCAAAATTGTATTTGAATATCGATGAAGAACTGTTTAATTTTTTTTATCCTACTTTTATTATACAACTATTTTTCTCCAAATCATAAAATTTGTTACACAATATTCCTAATTGNGTAAAATGCTCATAAACTTTTAAGTGTTAATTCTCTTTTCTGACTGCTTCTTACCAAATTTTCATTTCCTATATTATAAAATTTGATTACTGCAACTGGGCTGCGATCTCTTTTATTATTTTTTGCATCTTATTTTGCCATTTTATTATAAAACAATAATTATTTAGAAAGAAGAGAATTAAATGAATATAAAATACTATACAACAATAGTTTAGTGTCTCAAAAAAACTTTATTCAATTTAATCTACCAATACAATTCTTAGCTCCACAACTACATTATATTTTTTGTGATTCTGCTTCGATTTCAAATTAGTAATCATAAGTCAGTTCTTCTCCTACTTATATATCTTTTTTAGCATAAATTATAATCTTCTCATCTAATAATAATGAATCACAATTAGGCTATAATTAATACATATTAATTACTTAACAACTATGATTTAAAAATCTAGCTTCTGAACCTTTAAAAGTTGCATCAATTACTTTAGTTTTTGAAGCTCTAAACATATAACAATCTCCAAATCCTTATTCATTATATGTTAACTCTCTATAATCAGCAAGGGCATTTCTAATTACTTCTCCAGTATATTCTATTACGAAATCTCCTTTTTTAAAACTAATTATATAATTCAAATTACTCTTATTTAGTAAAAAGTCCATATTTATGAATATATGATGGTGCTACATAAAGTCTATTTTTTTATTTTTAATTTTTAGAATCTTATTTCAATTTTTTTTCTAATTCTTCTTACTTATCAATCTGCTTCAATTCTTCAGTTAATAGATTAGCTTCCTCTAATATATCATTTGGATTAATTGTCACTATTTTTTATTGAGGGTCTTTTCTTGATAATTTACTATTCTGATGTTTAATTGTTGGAAGGTTGTCATATAACATTGGATGATTATCATATAAAGTATTTATATTTACTTAACTCTAAGAAATTAATCTACTTATCTATTGTAAAATTTATATTCTTTCATCTAAAGGAAGATCTTCAACAAATAAAGATTAATAAAACCATTCTTTAAAATGACTAAATTAACAGACTGAATTGCACATTTTTTATATATTTTTAGTATCCAATAATTATTGACGTATTTAATATGAATATAACATAAAAAATTCACCTAAATTTTCTGTAAATTCTATTCCTTAAATATTATTATCTTTAAAAGAATCCAATAATTACTATAAATTTTATACCTTATATTCATTATAAGGATATTTATCCAAAATTAATTTTGTAACTGTAAATTACAATTGTCTATTTTTATCACTCTTTTCACATTCTTTAAGAAATTGTTATTTACTGACTTCAGTATATCTTATTTTAAATTCTTTCATATTCAATGAAATGTATAAGATTTTATTTCGTAATGTCAATAAATTTAATTCTTCAAATTGTCCTCTTTATTCTGATGGTTTTAAAGCAATCAAAATTGTATTTGAATATCGATGAAGAACTGTTTAATTTTTTTTATCCTACTTTTATTATACAACTATTTTTCTCCAAATCATAAAATTTGTTACACAATATTCCTAATTGTCAAAACAAGATTAGCAATATACTTTTTTATTATGAGTGAATGCCCATTATTCTCTGTAACCACAATAAAAATGACATCTTTTTCTACACTTTCCACAAATTATTGAAGATCCTATTTATTGACAATATTCACATTTAAAATTATTATTTTTCAGTAATGCTTTTACAGTTAATTCACATTCTTTACTATCTTCATTCCAAATAACACAATTAGTATGAACCCAACGTACATCATCTACGTAAAGTAATCTTCCACTAACACTTCTATTTCCAAATCTTTTACATAATTAACAAGATATTTTATCTAGAGGACTTTCTATTAATTAATCCTCATCTATTTATGGGTATTTATAAATATACTCTGTCTAAAAATTACTATACTCTTTTGGTTAATATTTCATTTCTTAATCCTATTTTATCAAAATTTGTTCTGCCTCTTAAATTTTATTATCATGTAGCTATTTTATTTCTTTAATACATTATTTTATTAATTAATTATTTTATTAATAAGATTTTAACTTTTCTGTTATTTAAGTTTCCGAATACCTATCGCTTAACTAACGAATATTTTATTTTAAATAATTTGTTGCTATTTTCAACCATCCTTTCTAAACTAAAATATGATCTTTTGAACATTATTTCTTTATTTCTACCATTTAAGAAGTATACTATTTCTTAATGGATCTGACAATCGAATTTGGAATTGGAAGAAAAAGTAATTATTACTTTTAATTTTATAGAAACTACATTTTAAGATATTTTGAATTTTCATATTAACCTAAAATATTTAAATAATTTGTGTAATATTAGTTATCCAAATATTAATATTAGTTCTCTTATAATAAATATTGCACGAAACTACACTATAAATCAGTTATTAAATTTAATGTATCTAAGGCAAATCGATTTAATTTATTAAATAGCAATAAAGCATTATTTTGTCCAATTATAGTCTATAAAGAGAAAATAACATATTGTTTTTTTTATTTAAAGAAATGAATCAGGAGTTATCTTTCATGAAAATCATTTTCTAATTAAAACTATACAAAATCTTGTCGTTTTTATTATGTTACAGTAAATAATTATCTTGGAGCTTCAAACCAATTAAAACGAGCACACCAATATTGAGTCAATTTAGCAATATATTCATCACTTATATCTTTATTATTTGTCAGCTCCTCTTTTATATTCTCAATGTTTTATTAATATTAAAAAAAGTTAGATACAAGATTCTCCAATTATTCTAAATTTTCCATAATAAAAGTTTCTTAAATCTAATTTAAATGAGATGACCATTCCAAAAAATTAGAAATAACTGGTACTACTTTTTTTAATGATTTGGCTTTTATTGTCTGTCTAATATTTTATTCTTTATGCTTTTCATATTTAAATAATAGTAAAGACATATCCTAAGAACAATCAGAGCATATTCCTTCATTATCGATAGCTTTTTTATTTTTCAATAAGCAAGAAATATGATAAAATTATTAACATTTTACACATTGCTTGTATTATTTAATTGGTTTAATTTCCTTATTTAAATATATTTTATTAACATCAGTTTCTAAAATTATAGATATTCAATGAACTTACATTTTACATCTTGAAAGTAAATCTTGTACAATGATCCAAGTCTTTGATTCTCAATTTCAATACATTCGTTAGATTATATATCATTGTTAGTTTATATGTACTCTTCACAAAATTAACAAAATTTAAAACCAGCAACATCGAGACCACAACTCAAACAATATTTAAAATTTTAAAAGTATTCTATACTAATATGAACCTAAGATCAAATTATTAAATACTGTATTTGATGTTGTTGTTGGCTTAATTCTTGATAATAATTCTGGATCAAATAATTAAGTTTATTGGCAATTAACACATTTAAAACAATTTTTGCATTTCCAATAATCTAATCCATCAGTAGGAGCAATAAAATTATTAAAAATACATTAGAAATGATAAAATTCATTACAACAGCAACAAAATAAATCATTTTTTTATCCATATTTATCACATTCTTTACATCTAACACAATTGTTGCATATCCAATTTTTTAAAGACTTAATAACTCGTTATTAATGATATTGAGAACTATTTATTTAGCAATAAAAATGATATGTTTTATTGCAGTTTTAACACATTAATAAATTATCGAGAAATTCATATCCACCACATGAACAACAGATGTATTCAAACATTAATTCAATATTCCCAACTTTCATTGCAAAAGGCTAAATTAAATTAACTGTGCTTAAGTCTTTAAGTAATAAATCTTTTACTATGTATTATAACTAAGGAGAATCAATTGAATCATCAGTTAATTATGGAGGATCTAATTTGAATAAATAATCTAAATATGGATGACGATTTGTAATATTATTAATATCAATCTTGATTTTGATTTCTCTCTAAACTTATTACTTCAAAAAATCAATCATATTTAATTTTATTAATGGTTCATCCTCATTTTCAAAATCTAAATTAATATTAATAGTCTTTTCCCATTAAATTAAATTGCTTTTAACATTTCTAGAAGGTACAGACTAAGTTATACTTAATAATTAAGGTTCCCATAATGGTATGTAATTATTTATTCCTTCAANCAAGATTCTCCAATTATTCTAAATTTTCCATAATAAAAGTTTCTTAAATCTAATTTAAATGAGATGACCATTCCAAAAAATTAGAAATAACTGGTACTACTTTTTTTAATGATTTGGCTTTTATTGTCTGTCTAATATTTTATTCTTTATGCTTTTCATATTTAAATAATAGTAAAGACATATCCTAAGAACAATCAGAGCATATTCCTTCATTATCGATAGCTTTTTTATTTTTCAATAAGCAAGAAATATGATAAAATTATTAACATTTTACACATTGCTTGTATTATTTAATTGGTTTAATTTCCTTATTTAAATATATTTTATTAACATCAGTTTCTAAAATTATAGATATTCAATGAACTTACATTTTACATCTTGAAAGTAAATCTTGTACAATGATCCAAGTCTTTGATTCTCAATTTCAATACATTCGTTAGATTATATATCATTGTTAGTTTATATGTACTCTTCACAAAATTAACAAAATTTAAAACCAGCAACATCGAGACCACAACTCAAACAATATTTAAAATTTTAAAAGTATTCTATACTAATATGAACCTAAGATCAAATTATTAAATACTGTATTTGATGTTGTTGTTGGCTTAATTCTTGATAATAATTCTGGATCAAATAATTAAGTTTATTGGCAATTAACACATTTAAAACAATTTTTGCATTTCCAATAATCTAATCCATCAGTAGGAGCAATAAAATTATTAAAAATACATTAGAAATGATAAAATTCATTACAACAGCAACAAAATAAATCATTTTTTTATCCATATTTATCACATTCTTTACATCTAACACAATTGTTGCATATCCAATTTTTTAAAGACTTAATAACTCGTTATTAATGATATTGAGAACTATTTATTTAGCAATAAAAATGATATGTTTTATTGCAGTTTTAACACATTAATAAATTATCGAGAAATTCATATCCACCACATGAACAACAGATGTATTCAAACATTAATTCAATATTCCCAACTTTCATTGCAAAAGGCTAAATTAAATTAACTGTGCTTAAGTCTTTAAGTAATAAATCTTTTACTATGTATTATAACTAAGGAGAATCAATTGAATCATCAGTTAATTATGGAGGATCTAATTTGAATAAATAATCTAAATATGGATGACGATTTGTAATATTATTAATATCAATCTTGATTTTGATTTCTCTCTAAACTTATTACTTCAAAAAATCAATCATATTTAATTTTATTAATGGTTCATCCTCATTTTCAAAATCTAAATTAATATTAATAGTCTTTTCCCATTAAATTAAATTGCTTTTAACATTTCTAGAAGGTACAGACTAAGTTATACTTAATAATTAAGGTTCCCATAATGGTATGTAATTATTTATTCCTTCAATTGTAACTAAATCTTTCCCTCCAAATCCATGATTTAAGAATTATTTAAAAGCAACTTGAACATTTTCAGAAGTAAATAAATGTATATTATTCTTGTAAGTTAAGAGATCTTCATCTGTTAATTTTAAATAACCTTTAAACTACTAAAACAAAATATCATATATGATCTTTAAAATGCTTCCTTTACGATGCGCTTTTGGATTTGATAAATTATACTCTAAAAAATTTGACAGCAACAATTTAATATCTTAATAGAGCTTAAATTCAGGATTATCCAAATATTCCCCCTTTTTATTCTTCTTATGAATAGTATCAAAATCTATTGGATTTTTTATAACTTCTTTATATTTTATAGAACTTGGATCATATTGCCATAATAATTTTTCGTCATCAAAATATGTTAAATATCTGATAAGTTCAGAAAAAATTATTTTTCTAATTTCTATGCGACATTTAGGACATCTATATGAATTGAAAAAAGGTTTTCGATCTTAAAATAAAGGTTCACACTTCTTATGAACATATTATTCACAATCTCCGCATTAAAATTTGTTTATTGCTTTATCTTTTTCAAATATAGTTTTTTTGCATAAAATACAATATTTATTTTTCTCATATTTAATTACACATTCATCACACAAAGAATTCTCAATAAGTTAACTTGCACATGAAGTACATGAATTAGGCAATTTCTTTTGTTGAATTTTTTTTTATTTTAAAGACTTCTTCAACTACTCATTATGCATAGACTACTAATTCAAACTACTTTAATGATAAGAGCTACTCAATCCTTATTCCCCAGAACTTTGTTCATTAAGTAGCTGAGTATTATTTGGATAATCTGTAATATTTTATTATTTCTAAACAGCTCCCCTTGTAATTTTTACTCCTTTTTCCAATAATTTAAAATACTCTCCATTAGTTATATTCAACTATTCATCCATTATTAATTATAAAAAAATTTTTTATTATGAAACCAATATATAAGTTTTTTTACTTATTTTAATTTACTTTTTAACATTATATCATTTCGAATATCAAATATTTTTTGTAAAAATACTTGGAGTATAACATAACTTTTTGTTAAAAAATTTTATTTTCCAAATAATTATATAACTAAATAAAAAAGCCAAATCATAATGATATTTCATCATGCCAAAGGCTTAACTTTTAAGTTATAAATACTATATATTTTATATTATAGCTAAAAATTATAATCTAAGAATTAAATGTTTCAAATATTACGAAGAGAACTTAGTAATTTTTTACTGTGTTTAAAATTAAATTACATTAAAAATCAAAATAAATTGTAATAATATTTTAAGATCTTATTAATAACTATGCTTCTATTAGGAAATAGCTTTAAATTAGAATTAAAATTTGAAGATAATTTAAATTTAGAATTGTAACAAATAATATAATGATTATAATTATATATTTAATAGAATATTTGATTTATATCTATCATGATTTATATTTATTTCTTTTTGGAATATGTTCTGATGATGATGAAGTTTGATTCTAACTTTGACTATCAAATTCATTTAATTAATGTTTGATTTGCTTTTTTGGCTAAAAATAAAGAGGATTTTTAA